TTTTATCAGCAGCACTAGCCCCTGATGATTTCATTCATTCTAATTAAGGCAGACAGAAGGCAATGCATCGGAGTATCAGCAGCTGATAAATAAATGCCAGCCACTATAGAATACTGCCTGTATCACTATACAGAAGAACAGCCTTCCGTTTTGAAACGCAGTTCTTTTCTGCTTTCATAACCAACCTTTCAGGTAGGATTAGTATCACTTTGGACCTTGGTGTTCAGTTTCAGACTCAGAGGATCCCGTTCTGAACAGCCACTACCTGGCAACTTCTTCTTTGTCACATTCTGAGTTGATTTTATTGCCTCTTGACTTTGTAGTTCAGGTTAGTTATTCAACAGTTTCTAATAGATGCAGAGGAAAAGGAATGTGCAAGGTTATTTTACACTTCAGTAGCCATTCAGGCACCGTTTCCCCAGTCCTTACAGCTTTATAAATCTATCTGTATTCTCTATTGGTGCATTCTTAAACAGCAGAGGGAAAGAAATCCTTAAGGGTCTAAATCCCACTAGGAGGATTGCAGGCATCCAGTGCAAGCGTGGTGTCTAGGGCTGCTTCCACTCTCTTCTTGCCCTCCAAAACATTTAGACATCCAGTTTTGGCCATCTAATTATTTTTCCCCTCCTTGTAAGGAGGAGAGGCTTGGATGCCTTGAAGATCGGCAATGCCTCCCTTTCCTGGTCCTCGCCCCACGAGGACCCTGAAGATGGAAAGAACCACACCAGCAAAGAGGGTGTAGGGAGGGCCCTCTGGGGTGGACACTGAACTGGGGATTTCCAAAATCCGAGCTGGGACCCCAACTTATCTTATGCCCCAGCAATGTCACGAGGCCATAGGTCTGTGCCCTAAGGGATTCATACAGATGGGGTCAGCGAGGGGAAACTGGCACAAAGCTCCCAGAGGAGAGACCCCCATCGACGAAGCAAACGGTTGCTCTCAACAGCAGCTTGAGGCAGTCTGGCTCTCCCCCAAACCCAGGCAACAGACAAGAGGGACTTCAATCCACCCAGGCAAAACAACGGATCGACTAGAACATTGAGTAACTAATACTGTTTATCCCACACAAATATGTAAATATTTTATAGAACCACATTAGTGGACAATTATGGAAATGGCGGGGAAAGGAATATCATTTGATACCTTGAGGATAATTTTGTAAAATGACTGTGCACTTAGCAGGGCCTTGGACTGATTTTCCATTTCTAAGCAGCAGCAGCAAGATGTTTGGTCCTTGTTTAAGGGACAATAAAGCTGCGGGCCTGAAGAGGTGTTGATTCCGAGATCAATACTTCCATGTACTACCTGGATTGAGTCTAGAGCATACTGCCTGGATAGCATATGCTGAACCCCTGAACTGTAACCCTTCTCTGACAAAGTTGTACCTCTCAGTGGTAGCTGCCCACCTGTGAAATCCACTCACAGGTCGTCTCCAATGTCCTTTGCGTTCCAGGAAAAAGACCTTCTTTTTCTTTTTTTCTTTTTCTTTTAAGAATTGCTGACTTCCCCAGTATTGTTTCAATCTTGTATTATGATGGTTATTTTATATTTATACCACAGCTTTCTTCCCCTTGCATGTTCAGTTTTTCCATTGTATTGTTTTACTGCAAGTCCCCCTTAATTATACAGGGTGGGCCAAATGTAGGGATGCACCACCGATCGAGTCATGGACACAGTGGACAAATTGGAGGAGCTGATCTCGCAAGCATTTCTCGACGTTGGTGCTAACCAGAATTTGCATCCCAGTGTCAGGCCAGGGATGCTGGAATGTTGATGGAAGACATTTCCTGCACCTAAGAGACTAAATATGACCTGATCAGTGCTGTATACCTACTTCTGTCCCACCCTGCATTGGCAGGCAGTGTACACATCCGTCAAACCTCCATCTCACTCAGATTGTTATTGAGGCCTTGCAAGAGGCATGTGAATGCGTAGGCTCAACTCTGAAGAGCAGTGACTCCGGGAAGCTCTTGCCAGTCCTCCCCGGCTGGGATCTGGGCTCTTGACAGGTGCCAACCATCTCTACCTCTGACAGACGCTGAGGTGATCCCCCAAGAGAGGGTTCAGGGTGAGGCAGCTGGCTGAGACAGGCCTGGGACAGAGCGGCAGGTCCTGCTCCGAGGACGGCGTCACTTCACTTCACTTCACTTCAGCACCATGGAGAGCAATCCTGCCCGCCTCACCTCAGCCGGGGTGGGGTCGGTTGGAGAGGACTTTTAAAAGTTCCGTTCAGATTGCCCCTTATATACCGCCCACACCCACCCAGCTAGATTTACCCCAGCTCTGGCCATCCTCAAAAGTGTCACATTCCTGAGTCATTTGGGAAATGACTTGCACAGATGCATAAGGAAGAGTAGGTCATTGAAGAGCGTCCTTCTCAAATCCTAGGAGGGCTCTCTCTGGCCAAATAGCAGGCTGCCTTTGTTAGGTGAGAGAGAAGTCCTTGGGGATGATAGTTCCAATTTCCTTCCAAGGATGAGCCCTCGCAGAGGAATTGTTGTTGTTGTTAGTCACGAAGTCATGTCCGACCCATCGTGACCCCATGGACAACATTCCTCCAGGCCTTCCTGTCCTCCACCATCCCCTGGAGTCCACCTAAGCTCACACCAACTGCCTCAGTGACCCCATCCAGCCACCTCATCCTCTGCCGTCCCCTTCTTCTTTTGCCATCTATTGTTCCCAGCATTAGGCTCTTCTCCAGGGAGTCCTTCCTTCTCCTCTAGCACCACAATTCAAAGGCCTCAGTCCTTTGGCGCTCAGCCTTCCTTATGGTCCAGCACAGGGGAATAAAACCAGCTTTTCTGCACATTGGAAGCTGAGCTGCCTTCCGCTGGCTGCATTTGGACAAAGGAACATAGCAAGCTGCCCTGTTTCAAGCTGAGCCAAGGGGCCATTGAAACCGCATAGTGTCCACACTGACTGGCAGCAACAGCCAAACGCCCAGGGGTTGAACTTGGGGCCTTCTGCATGCAAAGCAGAACATGGTGCTTCCCTAAAATGATGCTAAACCATGGTTTAGTGTTACATGAACGAGCCCTGGGCACATCACTTGCCACATCCTTCTCTCCCTTCCGTGCAGCCGTGAGATCAGATGCTCTTGTTACTAACTAGGTGCGCCAACCGAAACTGGCAGCTCTGAGGTCAGAAGGGTTTCAGTGTGGACTTCTAAGGCGCTGCCATGCTGCTGAACCTGATTTTGGTATAGTTTCAGCACCATGAATAGCTCCTGAGCAGTTGAGAATGAAATCCAGAGGAGATACACCACCCATGAACACTGGGACCAGCAGCCATAGCTTGCTGCAATGCTCTCATGTCTGACCCCGGATAAACCGAGGCTAATTGTAACTATGGCTAAATTATTATTATTATTATTATTATTATTATTATTATTATTATTATTATTAACATTTCTATGCCGCCCCTTGCCGAAACCTCGGGGCGGCTTACAACATGATAAAATACATTGAAATACAATAGTACATAATAAATTACCATTAAATATAACAATACAAAAAATACATTGATTTACAAATACAAAATTAAAGTTATCAGTATAAAATAAAAATATAGGAGGAGAAAGAGAAGGAAGAAGAAGTTGCCCAGAAACAGGTATTAAAGTTTGCAGTTTTTCTTTTCTTCTGTTTTTCTTTCTTTTTCTAATTCTAAATTTTAAAAAGCAGACACTGTTAATAGCTTCAGTTCTTGGGTGGTACAGAAATGGGATAAAAGACCCAATAAATCGATCCATGTCAGACAGGAAACAATACAGTAACTATTGTAGTTCATGACTATAATTTTGCTCATTTCAATAAAGCATAATCAAGATTAACCATATTTTGGAGCACGGATGTAACACTTCAGCTCTTGGAATCACCCATGTAGGTTTCCTGGTTGTTGGCCTTGTTCAGGATTAATTCAAGTCGATGCATGAACGCGTTGTCATCAAGTTGATGCATTAATGCACCACTAGTTCACTCGACTATATTCTCCTTGGTATAAACAGAGGAGGCAGAAAAAACCCAGCTCATTAGTTAAGCAAGACATTTGAGCAGGGTCTCAAATTGAGCATCTAATCCATGAAAAGGTAACCTGAGTAGCTATTGTCACCTTTTGAATCCTATATAAGTTGGGCAAACAGCTCTCTTCCAAAAGTGCCTTTTCCTGGTATTGATTCAGCTCTTTGTTTATCCCTCTTTTCCTCTTCCCTGCTCAGGGAAACCTTAAAGGTGAGGATCCAGCTAAGAGAGTAAGGCTGCAATCCTATACCCATTTATCTGGGAGGAAGTCCCATTGAATGTACTAGGGCTTACTTCTGAGTAGACATGCATAGGCTTGTGGAGCATATACCTTTCCCATGCCGTCTAGGTAGTAAGTATATTACTGTCTCTCCATAATGGATCTCTGTTTTTGCTATTTATCTGTTTACTTCTTCTCTGCTTGAAGAAACCATAAAAGAGAAGCCAGCTAATGGAATGAAGGGAAGAAGTATCTATGAGCAGGTCCAAGTTTCCAATCCCAGATGGAATTAACATCCATTATTTACCCTCCACTGTCTGGATGTGGGTTCACAGGAGCTGAGCAGGGCTGTCCTGGAGGGCATTTGTTCATACGGTTGCCAAAAGTCAGAGGCATCTTGGCAGCATAGAATAACATCAATATTGCCTGGAAGATGGATGAAGCTAAATTATTGCTATCCTTTTGTTTTCATTTTTCAGCCAGCATGATTTTTTTAAAAAATTATCTTATTATCTCCTTTCTGTTTATCCTGAAATATATATTCCCATGGTGTTGCTGTAAATATTGCATTGTGGTAGGCCAGAGTAGAAGAGGTAATTGTGACCATGGAGACAATTTAAATGTAAAGTGAGCATCAAGATAAATTAAAAGTCCAAAGTTGTTGTTCTTCTTTTGCTTGCTTTTTCTTCTGTCGTGCATCCTGCAGTTCTGCAAAAGGATGGATTCACTTCCCTGCTCTTTATTTTCTTTTGGAATAGATTAATATGAGTATCAGTGACATTCTCAGCCCTCCGGATATCGCTGCTGCACTCAGAGATTGCCAAGGTAAGGACATCTGTGGGACTAAAGGCCGAGCACTTCCAGAATAGAAATACGTTGTGCAATTGTCCAGCATAATTCACAGAATGCTATGGAGGTTCTGGACAGAGAGATTTGAGGTGGGTTCAGACAACATGATATCCCAAACTCAAGGGTTGATTATGGGTTGACTGGGGGTTGTCATTGAACCAGGTGTTATTGTTGGTACATGGGTTATCAAGTCGTCTAAATGTAGTTGTGATAATAAACCAGAGTTTGTTAACAACAACCTATAGCTCACAAACCAGTGGCAAGCTATAGGCTGTCTTGTGGGGTTTTGCACCTAACAAACCATGGCCTGTCAGCACAACAGGATAATCCACATTTTGTTGACAACTCAGATTCAGCCCATCCTCAGGACTGAGCTTGTTTTCAGGAGGAGATGCACCAGTTGCATGACTGGAACCATTCATCTGGAAGTATGGACACATCTCCATGCTTGTTCAGACCAAAAGTCCATCTAGTCCTAATTGCCGTAATCAGGGTCCAGCAGAACTGGGGAACATCCAAAAGAACCCAATGGGAAGGAGAGAACAAATCTGGATGTAGGAAAATAAAATTTATTCATCAAAGTAGGCTTCCAATCACATATTTCTGGGCTTTCTCCAAGAGCTATAAAATGTGGCCAGTGTAGTATACTGAAGGCGATTTACTAAAGTTAAGCAAACTTGCATAGACCTGGCATTAGCATATATGTATAGTCTGTGATGATATTTAACCCTTCATGTATATTAATGAATATTCGGGCACAATCCAAAGCTTGCTCCTGTGCAGGGCAGGAGCAAGACAAAACAAAGTTTATAAAGATGTTCCACTTATTCAGTTCTTCTCCTGAGGGTACCGGGCTGTGCTTGCAAACTTGAATGCATGCAGGAAATCTAAATGACTTGCAAAGACAGGCAGGAGCAAGATGGATAAGGACCTTGCTCATCTTTGCAGGCGGGATGGCTAGGCCAGAAAGAAGTGGACATAATTTGGCCTCAAACACCTGATTAACCACAGTTTCCTCCTTCTCTCTTAGCTCCTGAGAGTTTCAACCACAAAAAATTCTTCCAGATCAGCGGCATGTCCAAAAAGAGCAGCAACCAGGTGAAGGAGATCTTTCGGATCCTGGACAACGATCAAAGTGGTTTCATTGAGGAAGAAGAACTCAAGTGAGGACTACCTTCACCCTTCCCATGTGCTCTCTCCTCTTTCAAAATGGTTTAAGGGGCAATCCTACACACTCCCACACAGGGTTGAGTTTCAGGTCTCAAAATGTTTCCTCTGGAAAACAGCTGGGAATTAAAGCCATTGTGGTAGAGTGGTTAGAGAGGTAAACTGGGAGATTCGTGTTCTCATTGCCCTTTGACCTTGAGGCTCGCCGGGTGATCTTACGTCGGTCACTGGCTCGCCATCTAACCCACCTCACCAGGTTGTTGGGAGGATAAAGAGGAGAGGAGGAAGAACTGGCATGGTTCTTTGAGTTCCTTGCAAAAGGGAAGAAGTAAATCTATTAAGTAAATAACATGGATTAAATAAAATCAGTCAAGTTCAGCTTTTCTCCTTTAAAGTTGTCTTGATTTTAAATGCCATTCCTGAGATAGCTCTAGATTTATGGGGCAAAGTTTGGTTTGGTTTTATTTAAGGTCCACTTTATTGGGTGTAGCAATAAAGGGTGTTTTGGGTGTTGTTCTTGGGAACATGTCAGAAACTTATTGGCCCTGGCAGGGACCATTTCCTTCCCCCTTCCCCACAATGTCCTCAAGCGTGTGTGGGGAGAAGACTCCTAGGCAGCTTGGGGAAATCTCCATGGGGCACCACTCAGACTGGAGGTTTGCGGAGCTGGTTGCCACATGCACAAGCTTGACATGTTCCTCCAGGTCCCTCCATAACACAACGGTGCAATCGTGCGTGGCTCTGTAGAGATCCGTGTGGGGACAGCTCCACCACCAGAATCCCCTTCATACCACCAGTGCCTGCCTCCCCACACTTGCCCTGGTGGAGAAAGCAGATGGAGAGCCACCCAAGCCCCCTTCGACTGGCCCTTCTTGCCACTTTTCCGCTTTTTCTCCCTAGGTATTTCCTCCAGAGGTTTGAGTGTGGAGCCCGAGTGCTAACAACGACAGAAACCAAAACATTTCTGGCAGCGGCTGACCATGATGGAGACGGAAAAATTGGAGCTGAAGGTATGGACCTGGCTGAGGTTGAGGGCCCCATGTAAGACCGTGCCATCTCTGCACTGCAGCGGGGAAGTGGTGGGACTCTGGTCTCCTGAGGACCAAAGCTCTGGGGAGCCCTGAAGGCAGGGAGCTGCATGCATTGGTGCCTCTCAGCGGGTATTGCCGGATTGCTTCCGAAACATGAAGTTCCCTTTTGCTAGGATGGGTAGACTTGCTCAACACAGAACCTCAGCTCCACAGTTCAAACCCAGCCTTCCTGGGGCCCAATCCAGCCCCCTGGAGTTCCCAAGAAGGCCCTCCCTGCTCCTCCAATCATTTGTCAATCATTTCATGGCTTCTGAGCTTTTCTGTGGCTTCCCCCACCCCCATTCCTAAAGGCAACTCTTAATGAGCACTTTGAGCTGTTGTTTTTGATACTTCAATTCGTCCCCTTGCCTTTGGGCCCGAACCGTTTTGCCTTCAGCTCCACCTGCCAATGGAAAGCAGAGAATTTCTCCAAAACTGAACTCAGCTCTTGGGCTGAGCAAGGTTCAGCTCTGCTCCAGGTAGACCATTGCAGTCCCCCACGATGGTGCTCGGATGTTGCCTGTTACAAGGCCAGCAAGACCAGAGGCAGAGTGAGGAAACAGCTTCCGGCAAGGAGATGCTTCAGGGGGCGGCCAGCAAGTTCCGGTCTTTCCTCCCAAGAGCCCCCAAGCCATTCCCTCCTCTTGGAGGACACAACTGTTCATGTCCTGTTCCTGTCCTGCAACCCTGAAATAACCTGCCTTGCTCAGGTGTGGCAAAAATTGCAATCCTAGTTGCTGTTGTTTAGTGGCAAAGTCACGCCTGACTCCTCACGACCCCATGGACAACATTCCTCCAGGCTCTCCTGTCCTCCACCATCCCTCAGAGTCCACCCAAGCCCACACCTACCGCCCCAATGACCCCATCCAGGCACCTCAACCTCTGCTGTCCCCTTCTCCTTTTGCCTTCAATCATTCCCAGCATCAGGGTCTTCTTCAGCAAGTCCTTCCAATTCATTAGGTGGCCAAAGTTTTTGAGCTTCATCTTCAGTTTCTAACCTTCTAAAGAACAGTCATGGTTGATTTCTTTTAGGATTGACTGATTTGATTTCTTTGCAGTCCAAGGGACTCTCAGGAGTCTTCTCCAGCACCGTAACTCAAAAGTGCCAATTCTTTGGTGCTCAGCCTTCCTTATGGTCCAACTCTCACAGCCATACATTACAGCTGGGAAAACCATAGCTTTGAATATACTCACTTTTGTCAGCAGGGTGATGTCTCTGCTTTTTAGTGTGCGGTCTGGATTTGCCATCCTAGTACAAGCATGGAAATAAGAGTTCAGCCGCCAATGCAGTCGGCTTCAGAAAGGTGCAGTTTTGTCTTTTGCCTCAGGCAGCAAAATGTCTTGGCCCAAGGCTGCCCTGTTATAACAAGCAAATGTCTGCATACTGCAAATTGGCTTTGCAAGTTGCTTTTCTTTCCTTTGCTGCAGAATTCCAGGAAATGGTCCATTCCTAAGGCGCCGAACGTGACCGTGTGCAGAGGAAGAACTGGTGCTTCTATAGAAGCTCTTCCCAAAGCATGTAAACCCAGATTCCTTTGTTAATTTTGTTTTCCTCTTGATGGTGTGTTATTCATTAGAGATTTAATGAGGAACTGCTCCATTAGTTAATAAAGACAAAGCTGTGTTAGTGTTGATCTTGGTTGTCATCTTAGCAATCAGTGCTCTGAAAATTAGACACGTTAATCAGTCCTTTCTCTTTCTGGGCTTATCCCTCTTTTAAACTGGGCTCTTGGCTCTCTTTCAGCCTGAGAGCCAAATTCCCTTTTTAAGAAGCTCTCGGGGGCTGAAATTCAGTTATGGGTGGAGCCACAGTCAAAAGGGGGGGGGCAAAAGGGCCGGCCTATTGTACCCAAAGCTCTTCTTGTTGGTGATTAGGCCTTAGAAGAGGCATTTCAACCTTTAAGAAGAGGGGAAATCAGCCCAGAAAACCACCAAATGACTGATCATTGTAAGAAAAGGGGCGTGACCTTCTGAGGATTTCCAGAAAATGATCTACTTATTTATTTAATTTCTTTTCTGCCCAACGGCCAATGCTCTCTGGGCTGTTCACAAACTAGATTAGGGAAGAGCTGCCCTACGCACATGTAGCCAGAGAAGTGCCCCAGCTCCCAGCATCCACAACCGGCTGGGGAATCCTGGGAGTCACTGCAGTGTTTCTGTCTAAACATGCATGGGCTGCCATGTCTTTTTCATCTGTTTGGCCTCATGCTTCTGCCTTCAGCGCTGTCCCCGTTGGTCGAGTAAATGCAGGATTCCTGCCAAGTATCTTCAGCACATGACTATCTGCCGGCAATATTGTCAATGGTCCCTCCAGCACTGGGCCCCCATCTTTTTTGAGATTTTCTCATGGTTCAGCAGTTGAATAGCTTTGCAAGTCTTGGTACTGGGCTGACAATGAAAAGTGCTGCACCAGCCATACTTGATGGTGTCACACACATTTGGGTCTCCCACACATTCTTATGCAAACTTTTCTGCTCAAAGTATTCATTGCATGCTCATCTTTCCTCCTAGTTGTTTACAATTTCCTTAAAAATGTTGTGATCGTCTCATTTCACTTCGAAAGCACCCTTTTTCAAGTGGGGAAAATGAAGTATAATTTCTGGAAGGGAAAGAAAAGGTATTTTCCTACTTTTGTAGTTATGTGATTCCACCATGGCACAGCACTAGAGGTTATGTGGCTGAAAAGAGAAAAAGAAAAGCTGCTTGCGTTGAGATCACCTCTCATTTCTGGATGAATTCAGACTACAGTTTCATCTGGATACAGTGGATGAACAGCCTCATGTACATCACATATGAATATCTGCTAATGCAAAAAATACACAACAGCATACGCAATGCAACCTGTGTGGATATTATATTGGTACTGAGAAAAGATTAAAACATTAACTATGTTATACCTCCAACACCTGGCTGATGTACGCAACCCCTTACTTAAAAAGAAAGATATTGGACCATTCAATATACCTGAAACATTCTTTTCCTTTATTTGTTTAAAGTTTTTATATACCATCAAATCATTATAGAATCTCAAGATGGTTTACACAAAACCTAATTTCTGTTTTGCTGAATTTGACATAACCTAAGATCTGTTAACCATTTGATCATATTGATTTGGCAAGATAGAACAATCCAACCTGTTCTATTCTTGCTTAAGACCCGGTGTATCTGATTTATTCACCAATAATACATACTTATAAACCAATAATAATTATTTCAAGGAGTGTTGTAACATGCAGATTCCTCCTGATCCGTTCCTCCTGTGTTTACCTTTCTCTTGGAATATCAATGGCTCCCACACGCTGCTATGTTCTTTAAGAACATGAGTGCACAAGAAGCATTACACTGGATCGGACCAAGGATTCGGTACAACTGGACCATCCTGCCCAAGCTCCGCAGCAAGTGGAGCACCATAGCAAATTATACCAAAGGGAGTACAAAAGACAAACACACACAAAAATGCCAGACTATTCTCCAACAGCCAATGTCACAAGACAAGAATGGGTTGATGTTTTGGACTTCAGCTCCCAGTGTTCCCGATCATTTCCCATGATGGCAGAGGCTTCTGGGAGTTGAAGTCCAAAGCATCTGGAGATCCAGCTTCTGCCCACACATAAGGTAAAGCTCTTCAGCAACCATTCAAAAGCAATCACCAACCTTCAGATTAGCCCTGATGAAACAAAGGAGGGATATCACCATCCAGGTATTATGCAGATGGGAAGGTCAGTTTACCAGGAAGCTATGAGAAGAAATGGTCTTCCAGGGCTGCTGATGGCCAATCGTATGATCCTTTGCTCTTGCTTACTCAACAGCAGCAGAGCTTTTGCTTACTCTTAATATTTCCATCTGCAATCTACACGGTACATTGTCCACCATCAACAGACATGGTGGATCTATTGGTCAGAGCGTCGAGACTGTGAAACCTGGACACCCGAAACTTTACGTGCACACTAAGGAGAGCCTAGCAGTGGACACTTGCAGAGTGGATGGTTTTTATAGTGCACACATTCATTTTAATTAAGTGTGTGCGTACGTTTTGTGCTTGCAGTTTCATCTTCAGACATTAGGTGGTGGACTTCCCTACTCATTTGGGAAGGGAGAGTTATGTGGGTGTCCTCTTGCCCTGCTTCCTGGGGAACCAATGAGAAGACCTCTCCCTCATGATGTTACAGGTTACACCATGACAGAGACCATGCCTAGATATTGAGCTATTTATTATCTATTTCTTTCTATCCTGCTTTTCTTCTGCAAGAACCCAAGGCAGTTTACATGAACCTCCTTCTCCTCCCCCTTTTCATTTTAGCCTCACCACAATCCTGTGAAGTAGGCTAGGCGGAAAGCCAGGGACTTGCACAGGGTCGCCCAGTGAGCTGGGGACTTGAACCCAGATCTCCCGAATCCCAGTCAAACACTCTAACCACTATGTCAGGCTTCAATGGGGAAATTTCAACAGCCATGAAAATCCTGAACTCTTCACTGTATGAAGCAAAGTGTTATTTCAACCCAGACAAAGCCAGGTGAATATACAGCATACCATTCAAATGCAAATACAGTGGTACCTTGGCTTAATCTGTTCCAGGACTCTGGTCGTGACCCAAGTTAAATTTCCCCATAAGGTTCAATGTAAATAAGGTTTATTATTATTATTATTATTATTATTATTATTATTAATATTAGAACATTTCTATGCCGCCCCTTGCCGAAGCCTCTGTTCTGTAACCATTTTTTAAATTAGAAAAATGTGAAGCAAAGTGACAACAACAAAGATCACAGCCATCTCCCCCCACCCCACTCCAAGCACAAGCGCGGCCATCTGCCCGACCCGCCAGCACGACCGAGATCATGCCCGTCATCCCTGCACGACCAAGATCATGCCCTCCACCCCGGCATGCGTCCGCCATCCCGGCCGCTGGGAGGAGAGACGGGCATGAACAGGGTGTGCTGGGGGAGAGATGGGCGCGATCTCGAGCATTCCCCCCCTTGCCCCCAGCACTCGGGAGGGGGAAGATGGCTGCGATCACGTTGGTTGTGGGGGATGGCCGAGATTGTGCCTGTCCTTCCTGCAGGAGCGCGCCCGTGATCGCACACATCTTCCCTGCACGAATGCAGCTGCGATCATGGCCATCTCCCCACTGGGGGGCTGGGGGAGATGGCTGCGATTTTGGTCGCCACCCAATGCGGAGTTCGCGGCCCATGTTAAAATTTTCATGAAATTTTTGTCCACGACCTGATTTGGTCATGAACTAAGGCGTTCGTGAGCCGAGGTTCCACTGTACACTGAAAATTCCTTAAGCTATGAAAATCTGAGCAAGCATCTGCATCAGCCAAAACATTTAATCAGCAGAAAAAAACCCTCAGCCACTTGTCATTATGGAGACATATAATTCAGTTCTGTAATGGGTGAGGAATCTCTCCTGGGTGTAACCATCATGGAAAAGGCCTTGTTCCATGCAACCAATTGCCTGAATTCCACCAAAATATACTATCTTATACCAGGCCGAGCTATCCCAGTCTCATATATTTTCTCTGGTACATGTTCGCCACAAACTCATGCAAGAAATGTTCTTTTTTGGTGACTGCAAAGCAACTACACTACAAATTGCACATGGTCACATTTGGGGTTATGAGAACTCCTTTGTATGTCCAAAATATAAACATTATGAAAACTCCTTGTCCATCTAAAATATAGCTTACTTTTACACCACAAGTCAAATATAGAAAAATCTGCATTTCAGAAACCAGAGTTCAGGGGGAACTTAGAAAGCAGGAAGTTCCTGACAGGTTGTTTTGAATGTTGGATGTCCTGGAAGAGGAAGTATGTTGAAATGTACAGAACATTTGCTTTTAAGTTTTATCAGAGAATAATCCATCCTGGTTTTCCCTAGATAAGATGTCTGAGTATTCACAAAGAAAACATGCACTTTGTATCCTGAAGTGAACTGGAGGTAAGTGGGGAGACCGATCCTTCGTTTTGCCACTGTGCTAATTCACACAGCTGTCATCTCCAACGCCCAAGATGATTAATGGCAGTATTTGTTTATGTCTGATATCCTGTAGCTGATGAAAATGCTGATCGTAGTATTTAGAACCACTGCCAGCACATTTTAAAGTCCGGTGTCATGCTGTTTAAAATAAAACGATCCTGTTTTTCAGAACTCTCTCTGCTCCTCCAATTGCGACTAACCGAACAAGTGTACTTTTTTACTCTTTTTCGTCCACTGTCCCATTTCATTTTAAGGACATTTGACAAGCAGTTTAATTTTGCATAACGGGAAGGACGGGCATCAAATTTCAAACTGGGGAACTATCTAATGTCGCTCTGCAAATGTCAAGGTACTGGTGTTACTACACAGACAATTAAGAAGATGAGATGAAATCAGACACACAATCATATTTTCCTCCTAACTTGTTTGTACATTAGAATTGTTGCCATCTGCTGCATGTTTAAATATTGCAACTTTTATTTTAAAAAAAACACATCCCTGCTTGCCCTTTTAACACAAAATAATGTTCTCTCATTCGTCAATTTAATCTGTAGTTTCTAAGTTCTTGAGGTCATCTGCTTCCGACTTCACTGTTATTCACCTGGCAGAATTCAGTGGCCAAGCTTATCTCATAGCTATCCTAACTCATTAACCAAAGGGGAACCTTAGCTTTCATTTATATCTCTGTGGCCGCATGCTCAGTCCCTCTAGATGAAGGCCTGCCAGATTGTGATCCAATTTCAGATGCCATTTTCAAATGTTCCTCCAAGTATCCCTGCAGGGGGAAAGCTAGCACACAAACCGGAAGGTTCTTCAACCTGCTCTGTTAGTGTTCTACTTGCAGGGAGTTCTTTCAACAAGAGCCTGATTCGTGCACTTAACATCACAAAACTCATCAAGGCCACCAGGCTGGTCCCATCTATCATCTGCACCCTGAAGAAATCTGCATGCAGGTCTGGAAATGCCCAGGGCAAGATATACTCAATGGCCAGTCTCCCCGTGTTGAGACTACCACCATGGTCACCGGCTGCTGCTGCTCCTCCGCCTCCTCAATGTCATTCACCTGTGACCTTCTACGCTTCACCTTCTCAGCATCGCTGTTGCATGGGCCAACAGGAGAGGCAGGTTGCACAGGTGAAGCAAAAGAACTCCTCCAGCAGGTGTGTTTGTTTATTTAGACAACGTATATGCCGCCCCCTTTGCATAAGCCTCGGGGCGGCTTCCAATCATAAATAAATTCCATCATACAAATGCATGAAATAGTGGAGACTTCCTGGCGAAATTTTAAAATCAGTAAATAACATTAACACTTAAAATAACGTTTAAATAAAAAGGTCTTGGCCTGGCGCCGAAAAGCAAATAACGACGGCGCCAGGCGGACCTCTCTGGGGAGCGCGTTCCATAAGTTGGGCCCCACCGCAGAGAAAGCCCTCCTCCGGGTATTCACCCTCCTAATATCTTTCACGGAGGTTCTAGTTGGCACACACACCCCTGCTTTACTATCACCCTTGGCAAATGCTCAGCCATCAGAAATCAAGGTAAAGCCGGGGTCAAAAGAAATCACCGAAGCCTGTGACTGGATCCAGTGAGATGTTCTAGTTACTGCTGAACACCTCCTCTGAACCAGGTTCCAATCCTTGCTCAGCCACAAATCTGACTGGGAGACCCTGGGCCGGTCACTATCTCACGCAGCTCAGAGGACTGTTCTTATGATGACGGAACAGAGTCGTGGTTTAAGACCCTCAATTTTGCCTTGAGCTCTTAAAGGAAAGGCAGTTTATATATTTGAAATGCATTAATTTTTCCTTGTGCATGTACAAGTCCCTCTTTCTCCCTCTTAGGCAGTAAATTCTCTACCGGTGGGGAAACCAGTATTGGGTTTCGAACTGAAAACCAATCTCTTCAGCCTGACACACAGCTTGTGAACGGTGCCCAGTGATGTTAGATAAGAAAGGCCTTCCAGGAGGCTATGAGATCATCTCCTCCTTCAAGGGATAGGCAATGGACTTTCTTTGAGACAACTGTCAGTATTAGGGAACTAGGAAGCAAATTTTTCTAGATAAGAACTTGTCTAAAGTTCTCTAGACAAGAACACCTACTGAGAAGGGTGTTGAAGGAAGGAACTCTTAGCAAGCTTTACAGGTGTTTCTCCTCCAGACATAAAAATAGGAAAATTTCTACACAAAGAGAGAGGGCATGTACTCATTTAATTTGGCTCCCAAAAGCTCCAGAAAATTCTGCCACAAGTCTGCATGTGCCTAGTTCCTGCATGGAGACTGGTGACTAACCCTAGTGTCCTCTACTTCAAAGGTGGGAACCTTGTGGCCTCCCAGATGTGGCAGAACACCAAGTCCCAACAGCCCCAGCCAAGATGGTCAGTGAGTTGATGAGAGTTGTGACCCAGCAACACGCAGAAGACCTCAATTTCCTCACCCTGCTTGGCTTGACCTTGCAATGGGAAAACGGGCTGTTTCCTTGTGCATCTTGGTTCCCAGTTTGCTTTTAAGCAGCATTACCACCTTCTTCTCCCTTTCTGTGCCTCTAGTCATAAGGAAACATAAAAAGCCACAGTTCTTAGCACATCCTGTGAAACATTTTACGATGAAGGCATTAACAGTAACACCATCTTTAAACTGATGCTCAGATTTACACGTCTGCTGTACATGAAATCCCTTTGTAATAGCACCAGATTTACACCACGTTTCTTTAGGATTAAGAACCGCACTGTTGTTTTCCAGCCAAGGTTTTTGGCATAACTCTTCTAGATAAATAAAACACGGAGACTGTATGCTTGTGCCATTATCAGGCAACAAGTGCATTTTAGGGCAATTGCATTACGAAAGGGCAGTGAGAGAAATAGACTTTTGCTGGAAAAACATGAACGAATACAATTCTGTGATTTTTGAGCTTCTAAGAACTGGGGATTCAGTGTGATGAGCACCAGACTGAGGTTGTCATTGCACTCAGATTCAAATTCTTTCTTGCATCTTTCTTACATCTCACTTGGAGACTGAATGCTGCCAGTGACTCTCAGCCTGACCTATTTCCCTAACATGGAAGAGGATCGTGTGCGCCATCCTGGCTCCTTGGAGGGAAGGTGGGAAGTCACGAAACGAACAAGTAAGAGCTCACCATGGTCTCCGAAAGAAAATTATAAAACACCTGGAACTGAAGAGGAACTACCCAAATCAGGAAGGACTACCTAACTCCCTCCAAAACAAGCCAGTGGATTAAAAATAGCCCTACACCTACAGCCCCGAGGCTCTCTGCACACGCTCAGGGATTCAGCGTGCAGGCCCCAAGGAGGCAGCATGGGGCATGAGCGGCCAAACTTGGGGGCCTTCGCTCCGGCAGCGCCCGCAGCAAGATGCCTCCACAGGCCACGGCAGCAGGAGGCGCGGGCGCCTTCCTGCCCCGCGTGTGGCCCCCCAGGGGCCCCTGCTCCGGCCGCCGCCCAGGCTCAAGGGGGGCCACGGGCGCCGCGCGGCCTGCAGCGCTCCGCCGCTGCTCGCCTCACCTCGAAAGCCCCCGGGAGCCGCCGGTGCGGGCCTCGCAGTCCCGGCCGGAGCGTGCGCCAGGGGGCCGGGCCCGGGCCCGGCGAGCGCGCTTGTCCTCCTGGCGCCGCGCGGCCCTGGCCCGGCCGCGAAGGGCTCGCAGCGCGACATTGGGGAGGCAGCCACCGACCGCCGGCCCGCGAGGGAAAGGGCGGCCCGGGCGCGGCGAGCAGGGCGGGCGCGGCGCTTCCGGGGCGGAGGAGGAAGCGCGGGCGAGGGCGGCGCGGGGCCCGCGGGTAGGCCGCGCGGGAGGGAGCCGGCCAGAGGGCTGACAGGGCGGTCCGTCGTCGGCGCCGGGCCCGGAGCTGCGCCTCGCCTCGCCTCCCGCGCCTCCCGATGGTGCTCGGCGACGGCGGCGGCCGGCCCCAGGCGCTCTCCCTTCAGGCCCCCCATGGCTGCGGCGGCGCCCGCGGCCGGGCTTGCCGGGCAGGAGAAGCTGCTGGCGCCGGCCCTGCTCAGCTTCTTCATCTACAACCCGCGGCTGGGCCCCAAGGAGGGCGAGGTACGGGCCGACTCGGCCGGCCGGCCGGGATCGGGGTCGGGGAGCGCGGAGCAGCCGCGGGGAAGGCCGAAGGCTTGCTCCGGGGGCTAAAAAAGAGTTTGGGGGCGCGGGAACGACTGGCCGGGCAGGAGGCCGCTGCCATGAAAGCCGTGGGAAGGATGCGGCGCTGGCAGGAAGCGGGTATTTTAACGTTTCGTTTATTTAGGACGCAGTGCTGTGCATGTTGAGGCGGGGGGCAGGGGAGCCTTGCAATTCCCAGCATCCCCCCACTGGCTGGGGGATGCTGGGAATTGTAGGACACCCCCCCCCGCGCGCCCCTCAGCATGCATAGGAAAGCACCTTAAGATGCTTTGCGTTCTGCTTTTCAGTTGATAGATGGTGCTGGGTGCTTAAAAGATCTGGTGCTCAGGCTCACAGGGCAAAAGCAACGCACTGGTTGGCACAGACTTAAAGTCCCCCCCCGGGGGGGCGTTTAAAGGATGCTGCCTCCTGTGGACATTCCTGTTTGTAAAGAGAGATGCCTGGACAGGCAAGGGGAGGGCATCAAATTTGAGAATAAAACGTCAAGCGTAAAGATTGGGGAGGGGGCAACAGCAGTGAAGCCCATGTAGGCCAAAGCTAGCTACTCCAGGGGGCTCAGATGCAACAGAGATCATCAAAGCCCCTGAACCTTTTTTTCAGCAGGATGGTGAGGCACATGGCCTCTCCGAGGTGGGGGACAGGTGTGATTGAATGCTAAAAGTATTTAGATGTGTGCATGGGTGTACTGCTTGTTTACATGTTTGTATGTAAACTGTTTTTATATTCTGTACAAGGTTGCAGTTTTAAGGTTTTTAATTTCTGTAAGCTGCCCGGAGAGCTTTGGCTATTGGGCAGTATAGAAATGTAATACATAATATGAGAAGGATTTATTTATAGTGAAAGACAGGTGGGATGTATTTGTTATATTTAAGATGCTTCAATATCATTGTATTGTGTTTATATCCCACCTTTAATGTCCTGCCGTTCTTTTTAAAGAGAGAGTTCTAATAAAATTCTTAACACAAACTTAAAATACATCCATGCATTTCTGGTAAAATCAGAGCAGAACTAAAAGAGACAATAAGAAAGTCCAATCCTAACTAACCCTAACCTATATTGGCTTGGAAGAGAAAATGTTTGTGTCCAAATATCCGAGACAGCCCTTTGGCATCTTTTCTTGTTAGACACTTATTATTTCTTAAATATCTCTGGACTATTGTGGAATCTTTTTTTAAAATTCACCATAATACTTATTTTAGATATGTATAGTGAATTCAGGCATAATGAAAATGCGTGACATTGCAAGAGTGAGGTGTCAAGACTTCATGCATCATTGAAGCATATTAATATTTGTATATTTTGATTCATCACTGTTTACTTTTTTCAGGAAGAAAAAAAGATTCTCTTTTATTACCCAAATGAAGTAGAAAAGAATGAAAAAATTAGAAGTGTTGGATTATGTGAAGCCATAGTACAATTCACAAGGTACTAAGTTCCACATTTATTGTTCTTTTACTGGGAGCATAAAGCTTCCTAGATGCTTTACAAAAAGGTACTTTTGAGAAGCACTTTGCCCAAATGGTGTTCAGGCGTGACAATCCAGCATCATAATCTTGTCATTTGTTGGACCATCGCCCAATTTAAAGAAGTCCAAGCCAATTGAGCATACAGATCTTGGCTGATTGATTACTTATTAAGTACTCAGGGCAACTTACATGGTTCCCATGTCCCATTTTATCCTTCCAACAGCCTTACTACTGAGAAAAGACTTGACCAACGTTGTCCAGTGGGCTTCACAGTTGAGTGAAACTTGAACCTGGGCTCTCCTCCTATTTCAACCTGCTAGCTGCTATTCCATTTTAGCTGTCAGATGTCACTTTAAACCAGGAATCATGGCTTCATAAACCACAGTGGGAATGAGGGGTGTGCACTCACCTGTTGCCTTCTTCGGCTTTGCTTCTCCCCTTTGGGAGCAGGTGGCATTGAAGGGGATAGATCTGTGATAATTCTGAACCTCATAGTTAAATGGGCCTAGACAAGTGAAGATTCATAAGGCTAAGTTAAGCTGGCTTCCGATTAAGCCTGCCTGCTAGTAAAACCAGCACCTGTGAATCAAGAAGTGTGCTTCCTTTGTTCTTAATGCCTGCAACATCATGTACACACGTCATCTAGCTAAGAAGGAGCGTTTCTCCTGGACATGTGTGTTGGTACCAGCCACTTGCAGTTCCTAGAAATTGTTGCTGATTAACTGAGTCACCTTTTGTTGATGTTACGATTTTTAAAAAATCCTTACGGCGTGATCCATGGTCACTAGACACATTCTGGATGGCCATAGGATTTTCCAATCACAGCTCCAGCCTCAAGAAGCTGCTCCAAGGATGGAGCTGAGATTCCAAGGTGGGAGTGCCCACCTGCGTAGCAGGTGCAGACGGAGTTGCATTGGTGTGGCTCTGAGGTTCTGGGAATGCTCCTGGAGGCATGCTTTTGGGGACAAGAAATGGGAGCATTCAGAGAGAGTCTGGCAGAACCTGCTGTTCCTTCCTGTCCACTCTGAGGCTGGACAGACAGCCCTCCAAATGTTTCGTGTGGTAGAGGTCGTGTGGAAGCGAGCTTTGTTCCCATCATGCACGGGTATCTGTAATCTTGCCATTTTATTGGGTGCACTGGATTGTACCCTTAATCTAACCTACTAATCAATTAAACATTGCTGCCCTGCTTCATAGTTCATAGATAAGTGAAAATGCCCGTACGTCTGAAATGTTCATTCATATAATATTTCTCCCTTAGGACCTTTAGTCCTACAAAACCTGCAAAATCACTCCATACCCAGAAGAATAGACAGTTCTTCAATGAACCTGAAGAAAATTTCTGGATGGTTATGGTACATAATTGTGTGATGCTATTTTATGACACATTCCATTAGGACTTCTTAAAGCTTCTTTAAATATTTTAAAGGGAGGAAGAGGAATGCATTATTAAACCGTTTTTTCCACTCTCTTCCACCAGAAATGCCCCCAGAGCTCATTGCGTTGGATTTTATTGTTTGTATTATTAATTGCAGCCAGCGTGGAATAGTCAATTTATCTATTTTATTCTCATCTATGTTGTAAGCCATCCAGAGACGCAAGTAATGAATGGCATACACATTTTATTAATTAAAACAAATAAATATTTTGATTCTCTTTCACTGTATAATTAATTTCTAAAAATGGCACTAGTAGCTCTAAATCTCTGTCCTTGTTCCACTTTCAAGGTTGTACGAAACCCCATCATAGAAAAACACAAAGATGGCAAACCAGTTGTTGAATATCAAGAAGAAGAGCTACTGGTAATAACTGTTATTCTCAATATTTAAGAATATTTTGCACATTGTCTTCTGATTAGGTAAATCTAATGTGACCTCATTTTGTTTAGAACTGTCATTTCCGTGAGTTAAATTATTGTGAAGTTCTGTGATAACCACAATGAATTCAGCAAATCAGTTCGTTTACACAAGCATAGATTTGATGTCATTTTTGCTGTTGCTATTAGTTGCAGCTATCTTCTAAGTGTGGATGCAAACTCGAATGTATTTTTAATAACACAACACGATTAGCCCTCAAGCTTTTGTTCAAAACAAGATGAGGGATACTATATTGCACAATACCAATGGAAAGAAACACCTCAGAGGAGGAGTGTTGGAATAAAGACTAAATTGCCCCAAATCTGAGAGGATGCCTGGGCAGTACTCAGGTTCATAGCAAAGCAGTGATCTTGAGCAGAGCAGTGGTGTAGACCTGACCTCTGAATTGTGTTGTAAATAATACTGGAGGAAGTGGACAGGAAGACTTTTCCATCCCTCCTGCACAGCAGGGCCACCGATAGGCAGCAGACCGTGGCAAGATACAAACAGACTGTTACTTGGTTGGTGTGTGTTGAATTTGGAGTCCCTGAACCAAGTCTGGCCAGCCTGGTGTCCCATTTGCCTACCCCAAGCAGCATTTTAAGCAGCATTTTAAATGTTAATATTATTGAATTTTATTCGGCCAGGGCGGCTTATTTTATTTTACTGTATTATTTTATTTTACTGTATATATTTTAATTGTTATTGTTTTAATGTATTTTGTATTTTATTTGATGTTGTAAGCCGCCCCGAGGCCTCGGCAAGGGGCGGCATAGAAATGTTTAAATAAATAAATACATACATACATACATACATACATACATACCCCCTGGGTTCCTCACACCCTGTTCTTGCCTTCCTACCCCCTTTCTCCCCAACAGCCTGCCTTTTGCTGGTTTCCTGGCTTACGCAGATTTTTTGGATTTGAAATCCCTTTTCTAAGTTTTACACGCCAGCAGGGAAAGCTTTAAGCTACAATATGCCAGCATTTGGGGTATCTTGGCCCCACAATGGAATGCAGCCCCCAAAGAGCATCTCTCCTGCATTTGCTCCTCCAAAAGCTTGCAGTGTTTGTGGCTGCGGAGGGCAGCTCTGTCGTGTGCCGTAACAGCAACACGGAACATCCAGTTTGAGGTGGCAGCCGCTGGGATGAGGCCTGTGGGAGAACACTGCTTCCCATGGGCAGCTGGCTGACTGCTGCAGGAAGCAAGATGCTGTCCTTTGGGCTGTCAGAGGGGATGCCTGAGAGCCAGGATCTGTTCCAGAGCAGCCCCAGGGTCACATTCCAATGGGTTGGGCGGGGGGGGGGGTGGAGCGCAGGAAGCAGCCCTATGCTGAGTTGGACTATTGGTCCATCCGGCCCAGTATTGGCCAGAGCGAGTGCAGTGGCTCTTCCAGCAGAAATACTGCAGTCCTACCTGGAGACACAGGGGGCCCATCAAAATATTTTATTTGTATCATTTTTAGGATAACTCTCTGATTTCTGTGTCTTTTCCAGGATAAAGTTTATAGTTCAGTGTTACAGCAGTGTTATAACATGTACAAGGTAGGTTCTGTACAAATTTGTCTAAGGTGCTTGCTTAAATCTGACCCAGCTCTGATTCACAGAAAGCTCCTCTTGTCCAAAGTTTGTTATGCAAATCTCAGTCATATGCATAGTTGTCTCTATTTTCAGCAGGGGGAAGGGAATATCATAGGCTGCTAATCATAAATGCAGTAGCTCACCTTCGCTCTAAACGTATCAGGGAGCACTCTGTAGTCTTATTACTTCTAAAAGACCTGCACCTGGAATTGCAGAACTAGCAATTGCACCTTGATGAACGGGCCTGCTTGCAATGACTGTATTTCCAAACAAGTTTTTTTTTCTTTTTCAAAATAATCGTTAGCTTTTTAATGGTACATTCCGGAGAGCCATGGAAGATGGAGGTGCCCGTGTTCTGAAGGACAGGCTAGAGAAATTCTTCCATCGGGTAAGGTATTTTTTATGGTCCAAGCAGCTGGTGCATGTTAGGGTTAAGGCAGTTTTCTCGGTGCTTGGAGACCATGTTGGGAAAGTATAATGAGCTCAGACAGTGATTTTCTGGGCTGCTCTGGGGAATCTTTGCAGTTTCTCAAGATTCATAAGAACAGGATGGTTGCTAGGTCAAATGAAAGGCCTCTCTGGTTCAGCATTTTGTTTAAAAAGGAGAAAGGAATTATCATTTTGAATAATGCAAGTTGGTGCAATCTCTTGAATTAGATTACTGCAGTGTGATCTGTATGGGGCTGCCCTTGAAGGCAGTTCAGAAGCTGCAGCTTTTGCAAAATGCAGCAGTCAGGCTAAAAACAGGTCTGAACTTACTAGATCTCTTCCGGCGCACTTGCATTAAATGCCTGTATCCCTCTAAGCCCTATTCAAAGTGCTGGCTATAACCTACAAAACCATGTATGCCACAGAACCGCAATGCTTGACAGAATATTGTTCCCAACTGTCATCGCCCAGGACACTACAATCAACATCTGGGGACTTCAGGTGCCAACTCTAAGGACAAAAACGGGGGGGGGGACTTCTCAGGGGTAGCCCCCATCATAGAGTGACCTCTCCACCAAGGCCTTCTGGCTCCAACCTTGTCATCCTTGTGTCACCAGGTTAAAACAGCCCTTTCAACCAAGATATTTAAAGATACGTGTTTCTGTGCTCAAGGGGAGTACTCATCCCAGGTGCTTGACACATCTACCCTGTACCATAAACTGTCTTAGTCGCTTTCATTTGTTTTTAAATTTTTGGATTTGGAAGGTGTTTATGGCGTTTTATTGTATTGTCTGTTTTATGAATGGTGGTAAAGCACCTAGAGAGCTTCAGCTATTGGGCAGTGCGGCAATGAAATAAACATATAGTGTCAAAGATGAAGGCAATTTGGAATTGTCTGTGCATTAACTCAAACTGTGCTTTGTACAAGTGACACTTTTCTGAGATAAGACAAATCAGGAAAATACAGTATAGACCAGGGGTGGGCAGCTGGTGACCCCCAGATGTTTTCATCGACAGCTCCCAGCGGCACTTTCGACTATGTAGGAATTGTGGGCCAAATCATTTGAAGGGCCATGAGTTGCCCACCCCTTTCAAAAACAAAGCAGGAATTGAACATTCAGATCTCTGTCCCCTTGCCCAGAACCAGGGGAAGAAACACAAGCCAAGGGCTTGTCCTAGGTCATGCTTGTGACTACAACCTGTGTTTTGTTTCTGTATCCGCCAAAGGAGGCTGCTGTGTTTGCACAAAGGCAGGCATTCACACCATTTCCCTCTGTTCATTCTTCAGTACCTGCAAACACTTCATTTACAGTCATGTGACCTGCTGGATGTTTTTTGTGGAATCAGCTTCTTTCCACTGGATAAAATGACTTATTTGAAAATTCAGTCGTTTATCAATAAGATGGAAGAAAGTTTGAGCATAGTGAAATACACTGCCTTTCTTTACAACGATCAGCTCATCTGGTAGGTACCAAAAGGAATGCGATGACCTGAGAGATGGCTGGTTTGTGCATGCATTCTGCTCAGCTGTCAAGAAGCCAGGCTGATCTTGTGCTAGTGATCAGCAGCTTGTTGTCCTCCAGATGTTTTATTTATTTTTATTATAAAATTTCTATGCTGCCCCATTCGCCGAAGCCTCGGGGCGGCTTACAGGACAAGGCCCTTTGGCTATGGCAGCTGGAGCTAATGGAATTGTAGACGGAAATATCTGAGCATAGCAAGTTGCACAAGCTAGCCACCCTCTTTGAGTTTAACCTACCTCATAGGATTGTGGTAAGCATAAAATATGGGTTGAGAAGCCTACAGATGCCACCCTGAGCTCCTGGGGAAAAGGCAGTCTGTGTGTGCGCACACACATGCATTAAAGGGAAGTCAAGAGTGCCCGAGCATGCAAGCTGCATGGAGTCAATCACTAAGTTTGGGGAATTTGGTGCGGGGGTGAGATAGGGGTACTTGAGCAGCAACAAAAATAAGCCCACGTCTAGAAACCAGCTTCCCCTCTCGCTGACAGTGAGTTCTGAAACTTTTTAAGAGTTCTGACTATTGCTGAAACAGATCCAATGCCAAGGACATGATTATTGTTTCTAGTTTATCAGTTGTGTGCAACCCAATGGTTTCATAGGTGCAGGGTAAGCCATATACCAGCAATTGTCTCTAAAACTGAGAAATCAGTTGAGTAGCAAAAGAGACAGCTTTGCAAGCAAAGGAGATAAATGCAATGTTTTCAGAACCCTTAATCTCTCAGGATCTGCATAATACTCAGTCCCTTGGCACACGCACTATATCATTCTTCAGAGTATTTAATTTTGAAGGAAAAGATAAACTAAGCACCTCAAATATGGGACCGGTGGCATATTTGCAAGTAACCCAAAGCTCTCTTTGACCGTCATGACTTCATTGAGAGAAAATGTTGTGTTTCAAACCGAAACAAAGAAATGTCCGCAGTTTGCAGCCTCGATGTAATTTAAACCCAAGAGCTCTCCTTCAGCTGTGTTTGATTTCAGGGTGTTTATTGACATGGCACAGCTGCACTGGGCATCCAGTTTCATTAGAGAGTCGTAGTTCAAGGGTTTCCTATTCAAAAGTGATTAAAGAGTCAAGAGAGAATGCGCCCAAGCTTAGACAAGAAGTACTTTACAGATGACTGCACACAATAATTACACGTTAGAGGAGGATTAAAATTGGGTTTCCTGCATTTGTGTTCCCAAGACTCTGGCCCTAACAATTAACCAGCGCCTGCTTGTACTGTGAATCCAGGTTCAAGGCCCACATGCTTCTTTTTGGATGTGCCCTTTTTCTTCAAGCTCGTGTGTCAAACCTGCTTCCTATGGATAGTGTTTGCTTATCATTCAAAGGTGGGCTTTCCAACCAGTGTGTTTTTACATTTTTCTTGGCCATTACCCTTTTATTAAGTTTTTTTTAGTGGGGGCTTTGCCGTGCTTCAGAGCCAAGGGTTGCCCTCCATGGCCAGCTTTTTTGGGAGTGATAAGTCCGTTGGGTGGCAATTCATGCCATCTCCAGATGAAGAGAACTCTGACAGGTACGCAGAGAAAGACCCTTTTCCTGTCAGACCTTGGAGAGCTGCTACCGCCACGAGTGAAGTCAATACTGGGCTCAAGGAACCAGTTGTCTGTAGCAACATAAGGCAGATTAACGGGTGAGAGCTAAGCATAGTCAAGCCTAGTTGGTATGTGGTTAAATTTATTGTTTGATGTTTCAGGAGCGGATTGGAGCAGGATGACATGAGAATTTTGTACAAATATCTCACCACATCTTTGTTCCCAAGGCATATAGAGCCAGAGGTAAGTCCTGAAGTCCTTTTAATGAAAATGGCTTGTTTTATAAAGGGGGGTACTCCATTGCACAACTTTTCTTCTTGGGGTGGATTGCCAGGATTTGTACATGCCACAGGCAGCTTTATCCTCCAGGTCAGTGAGGTCTGATGTAGGTCAATGAAGTGGGGAGGAAGACGTTTCCTTAATAATTCCTTTTGCTTCAGTTGGCAGGGAGAGATTCCCCAATACATGCAGAGATACCTGGAAATCTGCAGCACTATGGAAGGTAACTATTTTTCATCTCTCAAAGTATTTCTTGCCTCTAGGCCTTGCTTACACCTACCAAGAAGTAATCCTGATTTTTCCTTCCACATTTGACGTACCTGTTTGTACCTTGAATATTAATCAGAACTTTCGGTGATGTAAAAAGCAAGGAGATGCTGATGAGTGCACTGTGCCATGTCTGTCCGTCTGTTTCCACCTCTTTTTGGGGTTAGACAAAAGTCGGCTAGTTATGCACCTGTCCTGCCTTTGCCTTTTAGGTTTCTCACTGGACCACTGAATCTGAATGACCCAGAGGCAAAATGCAGGTTGCCCAAAATATTTGTAAACACAGCAGGTGCTTATGAAGAGCTTCATTTAATTGTATATAAGGTAACTGCCAAATGCTTTTCCATTCACTGTAATAGGATGTTACCCTCTATTTTAGTAATGGTGTATATATCAATCTGTTAATGTATAAATGGTAAATTTAGCAATCTAGCTTGGGTGAAGGAGTTCTGTGTCTCTCATTTCTTGGTAGGCATGGCCTAGAGCAGGGGTCTCAAACTCAACTGACCTGGGGGCCGCTGGAAGTAGAGTCTGGGTGAGGCTGGGCCGCAGCAAGTATTCCACCACCGCTGTGGTGGTGGGCCGCTCATCCCGCGTGGTGGGCCGCTCATCCCGGAGGCCGACCTGGGCGCCGCCAGCGCTTTGAAGGCCGCAGGGACCCCCCCCCCCCCGGTGCCCCGCCTGTCTGGGCAATTGGCCCGTGGGCCGCAAGTTTGAGACCCCTGGCCTAGAGCACTGAAAAACTTCCTGGAATATGAGTAATGGGGTGGAAACTAAAAAATCTTCTTGCTTTATCTTAGGTTGTAGGCTTCATCTTAAGGCTTTGAAAAAAGCCTTTGGAAAAAAATGTACTGAAATTGGAAATACTTCAGAGTTAGCATGAATGAAATGAAGCTGAAAGTCCTACTTTGTGACAGGCACTATTATATAAACCTAGAAAAGCTGCAGGTTAACAAAAATCATCTAAGAATAGCCAGCTGTGCTCTCATTCACATTTTGGGAAAGAAGGCTATTGGCAGAGCTGGATCATAACCAGCAGCTTCGGTCAAGTCATGGGTAACTTCCAGAAAACATGCCTTCTGGCCCTTCCTGATCTTGTGTTTGCATGTTGGCAAGATGGGGGGGGGGGAATCCCACAAGTGCAAAAGGTCTCTGAGCATCAAAGAGAGCACACAAGGAACTCTGCCCTTGGCCTGATTTATTTCAGATCATGTAGCGGGCAGAGCATTTATTTTGCAGCATTAAGGTTTCCACAACTCTTACATTAACGTGTCTGTGGTACAGGCCCATTACCTGTCAGAGGTATGGCTGGAGAACTTGCAGCTGACCAGATGTTGCTGGACTATAATCCCATCTTCCTGACCGTTGTCCATGCAGGCTGGGCCTGATGGATCCCAACAACTTCTGGGAGTTGGATTCTAACATCTGCAGGGTAGCAGGTTTCCTACCCCCAGTCTAAAGTACCTTCATATCCTGTGGGAGCTTCCTTGGATCAAGAGTTTAGTGATGTCTGCTTAGACCAACATTCTTTGCATACCTCGTGGAACAGAGCTTAACTCTTAACAGTCGAGCGTATCCATGGGACAGAGAAAAGACTGTTCTTATGACAAATCTGTTGTCTCTTTCAGGCTATGAGTGCAGCTGTCTGTTTTATGATTGATGGTGAGTATCCGTATTCCTTGAAATAACTTTGGGAGATTTAATTCATTTTGTCTTTGGCAAATCCTGTCATTTTGAACATTCGCCATGGTTTATTTAGTCATTAACTTTTTGATGGCATGTTCCTGGTATTACAAGGGTCTCATAATGAAAGGTCTGTTTAAACTGTTTCCCGTATCAGTGAAGCAAAAAAGGACAACATTGTTGTCTTCGACGATTACCAGACTCTGCAGTTTACCCATTTTTAAGCACTACTCAGGCCCACTGAGTTCCACAAGACTCACTCACAAACAGTTGCGCAGAGGACAAGAAATGTCAAAAACTGTTCCAGCCACACCCAAATATTCTCATGCACAGGACTGCCACACCTGATCCCCCAGCTGCTGGAGGGTTAGTATCTTTTGGAGAGCTGAGGCTTCTCGGATGTGAATGCTGGCAGATGTTCCGCTGCATTCTGTGAACAACTGCATTTACAGAATCCCAGTGCCTTGAGTGTAACAGACAGCTGAATCTTCTCCATTACCCCTGTAAATATTTGATACATCCTCTTTATGCTGTATGTTTGGCTGGGATTATACATGTGGAAGGAACCCTCACTGCTCTGTTTCATCCTTTTCCACAGCCTGTATTCAACCTACGCTGGAGTTTTGCCGTAAACTTGACAGCATTGTCGGGCCTCAGCTCACAGTATTAGCTTCAGATATATGTGAACAATACAACATCAACAAAAGGATGTCAGGGTCGGTACTGCCTCCACTTCCATTGCAAAACATCTGCTTGTTAATTTGGAACTGGTATTTAAAGACTCCCTGAAATAGGCAAATAGCTGCTTTTAAAGCGCTGGAATGCCTCTCCTAAATCTTAGGCTGTAAGGGCTTTAAGTGACAGTATTCTGGGCTGGATTTGGTTTATTGTTTTGTGATTTTGGTCCCAGCTGTTTTCCCTTTCCTCCCACCTGCTGCTGGAAAGGTGCCCATGAGAGCTTTTCCCAGATTGAATTCAGCCCTTGGGCTGAAAGGTGTTCCCACCTTTGCCCTCTTGCCTTTTGGAAGGCAGGATGCCTGCCCTTGTCTGTTGTGCGTGGAGTAATTCCATGCGTCGAGCAACTGGTTCTGGCCCCAGTGGGTGTGCGGAAAGTCATTGTTCAGGGCGGCTTGGGGATGTCCCATCATTAAGTGACTGCTACATAGCTCAGCAGTATCCTTGCCCTCTTGGCAGCTCTCTTACCACTTCTCATAAATGGGAATCCGATACACAGATAAAAGGAAGCAGAGATGAGGCACTGTGGCTTGCAGATTGGCTAGAAAAGATACTTGCGGGCTTGGTTGCCATGTGAACAGAAACCCACCTTGCTCACCAAGGACAGGCAAGGTGGATTTCCTTGGTTTCATTCTCATCCCAGGTTTGGAGGCAAACAGATCCAAGGCACTGGGAGGGAGCTAGGCCACAGAGGCCTGTCCTGTCCAGTGAGGTTTACAAGGTACGTTCCCTGGGGAGGCAAAGGAACCCAAGAAAATACTTGTGTTTCCGGAGCACAGCTGGGTGAGGAGCATGCAGTCTGCACTGGTGTTTGATGGCACAGATTGGGCTGCAACTGGAGTGGGAGGAAGCGGTTGGTCCCTTGGCTTTTGGGCAGCTTCTCAGGCGGGCATGGTGGAAGAACTCTGCTTTCCTAGCCAGCACCTGCATTTTCTTGGAATCCCATCTCTTCCTCTGGGTTTCCTGCAGCTAGTGAGACATGCGTACAGCAAAAAAACTTTGCCTGGCAGGTGGCACACCTCTAAAAGATGCCTGAACTCCTCTTGGCCTGTCACTCATCTCATCCTGCTGCCTAGTTATGAAAAAAAGAGGTTCCTTATTTTAGAATAAGGTTGGTGCTTGTAACATGATGAGGAAACAGGACAGTTAGTGGGACTGTACAAGAAATCACAAGGTGAGTTGTCATTTTTCTTAGTACAAAGTGTGGAGGTTTCCTTCTACGGAGACCTTTTCTTAAATAGCTGCAGAGCAGTAACAATTGACAAAACAAATGTTTGTTTTCAACTGCCCTTCATTCCTACAGATCCCAAAGATGATATCAGGGCAATGATTTGGACCAATATCCAAATCTAAGAAAGTTAGAGACTTTTCTCCCTTTGTTTCTAGGCTTCTTAACAACCTTATTATCAATACCCCAATGTCAAAGATATTTACCATTTCCAAGATTCAACCACAGCTTTACATTATGATTTTTGTGTGCAACTGTCTTACTTGTCCTTGGGTGTATTTGTTGATTACCACTCAAAATATTCGGCTGAATCAAAATGATCAATTGCTAGTCTTATTTCAGCGTGGCCGTTCTGAGAGTAAGCCTTTATACCAGTAATTGAGCTGAGCTATTAAGTACCTACTTTTTTTTAATGGTGTCAGCAGATTAAAGTGACCGGAGCTTATCTGATTAAGTCTGCCTTAAACTTTAATGTCGTCGTATCCTGAGAACCTGATCCAGCCTCTCTTGGTGCTAATGAAGTTGGCTAGCTCTAGGCTTGAAGTGTCCTGCAGCATTTTATCACAAAGGAAGCACTAAGTTGTAAACGTTTGAATACTTAAAAATTTCCAGGTGACAAAAAACTCAGTCTTCTGGTCAGAGACAAATTCTGTCCAAGTTTTCAGCCTGTTAAACTGACCAGCCCTGGATCTGGCATTTTCTTCTCAGGTTGCAGTTCACTTTTTTAATTGCACGTGGTTCAAAGTGCAGTTCTGGTTTCTAACTGTAAAGTTGGCAGAAGCTCCTTTTGAGCGGGCTCAGTGGCAGTTTTGCTTATACCTGTTCAACTTGTTGAATTTGGTGGATGTGACCATAAGCCATCGCGGTTGGCTGGGAAACAACAGCAGTTGAGTGGCAAATCACATGCTTTCTGTGCAGGAGATTCCAGTTTCCCAGTTCAAATCCCAGCATCTCCAATTCAAAGAAGCAGAGGGTGTGAAAGAAACCCATTTGAAACCATGGAGTTCAATTACAGTCCTAGGCTAAAGGTGATGCTGGCTGGGGCATTTTGGGAGTTTAGACAGGCCTTTTTTCTGTCTAAACTTGCACAGGATTGCAACCTGAACGAACCAAGAAACCCCTGGACCTGATGCAAGGAAAGGTTTTGATGAGTTTCCCCACCTTTGCCCAAGATAATCCACTGCTTCCTGTTTTGTTTAGTTTTCCACAAAACAAGATAAACACTGCTTGGATGATTGCTTCAGCTGATCAGGAAGGAAACATTTTCCCTGATTTTACCTACTATAATCAGCCAAGCTTAACTCCACAGCCGGGCCAGCATCCACAACCACTTTCCACTTCTTAACACGGAAGGAGGTGCCATGCAGCCGCGGCGGCAGCCTTTGCCTCTTCTCATTTCTGGATTAGCGTTTCTTGGGAAGATGAGCCATTCCCAGTTGCCTGATCCCACAGCAGCCTCAGCGAATCAAAAAGTTCACCCGTTCAGCTTGTCAGAGGCTAATGTTCTTAAAAGCTGGCAGGAACATTCTTTCAACTGCAGCTTTAAAAATTAAAGGGTGCATCCAGGGGTTTCATGACATTAGTAAGCCACTTAGTAAGTCTGAAATCAATGCCCAGCTATCTCTTGTCTGCAGCGTGTGTGAATTTGTTCTCTGTGCTTCAAGGACTGCCACTGTTGCTTGTGTGACCCTTTTTCTTCCCTGTGGTTTGTTTTCCAGGTCAGAGAAGGAGCCCCAGTTTAAATTTATCTACTTCAACCACATGAACCTGGCAGAGAAGAGTACAATTCACATGAGGAGAACGCCCAGTATCTCGCTCACTTCGGTTCACCCTGACTTGATGAAGATCCTTGGAGATATCAATAGTGATTTCACTAGGTAACTCAGGCTCTTCTGCCTGTCTTAAGACCAGCAATGAAATACTGTCTGAACGCTACTTCGCTTGCATTGATAAATCAGATAGTGCATCATCTGATACAGTTTTAGCTGCAATCAAAGCAATGTGTTGAAGTATACATCTTCAGTGCATATGAGTGTTTCTGTAGGGTTATAGCTGTCCTTATTGTTTAAGAATCAGAATGAGTATTATATCCTGCTTATACTGAGGGTTTTTTTAAAATGTGCCCATTTACAGATAGAGAAAGTGAGGCTGGAATGCCTGAAAGTGGCCCAGTGCCATAATATAGAAATTTAATATAATGTTATGACATGTAATAGAAGGTTTAATTGCAAACCAGGGTGGTTGAGTGCCTGTAGGACTAAAGACAGAAGTGAGCTGTTGATAATGAAGAAAAGGAAATATTGGCTTGTTTGGGTAAAGAAAACATCAGAATAGGAAGAGAACCCACAAAAGGTGCATACACCCCAGAAACAACCCAGTGACGATTGAGTATGCTCAGGGGCATCCTGGAGCTCTGGAATGCTGAGCACCAGAACAGCAAAACCAGACTGGGGTAGCAGTGGGCAATAAGCAGGCCTTTCTGACCCCCTGACAAGATCCTGGAGGGAGGGCATATCCCACAAACTGACTAGAACCCTGAAAAGGAGCGTTGCCGTTAGTGCAGGAGGATAGTCTGTCTGCAAGTTCCTCTTGTCGGGGTCAAATCATACTTGTAGCACATTCTACCAGATTTCTAGTTCAGTCCCACAAATCCTACCTGTGACTAGAACTGCTCAATTCAGAAGACTTGAGAGATGTCAAAAACCATCCCTCCATGTTTGACCTACTTTAACTAAAATGGGGGTCTCTCACTACCTTGGCCTGCTTTATTAGTTGTCTGTGCCTCCTAAGATTTTCACCTACAACCCTCCTTCTCCCAGGGTTGATGATGATGAGGAAATAATAGTGAAAGCTATGGGTGACTACTGGATTGTTGGCAAGAAATCCGATCAGCGGGAACTGTATGTAATTTTGAACCAAAAGAATGCGAACCTGATTGAAGTGAATGGTAAGGAGTTGTTAACAATTTGTGTTCCTTAAATAGTCCTGCAATGTTAGGTGCTTGTTACTCCTAAATATTATGTGTGTGTTAAGACAAGGGGAAAAAATCCTAAAACTCAGAGCTCCGAGGGCTGGAGACTACCGGCAGTTGCAGGGCTTCTGTTATTTTAAAACATGCATAAAGGTCCTGCAACTCCCTGCATTCCCCAGCCAGTAAGTAGGGGGGGGTCAAACTATTGGGGGGGGTGGCTGGGGAATGCTGGGAGACTGAGGATTTTTTCCTGGTCTAAGGGTCCTACAATTCCCAACATTCCCTAGCCAACCAAGAGGACTGCTCCCTGCACAAGGAGCCTGTTGTCTGACACAGAGGAAGGGGAGGGGAGGTCGGGATAGAAAGGACCGTAGTATGCAAGTTATATGACAAGGGAAGGCATGTGATGAAGGCATTTAGTAGGTTTTATTCTCTCTAGTAATAGTAACACCTTTTTAAAAAATCAAATCTTGCTGAGGTGTCTTGAGCCAGGCTGGAAATCCAAGGTCAGGCATATTGAATTTGGGGCTCACTTTTGTCAGTTTTAGCAGGGCCCAAAGGTTCTGCACTCTGCTTTTTTATCTATCCCCAGCAGGTTAGCTATTGCAGCAAAAACAATCATGAGTCTTGAGACACCTTACACACTGGTGGAAGTGCCCATGAACATTTAGGCCAGTGTAAGGTGCCACAGGTTTCTTTGTGGTTGAGTTTTTATTTCAAATTGCTTACCAAGCCTTTTTCTGGAGGATCTTTTGTTTTTCTGGGTTAAAAAATTGACAGTGCTGCAAATAACCTGATTTAACTAGGTTAAACATGGTTTGGGACTATAGAGGTCATTTACAAAGCACATGATAGGAATGCCACTGGCATCAGTTCATGTGCTCTAAAAAGCATCTTTTCATCATTGAGCTTGACTGCTTCTAAGCCTCAAAACAGTGTCTTTTCCTCTTTTTTGTTTCCCTCAGAAGAAGTAAAGAAACTTTGTGCAACACAGTTCAACAATATTTTCTTCTTGGATTGATCAGCAAAGGGCCGACTCCTGTGAAGGTGGCTTTAAAATGTGCAAAAAGCATTTTTGTTTACTCTGACAGGTTATTAAGTCATATTATTGACTGGAATAATGACAATAGTAAAGCAATACTTGCTTTGTAAGAATCAAAATTTCTATTAAACTCTACATTACCTGATCATACAATTTTTAGATTTTAAAGTATTTATGTGCAAATTAATTAAAATTGGTCCAAATTAAAGATGTGTCATTCCATTTCTCTGATACTGTTATGTGAATATTTTATTGGAAGAATAAAATTAGTCATTGTTACAATTTTAATGGACCTTTTTCCTCTTTCTTTATACCAGAGCAAAGCTGATGAAATTTTTCTGACCTTATGGACACGTTTTGCAATGTTAGTAGCTTTCATAAGGCAGAGAGACACAAACCACAATAAGGAAACTAAAAATAATAAAAAGGCAAGGCTGCAAAATGCCTCTTGCAGAAAAAGTGGTTGTGTGAATGTTTGCAATGAAATGATCCTGGGTTACTGTTTGGGGTGTTGTTCAGTTAATGAGCTCTTAATGGTTTATCCATGCACGTTGTAATTGGGGTAAAAAGAAGGAGGATTCATCTTAAGGTCTTGGCTAGCCAGGTCAAATGTCATCTATTTAGCTCAGTACTGGCTGTTCTTGACTGGCAGTTCATTTGGGGCAGAGGTATTTTGCCCATTTCCTGGTCCTTTTTTCCCTCTAAAATGAGGTCCTGGGGAATCAAACCTAGGGCCTTTTGCATGTAAAGCAAGGGGCTCTGCTCCCGTCTCCTCAAAATGGACTTGCCTTAAATCCAGTGACCTTTATCCTTTCTGGTTCTGCAGTCTTGAATCAGGAGTGTCTCAAGCATATGAGCAAAAAGTGATTTGGCGATCCTTGAACAATTTCAAACAGGCTTTGCTTAGAATTTTTTTGACAGTGGATCGTATTAGTCATACATAATATAATGTGTGAACTGAGCCAGCTTGTTTCCAAAAGTTCAGAGGCTACTGCTGTTAGGAGACCAAAAGAAATGGCACTACCCTGACACAAGAGGGCACCATGAAGCGGCACCAACAAACCCCAAGGTTTGCACAAGTGCCCAGAAATGTTTAAGAACCCCACCACCACCACAGCCCAGTAAGGAATGAGCGCCCCAAGTAGCTACCGCATCCTGACTCTCAGTGAGGAAAGTTTGGTGGCTATTCTGGAAGAAGAAAGAGCTGTCTGATTGGATCAACATCCCACAAGTGACAGTGATGCCAAATTATGCACATTCATTTTCAGTGGCATAGCCAGGGGTATGGGGGGTGAGAGTGAGTGAGTGAGAGAGGTATACACATTAGACACACACAATCTTTCCAGACTAACACTCAGTCCACTGAAAGCCCTGTTAAGGTCCTTTGCCTTATTCTTACCTTTTCTCTGGATCAGTAAAAACTAGAAGCTTCTTTCTCATATGTACACAGGTTCCAAAATAATCAAATTGTGTGGACTAACATGTAACTTTATGTATATGGTAAGGAAAAGGACTTATTTTAATTGCATTCTATTGCATAAGGCATCTGGCCCACCTTACATTTGAATCAGAACTGAAACTTGAGTCAATTTTTGTGAAAACAAAGGTGCTTCTTGCCCCCCAGTGAGTTAACTCTGAAGGAAATGTGGGATTTGGAGAATAGATTTCAGATAGATAAATGTGCAGTCTCATCACTGCACATTTTACTTGGAAAGAGATGTGGAACTCCTGGCGCCTTCACCTCATTTCCTACACAGCTTATAGGTCACGTGAGGGTTATACCATCTGCATGGAATGTGCACACAAACTATTTCTATGGTACAATTCTCTGCATGTCTACTTGGAAATGAATCCCACTAAATCAGATAGGTCATTCTCAAGTAAATGCAAGCAGGATCGCAGCCTAACTAAAGGAAGGGAGCTTCTATTAGCCATGTTTTAAAAGTGCTTAGGCATAAAGCATCTTAAATGGCCGATGTGGGATTTTCTTCAACAGGTTTATCCGCTTCATACAAACATTTCATTGCTAATATCACTGAAACCATTTTTTGAAAGCTGCACCATCAGATTCAAAACTGAGTAGATATGAGGTTCTTACGCTTTCTTCTTCTTCTTCCCGACCGCAGCAGCCTTGCTGCTCGCCAGTGCCTGCAGCAAAACGGGGGATTCTTCCTTTGGTGGAGACACGAGCTGCACAGAGCCCTCCTCCAGCTCCCTGGCCAAGCTTTCCTCGAGCTCCAGAGCTGCTTTTTCTGCTGCAGCCTCTTCCATTTTCCGGGCTTCTTCTGCTTCCCTCAGAGCATTAAGTCTGCAGTCAAATATTAAAATGTCATTAAAATAGGTCGTCTTACTCTTGTTGTGATAAACTTGTCTTACACCAAGAGCACACGATATAATTCTGAGATTTAAGCAACACATCAGTAAACCACGGTTTCCCAGCAAACAAATACCATGCTTTTCCCTGCTCTCTGATTCTTGCGGCCAAACATGATGTGTCAGATCCATGAATAACTGCTCTCCGGCTGTCTCCAGCCTCCAACTGGATTCCCTCCAGATGTTTTAGAATTCAACTCCCTGCATGGTGAGTGTCCAGGAATGCTGGGAGTTGTTAAAAACAGCAGGCAGTTTGGACCAGAGAGGAAACTTGGGTGAGAGATGCTAAACCTTTGCCTAATTTGAGCTGTAGCTGTTTTCCTCATGGGAGGCATGAGGAAGGCGTGAAAACGGGAAGAACGACCATTGAGAAGAGTCAATGTACACAAACACAAGAGTGCTACACACTTGATCCAAATCTACCCCTCCACCCTGCCCTTCTCACTAACTTGGCTGCTTTCAAGCAAAGGAAAAGAGAGGAGACCTCAGGTTGGCCCCAAGTAGCATAGCTTCAGAGTAGCAAAAATTGTGCACTAAATCAGATGTCTCCAACCTGGTTCCATCCAGATGCCTTGGACTACAACTCCCATCCTGGGTGACATTGGCCATGCTGGATGGTGCTGATTAGAGTTGTAGTCCAAAATGACTACAGTCTAGAAACTTTACAGGAAGTCTCCACAGACCCTGCTTTACAAATGCAGTATCTTTCTGCAAAAGGAATGTTTCGGTATTGCTCCGCAAAACTCTTGCTTTTACTGTAGCAGAAAATGCACCTAAAAGTTTCCCATGCTGTCCAAACTGAAACTTTAAAGCAATTGCAGACTGGCGCCAACAAGCTGCAGGATAAATTGCCCAATGAAAGGTATATTTGATCCTCCTTAATCCTGTCCTAAAATAAATCTCAGCCGTTTCCTAATTTCAATCAACCAGTGTTTCATGTATCCGCTTGTAGTCTGACTAGAGTTACTAGGGTCTAGCCCTTTCTCAAGACGCTTTTGAGTATCTGCTCTTCTGAGATGTACCATCCTGGAAGACCCTCTCAGAGCAAAAGTCCCTTTGGAAGCAAAGGCAACTCTCGATCTCCAAGACACGCTTTAACCATTGAGGATGCCATCCTAAGCATGGTGAGAAGGGGGAATAGCCCACGGCTCTCTGCATTCCCCAGCCAGCAATGCTGGCAAGGCAGTGTTGGAATTTGAAGGACTGTGTCTCTGGATTGACCCCTGAGTGTCATTTTAATGGCAATCCTTCCCTTACATAATTTCTGAACCTCTTCAAGCTCTCTTTTCCTGTGGGGTAGTGGTTAAGAGCCTGGGACTGGGACTCAGACGACCTGGGTTCTAGTCCCCGCTCAGCCATGGAGCCAACTGGGTGACTTTGGGCCAGTCACAGACTCTCAGCCCAACCTACCTCACAGGGTTGTTGTTGTGGGGATAAGATGGAGGAGGAGAATGATGTAAGCTGCCTTGAGCCCTTTGTAGGATAAAGGCAGGATAAAAATTGAAAAATAAATAAAAAAAAAATAAAAAAATGGCGGCTTTTCAGTCTCTCTCCCATGCAAGCCTGCTGGAAGTGGCCCTCCTTCCTGCAGGAAGGAAGGTGATTTCAAGGTAATAGGAGCTAGAAGGTGTAGGGACACCAGTGTGGACAGATTAAGAAAGCTGTGGAAAGGCCACTGACGCTCACAGGCGGTAGCAGGAGACACTAGCCCCTAAAACTGACCCTGACCTCCACTGCCCTTTTAGACTGCCTAAATGTGGTGCCAGTTCATTCCCAAGGCTCTGAACGTTTTTCTTTCCATTGCTGTCATCATCACCATCACGGCCTGCCCGTGTAAGAAAACCCAGCTCAGCAGAACCGAGGACTTCAAAGATCACTTTCACCAGTCATGTCAGGACTACGTGTTTAGGAAAGTTACGGCGTGGGAAGGGTTGGTTGGCTTGTTTTTTAAGTTGGGTTCCAAGTCCAGCATGACTAGGGTATCAAGGGACAGCACTGACAGACTCAGGATGGCTTACACCAGCTTGTGATAGTCTAAAATAGCGACCAAGTGATTCCTGGGGAGGAGACACTGCTGCAACGCTGCTCTGTTGGACCAAGAAACAGGCACAGAAAAAAATACTCCTGCCATTGTAGAAATACTCCTGCTTGGGCCTTTTCGCACATTACCTGCATGGTGGAACCTGCATTCCCCCAAGGATGCCATACCCTGTGGCCATACAGATGTTTTGGCCTATGCTTGCCCAGCATCCCTCACCATCAACTATGCTAGCTAGGAATGATAGGAATTGCACGGAAAAACACCGGAAGGCCCGTCCCCGCTACATCTCACTGCAGCTCTACCCAGACGCTGTCGCACCTTCCACATGAGCCCGAGTTGTTCCCACTGCATCTGCAGCATGGAACGAAGCAGCCATTCCCACAACGCAGAGCAAAAACGAGAAGCAGCCCTTTCGCATGAGCCACTGTCTAATGACCGAGAAAATGGCTGGACTTCTTTAAGCATGGCTGGAATGGGAAGTGCAGCACACGGCTCGCGACTCGGCACAGTCTGGAGCTGCAACCTGATCCAAGAAATGCTGACTGCTTAATCGCTTGAGTTTCAGAAGTGAAAGAAGGGCAGGTGCTCCAGCCTGTTTGTATCTAACCTGCATGTTATTGACAGATGAACCTCAAGTGGCCACTTGAGCATCACAAAGGAAAGGAAATGGATAATCAAAAAAAAGGAGGCTTTGATTTGCATAATATTTGAATAGGAGGGAGAGAGATGCAAATCCAGAAATGATGACTGGACTCTAAACAGAAGTATGAAGCATCACACTGAAAAGGGTAAGTCGCCTGCCTGTCAGCCCATGGGCCAGAGCTAACTGTGAAATTTCAAGGTGGTCCTGGGCTGGGCAGCCCCTCAAACAGAGGAATGTCCTCCGTAAAGCAGGCACCTGGCCACCTCTGCCTGATCTGCCATGAGGTATTATTTCTATGGTGTTATTTTCCACCACAGAAAATGGCCATGAAGACCTGGATGTTTCCGAGTCTCCCTGGAAAACAGACAAGCTCTCTAGAAGAGCAGGCCCATCCTGGGATCTTTTGGCTGTAGCCAAGCATTTTGGTGGCGAAAACCCCTTTGCTCCCAACTATAAGCCCAAAGACTCACTTTGCTTCATCTTCCTCTTCCTGGATCTTCTTCAGCTCACACAGTTCGGCTTCCCGAACCCGATTGTCTAAGACTGTTTCCTGCACGACTTGCAAGTGCTTGTAACTGTTAAAGAATTTGTTGACAAAGAAAATGTATATCTGACTCATCCACAAACTGAGTTTGTCCTTCTGGCTATTTTTGGCTTCTTGGAGCTTATCTGAAAGAAAAGCATTAAATTGCAGGTTCAGTGGTAGGAGAAGGGATGGCAGGTTAGAAGCAGGACACCTGGGTCCTGGGGTCAACCCCCAGCATCTCCACTTTAACAAATCAGGAAGAAGGCTATGGGAAAGACCTCTTTGGAAACCTGAGAGACTCCAGTCAAAGCAGACAAAACTGGGCTGCACAGACAGAGTCTCTCCTGATCCTGGGTGGCTTCCATTGTTCTATCCAGTCTTACTAGTCGGTGCTCAATTGCATTATTCAGGCGTGATTCAGCTGGGATGTCCATGGGATTTCGCTGTCCACCTTGGCTGCCGCAACCCAGTTTACAGTTACTTTGGGGGGAAGGGGGGAGGTCAGCCACATTCCTGTTCTGTGTTCTTTGACTGCCCTCTTGTGTCAGTTCAGGAGACCACATTTTCCCATTCCACAGCGCTGAATAAATAATAAAATCAATGGCTTATGGCACTTTAAAAGCTAACCATTTTATTATGGTATAAGCTTTAAGAACCCAGTCCACACCAGGAGATGCATGAAAAGTTGTCCTAAATTGGCAGGCACTTGTACACTGGGGCAGGCGGGGAGAGCAAATAGGGCAGAATAGGGTGTGTGTGTGCGCGCACACACACACTCACACTTGCCTATAGGGGAGGCCACCGAAATTCAATAGAAAAAACAGAACACCCAGAATGTGCATCAGAGAAAAAGGTTGTTTTGTTTGTTGTTTAGTGGCAAAGTCGTGCCCGACTTTCCACAACCCCATAGACAACATCCCTCCAGGCTCTCCTGTCCTCCACCATCCCTCCCTCGGAGTCCACCCAAACCCACACCCACCACCCCAGTGGCCCCATCCAGCCACCTCAACCTCTGCCATCCCCTTCTCCTTTTGCTGTCAATCGTTCCCAGCATTAGGCTCTTCTCCAGCAAGTCCCTCCTTCTCATTAGGTGGCTAAAGTTTTTGAGCTTCATCTTCAGTCTCTGACCTTCTTTAGAGTTGGCTGATCTGATTTCTCTGCAGTCCAAGGGACCCTCAGGAGTCTTCTCCAGCACCATAACTCAAAAGCGTTAATTCGTTGGTGTTCAGCCTTCCTTATGGGGCAACTCTCACAGCCATACATTACAACTGGGAAAACCATAGCTCTGAATACACGAACTTTTGTCAGCAGAGTGATGTCTCAACATTTTAGTATGCTGTCTAGATTTGCCATAGCTTTTCTCCCAAGGAGCAAGCGTCTTTTAATTTCTTAGCTGCAGTCACCATCTGCAGTGATCTTGGAGTCCACAAAAATAAAATCGGTCACTACCTCCATTTCTTCCCCATTTATTTGCCAGGAAGTGATAGGACCGGATGCTATGAGCTTAGTTTGCTTAATGTTGAGTTTCAAGCCAACTTTTGTGCTCTCCTCCTTCACCAGCATCAAAAGGCACTTTCACACATACAGCTCAGACATTTCAGCTTTGCAGCCTCCACATTTTTGGACTTCGACTCCCATCAGCTACAGACACCCTAACCCTAAGACCTCCTGAGCCTCTCACCTGCCAGTTCCTTCATGGGAGCACTAAGAATTACTTCTTCCTCCATTTCTGAGTCCGACTGAACTGTCACCAACACTCCGCTGTCTTCCACAGAGGTGGAGAAGGAGAGGCTTGTTGCTGGGGCTGAGGGGAGCAGGCAGGAGAGAATGCAGATGCGATGATGAACGGCTGACCAAGCACATCGATAAAAGAATGTTCTGAAACCAGGTTGAATGGGGAGGGGGAACTGGCCCTGGATGCTTCCCTTCCCACACCAGAAAGTGAGGGAGAGGGCTCCAGTGAGAGGCCAGCACTCCTTGTCCTCAGCTAGAGGGAAGCCTCCAGCATGCGACACAAGCCGGGGGCAAATGGACAGCATGACCTGTTAGTCAGCCAGCATGGGCTGCTAACTCCACGTCTGCCCTGTAATTCCATCACGGAAGGCTTAGAGGACAGGAGCAAGCCAGGGCATCGCCGGAAAGGGTCAGAAGTTCAACCACTTACGGAGAGGAGCGGTGGCCTTCTCTCTATGGGGAGATTTGGCACTGTGGTGTCGGGAGCCTCTGTCCTCTCTTTTGCCATCTTTGGCTTTTCCCTTCTGTGGGAATGAGTAAATTTAAATCAGGGGCGGATAAGAACGTTTTCTCTCTTACATGTGGCACTGCAACAAAGAGCCAACGTGAGCAGAAAGATATATCCAGAGGAGGAAGAGGGGAGAAGAGGGGAACTCCTGAAGACTCCATGGATGTGGCCACCAAGACTTATTCTGAATACAAGATTGCCACTCGGGAGGAAGAAACGCACGTTCCCCACTGTTCCCATTTATCCATTACAAGGCTAGGCCTGAAGGGCAGCCCTTGCCGGCGCAGGAGGGCATGGAAGCATCTGCGTCCAGCAATAGAAATGTCCCTGGCGGAAGATGGCTACAAAGGGAAGAGGCTTCTCAGCTGTGGCACCCCAACTGTGGAACCAGCTCCGCAGGGAGGAGCACCTGCCACTGACACTTTATCCATTTCGGAGCCAGGTTAAAACCCTTTTATTCACCCACTGTTTTCATTGTTAAATAGGATGTTCTACTTTTTATACTGGTTTTTGTTCACTTGATGATTGGTACTGTGGATCAGTAGTTATACTGTATGAAATATTACTTTTATTATTTACCTTGCAATTGTTGTCAATTACATTTGAACTTTTGTTATTATTGTGGAAGTGTTATTGGTATTACGTTATTGATATGCTGTGTTTTAAATGTTTGGACTGATTGCACACCACCCTGAGAGCTTTTACTATAGAATGGTATATAAAAGTTATAAATAAAATAAACTCAATAAGAGTTTGAGCCAGGTATCTCAGCCACTTCACTTAACTGCATCAGACCACTTTTAAGTTAAGTAGAAAGCAGTAGCAGCAAAGGATGGGCACCTCACCTCCATTACATCAAAGACCTTCTCAAATAAGGTGCATGCCATCTCTCAGTGGGCAAAAAAGGAAAATTTCCAGGGACAGAGCCCAGGAGCAGTTCCTGAATTTGCTACCTGTCCTGCCTCCCAGGACAAAACATCATGGGATATGCTCACTATTCTTCTTGAACCATGGGCCTCTTCCCCACGTTTTGCCAGAGAACAGTTCACCACTTCCGGTTCATCACTCCACTGACCTCAGACTTCTTTGTCTTACTAACTTCCACAAAATGCACAATCTTGCTGGCAGAGGACTTGCTGCTAACATGGATTGCGCTGGCCTCCATGGTTTCGTTGCTTCCTTCTCCACTGCTTGTGCTTCTGGTTTGAACAGACTGTTAATTAAAACACACACAGTCAGGCCACAATCCAAGACAGCCTTAGGGAAGAGTAAGTTCTACTGAACTCCATGGGGTTTACGTTCCAGTAGAGGTGCATAGGATAGCATTGTCCCTGGGACCGAGAAGGTGAAGAACTGTCATTGCTTTCCAGGTGGGAAAATGAGCAAAGATGACCTAGCAAATTCATCCAGATTGCAGCTGGAAGTATTCTGCTTTTCTGGCACACAAGAAAGAAGCTCAGATAAGAGATGCCAGAAAGAAGCTAATTTTATTCCTTAGGCCTTGAACCAAGAAAGGAAGCTTCTCCAAATAAGGCAATTGTCTACATTATCTTCACCCCACCCCCAGATATGCTGAACTACAATTGCCAGCATTCCCTAGCCAGCATGGCTGGCTAAAGTTTATGGGAGTTGTAGTCCAAAGTGTTTGTGGGAAGCACCAGGTTGAAGAAGGCCAACTCCAAGCTCACCATGGAGTCAAAGCTGACTTCAGAGAACTGACCTGACCAGAGAACAATTCCCGAGATACAGGAGAGACCCGAGTCCCATCTGAGTAATCTTTTGTTCTGTAGGAGCTCTCCATCCGACTGGCTTCTTCTGCTTGCTGTTTCAGCATCTCATCCGTGACATAGATCAGGGCACTGTCCAGAAGTGCATCAAAAAACTCAAGGAAAACAAGCTGAAGTAAAAGCAAAGCAAGTTTCAGGATGCAAGTGGTTAATCTCCAAGGCACATCAGGGGATACAGGTCAGGATTAAGATGTGAGCGGCTATCAGAGGGCAGCCAGGAGTGAAAAGGGGAACCAACACTTAATGAGCTAGCTGCAGGTACCATGCCAGGAGCCAGAACTGAAGAACATGCCAAAGCTAGGAAGTCCATTTCGCTCCAGCAAAATTCCAATAGCAAATGCTTCCCCTTCCTGTCTGGGCAGGCCCAAGGCCCAGGCTGGGAGGGCGGAGACAGGTCAGTTTGAAAATAGTCCAGTGTGCATCACCGCAGTGAGCCTTCGACAAACCCAAGCCTTGGGGCATTGCTCTCAATTCACAAGAGAGAGTATTGTAATCTGTGCTGCGTTAAGACCCTTCCCCCCTGCCCTGTGCCACTTTTCAGCCTTGTTTGCAGAATGCAAAAGTGGGGTGGGGGATGTCTGGGTGGCAATTTTAGGGTTGGGGTCACAAACAAGGGCTTTCCCACTCCCAGTCACTGACAGGTGTGTATTTGCATGAAGCACTGGTACTAAGGCAGGAAGACTTGCCCTCTCTGCCTTGCTCACAATTCCAGATGAAATGGCCCTGGAGCCATTCCTGGTGCTTTATCCTCTCCCGGTGGAGCCTTGTGGAATGGGAATGAGGTCTCCTGTCAACAGCCAGAGTGTTCTGCTCCCAGCTAGTGGCAACAAAAGCAAAGGGGATGGGCTTGTTGGGAAAACTCGTGCCCACCAACCAAGCCCCCACATTCAGACAGAAACTTTCTGCAAAGGACTGTCAGCTGGCTCAGCTCAGAATTAGACTCTTATTTGACTGCTTGTGCTGATGAACTAATTAAGGTGTGCTTCCTTAATCACTGCCCCTTCCAGATGCAGCAAGGTCCAGGCCCCAACAGCCCCAGTGAGCCAGACTGGCCTTTATTGTCCCAGTTGTGGAAATCAACATCCACGCTCATTTCCTTGGGCTTTCCCTAAATACCTACCTCATGCTCCAAGTTAGTGTCCTCCCCATCACGGACACATGGGCTATCTTTTGCCAGAATGTTCACAATTTTGGTTGCTGTCAGCTGTTTATTTATGAGTCGTAAATCCTGGAGATGGAAGGGGAAAAAAACATTTCCTTTTCCCCATTTGAAACATGCAGGAGGCAGATCCCCGAGGTTCAGACAAGGAACACAGGGAGAGTGAGGCTTCCTAACACCCATTTCAGGCTTCCAACAGGCATTCGTGTGTTGCTCTTGATTCCCAGGGACACCGTTTCTGCCTGTGGCAGTGCTGTTGTTTTCCTTGCTTTTCTTTGGTATTAAAAGTTGTAATAAAGCCACCCTGGAAACAATATGTTTGAAGAAGGGCGGGCTAGAAATTTCTTTAATGCAGAAGGAGGGGAGAGGGGAACTATCACCATTCCACCAGCCCTGCCTGCTAAAAACAGCTGTTTTTTCCCCTCTTATTTTATTTAAAACATTTGTATGCCGCCCTTTGCAAAAGCCTCAGGATGGCTTAGATGAATAAAATTCCAGAACAAACAACAATGTATACATAGCATAAAACATTCCAATATATCCTCTTAATTAATAAAAGTAATTCCCTCCCCATTCTTTTTTTACTTGTGTGGCACGTTGTTTAAGACTGTAAGCCTGTGGGCATAAATGGTGGTGTCCCATGGCTGCTCTGGGAGCTATTTTGGAAAGCATGTGGGGTTTAAAATACTTAGAGAAAGTAAATAATCACTACTATAAAGAGTGCTTTTTTTGGCCCATCCAAGTATGAACGAACAAATCTGGGCGGCCATGCAGAAGGACAAATCACAGCCTCTCCCCCCGCCCGCCCCCGCCCAGAGGCGGATTACTTTCAGCATCCAGAGGAAGTGCCTCATCTTCATCGTAGGTTCGTAAGGAGCAGTGGGACTGGCTCTGCAAAAGGCCCTGAATATCTCCCAACACTTGTCAATGTAGTTGATCGCATACACGGTTTGTTGGCGGTCGCTAAACAAGGTGCCTATAGGTGCGAGCAGGGCAAAAAGTCCGAGGTTAAAAAAACAAACAAACAAGCTCCTTCTGACCACCGTCTGTGTACGTAATAGAAATCACATCAAACAGCCATAAAAATGAGAGCCTACCTTTTATCTGGCACGCGTTGGGGATGATGTTCTCTGCCATCAGCTTGGAGAAGCACTTGAACAGGCGGGGACTTGTATCCCTGGAGTGGAAATGGGAATGATGGCACTTGCTAATGCAATACATGCAGGAAACACTTTCTCTCTCTCTGTTTAGGGCTGCAATGCTTTGTGGATCCGTCTACCCAAGCTGGCACCCTCCAGATGTACTGGGTTGCAACTCAGTCCAACATAGCTGGAAGGCACCAGGTCAATACATTTATTTTATCATACACTTCCGACGACCCAAAAGTAATTCTGGAAAGGCTTAATAAGTACAGTATAAGCCGTCCTGAGATGCTATACATAAGGAATGGCATACAAAAGTTTTAAATAAATACATAATAAATAATAAAATGGTGGAAGAAAGATGCTAAGAAGGACTAAGATGGCTTTAATAAATATGAAATGCTAGCAGATATGTGAACACGGATTTTTGTTTCATTTGTTGAACTTTACTGTCTTTGCCGTTGCTAATGATATTGCATCGTTCATGATATGGCAATAATTTTTTTTTAATCTTTTGACAGACTAAATGTGTGCATTAATTAACTGGATGGTAATTCTGTTTCGGTTTCTGTTTAAGACATTTTCTATAACTAAAAGTACTTCCAAAAAATCCCAGCAAGTGCCAAGGATCACCTTCGGACAAACATTCTCCCCCTCCTTCTCACATGGGCAGGAATGCCTCTTCCAAAGCGACGCCTATTCTTCTACCCAGTCATGCCCCATCTCTGCTGGTAATAGCCCAGATTAATTTAGTCCAGGGTTAGGTGCCTTGGTGTCCAATAGATATTTGGGTTACGGTTTCCACAAACCCCAGCCAGTGAAGGCAGTCTTCAAGGACTGTGGGAACTGTAGTGCAAAGCTTTCGGTTGCCTAACCCTAATTTAGATTAATGTTATCATTCCTACTAACAGAAAATGAAATAAGCATCCCTATTCTTCCTGTTGATTGAGCTTTGTGAAAGTTGGACAGACAACTTCAGCTACAAAGCTATACTAATTTACCTGGGAGTAAGCCTAGAATTAAGTAGGGCTTACTTCCAAGTAGATTTCTTTAGGAATGCATTATTGCCACTATACCAGCCCCATTGACCAGACTTACTTAAACTCCTTATGATAGATATGGAATGACAAATAGATAATGTATGTCAAAAACATTCTAAGAAGCAAAGTCTCATATGGAGAATGGATCTCATCAAGTAATGTTTTATCTGCAAAACAGACAGACACATACATGTAAGGGTCAAAGGGAAGAACCACAGAGTTGATCAGAATTGCCATTTTAATCAGTATCCCGGGTGGCCTGTCTCCCTTTCTTACTGATCCCAGCTGATTCGGAAGACAATTGTCTGAAACATGGGATAAAAGTGTAGCAATCAATTAACGCCTCTTATCTAGGACACTGTGAGAGCTAGTGCGGTGCAGAGCTGAGGGCACTGGACTGGGAACCTGGGAGACTCAGGTCCTGGTCCCCACTTTGGAGCAGCCCAACCTCCCTCATAGGGTTCTTCTTGCAAGAATTAAATGGAGCTAAGTAACTTGCCTGATCCTCACAAGAGGAAATAAGTCAGAATATAAATACCTTTATATAATACTACTCTTATAAGTATAATCATAATGGTAATACACATCCTGCTTTTGAATGCTTTTTCCTCATTCTTTCTGTGCTGAAGAATTTTGCCAATTTATCAAGCTATTATTTAACAATAGACCAAACAAAATTCTCAGCCATCTGTACCAGCCCTGTTCACTAGGTATAGCTATACTTAGCATGGGAAGTGCCACTTGCTGAAGATTATACAACTGGAAGGAAATGAAAAAAAAAAAGGAAGGATAGCCTTAATCCAATATCACCAAAAGCGGAAAAATAATCAAAGGTGGGGAAAACAAAACTGGCAAATTCGTCCACTCCTCAGCTCCCTAAAGCCAAACCTGGATCCCTGCATATTTAAACACACCTAGTGCATTGAGGAAGCAACTCCAGTTCTATTTCCCTGTTCCGAAATATGTCGCACTCTACAGTCCCCAAATAAGGAGACTAAGCAGCTATTACACTGTGTCGTCAGTAGCAGATGTTGAAATGTGTTCCCCATATACAAGACGCTAAAGGATTGCAAAGCTAATAACCACCCCATACAGAACAAGATGCTAAGACATTGCAAAAACAATCAAGACCAGAACAAAGAATAGGAAAAACACAGTTGTTCATATTAATTCTGTCTTTTGTACCAGTAGATATCTCCCCAAAGGGAGGTGCACCATTCCTGGAAGTACTGCAATACCAGGTCGATGCGTGGAGTAGATGGAGCAAGCCCCTATTCCACCTCCCAGCTCCAAAAATCCATTTAATATATAGTCCTCAAATAAAGGACATATCAGATATTAAACTGATAAGAACAGATACTACACTTGATCTTAGCCAAAAGGCCGAGAAGCGATACCGACACACGGCCAGAAGCCGAAGGCATCGGCTCCAAGGGAATCCTCGGTTTCTGAGAGCAGCAGCAAACCGCGAGCGGTCCTGCCGAACAGCCCGGGCGGCCCAACTTGCAAGTGCCACGAATATACTCAGAACACGCACCGCCCTCGGCCACGGCTGCGAAAAGCCTCTTTCCAGGATAGCTTGCGCCCCAATTTTGCGCCTTCTGCCAATCTCGTCAATTTCACGACTTCCTGCCTCCTCCATTGGTGCGCGATTTGCATGGCCCCGCCCACTCACTGCTCCTCCCCAGGATCAATGCATTCATTCACCTGCCGCGTTCGGCTTCGCTCCCGGGGCCGCGCCGTTCGCATCAAATCGATCTGCCTGAATCGGCACTTTGCTTGATCCGGCCGATTCTCGCCCCCGCGCCCGCCCCCAGTGAACAGTGGTAACTTCAACTCTCGAAAAACTGGGGGCCAGAATACAGGAAGAAAATAATACCTCTAGCTCACAAAAAGAGATTTCCACCAGCCTCCTCCAATGCGGTGCCCTCCAGGTGTTTTGGATTACAAATCCCAGCATTCCTGACCACTGCTGCCGCCCCCCCCCTTTGGAGCTGATAGGGAAAGGCTGTTCTGCACACATCTCTCCTTCCCATAATTAACTTATTCCTTCTCAAGAGGTTTCTTCTTAAAGTGGTCTGACTTTTGCATTTCAAATGTGAGCAAAGTGTCCATGCTTTAAATTGTGTCCCAAAAGCAGCTCCTTAACGAGTTCCCAAATCCACAGCCCCCTCTTCTGTTACCCATGAACTATTTCTAGAAGATATTAAACTACATAAACATGGAGATGTGAAAGCCTGAAAAAATAAAAAAAAGTAGGACAGAAAAATTAGGAGAAAAATGCTTTCTTTTCCCGGACTTTTTAAAATTAAAAAATGTTGTTTCTCCAGGTTTTTTTTCACATCATTCTGTAAGCGTTCCCATCTAAAACCTACCATTTTGCCAGTGAATTTAAGCCAATTTAGACATTAATTACTACTTCAACCCAAGGTGTTATGAAGGTGTAAATTAGGTTAAGATGCAATCCTCTGCATATTTCCACAGAAAATAAGCCCGCAACTAACTGCCAGCATACCTGAGCCAGCAAGGCCAGGAAGAGTATGCTAGGAATTGAAGGCACTCTCCTTTTCCTCTCTATGCATGGCCAGGATTGCAGATTTAGCCATGTTTATGGCCTGTGGACTTAGCATTACTATAAAAAATATTAATGCCATGGTCTATCATAGGAGTACAAACCATTCAGGATCCGATCCATATCAGCAAGGGTAAGGTTGCAGTGGTGAAATTTGCAATCCTTTAAAAACCGCCAGAACTGAAGCTTCGTCATCAGGAAAGTGTTGTCAAGAGAATGGTCGTATCCTAGACTGCTATAAAAGGTGTAGATTCTCCTCAGTTCGGAGATATGTCTCAGCACAGCAAACTCTGTCTGGAAAAGAAAAAATGGAATGAGACATGTCATTCTTTCTCTACCTTTATTGTGTTCTTGCTTGTCTGCTTTCTCTTCACAAGCAGCCATGTGAATCAAAATCAGAAATGTATAAGCAACTGCATACCTGCTTGATTTCTTCTTTCCTGTCTTTCTCTGGAAATATCGCCAACAAAGTAGATATATCTATTTCAATGCTTGAGCCCAGTGCAGCTGAACCTCCAGTACCATCAACAACTTTGATGCTCTCTGTGCGAGAAAAAAAAGAAAGAAATCAAAATGCACCTTTCTTCATTACCATGAAGCGAAACGATGGTGAGGGCAGCGGAGGGTTCGGCAGAGGTTGGTAGCAGGCATCTGACAAGTGAGGTGGATGAGGGAGCGGAAGGGGTGTGCATCAGATTTACAGGTGACAGAAAGCTGAAAGCGGTAACTAACACTTCCAAGGAGCATGGGGAAGTTTATAGTGTTCCTCCCGTATTTTATCCTCACAACAATCCTGTGAGGTAGGTCAGCTTTAGAGAGCCTGAGCTCAGGGCTCTGGAAAGAGTAACCCACACACCACATTGCCCTCACCTGGGTTAAAAAGCTGTTCTCCCAGTACTCGCTGTTTGTTACCATCGACAACTTATGAATGAATACAATGGGCATAATGAACATTGTTTTTAAATCATGGGGAAGTGCCTGATAAATTGCCAAAGGTCTTCCTCCAGCAACACCTGAAACTGCTCACCAGTATCAAAGGGGCTCTTTGTAAGAATGCGGCTCAGATCTTCCACGCCCATAGTGTCAGCTTGAAAAGTGGGATATTCCGCTATATGGTCATATATGAATTCACCTTCGTACACACGTCCATTCTTGAACACGAGCTTCCCCTGAGGAAAAACCGAATGTGTGTTCACACTTACAGCCCAGAAACTAAAGGCACCTACATAATTTCACTCTGGATTCCATTGGTTAGTTGTCCTGGGGTGTGCCAGAATACTGGAAGAATGAAAAAGGCTGCTGGAAACTAGGAATACCTCCACTATACAGTGGTAAAGTTTGATGTCCAGGGACTCATAACCGCCCACTCAAATAAATAAAAATAAAAAAAATCAGACTGCTGCTTGATCCATGTCAGCGCACCAGATATAGCCATTTCTATCCCCAACCAAGAGCAGCTCTTTTATTTATTTATTTATTTATTTTATTAAAACATTTCTATGCCGCCCCATTCGCCGAAGCCTTGGAGCAGCTCACAACATGAAGAAAATACAAAAATAACAGTATAAAAATAACAATATAAAATAAATAACAATATAAAATAAGTCACCCTGGCCAGATAAAATAAGCAAATACTGTTAACAATTAAAATGACGCTTAAATAAAAAGGTCTTCGCCTTGTGCCGAAAAACAAATAACGACGGTGCCAGGCGGACTTCTCTGGGGAGCGCATTCCATAGGGCTAATATAGTGCTAATAAATCCTAATTGCCCATTCAAGACCATTCCACCCCCCTCAAAAAAAAATATTTTGCATTACAAAGGGGAATACTTTGTTCTTGGGAAAGGGAATTCAGCCTAGTCCCCACTCCCAAGCAACTGTGAGGGTGGCAGGTACACTCAGAAAGAAAAGGGAATCGCTAAGGGGAGGGTCTAAGGACAGTACAGTCCTCCCATGAACCCTGGCTCCACTTCACCATAGCCACGGATATGAGCAGAGCGCCACTAAGGGATCTCAGCTGCGGACTAGGAACGACTCCCAACTGTTTCACGCTTATGTATGGTGTTTATTTTGATGAATATGACTTAACCATGTATAATCTCTCTCTCTCGTTATATTGCTGTATCAAACAAGCTGAGAGCTGCTTCTGAGCCCTCCTGAACCGGCACGCGAAAGCTTACCATGCCGTGCTTTTTGTTGTAAACCCACTCCCCGTCATACATCGCTCCGCTGGCAAAGAAGAACTTGCCACTTCCATGACGATCCCCATAGACAAAGTCGCCCACGTATTCGTTCCGTAGGGGGTACTGTGACCCGGGTATTCTCCTCAGATACCAGGTGTGGGTGCCATAACCATGCTGAAAAGAGCAAACCATGGTCAGAACGGCCATTCCGGGACTGCACATGCATTCGCTGGACAGATCGAGCTGCGTGACGAGACAGTCTCTATTTCACTGGAAATCTTGGCTTGAAGGACACCTTCGCTTGAAATAAGGACCACTCTGCTTTCCACTGCTTTAATGCATTTCAGTTCTAAAATGGTTTCAAAAGCGTTAGAATTGTTTCAAAGTTTGTCTGGTTCTAAGCTTGAATGTTTTTAAATGGCTGTACCTCTGTACATGGACTCTATTCGGGCTGGGTTTATCAATAGTTCAATTATTATCCAAGGTATGTTTCATCAGAGAACTTTAGACAGTGCCAGGCAAGAGTATATTATTCTCTGTGAAATTCGACTTAAAAAAGAGGGCTGTTCTCCTTAATTCTTCCTAATAGGTTTCATAATGGGAAGCCAATGACTGCCTTCCTAAGTTTATTTCCAGGATGTTCTGTCACCTGGAAAGGTGGGAGAGGTGGGTGGTAAAGATGGCTGAAATAAAGTCAGTTCATGTAACGATGTGCAAAATCCAAGCGCTTCTCTTGATTCATCTCCTACCTGGACGCCACTAACCCACTTCCCTGTGTATTCCTGATTCATCGTGAGCCATCTCATCCGCCCTTCGCCGTGGCGCATGTCCCTTTCCCACTGGCCTTCGTAGATATTTCCAGATTTATAACTATTGAAGAAACACACGAACAAGAAAACTAAACAATGCAACACGGACCGACCAGTGCATTATGAGTGCCACCTGAGGGTCTTCCCTGAGGAAGGTTTGGAAGATGGGTGCTCCCACTGTCATTTTTCTGGCGGTAGATTAGTACCTTCCTCTACTCCCAGGCATCTGCCAGAGCGTCATACAATTTTTGACAAGTCCTGGGATTTTATTGTCAATTGCAAAAAGGTTTTATATTTTTGTATGCAGAGGACTGTGTATTACATTCTAATACTGTATTTTTAGAGGTTTGATCTATTATGAGCTGTCCAGAGAGTTTTCAGCATAGAAATGTGAGGAATGAATGCAGTTGTCACATACATATTAAGAAAAACAAATGTTTTAAAATGGACCCAAGCTCCATACCTGGATTTATGGAATTCAGTGACTGGAGAGCAGCCTCTCACTGGTGGTTTCAAAAGGACATTCAACACTTTAATGGAGAGGGAGAGGTTTGTAAAGATAGTCCCAGTGACTACATGGGACCTCCATGTTCAGAGACAGTCTATCTGGGAATAACAGGAGCTTTCCTCCCAATGCAAAAAGCAACTTTGAAGAAGCAATTTTCATCAGGGAGAAAAAGGTTAAATTCTCCCTTTTCCCAGCTGTTGCAACCTGGATCATTATTGTCCCCCGCCCCAGGCCAGTAGCTGTTATGTGCCATGGCAAATGGCAAAGCTTCTCTTTTGGCCACAGTTAAACAGCAAATTTTTGAAGCCTTCCCTTCTCCCACTAGCTGGAAAGTGTTACCTTCCCAAACTTTTGAGATTTTCCACTATTAAAGAACATTATTGCTTTGTTACTAAACTCCTAAACACAGTCTGAAATATGCTATTAAAGAGAGGTGCACGCGTGCCCTGCGCTCTGTGTACTGCAACCTCCATCACAGGAATAAAAAGGGAAGCACACATGGATGCCAGGACTTCCTTGGAAGGAGAGTGCAGCTGACAGACACATACTGAATAAAATCAGAGATTCCTGTAGCTACATGCTAAACCAAAAACATTCTCAAACTCACCATCTTATCCCCCATCCACTTTTTACATTGTTTACAAAGTCGCCTTCATACCAGGAAGAACCTTCCTTGTTATAGTAGATGGTTCCCTAAAACCCAAATCATACAAAGAATATAAAGAACTGGAGTTTATGTGCCCGCAGCAGGCTTTTTACACATGTTGAATGTACACATTGTTGGTTATGGAAGCTTCTAAATTAACTAAATGTACAAACATTTTAAAAACATACAATGGTCTAAGGTCTAAAGCAGCACCTTGCCCAGCTTGATTGCTTAAAAATGTATCCTTATGGTCTAAGGAATACTATTTAACTACCTGATGTTTTCTAATAATTCAGCATTCTCTTCCTGACACTTAGCATCCTATGGCAGAGGTGAGCAGCTTGTGACCCTCACTTGGAGGGAGAGGGAGAGCCAGCCAGCCAGCCCTGGTGGGTTATTCAGCAGCTTATAAATTTAAACATAAACAAACAATTAAAAATAAATCCAAAGGGTGGAAGCAGCAGGTAGGAATAGGAAAAAGGTTTTTGGGGAGAGTTCTTTCCTCTCAAGGACTTTATTTTTCTAACAGAAATAATTGGCCATTTGGACAACACTGGGGGCAAAACATCTAATTAAAGCTTTTCTCTTGGTATGCTTTTCATGATGAGGTTTTATTTACTCAGCATGTAGACAATCTAACTATGAAAGAAGTCAGTATTTTGAAATAGGCCATATGTTTTCCGTATTGTTTCTGACACAGTTTCTGCTCAAATGCACTTCCACTTGCTTATTATAAAATCTGTCGTTTTGATTCTCAACTCCCCCCTCTACCACTTTTCCAACGGCAAAACAAAGATGCATGTGTTTGGGCAGACGAGGATGAAGAAATTCATAGGTCTTGCTTTCATGCAAATAGGTATATTTGCGCCGAAGGACCTCCCTCTTACTGGTGTTCGCTCTACTTGTCTGGGTGGACAGCAGCCCCAAAACATGATTCTCACAAAGACTAAAAGGAGGGCGGCCATCAGTCACCTTCCTATCCAAACCCACTTCAAGCAACCAAATACATCAAGACCAGCCCTTGACTCTGCCAGAGCTCTTGTCAAGGGGGATACCCTTCGTGCCTGGAGTCCAACTGTCCAAGCAATGCTTTAGACAGCTCGCTTCAGTTACCTTGCCATGCCTCTTGCCTTCAACCCACTGGCCAATGTATGAAACAGGATGGGTGCCGCACTTGTACATGCCAAAGCCATGCCGGATCCCATTCTTCACTTCACCTTCATACCTGCTGCCATCCGGCCAGGTGTAACTGCCATGATGCATCTGCACGTTCTTCACAAAGTTTCCCTTTAAAGACGAGTGTACAGGAAAAAGAAATCACTGCTCAAAGCAGCAACTTCTTATTTCACCTGCAAATTACACTGAAGTAAATTATGGGTTTTGTTTTTGCTTCTAATGGAAGAGCATCCCGAAAATAAGATTACATGGTGCCCATTTTTCTGAGTGGTAAGAAGTTCCAGGGACAGCACTAGAGAGTTTGGATTCCTCTGGAGATTTAGGGCATTCCTATAATAGTTGCTTTTTTTACATATAACCAAGCTGAAAATAAGAGGAGGCGAGCAACAGGCAGCCCTCCAAAGCAGCATTGTTTCAAACTATTTTTAATTGACAATGTTATGTTTTACTGATAATAGCAACAAGTAAGAACAACACAGTCACACTGTAACAGAATAAACATGCAAATGTCACCAGGCATTTTTCTAATCTCCAATCAGGAAACCAGCAAAAAAGAGTTTTACAAAAAGGGTGCAAAACCTCAGGCCTTAGAGCCAAATCTCACCTTCTTAGGGTCCCAAATCCAGCCCTCCAAGGTCCCTCAGACATCCACACACCCTTTCGTCTGATCACTGATCTTTTAGCGGTTTCTTAGTTTTTGTGCATTTTTTCATCATTCTCAAAGGTAGAAAATGTCTTTCCTAAGGCTTGGTTATTGGCAGCAAGAGCGATCAGTTAAAATATGCTAGCTTTCTGGTCTTGCCCAACCCTGAATGCAGCACCCTGAAGCCAGTGGTGGGGAATGTATGGCTCCCCAGAGGTTGTTCAACTGCAGCTCCCACCAACCCCGGCTAGCATAGCCAATGGCGAGCTGCCGTTCAACACTTTCTGGAAGTCCCTCTGCTCCTCTTCCCTCTCGGATGCAACCCCTACAAAAAACTGCTGCTCATCCCAGCTCACCATCCAAGCACACTTCCTTCGGCTGAGGGGACGGAAATTATCCATGGATCAAGAGCTTGGAAATGCCTACTCCCTGCACAGAGAAAAGCACAAGCCTTCTCCCAGCCACTGGCTCTCGCTGAGGAAATGTCAGCTGAATGCACTCTGCAGATTTGCCTTCCTCAACCTGGAAGTGTGCTGGACTGTAATCTCTACAACTCGCAGCTAGCAAGCCCCCCGGCAGCCCAGCACCTCTGCTGGGTCCCGAGTTGGGGCAGGCTGCTGCGGATTATAATGATCAAACCACTGACGTCCTGAAAGTCCAGCAGACGGGAAGTTTCACCACCTGGTTGCCCATGCAGCCAACTGCCATTTAATACTGCGTTTTACCTCATACTGCACTCCATCAGCCCAGGTGTAGGTTCCATGTCCGTGCATGAGGCCTTCCGAAAACATGCCCTTAAACGTGAAATGCAAGCGCATCAGTGCATCTCCCTTTAGAACACCTAAGCAGTAAGAAAAGCTCCAAGAAAATCCTTGCTGTTGTTTCCCAGCTTGAGGCTGGAGCTCGGATGAGGCACGGCGCATACCTCTGCCTGCAGGGACTCCCCCTTGCGATTCACCCAGAAAAGACGCCAGTCTGAAACCCAGCGTGGTTGCTGCCTGTCAGTGCAGAGCAGACTATCCCAGGCAGGAGTCTTCCAGGTGTACTGGACTACAACTCGCACCATTCCCAGCCACGCTGGACCTGCTGGCTGTGGATGATGTGAGTTGTAAGCCAATGCACCTGGGGAGCTCCAACTTGGGGAAGACTGGGGTAGGTTAACGACGAACCTAGAGACATACCGGGGGTGGGGGTTGTTTGGGTTTTTTGCATTGTCAGAGATGGTAAAATAGAGGCCTCAAACCTGGAATGCTCACGCTAAGCCTACTGGCATCTTTGCTTAGAGCTTTTCAGGGTGGCCACTTGTGCGTTACCAAAAGAAAGAAGGACCAAATAAGGCACACGCCGGCATGACATTTCTATGTGCTGGTTTCTATGTACCAATGCAGTTTTACACATAATTGCTATGGCTTAAATAAGACACAATGTGACCAAGAGACCTCTGGTCCTCCTTGAGTCTTCCGTCCAGATGCTCGCTGTTGATGGGAAACGTCAAGGCCCGTGGTCCTCTTGCTTATGGTTCTTTAGCTTTAAACAAGAGTAGGAATGGACACCCCTTCAATCAAAGGATGCCTTCAAATTCAGGGCTGCCCTTTGTGAGGCAGGACGCTGACAACTCTTACAGCTTCTGCAAGTATTTGCAGTGCTCCAAAGTCCTGTATATTCCATTTGACAAGTGAAACGGGAAAAAGTCTTCAGCCTTACCAGCTTCGATTTCTTGCAAACTGTTCACTCCCTCCAACGTTGGCAACTTGCAATATGGAAACATAACTGGGGCAGGTGGGTCTAAATAACCCGCCTGCCCCAGTGCAATATGAAAACATAAATGGGGCAGGTGTGAGCAGACTTTAGGCTTACCTGATCTACTTTTTTTTATTGTTGCTGATTTTACTAAAATTGCAGATCTCACAAACAAGAGCAATCTGCAGAATTGTGACCCAGTTGGGTGGGCATATGCTCACAGTTAAGAAACAGGATGCCTTTGGATCTGGGAACCAAACTCGTAAGTCCTTTCATGCTCATGTGCACTCATGTTTTTTTTTCCTCCCAAGTGTTATTTTTCAGCAACCTAACTTGGGGGTGGGGGGAGATTTAGTTGCCATCATTAGACAATGGGGAGCCACAAACCTGTTCGTTAACTGCAAATCACTCAGGGATTTATCTCCTGCCTGCCCCTATTATAGAAGATCCAGAAACTGGTTTCATGATCTGTAAATTCAGGAAAAGTGGGGAACAGGTTGTGTCAGTCTTTTGTGGACAATTCCTTCTGCATCTTCAGCTGCTTGGGTTGAAGATTTAGATGGCAATAGTCCACAAAGCCCTGACGGCGCCTTACCGGTTTCTTCCCCTTTGCTATATTCTGAGAAAACCTAGTTTATTTACACATCAGTGGGTCTAAATAACTTGTGTCTACCATCCACTGCCACCTTAGCCCCAGAGGCAAAAAGGAAGAAGTCACAAGGAATGGAGAAATGCATCCATGCAAGTCCATCTCATAGTTGCAAGGAATAAGACTGCCCTACTGCCTTCTCTGCGGTGGCGCCCCGTCTATGGAATGCGCTCCCCAGAGAGGTCCGCCTGGCGCCGTCATTATATGTTTTTCGGCGCCAGGTTAAGACCTTTTTATTTGATCAACATTTTAATAAGTTTTAATATTGAATTTTATCACCATATTTCAATTGCAGCCAGAGTGGGTCATTAATTTATTTATGTTATGTTATGTTAGGTATTTGTATTTTATTTGTGTAAGCCATCCTGAGGCTCTTGCAAAGGACGGCATACAAATATCTTAAATAAATAAAAATAAATAAATAAAATGCTTTAATATGTCCCAAAGATATAGCACATGGAGCCCAACATTAAATATACTGACCTTGTATACATTGCCTCCTTGAAATTTGGCTGTTCCTTCTCCCTCATACAATCCATGGACCTTTTCTCCTTCATAGCTACAAGACAAGCAAGCAAACAGTAAAAATTGATATGCTGTGCATAGATCAATATCACTAGCAAACAGTGTCATTCTGAACACAGATAAAGGAACACTCCTGGGTATCAAACTGAAAACCAGCCTTTCTTGCCAGAAGTACACCAGTAGCAGGGATGGAGAAACTACACGCAGTTAATTTTCCTCTTCTATGCATTGGAATCCTCTTAAAGGCACAAGAACACTCTCAGTGCAGCGCAACTGGCAGTCTTCGCGCGCGCGCGCACACACACAAACGCACGCAAGCGCCTATCTCAGGATTCTGGAGAATCCTGGACTATCATGAATAACGTAACAGGTTCTGCCTGCTAGTGTGAGCTGCTAAACCAACCAGGAACTGAAAGCTTTCTGTCTTGTCACTCCCAGTCAGTCCAAGATTCATAAGCCAGAACAAACCTTGACTTAGATACTGGAGCATCTAACCAGGATCTCTGATCGAGAGCGCCTGATAAGCTCTCAATTCACAGCCAGTGTAGCAGCTCAGGTTAGGAGGAGCCAGTAGTGGTGCAAAGTTGGTTCAGAAAAAGCCAGAATTCTCTGGAATTCTTTGCAAACTTGATTCTCTCCAAAGAGCAATTTTCAAGTCCTTTTTATTGAGGCATTTCTAGAACATGTTATGATATCTTACAGAAGCCCAACCCATCTTTCTATCCTCCTCTCGGTTAAAAAAAAAAAAAAAATCCAGAACAGGTAAAAGGAGGCATTCCTCCACCCAGCACACAGTTGCCACCTTCAAGATGACCACCAATCCTGACAGCTTTGAAAGGGTAAAGTACCCCTTCAACCTCATGGAGCATCAAAGTGTCAGGAGCCACTGGCCATGATAGCTGGTCATGATATTACTCCTTTCGGCATCTGAGTACTAGTTGCAAGGAGTACAGGCAGGACAGTGCTACTGCAAGCGCATCCTGGTTGTGGGCTTTCTGGAGCCATCAGGTTGGCCACTGGGAAAAAAGAATGCTGGACTAGATAGGTCTTTGGTCCAATCCATCCAGCACAGCTCTTCTTATGTTCTTAAGATGAAGGACTGGGTGAACAACACTTAACAGACACGTGTGTCTGTCCGGATGTTTTTACTTAACTTCCTGGTTTACCTTTCAACAATGAGCTGCGTGAGAATCGGCTCCTCATACTCAATGAGTTCTGGGACTGGGGGTGCCTCTGTCTCTTTTACTTCTTCTTTGGAAGCCAACTGGGCAACTAACTGTTCGTCCACTAGACTTGCAGGTGGAGGAATGTTCTGGAGGGAAGTAGCAACGTCAAAAGATGGATCTTTTGCAGGGGGAGGTAAAGACTTCTCTCCCTTTTTACTGTCTTTCTTCTTATCTTTACCCATTTCTGTTCAAATCTGGTCTGCCTGGAGTTCACATCTACACATTTCAAAATGTGCAGTTCCTTTTTATCTGGAGGGACAAGATCATACATTTGATACATTTGCTTTGTGGCGACTTCACAAGAAAACTGTTTCCATTTTTAGCACTTCCACTTTATACACAAAAGAAATGAAGATGAAGCACTTAATACCTGCTACAATGAAAGATAAATTTTTAGGATGTAATGAGAGCCAGAGTGGTGGAGTGGTTAAGAATGCGGGACTGGGACTCAGGTGACCTGGGTTCTAGTCCCTGCTCAGCCATGCAGCCGGGACTAGACTTTGGGCCAGTCACAGTCTCTCAGCCCAACCTACCTCATAGGGCTGTTGTTGTGGGGATAAGATTGACAGCAGGAGAATGATGTAAGCTGCCTTTTCCTTAAAAGCAAACAAGACTGGCTATAAATATTTTTAATTTTATTTATTACATCTTTATACCACCCCACAGCCCACTGGGCTCTCTGGGTTGTTTACAAATTTAAAAATATATAACAGCAGTACAATAATCATAATTAGATAAACAAAATAATGAAACCAATATAACAAAGTTGATAACCTACAGCGATTAAGGTAAAATAGATGCATGGTGTAACAGTGGATATAATAAAGACAAAATTAAACAGATCTTATCCATCAAAATATTGTGCATGATCTTAGGATTCGAATAGGAACATACTGAGCAAGGTGTTGCTTCAGATATCCTGGCCCCAACGCAGCTGAATGAGGACTGGCATTATATTACAAACAAATTCAACTATACAGTATATTTATTTTAAAACACATACACCTCCATCTTACCACGAAGTCCCATGCTCTTCTGAAGCCTTTTGGAACCAAATCACAAAGATAATTACTAAGGTAATTACTAAGACTATGTACTGCATCTGGAAACCTGTTAGTCAGTGCAGAGACTTTAAAATCACAAATTACAAAGGTAATTACTAAGACTATGTGCTGCATCTGGAAACCTGTTAGTCAGTGCAGAGACTTTAAAATCAGCAATATATGGTCTCCCTGTGATGTTCTAAAGACCAACCTGGCTGCCTTATTTTGTACTAGTTGCAGTTTCCAGAGTAGGCACACAGGTGTCCCCCAACAATCGTGTCATTTTCTCCCCAGCAAGGTTTTCATGATAGCAGGTTAAGCATTTTCCCTATTCCCAAGCATTTGTAGGAATATTGTGGGCTAGTTTGTGATCATTTCATTTATTTATGTTTTACTTGTTTTATGGGGTGGTTGTATTGTGGTGTGTAAGTCTTTCAGCTTTTAATTTTTTATGTGTTAAGTCACCATGAGTCTATTTTGAGAAAAGCCCTTTCTAACCTGCCTGCCTCCAAGGGGAGCTAGGCTGGCGAGTTCAAGCCCGTTCGGTGGTGGCCCCCCACATCTTTGGAATCACCCTCCATCAGGGAATCAGCAGACCCTTTTTCTACTTTTTTGTTTGGTTGTTTGTTTGAAACATTTCTAAGCCGCCCAATTGTGCCACTGCACCTTTTTCAGGAAAGCTCTAAAGACTCGGCCAAGAAGTTTTGGTTTTATTCATTTTAAACAAATGAATAACTTTATGCAATAAATGCATTTAAATAATAAACAAACAAACAACCTGGTGCCTGACAGGTGCACCCTTTGGACATTCGTGGGGTGTATAATGGAGGTGCCTTCCAAGGATGTGGGTTTATGTATGTTTGCATGTATCTATTTCATTCCTCTCTATACCATCCCACAGCCAAAGCTCACTGGATTGCATTGATTGATTGAATGATTGATTGATTGATATCCCACCTTTTTCCTTACCAAGAACTTAAGGCCGCTTATATCATTCGCCTCTTCTTGTTCTCCACATTAACCCAACAACAACCTTGCGAGGTAGGCTGGCCCGAGCGTCTGCGACTGGCCCAAAGCCACCCCGTGGGCTCCAGGGCCGGGCGAGGACCGGCCGTTCACTTACAGCGGAAAACGGAGGCCCAGCCGCCTCGCACGCTCCCTCGGGCCTTTCGGGCCTCCGACCTGGAGCCGCGGCGTGCTAGGCCCGGGCGGCTACCATGGCAACCGCGCGCGCCCTGCTCTTAAAGGGCCCGCCGCCCCAGAGCCCGCCTCGCTGCCGCGCCGCCGAGTGCCCGAGAGGGAGCCGGGTCGGCCCCGGAGCGCTGGCTGCCCGAGGGAGCGGGCGAGGCCGCAGAGGCGCTGTGTGGTTCTCTACCAATGCCCTCCTCACCCAGTCCAGACATGTGTTTTTTATTTTATTATTTGATTTAACAAGGATGTAAATGTATTATTCCATGCAATACAATAGAGGGTACCAAAAATGTCCACACATTTTAAGAAAGGAAAAAACCTGTGTTATTTATGTAAAACATCTGTATGCCACCCAATTTTGCCGCAGCACCTCTGGGCAGCTCACAAACACAACTGTTTCACAGACAAAAACTGTCGCAGGGTGATGCTAGCAATAATTCATTTGATGAATGCTGTCTTTTGAGCAAATGTCATACTACACATGGTTACCGTAATTCAATGCAACTTCGAAAAATAATACATAGATAACATCTCTTAAAACGTCTATAAATTTTGGCACCCCCTGTATAAGATAATATTCAACAATAACCTAATTTATTATTTCAATTTATATGTCACTATGTTAGCCCAAATTTGGGCTCTCTGAGCAACTTACAGAATGATAAGAAAAGACATTTTAAAATCTATATAATGGAACCATTTGAGTCTCCCAGGATGCTTAAGCAAATTGTGAGAAAATTATTACTGGGGGCAGGGATGGGAAACGTCTCACCCTTCAGACAGTGTTGGACCGCAGCATTTATCCTTCCTCACCACTGGCTGGCAGGAGGTGCAGTCCAACAACATCTGGAGAGCCCAGAAATTGTACTGGGGAGCCAGTCCAGCTTAAGGCAAGGAAAATGATTTCCTTTTCTGTTTTCTGACAGCTTTCCAGATATAATGAATCCCAGTACTCCGGAGTTGACCCTTTTCTATCCACAGTCTGTCTCTTTCTTCTCCTATCATCTTTTCAGACCCTGCTCAAGTTTACAGCATATACACATTTTTAATTTTAACAGTTATTCACCACTAAGAACTACCAAAACTGTGATTAATCTGGGAGGACAGGATCTATGGTTATCTCTCTAGTTACTAAAATTCCATGATACTGAATTCCTAAAAAGTTCACATCTTAAATAATTGAAATATAACTAGAGAAAGAACCTGAAGAAATGCCGAGACACATTTTGCAGCCAAGCCATCCAATGAAAACTTGAAGAACTTCTGTATATAAAACACTTTATTATAAAATGATTCTTCTATACAAATGTGAAGTCACCCAAACTGAAAATGCAAGTACATTTATATTCTTTTATATACAGAAAAAATGTTTATAGCATGTTACTACTGCAATGCCATGCACTAATAAAAATGGCTACTAAATCATTCCCTAAAAGTAAAAATGAAGGCAGAGGTGGCCCAACAGACAGAAAGGGCAATTTCTTGAGTTATCAACATTCCAGAGGTGCTGAGTTACTCTGGAAAGTCCATGTTTTGCTTCCTTCACCCCCACATGCAAGATCCTTGAAACAGAGGCCTGGAGCCCCTGCAGAATTGCCCAAACTACACTCATTCTCTTCATTCTTTTCACTTACTGGAGAAGAGAACAAGAAATTTCAATTTGGAAAATCTTTGGGAAGAAGATGACAAACCTGTTCCACCTTGCACAGATGCAGAATTAGAGTAACAAAATTAAATTCTTGGAAGACAGCATGTAATTTCCACAAGCCCAGTTGGGGCATTTCATTCCTGCATACAATATGCAGTGGGACCTTGCAAAAGCACTGGCACTGCTGTAAAGGAATTTGTGCCCATGTCATGATGCTGCATCTTCACCGATCTGAAGATCCCGTGGCTTGGTATGTTGTAGGGAAGGCAGCTGATGGATGAGCCCCTTCACGCCCCTCTGCAACGCCTCCCAGGGCCGGCCCGCCTGCCCGTTTGTTCCAGCTGTTACTCTTTCACAGCAAACATGGTCTTTGAGCGTTTGGCCAGGCAACATTAAGGACTGCGTCACGGTAAAGCAGGGGTTCCAAAAGAAAAGGAAGTGCGCTCGCAAGGAAATCATTGGTTCACTCTACTCAGAAAGCACGGAGAGGGTCCGTTAGTCTTGTGAAAGCAAGGCTAGACTGGCTATGTGCCTTATTGTCGGTCTTCCATGCGGACAGTTCCAAGGATGCTCTATTTCCCCCATGTGAGTGATCAGTTTCTTCATCTCCTTTACATTAAGTGCTGTTCCAACCATCACCTGCAAGGGGGGGAGACAAACAGATAAACGCAACACTGAGTACTCATGTCCCCCAGTTTTAGTAAATCGTGTGCCACCGTGCCACTTTTTTTAATCTTGAAAGGAACTTCCCTCCGAGAATGTTTGGCTCAGTTCTTCTTCTGGAGCTTTATTATAGCCAAATGCTTCTAAATACTAAACAATTTGCTGCATATAAAAGTGTAGCCGTGATGGGGAAAGGGTTCTAGCCTAGCCTAGCCTAGCCTTTCCTGTTATGTGCAAGGACTGCTTTATGATGCGCAGGACCTCCTCACAAGCCCAAAGCAGCACAGAGCCCAGCAGATTTGCCCAAAGACAGCCTGGTCAGTTGCTAGCTTTCCTGAAGAGTGACTTGAAGTGGGATACAAGGGGTGGTCAGCTGGTCAGGAAGATTTCCTAAAGTGAATTGCCTAGTGCCGTGATGGTGAACCTTTTAGAGACCGAGTGCCCAAACTGCAACCCAAAACCCACTTATTTATCACAAAGTGCCAACACTGCAATAAAACCTGAAAACCGCCAGTCCAAGCAAATATATATATATCTCCTTGGCAGCACACTGACCGGCCCTGTGGAAGCTGGGTCGCAGCTAATGAGTCGCAGCTAATGAGTCGCAGCTAAAGAGTCGTGGCTTGTGACGTCATCGCCTGGCACCGCAACTCCTTTCTGAGCATGCGCATGGCCCCTATGTGCGGTGCTATCCGATGCTGGGCTGCTGGGGTGACTTGGCTCACGTGCCGACAGAGAGGGCTCTGCGTGCCCGCTGTGGCACGCCTGCCATAGGTTCGCCACCACTGGCCTAGTGAGTTTTGTTATCAGATGCTACTTTCTCCACACCCCTTTTTCTCCTGTAAATCACCAAGAGTGGTGGTTGGCTCTGGAACTGCAGTGACAAAATAACTAACTTCTATAAAACAGGAAAAACTTGGGGTGGAAAAGAAAGTGCGCATGCTATCCACAAATTCAAAATGAAGCAAAGTTTGTATTATAAATATTAAATAGGCAGTGGAAATAACTGAATGGCTTTATTTAGCCATCTAGCAAATACAGAATGTTTTCAAATACACAAAACTTAAAAATGCACAACAGTACGCAATCTACTGAATAATTTAATAGATGAATAATAATTAAATACTTACAGACTTTCTACATGCGCGAGATGCAAACATCTGCCTTACTCTGGAGGGCCTGCACATCACTCCTGGGGAATCACTTAGCATGAATATTAACTCCTCTATATCTTGCAGACCAAAAGTCCAGTTTTTGCTTGTTGGTAAAGATATGAGTTTAACCCTTTGGGTTACTGGAGCTGAAAGATGTCAATATCATAATTTAAAAACCCACGTGTCACTGTAAAGGAAATTAGGGTGCGTGTTTTTAACGCCACAACAGCAATTTGTGCTTATTCACATGCATTAATTCTCTACTTATAATCCAACACTTGAACTTTAAGATTTGCACCTAGCATCTAATGCTTAGCATAGAAGACCATTCAGTTGAGCCTAGTTTAGAGCGAGTCAGTGTAACAAAAGGGCTTTTTGAAGGTGGAGACTTTTAGAGTAAAATAAGACACAGTTTTAAAAATTACTTAACATTCTGACTTTTTTTGCAGTTTGGTTGTTTAATAAGGTTTGGAAAATTGCATGATGTATTTTTTAAAACATGGAGCTGATCCACTCAGTGTTTTAAGTTAGCTAAGAAAGAGTACACCACGTTATTTTTTTGGTCATGCCATCAACACAGGAGAGACAGGAAACACCCTTGTTTCACTTCTTGTTCCTTCACATCTCAATCTTGCCCAAAATAGAACTTTCACTCTTGAGCCTCCACAGACACACACTTTCCCTTCATCACAAGTTGCCTGTGTGGTGTGTATAATATGAAAGTATGAGAGAGAGGGAGGGAGGGGGGAGGGAGAATAAGAGGTGGAGAAGCAGGAGGCCCAAAGCAACGCCAAGAAATTACCTTGCAGCTACGGTTGCTCTAAAGACTGTTTCATGTGTTACCCACAACATGGGTAACATGTTGCTCTAAAGACTGTTTCATGTGTTACCCACAACATGGGTAACATGTTGCTCTAAAGACTGTTTCATGTGTCACCCACAACATGGGTAACATGTTGCTCTAAAGACTGTTTCATGTGAGCCCCTTTCCCATGGCTTGCTTCTTTCCATGATGTTCCAGAAACAGTGACGAAGGAGCCATCATGGTCAGGGAATCTCTCACCTGCAGGACCATGGCTTCCCTGACTTCCATGGCTTTCCACTTTGGAAGGGATCACAGCACTGAGCATACGCCCAAAGTGCAACCCTGCACAGGTTTAGGCAGAAAAAAAACCTTTCTTGCTGGCTGGGGGGTTCTGGAAGTTGTGGTCCTTTTTATTCTTAAACATAGAATGATGTCTGAAAGCCCTTTCAGTTTAATAAGTAGATAGGGAGGTGCGTGCAAGCGTGAGAAGGAAAAGAGACACCCATACACGTACGAGCCCTTAATCATGAGGACTTGTGCAGTTCTTTGCACTCAAAGCATGAATCTGATATTAAGGTTTCCATCCCATTCTTCTTACAAAAACAGCTAAGAATTTTAAGCAGGAACTTACCATTTCTATCAATTATAAAATCAAATCCGTTTTTCTGGAAAATTTCCAGGTTTTCCATTAATATACTTTCATTGATAGCCGTTAGATTAAGATTCTGAGGTCTGAAAAAACGACACACACACACACACACACACACACACACATTCAGGCATGTCTGAAATTAGTGTTATGAATGAATTATTATTATTTATTATTATTTATTTATTTCTACGCCGCCCCATTCGCCGAAGCCTCAGGGCGGCTCACAAATAAATCAATTAAAATATTATAAATTAACAATATAATCTCACTCCTTTATGGTGAGTCACCTATATGGCCATGTTCAAGTCTAGCTTCCCCTGGACACATCCTGGCCTAAGCTTAAAGGATCAAGAGATTGTGTAAATATATATAGTTCAGAGTGTAAAGCCTTATGATCTCCTTGTTTTCTACCTTTATGAACAGTCATATTTCTTAATCCCAGAGCAAGGGATATGAATAATCTAGTCCAGCCTCTTATGTACCACAGACCAGAATCCATTCTCCTATTAAGCAACCTGGAATAAAAAGGTAACGGAACAAGAATCTTTGAAACACAGTAGGACCCCCATATCTGTGGAGGAAAGGTTCCAAGCTCCCTAGTGGATATCTGAAGCCATGGATAGGGGCAAGGACTGTACCATACAGGCAGCCCTCCACATTTGCAGGGTTACGGGTACGTGATACCTGCGAAAGTGGAAAAACCACAAGTATCTCTAGGGATTCTGTGTCAGGACGTCATGTTCTTTGTCCTGGTACTAGCAAACCTCACTCGTATGTTTTGTCTCTTAGTGAGTGCAAAGACTCTAGAGAGATTCACCATTTTTCCACCTTCATGGGAGTCCTGTGCCCCCTAACCCCCACAAATGTGGAGGGCCGTGGTCATCCACGGTTGAGTGAAACAGCAGGCACAGGGGTCCTACTGTACTGTAAAAACCATCAGATTGCTAGATTAATTCCTGCTATTTAATCCCAGTCTGATCAAGGGCCTTATCGTTGTTACACACACCTTAAGCCGTTCTGAGTGAATGCTTATCCAGTCCCTACAGTTCAGCAAAACCCCACAGATGCTATTTAATACTGGCAGCCTCTTTTGAACACCCATAGCATGCAGTCAAAAGCAACAGTGGCGGAAGGACTTACGTAATGAGTTTCTGCCCCTGCAGAGCTGTGTGTTCCTGCAGCATCTCAAAATTGTATTTCTCATCTGAAGCGTGCTGATCGATTATGAAGAGGTCGGAGTTCAGCCTGGCGATTATAAATCCTAAATTGAACTGGCCGATGACTTCCATTTCAGCAAACATCTCTTTACTGTGTAGAGAAGGGGAGGAAAGAAACAGGTTATAGGGTTCTTGAAACACTTGTATTTCTCTTTATTTGCAAATAATGCATGTGTGTGGGGCAGGTGCTGTGACTGAAAGACGTAGCCTCAGCTGAGAATCCATGTCTGGCCCAAAGTCGCCCAGTAAGCACCGTGGCTGAACGGAGATGAGCACCTGGATCTCCCAGGTCCCCAGTCCAGCACGCGAACCACTGGCTCACAGCCCCTCACAAGGAAGCCGAAAGAGAAGCCCCTGCTTCCGTGAGAGTTCCAGATAACATCAAAGCCCAGAGGCCTGTGGCACGAATGTCTTGGGTAGGAAGCTACAGCTCACACTTGTCCGGAAAAGAGCAGTTCCCCATCTTGGGAGAGGATTTCCTGGCCACAACCCAAGTTCCAGATTGACCAGTTTGATCCCTAGGGTGTAATACTTCCTAAATATTAAGTCCCCCTACTTGCCGACAACTGAGACAGAATAATTTGTCTAACAGGGCAAATACCTTATTTCTTTCCTTAATTCATCCTCTGCGGTTTGATTTTCTCCGGGTTTAATCTTTGCCCTAAATTTTCTGTAATTCAACATTTCTGCTTTCATCTCCTGCTGCTGAATTAGCTTCTTTATTCTGTCTGTTAGTGTGTTCAGAGAGAACTTCAGCGGTATGATCCTCTTTTCCATTTCCACATGTATGTCATACTGTGATGGCATGACAGCAGAATCCTCAGCCTCCTCTGTCTCTATCGAACTGGCTACCTGGGAAAGAGGCTGGTTGCTCTTAAGACGTTTCGCTTTAGGGGATGAACTCTTGGCCTGTGGGGATAACCCACTCGGCCTGTTTTGGTTCGGCACCTGTCCTTCTCCATGGAATTGCTCCCTCATCTCTGGACTGCCACTTTGAACTTCTCCAAAATCCTGGAATTCTTCGGCAGGGGAGGTAACCCCGCTTTCACAGCTGAAGCAGTTACTGGGATCTGCAGTGCTTCCATCCACACCAGAACAGCCAGAATCGGCAACATCTGCTGAGTTCTGGAAATTCCCACTAGCCAGCACGGCCTCCCCACTGGAGCGGGCCTTCTTTTTTGGAGGATCCAAAACTGTAGAAAATGACAGTTTTTCCTGCCCGGGAGAACTATGCTGCTGCTTGCTATTTTCTGCCCTCTGAAAACTGGCCTTTTTTGCTTGTTGGAGGGAAAAAGACTCTCTAAGCCTGGCTATCGTCATTGCGATTTTCGCTTCTCCATTCAGCTTCTGAGGCAGGGAGCCGGATGATGTTTCACAGATAGGCGTTCCTGCCTCATCTCGAGGCACCGTTTTAAAGTTTCCTAAGAAAGAGAACAAGGTTAAGTTGCAATTCAAAAATTAATGTCTAGCAAGGTATCAAGACTAATACTGGACCGAGATGCTTGCTCTGTAGAAAGAGCAGTTAGTGGCACAGAAATCGGAGTGGTGGAAATGTGGAGGTCAAGTGAAGCAGAATAAAGGAATGCCAATCAGATGGCTAGTCAATGATATCTTAAAATTAATTGTGTCGGTGTAATCCTATTTATTTGTTTAATTTCTATACTGCCTGATAACTGAAACTCTCTGGGCAGTTTATAACAACATATAAAAAATACAGTGTAAAACACAAACCTCACCGAAACACCATAGAAGGGTTACCACAGAAAAATAAAAAAACACATACAAACACACATATAACATTACAATAGCTTAAAGTTAATCTTAAAACTGGTTTAAGCAGCTAAGAAAGTCCCAGTGAAAGAATGTAGTGCCCCTGCTGTAAAGGACAGTTTTAATCTGGCGCTTAAAGGAAATAAAGGTTGGCCCCAGGCAGGCCTCAGTGGGGAGCGTGTTCTGCAACTGGGGAGGGGCCCCGCAGAAAAGTCTCTCCTGTGGAGCGGGGTGTCGCTGAGGTGGGCCCCAGATCTTGCCTGGAATGTCCAGGTAGGTGATGGGACACCTCTCGTGACCATCTGGTCCCAATTATCCGTTCAGCTGCTGCATTTTAAACAAGTTGTAGCTTCCAAACTGTGTTCAAGGACAACCCCAGCTAGAGCGCCTGGCAGTAATCTAGTTCAGAGATTCCCAGAACATCCATTACCAAGAGCAGGTTATCCCTGGCCAGAGAAAAGAGCAGCTGAGCTGGCAGCCAATGCAAGTCTACTCAACATTTAAGTGTTCCTTAAATGCAGTGAGACTAATCGGCACTACAGTATTGTATTGTGGTTGCCTTACTGTACAGGACTGCAATACCCCCAGGTACGTGGAAGGCTCCACTGAACACAACAGAGAAAACATGCATAAGATTTATTTATTATATTAATATCCACCTTTTTTCCTTTCAAGGAATTCAGGGAACTTATGTAATTCTCTTCCTCATCTCAGTCTTACCCTCATAGCAGCCGTATGAGGAAGGTCAGGCCTGAGTCTGTGCCTGGCTCAAAGTCATCCCGTGAGTTCCATGGCCAAGCAGGGACTAGAACCCAGATCCCCTGAGTCCTGGTCCCACACTCTTCCCCACTAGACCATCCTGGGTCCCAGTGTGTGAGTTCATCGTGTGTGGAATCGAGTGCATTTAAGCTGATGTGCTTGGACCAACGTACCAATTAACAAGGTACCTTGAAAGCATCTAGGTCAATACAGAGAAGATTTAAAAAAAAAAACCCACACCTGTCATCCCTACCTTCAGCATCTGGCAATTTCTGACTGAGGACTAGTTTATTAACGTCACTGCCAAACATTCCAATCAGCGAGGTTTTCAGAGTGGCTAACAGGACTTTTTCTTCCTGCAACAGTATTTGCCTTTTGTCGGGTGTCACGTTAACGTCAACACATTCTAAAGAAAAAAAGAGAGAGAACTTTTCTCCCTCTCTTTCTATTGGAAGAAAAGATCTAACACACACACACTTTTCCCTATTTAATTGAACATTTTATATTGAAGTTACAGCTGCAAAGATATTTTCCCAATGATTATCCCATTCGTGCTAAAACTGTTAACCAAAAAGCAACAGTAGATAAGCTTAGGTTTCTTTTTAGTGGTGTCTAGATTTCCTTGATTTCTGGATTTTTTATTTTCAGTATTCATATCAAGGATAATTTAACCCTCTTAACAGTGGATCTATAAGTACACATATGCACACCAAGCTACACCAGAAAAATGTAAGTAGTATTTGCCCAAAGCAGTGCGGTTAGCTTCCAGGAAGGCTTAGTTCTGCCCTTCATCAGCAGGGGATGCTTAAATGCCATGCCATGAAATTAAGCATTTTCTGCTTTCTGTATATCATGCTTCAGGGAAGGGTGCAGGAGAGACTGGAGAATTTTGGCTTGTGGGAGCTCACAGCGCTTCATAGAACTGAGGTGCACCAGAATCAAAGAGACAGCCCTCCAGGCAAGCTGCCTGGAGCCAAGTTGTTAAGCCCAAACATTAAACAGCAGAGGTATTTACTCTAAAAAGTTCTTTCCAAAGATGCCTGTGACTCACCAGAATTCACACATATGTTGAGGACAACAAATGGATACTGGTGTCTGTTGTACATGTGGTATACTTCATTCACAACTTTGGAAACCTGACCAGAAAAAAGGTACCACAGATTTCTATTTGTGCCTTTTTGCAATTCAGCCTTGGTTAAAACAAAAAATTCAACTTGCCCATTTTTATGACACTCCAGATGGCAAGATAACACTCGAGTCTGAAGGATGGATTGTGCAGTCAAAAGCAAGGAACTGAGCTGAGGAAACTTGTACCTTCGTCGGATCACAGGGCCGCTGGTTAATAAAGAAGAACTGCCTGTCGGTGGTGCTTCTCCCAACTCCATGATCGCAACGGGAGACAAACCCTGTGATGCTGTTTAAAGTGAGCATGTCAAAAAAGCGTTTCATAGAAGAGCAGAGAAAAGCAGCATGATACATTCCAAAAAAGTCTGACATCAGGGTTTGTGAAGATGCCCAGCTGTTGTTAGATCACCGTCGGCCTCCAATCTGGCTGGAACTACCCTTAAATTAACTCTAGGGCAAGAGAAGCAACCACCCAAATTAGGATTCGACCTGGGAGAGAGTGACCACCTGTTACGAGAGACTCCCTGTCATCCCCAAGTTCCTTCTGTTTTTTCCTCGATTCTCCTTGGTCATCTGGTATACAAGGAGAAGAACCTCTGGGCTGTCAAAAAGATCCAATCAGATCCCAAGCTCCACATTAAGAAGCTTTATCAAAGTTAGGGCTTATTTATTTATTTATTTAGGAGACTTCTATGCCGCCCCATTCACCGAAGCCTCAGGGCGGCTTGAGTTATAAAGGGCTGAATGGGGAGAAAAACAAGCAGGGAAAACAGGACTTTGATCTATGAAATAGACATCCTTAAAGATGAATTTCATACTTGCTTGCCTGAACAAGGATCATCCAAAATGTTCAGAAGCTAACACATTTAATGTTCATCCACTATTTCAACTGGCTCAGGATGGCAAATGAGATGAGTGATAGATGGGGCTCACACATCTTGGGGCTCATGCATTTAATCCATACATGCCACACAATTATTCCGATGGTATGTAATTACAATCAAGTGCTTACGTATAAAGCTGGGTTGGTATCTCAGAAGAATGCAAGCCATATTCTTCACAGATAATGTCACTTGGAGGAAGCTGAAGAAAAGGAACTAAACTTTGCACCTAGAAAACAAATGTTATTTGGCAGAATCCTTACTTTCTAAGGATCCTTAGAAAGTAAGGATTTCTAACTTAGTTGCTCCCCACCTTTGCTGAAAACTATCACCTTTCCTTCCCTTGATTCAGGACTGAAATGTGGAACTTTATTATACTTTTAAAAACTGGCCAGTGATAGCCGCTACCCTATCAGCGTTTCATGAGCTTGTACAGTTTAGCTCTATTCAGCCTGAAACGGTGCATATTTATGAAGGCAAGATCTTTTCACTGAAACATGAAATTTTCTGCCCTCCACAAAGCTTTTGACTCTATCATCAAATTGCAAAACAACTTTTTAATGTGGTCCCAAGGGACATTTAAAGGAATAGGGAGCAATTCTTTGCCAAAAGCTAGATCTACAAAATTGATTTCTACCTTGATTGTAACTAAATCTTACAAGAGAAGACCCTTTTCTCCAAATTCTTAATTGCAGCAATTACCTTCGCAATAATAATAGTGACAATGATTGCATGATTATTACCTGTTTGTGTCCAAATATTGCCCCAATGTTTTCCTTAATCGTAGAGCCGCCAGTGGTGCATACGACAACCTGCTTTTTCCCTTGGCCAACCTGGTTTGTGCAGTTAATCCGAATGCCTGGTGAAATGATACAGTATGCTTGTAATACCTGAACCATTTTTGTGAACTCCTGGTAAAAAACAGAAAAGAAAACCATTATTTTTCTAATCACGTTGGAAAGACTTTACTGAGATTTTACTATGATTATTATTATTATTGTTATTATTATTATTGTTGTTATTATTAGAACATTTCTATGCCGCCCCTTGCCAAAGCCTCGGGGCGGCTTACAACACAATAAAATACAATACAATGCAAAAATAACAATATAAAATTAAAGTTAACAATATAAAATAAATAAAAAATATAAAAGATATAAGAGAAGTTAAGAAAAGAAAAGAAAAGAAAAGAAAAGAAAAGAAAAGAAAAGAAAAGAAAAGAAGTCGCCCTGGCCAGATAAATAAGTAAATATTGTTAACAATTAAAATGACAGCTTCTGAGGGGCCACGAGATTTCTTGAATCCCCAGACCAGAGGGGAATGGGAGTTCCAACGTTCTTCCCCAAATTCCTGGCAGCTGCCGCCGAAAGAACCACACCAGCCTCTCTCGGCGGTCAGACAAGCAAAACCATCCATAAAAATGACATTCGGAGCATAGATTTGGAGGTAAGGTTTGGGACAGAATGCAGAAATTTGGAGAAACAAGATTATGGCTATGCAGGAAGCCTGGATCTTTCCTTCCTTTTATTCAAGACAGTCAACAGATGAAGGATTTTAGTCTACTTTTCAAAACCGCCCAATGTCAGGAAATACCCTACCAGCATTTCTTGAGCTTATGCAGTTTGGAGATTGGTAAAAAGTGGGGTGGGAAGCCAGAAGTTCTTCGAAAGCCACTCCAGCCTCATTCCCTCCTGATTCGAGACAGTCCAGTAGGATGGGCAAAACACCCTATTGGGCAAAAACACAGAACAGAAGTAGAGGGAGACAAAGATTGTCCCGGCACTCATCCTGCTCTGTACTGAATGTCTGTAAGTCTGCAAGTGTCAAGGCTTCTGGGGATCCTATAAAATCATAATCCGTTATCATAAAATAATGATGTTGTTGTGGAGATAAAATGGAGTGGAAGAGAACCTTGTTAGACACTTTGGGTGCCTTGCAAGAGGAAGAAAGGTGGGGTATAAATATAATGCAACAACAACATTAACAGTAATCCCTACCTTCTTTATGTTGCGCTGAAATTCTTTATGCCGTACCGGCAACGTATGAAATAGATGTTGTACAATGACAGTTGTCCCCTGCTGCCGGGGATAGGGAGCCCTCAAAGAGATTTTCCCACCGTGATCAAACACCAGGCGTGTTCCAACCTTAGCAGACTTGTGACAAGTAACAATGGTAATGTCACTGCAGGAAGAACACACCTTTTTGTTATTAGTGAATGGAAGTATTGTATATTTTATTCAGTCATTGACTAGCATAAAATACAATATGCAAAACATCAACAAGTCTAGAACTGGAAACAGAAGTATAAATGCACATTGAGCATCAGAATTCTAATATTGTTTTAGCATTTAAAAGTTAATAAGAAAAACACACACCCCTATGCAACCATTTTATAAAAGAAAGCTGCACTTTCACAATGTAAATTAGATTCTCATTCTGCTCTAAAATTCTCCAATGTTGAAAGTGCTGCGTGGTTTACAGTTCCCCAGCAAATGTTTTAGCCAGAGTTCAATGCATGTGAATAAATATCTCACCTTAATGCACAAAGAGAACTCAGGGCTTCACCTCGGAAGCCAAATGTTTCAACATGTGTAAGGTCAGAGAAGTCCTGTATCTTGGATGTATAATGTTTTAAAGCTAATAAAAAGGAAATTCATGGGAGAATGAAATAAGAACAAGAAGAATTGCATCATTAGACAGTATTTAATAGCTCAGTTCACATGACATGACAAACAAATTTGCACAAATATTGGAGCTGAAGATTGAAAAAATAATAAAAACAGCTTACTCAAGCCTGTGAAGTTTTCTTCTTCCACACCGCAACCATTATCAGCAACTTCAAAAAGTTCTGTCCCATAATCTTTAAGTTTCACTTCTACAAATTATAAAGAATATTTGTTAATCAAACAGTTTTCATTTAAACAATGCAAGGCATCACCAAATCTGTACATATAATCTATGGCTTCATAGTAGCCAAGAGCTTTCCCTGTATAATTTTTTTAAACCCTAAAAGACATTAGTACATATTTGATTTAAAAAAATGTATTTGATTACCTCTATTCCCTTTTCCATTTGTGAAAACTGACATTCTGACATTTTGCCTCCCTCAAAACAAGCATAGCCCTTATCATGGGGTAACTTTAGCACCCCACATTGATATTCTGTATGATAATTTATACATGAGTAGTCCTATTGATTTTTTATGGCATTGTCACAAAGGGCCTGGTCTAAAACACCCCCAAATTTCAGCTTCCTACCTTTTACTATTTTAATAAAAGAAAAATGCCTGGGGTAACAATTTCACCCCATAAGCTCCACAAGCATACCTGGGCAGGGTGACTTGGTGATCTTGAACAAAGGCCCCATAAAAAGGTACAAAACAAGGTTAAGATCAGATCATCTTGGTCTCATTTTAAAGTTAAGGTTCTAAGCTACCAGCAAACAGAATAAATTTGATGCATATTGCCCCTGAAAACGCTACAAAGACGCCAACAACAGCAAGCTTACCAATATTGGTAGCACCAGCATCTATGCTATTTTCCACAAGTTCTTTCACTGCAGTACACAGATTCAGAACCACCTGTCCTGAACAGATCCTGTGAACTGATTTACGGTCTATTGGGTTGATAGCTTTAGCAGGCTGTACCCTGTACATAAACACAAACACAGTTAGCTTTCCAATCAGAGCAATGCAGCGGGCGACTGGGCAAGCTGAAAAACATTAATTGCAGCAATCAGTAAGAGTGATTTGTTTACTGCATTTATTAAGAAAAGCAAGCATTTCTAAAGCACAATCTGATTCACGGGATAACACTTTTGAGGTCTTTCCAAACCTCCTTGTATTTAACTCATCCAGGAGACACGGGCAATCTTAAATTCCACACGACTATGGGATGGGTGGTAGCAGAGAAAGGTATATTTATCCTTGGACTACTGGCCTCCTTTTTCCCATGCTAACTACAGCATAAAGGAAAGGAAGACCTTTGCTTCATGACCAGCACAGAACCCAGCAGCCTGGCAGAAGAGGGCTAGATCCCCTCAGCAGAAAGGCTTAGTTTTAAGTAACTGGCACTACTACAAAGGAGGACTGCCCTTATGCTTCAATTAGCATAGAAATGCAGACCATTAAACTCTTAATGGACCAGGTTTTCTGGGCTTCTTTCAAGTCTGTTTTCAAGTTAGCACCAAATGATCAAAGTCCCCTCACTTCCAAAGCTATTCCCCAAAGATCAATACAGTGGTGTGCCCTAGCTCAGTGGTAGAATGCAGTGGTTTGAATGCAGAGGTTCCTAGACTGAATGAGGTAGCGATTAAAGTGTTGGACTGGGGACCTGGAAGATCCAGGATATAGTCCTCACTTGAACATGAACTCAACTGGGTGACTTTGGGGCTGTCACACACTCTCGTGCTAATCTACCTCACAGGGTTGCTGTTTTGAGGATAACATGGAGTGGAGGAGGACTATGTAAGTTGCTCTGGATTCCTTGCAGGAAGAAAAAAAGCAGCATCTAAGTGCAAAATAATATTATTCACAATCTCCAACAGGTAGAACTAGGAAAACACCTGCCGGAAACTTTGGGGAGCCACTGTCAGTCAGTGTTGACAATACTGGCCTAGAATGACCAACCATCTGAATCAATACAAGGCAATTTCCTACACCTCTATTTTTTACTTTAGGCAAATTATCACTAAACCAGCAATGGTTACCTTCCCATCAAAGGTGGCCGCTGGCACCTCTTTAATAATTCCAAAAAGCAATTTTCCAAAGGTAAATGATAACATATGAACAAGAAGATGCATGCTGGATCGGATCAAGAGTCCAGCATTCTGTTCACAGAGCAGGCAATCAGTTGTCCCCGGGAACCCCAAAAGCAGAGCGGGAATGCAACAACAGCACCTATATATCCACACATCATATATTCTGCATGCATGATACAAAGCAGGCTGCAATCCTTTGCACGCTTACCTTGGAGAAAGTTCCATGGTGCTGCGAGTTCTTTCTTCTGATTACTGCTCAATGATTTTTAAAAGATCTCAAGCATGATATGAAAATTACATGCAAATGAGCGCAGCGGCCAGCGCTAATCCTGCCCATCTTCCCAGACTTCTAAAGAAAAAGCTCAGCAATAACTCCGGCCGAGGCTTCGGCTTAGCTGTCTCCATGCAGCCCCGCCGCCCGAATGCCCCCAGCCCACCATGCCAGGAGAGCACAAGCCCCACGGCCCCCTTCACCGCATCCTTGCAAAGCTGCAATCGCGCCCAGTGCATGCTGGGTAAGCTGTCATTCGTCCAATCAGCACAGCAGAAGGGCGGGTTTGAATCTTGCTTTTCCATTGGCTAATCTGCTTTACCAATAAAAATACCGGCAAGGTACGTGGGGGGTAAACTTGGTGGAACTCAACCCTAGAGGTAGAAAAAGGTGAGGGCGCAATAGCGAATCCTATGCTTCCGGCCCGCGTTCGTCGCAAAAGAAGGGCAGAGGATACATGATAATTATTTTAGAGTTTGTGATACTATTTTCACAATAGTGATTTGTCTCATTATTTTTATAGGTCGGGGGGCTTGCTGCTGATATAAATATTGGCCAAATGTGGTGTTTGCCATCTTTCGTATGGACTAATAGGAGTTCCTTTGGTTTTTGAGCATTTCCTCTCCATTTCTTGATACACAGACACGGGTATGTTATAATAAAACTATCCGCGAAGAGAAGATAACAAGCAATCGAGGAAGCGAACTACGGTGGAAAAACTTATGCCATAATAACGTTCCACATTATGGGTAGATATTTTTCATTCATTCATTTCATTTCTATACCGTCCAATAGCCAATACCGTCTCCGGGCGGTTTGCAGAGACTACAAAAGTTAAAAGCATAATATTAAATATAATTTAAAGACAGCAAGCGCGTACGCACGCACGTTTCGAAATCCCGGTCTTTTTGCTCGCACGCCCTACGTATATTCTCTAGCCTAGGCATATTGAACTCAGTAGCTATCCAATGGAACTGGCTTTTTGGAAAAGACATATATAGAATTGCACTATTAGGGTAGTCGCGATGGGGCAGTAGAGCGCTACTTTTCCAAAAATCCAGGTAGAAGGTAATTATACCACGCCTTTCCGCCTCTTGCAAAGAACACGTCCACTCCATTCAACCACAACCCTGGGAGGTAGATTAGGCTAAGAATCACCCAGTGAGCTTCATGGGTGAACAGAAACTGAAGTTCAGATCTCTTGAGTTCCAACCCAACAGTCTAACTGCTACACTACCCCAGCAATAGGGTCTTATTAGTGTAAAAAGTTAAGAACTACACCTTTTCTACATTTATACACCGTTTTATACATCACCTAGAGTCAGTTTGACGCAATGGTTAGTGTTGAATTGGGATGCAGGTTGAGTTCTACCTCACAGGACTGTTGTAAGGATAAAATGAAGAGGAGGATTATGTATACCGCCTCGGGCTCCTTGCCAGGGGAAAAAGGCGATGTATAAATATAATGAGGGAGTGCCTTTACAAGATGTTAAGCTTCGTTGAATTTCTATGCCCAAAGCAGTCACTATAGCGACGCTGCAGCGTAGAACAACATCTATCCCGCGCACGGGCGGGCATATTGTTAAATTGTCGGGTCGGTGCCTGCACAATACAGATGGATAAACTGATTTTATTGCTAAAATAACATGGCCGAGTAGAAAGTGACGCCTATGTGTTACTCTACACGTTTCATAAGTCTACGGTTTACCCATATTAGAAGCTCTTGCATCAGCTCGACGTTCCCTTCGTTCTCGGGCGAGCCAGAAGACCTTGCGGCGGGCAAGGAAACCCCGCCTGCCGGCGACACGCAGCCAGTCTGCCCCTGTGTTAGCCAATAAGGAGCGAAAAGGCGGGACTGCGAGGGGGAGGGGCGGGTGATTTCCCTCCAATAGGAAGGGGCGGGGGCGGGGCGAGCGCCGCGGCTCGCGCCGCCCGTCACTCGGCCGCCGTCAGTCAGCGCCGGAGGAGCTGCTCGGGGGCCGCGTCGGCACGATGCCCATGTACGAGGTGAGGCCCTTGCATGGGAAGCCCGGCTCGCTGGTGCAGGCCGAGCAGCTCCCCACCTGCATGTACCGGGTGCGCAACCTGCACCGCTGCGCCTCCTCCGCGCCGCACCAGGTAGGAGCGTGGCGGCCCAAGCGGCGCCTCATTCGGACGGGCGCGGGGCGAGGAACGGGGCGGAGACGGGGCTGGCCGGGAAGGAGCAGCTTTCGCTTTCTGGTCCTGGCGCCCGGCGTGGCTCCGAGGCCGGGGGCCGCCTTGTGTCCGAAGGAGGCGCCTCCAAGGCGTCTTCCTCGTGTGGAGGACTCCAGCTTGCGTTCCGCACGTGGGGATCGCGCTCCAGCAGCGGCGGTCGGGGGTCGTTGACCCTCCCTGGGAGATGACTTGTTGGAGGAAGCCGTCTCGATGGAGCGACTTTAAAATATTATTACTGCTACTGGTATTATTTATTTCATTTCTCGCCTGGCTAATAGCCGAACTTCTCTTTCTGGTTTATAACAATACAGAAAATAATAATAAATAATACAGTGCAAATAAATAAAACAATACAGTGCAATAAAAATACCATAAAATCATATCAAAAGCATCATGAAAAAGTTAAGCATCTATAAACATACAGTGAAGAATGACCCAGTAAAAGAAAAATGCCTGAGATGGGTCATTACCTCAGGACCCTGGATAACCAAGTATATCTTGAAAGACTTAAGCATAAAGGGCTTTCTTAATCTGTGGCTGGAGAGATGGCAAGGTTGGTGCCAAACAGGAAGCAGTGGGGTGATCATTCCATAGATGGGGGCCACCACACAGAAAGCCCTCCCTCTGTCACCCCTTGAGCCACACCTGGGAGTTAGCATTCAGAGGAAGGCCCCGGATTAAGAGATTATTTGAAACAATTATGCATTGTCTGAAGTAATTTTGAGCCTTCCCCACGGTCATATTAATGTCTTAATTACAAGTTGATTGACCTATACTGAAACTGGATATATCAGCTACAATCCCGTGTGTATTTATGCACGATTAAGTTCCATATTTACGGTGAGTACTAGCATGGAAACTTGTGGAATGTCAAAGAGAAAAAGGAATATATGAAATGCTCTTGCTCCTAAAACAGCTAAGTGAATGCTAATAATTTTCATTTAGGATGAAGTTGATCCCTCACTTCAGGCACTTGAAGCCCGCCAGGAAGAGATCTTAAGACGTTTGTATGAATTGAAGGCTGCTGTGGATGGCCTCTCGAAGATGATCCAAACACCAGATGCAGATTTTGATGTAACAAACATCATCCAAGCAGATGAACATTCTTCTTTAACTGCCAGTGCTGCAGAGCTGGATAACTTACTTGGAAAGGCAAGTCCAGATTAACCTTTTCTTGACAATGTGTTTCCTCTCTAGCTAGTGAGCTGGCCAGTGTGGGGTTTCTGGGACAAATAATGAGGCTATTAGCTTTCTGGCAAAATTTAAAATTAGTAATAGGTGGCAGTGCAAAAGAAAGCTTAACAAAAATGTTGCAAAATTTACAACAAAATTAGATAATAAATTAATCTCAGCCGAATACTGAAGATAAATTTAGAGCAATCCTATAGAGACTGAAGTCCTACAACTCCGAACAATCTTTAGCTTTAGCTGGGAACTGCTGGGAATTCTAGAACTTCTTTCCCTATCTAAAGATGAATATAGTTGCACCCTTAATTCAACAAAATTGGTTTAAAAGTGAGGGCAGAATGTTCAGGGTGTTCTAGTTGAATTAAATATATTTTCTCACCTGAATATGCAGCTTGAACCTCAAGCTCTTGTGAATGAATAGGTTGGTTGCTTCCAGTAGGACAAACATAAAGCCTTTGTGAAAATAGATGGTTTGCTTTCCTGGACATACAGCTATGTCATATGCAATATGGCAGTGCCATGTGCAAATCTGGGATTGAATTGATTCCTTCAGTTTTCTGTGAGCTTCTACAGTTGTTGCAAAATCAGGGGAGACATGCTGATATTATTGGTTCTAATGTTATTTCTGCAGGTTTGTGAGACTAGAGCATATATTGCTTACTGCTAGTAATGTGCATGAGGGACACCTGGTAATTCCACTCTTTGATTTTTTTAAGTTTATGGGGTGAATCCAAATGTAGATGTTCACAGAGTCTATTTAAACCAATATGACTTATATTGTTCCGACTGATTTCAATGGATCCACCCTAAAATACGACTAAATCTGAGTCCCACCCGATGTTGGGACAACGCTCTCTTCTTGTCATGCACAGGCTGCCAGTGCAGGCACTCTTCAAAAGGTCTGGGACCTCTTGTAGTCTTTGACTTCCAGCAGATCCATGTGGGTGGTAGTCAAAGGCAAGTTGTTGATTGCAAAAGCCTTTCTTACAACTTAACCCACTGGCAATGTGTGTTTCTGCCTGTTCTTCTAAGGGTTTTCATGAACTGCCACTCCACTTTTCTATCCACAGCAAAGCTATGTCCCATTCTACACCTCCACTCTTATGATATGGGACATGTATATTGTGCTTAGCAAGTGTGTGAAACACACTGATGTACAAAAGTATGGGCGTCCCCTGACTAACTCACACGTGGTGACTTGTTTTAATGCAGGGCTACGGGGCTCTTAAGGATATTGTGATCAATGCAAATCCTGCTTGCCCTCCACTGTCACTGTTAGTACTCCACAGCCTGCTGTGTGAGAGCTACAAGATACTCTCAGCAGTTCATACACACTCATCTGTGAAGAGCGTGCCAGAAAATCTCCTGAAATGCTTTGGTGAGCAGACTAAGAAGCAATCCCGCCATGAATACCAGTTGGGCTTTACATTAATTTGGAAAGATGGTAAGTCTGGCACATCAGGAAAGGGAGCATATTTATTAGAACCTATGGAACTGAATAGTGTACACAGTCAACTTGTCATAACCTTCATGTAAGGCGATGAACTCAAGTTTAGACAGTCAATGGCAAGAAATGTGTTTTTGCAGATGGTTCAGGCTTTGGCTATATATAAAGTCCTATGATAACAGTAAGTTGTTCTTTCAGGCACATGCTTGTTAAACTGCCTCAAGATCATTTGTTGCTTGGGCAGCAACTACATAAAATAAGTAATTGATTTGTGCCCTAAGTGTGTAGTGCTGAATGCTGGACTCAAAGGAATGTGTAAGTTGGAAGCTTGACAACCAGTCCTCTAAAACATGGTCATATTTTAGAGACTTTCTGTAATAAGTTATGGGAAGACTTGCCATGTATAGGCAACATTAGTGCTTAATTCACTGAAGTATATACTGTATATCAATGACATACAAACCCCCTAAAGAAACTCCCTCTTGCCATGAAAATATTTTAGGAGTCCCTGCATGTTGTAGAAGTTTCTGGTACACATACTTGACTCATGCAAGTTGGTGGAGTAGCTTCCCTGTAGATGTACGGAAGACCACCAACAGCAAAAAAGCTTTAATGGCTATAAACTTTTTGGACTTCACTGATTTTACCAAACTCCTGAGGCTTTGAGAAATCCCTATTCCTTGAAACTGCAGTATGAAAAACACTCCTTTATATTTGTGCATGGCAACTATAGGGAAATTCCTTCAGAATTATCAAGCATTTGAAGAGCATGCATGCCCCCCCCCCCCCACTCTTGAGCTCAAATTCCATTAATTCTGTTACTGGTTATCCTGGGCATTTTTGTGATAAGTGATTCCAGTTAAAATCATTTATGGTCACTTGAACCTGGGTACTTTTTGGCCAGTACAAAAGGAAAATGGCATGTATTGTTTGGCGTTCTTTAGTGCTGCAAATATTAATTTGGTACTGCCTGCCTAGGCTACTTCTGTGTTGTGCTACTTTAGCTTCCTGTCTCAGTCCTTTAAAACTGAGGCTGGCTAGCAAGAATAGTCTGCAGCATTGACCTGAGCAGAAAAAACTCAGGACAACACTAGAAACACCGTCCAGTTTGAGGAGATTATGGGTATAATGTTGTGATGCTGCACCTTAGCGGCCTTGGGATAGGAGGAAATTGCGGAGCACCTGCAAGAGTACACATGTAGCTTGCTGCACAGTTGTTCTCCTGCAAATATTTCCTGCTGGCTGCAATTAAGTGGTAGACTGGCTGACTCACAGGATACATAAATATAAATTTCTGACATTAAGGAGTTGCTTAGTTGCTGAGAAAAGCTTAATTAAGTACAGGGAGATTCAGGAACATATTTAGGATGTACTTTTAACATAATTTCTGTTCCTTCAAATTGTTGTCTAAATTTGATTATTTTGTTTCAGTGCCAAAACCCCAGATGAAGTTCAGCGTTCAAACCATGTGTCCCATTGAAGGAGAAGGAAACATTGCTAGGTTCTTGTTCTCCTTGCTTGGTCAGAAGCATGATGCAGTTACAGCAACTCTGATAGACAGCTGGGTAGATACAGCCATCTTCCAACTGCAAGAAGGAAGCAATAAAGAAAAGGCAGCGGTTTTACGATCTATGAATGCTGCTCTTGGTAAAACATCCTGGTTGGCGGGAAGTGAACTGACGGTGGCCGACGTTGTGGCCTGGTGCGCACTTCAGCAGACAGGAAGCGCCAATGCTGTCCCAGCCAATGTGCAGAAGTGGCTCAAGTCTTGTGAGAATCTGGCTCCTTTTAACTCTGCTCTCAAGTTACTGAAGTAAATTTATATTCTATAGCGAGGGAAATGGGTTAAATATTTCCTACATCTTTATCTTGTGCTGCAAGCCTGGAACATAATGCTTGTGGTGTGGATGAAATTTTAGAAGGTAATTGTTGAAGATCTTATGTCAATAAAGACATCAGAACTGGTTTCTCTGGACATCCTTCTCAAGTTAGTTGTTGAAGCTGTCCTTTATAGATATCACAGTATTTTCTTTCAAACATTCCTTTCTGACCAAGCCAAATGACTGATACGCACAACATGCTGGAAGACATTTTATATAAAAAACTAAAGACATCTTACATAACAGTGTTACAGCACCTTTCTCTGACTTAAACAGGAGAGCCCAATTGCTTAATTCTGTTCCTTTCATCTTTCTCTTCTAAAAGTAGCTTAACTTTTTCTTTAAGCAGCTTGATCTCTTCTTCCTGCTGCATCACCTTCTGCTGAAGGTTGTAAATGACCTAAAATAAAATGAGGGATAAAGAATGAATGCACTCACATGGACAATCGCATCTTTACAGTGAAATACTAGACATGGTATTGAAGTTAGTATGAGAGTAAAATTATGGACCTTCCCTAGTTTCTAGGACAGGAGTTGCAAGTTGCTGTTTTTGTAACCCAAGTGTACCCACTAGCAGAGGCTTTCAGTTTGGCTACATTAAATGTTATCTAGCCAGCTTGTGGACACACACAGTTCCCTTCTCCTGGCCTTTTCAATTCCACAGCTTCATTGACTGTAAATTCCAGATTTCAAACTTAGCACCTTGTACTGCCAAAGGAAGGAACATATGGAAAATTTTCTATGATCTTAATTAATACATCGTATCTTTCCAAAAAGGAATAGTGCCAAGGGCTGTGTGGACTAAACAAACACTGCCTGTACACACAACTGCTAAGAAAAAATTCTGCATTGTGAAGGCACACCACAGAGGCATTCATATCACAAATTGTAATAAAAGTCACTACCTGCCAGTTAAGAAACCAAGAGACATAGTAAAACTTACATTCGCTGTGTTGTGGAAGAGTTCGCTTTCAAGAAGTTGCCCAGCAGTTGGTCGGCGTGAGGATTCGATACTGGTGAGCAGCTTAACGTATTTTGTCTGTATTGGCCACTTCCTACTGAAAGAGAGAGGAATGTGGCTGTTCCTTAAGCCCATCAGAACTTCAGTTCTTTCCATTTCTGTTCCAAACGGCTGGAAGAGTTCTAGCAGGATTACACCCAAGCTGTACATATCTGACTACAGACAAGAAGAAAACTTCAATATTAGCATACAAAATAGTTACGTCTAAAGCTTAAGCTTTTGGGTTTAGTCTCAGGTAATGTAAATAATCCTAAATAAAACTTAACTATAGTGATGTAAAATGTCAGGGGTCACATTCTCTGAGTTCAAAGGCTCTGGTCCAAATAGAAGTGTTTTAGCTAAAGTTATTTAGGCTCGCATTAACGGAACAAAGTCTAACTTCTACTGTTTTAAGGTCATGTTTTCCAATCCAGAGACGGAACAAGGAACAGGTGTTTCCACTGCCATTCTGATGGAAGCCGCATAAAGTCCTGAAGTGGCACTCTGAGCAGCTGTCATCAGCTGCTTTGCCTCCACACACCACCTTATGTCTTCATCCTTTATAGTCAAACGGTGTGAAATCCAACAATGGTAGTTCTGTGCAGATACAATATATTGTATTCCTTACAGACCTCAAGAAAACATGACCAACAACCCTGGTGACTATTCCATGGTTGCCAAATAAGCCATTTTTATCTGTGTATGCTTGGCTCCTCATTTCTGTAATTTTCCCAAGATGAACACTTAACTTCAGTTACATAGCTGATGTCCCTTTTCAAATCAATTCTCCTAACCTCTCCCAATTAATATATTTGTTACACTAACACCCATGTCTTTGAACATGTAAGCTGAAAAATACCTCAAAGTTACCACCATGGAATATACCTTAAATGTTAATGGAGGTTGAGGTGACTGTACCTTAAAATCATAGTGAGAGCCTTGTAGCTGTTCAGGTGATGCATATAGGCAGGTACCAACTCCATGTGTATGTATTAGTTCTATGCAAAAGGAGAGAATTTGAAGATTATATTAAAAAGCTACCTGAAACTGTATTTCACACAATTCAACTCAAAACCAAATTCTGCTCTTTCACTACCATTGATTTTCTTTGGACTTAGCAGGTGTGTTGTGTCTTCCTGTATAATATCTCTGCAGGCCAGCCCAAAGTCCCCTATTTTCACATGGAGGTCAGGGCCTTGGAGAAAGATATTTCTGGGCTGTGAAAACACAAGAAAATATGCTAGTTAAAACTATTTTATACATGAAATCATGTATTTCCCCCATTCTAATCTAAAAAGAATGCTACAGCACATCCGAAGCAGAAGGGTAAAACTAAATATGAGACGGCTTGACTCCCTCAAAGAAGTCTCAGCCTTAAGCTTACAAGAGCTGAGCGGGCCAGTCCAAGCACAGCACACCGGAGGGCTTCTATTTAGAGGGTGACCATTAGAGACAACTTGACAGTACATAATCTGAAATCTAAGATACAAGCCTGCACTTAAAGCTCAGTCTAAGCATCTGCCTTTCCTTAATCCTTGCCATAAAGGGACAAACTAAACCACACTGGGAGGGGAATGCCAAGTCATTGCATCCATTTGGTGCTTGGCAAGCTGCTGAAAAGGGGACGCACGCCTCCCCGGGTAGGTGCAGGCCAGGCTCAATATGCTCACTGTCCCAGGGCTGGCCTTGCCTCTTGCAGTGTCTTGCCAAGTTCCTAAAAGAACCAGGCCCACCCTCGCCCTCTCCTACAGTCCAAGCGAGAGCCCATGGTATCATCTTCTAGTTGGTTCCAGAACCACACATTGTGTATCATAAAACAATGGTCACTTAGGCACAGGATTCCAAACACTGGCACTCTCTCCGTTCAAGGCCAGGCATTTTCTAACATGGGCAATCTAATCAGGTGTTCCTGCAGGCGGGAAAGGGACTTAACGGAGGAAAACTTAATCGAAGCCATAATGGCCAAAGATATGGCGACGCTTCAAGATTTATTACAGCCAAACTTCCAACCGATTATTGTCAAGGTAGCCATTTACATTCCTACCATGCCAAGAGATGACAGAAACCTCAAGAGCTAGACTACATGGAGTCTTTATAAAGACCTGCCTTACTAACGATTCTGTATTTATATACTGTATATCAAAAGAAGAACGAGTGCTTCTAAAGGTCTCCTCTGCATATTTAAAAATGTCCTTTCAGCATGAGTACCTAACATGACATCAGACAGACTGCCCCAGCAATCCTCCCAATGTCTACCCAGAGACAAGCCCCATGGCAACCCTGAAGATATCACAGGGCAAGCTCCACTGAGCAGAGGATTACAGCTTCACTATAAATCCTATGTTCACTTATGTAGGCGTAAGCCCTCACCAAATTTCTAGATACACACGCACAATATTGTTCAATGTAAAAATAAGACTGGGAAATGAACTTTACGCACTTACAAAACTGGCCAAAACGTTTTGAAATAATCATCTTTAAAGTTGGCCCTGTTTTTCTAAGGTATTGTAATTGTGTTCGTTCCTATACAGGGGCAGAGATGGCAAGGCGTGTGTGCAAAATAGCTATATAACGTATGCATGCATTCTCTTCAATTGGTTTTTGGTCATTATGGACTTCATATAACAGATTCCAAATCAGGCTGGAAAGCAAGTTGAATTCATTATAAATGCAGTTCAGTTCGAACACTTTTTAATTAATTGCATTTATATACTATCCTAGTAGCCCAGGGGGCTCTGGGTGGTTTACAAAACTATACTTTCAGGTATAGTTTAAGTTTCACTATCTTACCACCGCAACACGTTTAAGATATTTTACAGCAGGGATTTGCAAGTCTACTTTTGTTATTCAATACCTATTTTGTCATCTTTTCCACCCCCTGGAACCACTGTAGCAGCCAAAGCTGTCCAAGAAGTCACACAGAAGATATATGCAAAATACACAAAATGAAGATCCTGAAATGAGGTAATGTTTGACCATAGTTCATAGCCTATATATGGGTCTGGGAACCCTTTGGAGGGCAGAACTCCCGGCCTCTACCCTTACAGAAGCCTCAGGCCAACCTGCTTAGCCTGAAGGACAGAAGAGCAGCGAGAGCAGCCTTCTCTGGCTGGGCAAGGAACCCAAACTAAGGAATCTCTCTGTACTGCCCCTTTCCATGCAGACACCAAAAATGAGGCACAGGGCAGGAAAAGGTAAGATTAGGGAGATCACAGAAGCCTCTGAGTACCATTTTCCCCTGACCCAACATTTTTTATTCTCCTTTAGGGTTTTTTTTTTAAAGTTTTTTTCCTTTGCAGAAGAAGCAGCTGCAGAAGATTTTTTTTTTTAAAGATTGTTAAAATTGGGCTTTTCAGTACCATGAAATATTTGGATACAGCAGATACCAGTACCAACTTGTTTTACAATAGATTTTGAGTTATGCTAGTTGCTGTTACTAGCTTTCAGTTCAAGCTGTTATAGATTAGAACTCTCAACCAACTAAAGAGAATACTTTTTATGCAGAATCAGTTCCATGTTACATGTACACGTAACTAAATTTTCACTGTTTTTATGAATTTTAATGTTTTGGGAATTCTAATGTTCTGGGAATATGAGTTTTGTGATGGTCATCTGTCATTTTTAATACAAAGCTCCAACAAGAGGAGGGGTAAATCAAAATTGCATAATGCTACAGCACACCTAGGTTACAAACTGAGCACGATACAAGTACTGTTACATTAGAGGAAGAGGGATTACGAAGTATTTTCACCATTTATTATATCACTACCCAAACAGTCGCAGAGCTGCGAGACGCTACTTGAACATGCACTGGGGAACTGAAGGAGGCAATTATGGAAGCCATCTTTGTATCAAACTAAAAGAGAACATCAATGTGAACTGTTACCTCCTCAGCCAACATGGCCACCATCCAATACATGTAGCCCTACACATGGGATTTCACCGTGTTATACCAGACCTGGTGAAGCACGGAGCAAGAGTAAATCACCGAGATGATACTGGCCAAACTGCTCTTCACCTGGCTTCTGAAACTCTCAACCAACCAGCAATTAAACTTTTACTCCACTGCGGAGCAAACGTAAATCTCACAACAACAGGTACCGACGAAACGGCACTTCACTTAGCAGTGTGGTCTTCATCGTGCAAGGCTGCCGTCATCTTAGCCGCAGGCAGGCAATGTGTGGAGTTACTGTTACTCAATGGAGCAAATGTGCACCTGAAAAACTGGGAAGGGCATGAAGCCATTCACAGAGCTTGCCAAAGTGGCAGAGAAGACATAATTAACCTTCTACTCAGTTATGGTGCGGATGCTAACTCCTTAACGAACCAGGGAGAGACTCCGCTTTTTCTGTTCCTTGAGAAAACTATCAATATAAGAAAAACAAGACTACTGAAGAAATTGCTAAGCCTATCATATCCTCTGAAACTAGCTAATTATGAAGGTCGTCTCCCCAAAGTGCTTCAACTCTCAAGTTGTGAACATCTAAAAGACATGCTTATCCAAGTGTCTTTAGAAGTCTGGTCCTTGCAGGATATCTGCAAATTCAACATCAAGAAAATATATAGCGGAAACATGAAATACCAGCTAAAAGGAATCATACCAACCCTACTATGGAATTCCATGTATGTTCAAAAAGAGTCCTCATATGCTTCAAAAGCAAGAAATGTCTGGTGAATGAGCCCGTCAGACAGGAACAGCAGAAATGAAACACCACACACTAACCAATGAACTAATGAATAAACTTGACAGCCTTAGATTCAGCACTGGTTTTTGACAAAATCCTTATTTCTTGAATTTTCTACTAATAATTGAAAGCACTTCATTTGAGCAGAATTATTGAAAAGCATTATGGGAGGGAAATTCTACATCTAGAGATGCATAGTGACATCTGCATGTACAACAGGTTTTTTAAAATTCTGATGGTAATGACATTTCTACACTGCCCATAGCCAAATTCTCTTCTCTGGGTGGGTCAACAACATTTTAAATGACCCATCCAGAATGCAACCAGGCCTGACCCTGCTTAGTTTCCACAATTAGGCAGGATGAGGCACTTCAGGCAAAATGGAAGCTGAGGATGCCAATCGTAGGAATTGCTCCTACGACTGTAACAGAAACAGATTGCAACGTTTAAGGTGAAAGTAGGGGCTTCCATTCAAGATGAGAAAATAAAGGAAGGCGATGCATAAGGCCACTCATGTCAAAGGGTTCAACAGGCCGAGACTGCAGAAGTTTGAACACAATCGGAAAAGGGGATTTTGCACAGTACTCTGCCTAAGACCGATACTAATGCATGTGGGTGTCCTTGTGGAATTTGTGAATAAGCGTCATTTTGCAGAGAGAGAAAGGTATAAGGCATCGGTGCATGGAGGCCCAACAATGGTCTAAATATGTTTTTTACTTACTTTAATGTCCCGGTGCATGACTCCCATGCTGTGAATATAATACACTCCTTCTAGTAGCTCTTGGAAGATTTTTGATGTCCACTGATTGTCTACATGGTGATAAGGATCTTTAAAAAGAAAGTTCTTTTTCATTTTTTTGTCTAAAGACAACATGAAACATCCAGTTATGTTAACAGAAGTATGCTAAAGCAATGACAGTACGTAAATACAAGCGGGGCCGGCCAACAACGTTGCAGGATCAATTGCTCTTGTTCAGGGTTCCCCAGCCAGAGAGCCATTGTTCCCTTTCACCCCTTGCAATGACCTCTCTCAATATTTATTGTAATTATAATTAATTTCATGTCCATACTGCCTAGCAGATGAAACTTTCTGAACAGTTTACAACTGTCAGTGTTGTACAACGTCTGATCCTACCTACCTCTGACCCTAGGCCCACTCACACTGCCAGATTTATTTCCTAAACGCTTTCTGTATTTCAGCATACCTGACCCTGCCAATAGCTCTCTGCTGTGCATAGATAGTAACGTACATTCCGAGGTTGCTGAGCACATGGCGACTCTTTCAGCAAACAGGACTTTCCCCAAAGAAAAGCACATAGGTCAATACTGTTGCTATCTGCACCACAGTTGCAGTACACAAACAGGTTGTCGATGCTTGCCAGGATCCAGAGAACTATTTTAGGTACTTGTACACATGTCCAAGCACATGATGGTGATTATAATACTTTAAAAAGCAAGCATTTGTGTCATATCAACAGGCTGCAGCCAAAGCTAGAAGGGGCTTTTCTGGGACTAATCTCTAAGAAATACAAGCTACCGTGGGTACATCAGACTATTTACGTGGCTTTTTAAATTTCGGGAGCTGTGGAACGTTTTTCAATTTTGATTTGCTTTGGATTGCACCCTTAGAGCTATACAGCCAACAAAAGCACACAGCTAAGTGTTTAAAACTGGAAAGCAGACCTATGTTTAGGATTTGAGTCCGACCCGTTATAACTAGTTGCAACAATATGAGATGAGCGGTTATTCGACCGAAACTCTTTTCTCTACTTCTGAGTGGGATGCAAATTAACTTTAATGCTTCTTTTATAAAAGATTTCTCTTCCCATATGACAAACCACCTCTACAGCTAAGATGTTATGCCGTAATAGATTAAAAGATTTAATCTAATTGGGCAAGTTTTTTTTAAGTAACTTGTTCAAGGTAAATACTTAGGCAGCCAAGTCAGAATCAGGCTACTAGAACATCTATACCAAAGTGGGCAACTTCTGCACTGCAACTCCCATCGTCCCTGACAACCCAACATGCTGGCTGGGGAATTGTAGTCAAAAACACCTGGAAGTCATCAGGGTGCCCACCTTGGTCTACAATAACTGGCAGCAACTACCTACCATTTCAAATGATGGCCTTTTTCCATCATCCCCTGAAGATACCAGAGGCTGAGCCTGAAATATTTTGCAAGCAAAGCCCATACCCTGATACTGACAATATTCCCATCATGTACCACAACATGAACACTCTCTTTCCCTCTCCGACCAAGTGACAAAGGAAATCGATTATTTATTTTTCTTTATTAGATTTGCATCCTGCTCTTTTTCCTTTTTAAAGGACTCAAAGCGGCTGACATGCTCCTCCTCCTGCCATTTTATACCCACAGCAACAACCCTGTCAGGGAGGTTGGGTTGAGCGTCTGTGACCGGCCCACAGTCACCCACCCTGTTGGCTCCACAGCTGAGCAGGGACTAGGAACCAGACTGCCTGAGTCCCAGCCCCACACGCTAAACCACTACATCGCACTGGCTCTCAGTGATGGGTGTTTTGGGCAGGAGCAACAACCTGGTTCTGGATTGATGGTTATCAGTTAGGAAGGCTCATCTTGCAGCTCTGAAATACTGGCTATGATTTAAAAGTAGCACAGCTCCCTGTCGGGTACCTGGAGCACCACACATGCATGGGTACTTTGCTTGTGTGGTCACAACAATATTTCCCCTTCACTACCTGAACAAAGAATAATAATAAAACTTACTGGAAGCATCCTCTGCTCTCAAACATATCTTGTTTCTGTCAGCAATCCAGTCCCACAACGAGAGTTCACACAGCTGCATTTGGATGTGAAGCATTAGATGATACTCCATCTGAGGAAAAAGTATGAGACGGTAAAAGGTTTTTCAGTATGTCATAATGCATTTTAGACACATGCATTTTAGCATACAAAATGCATTTTTGCAGAAGACATGCACAACAATTTGTAAAAATAAAAACAGGCGAAGGATTCTCACTGATTCGTTTATCCATATTTGACTCTGTCTCACTGTCCTCAAAAGACAGCAGCAGCTTCACCCTAAGAGTTACTGCATTTTAGGTGACAGATGCTAAAAGTGTGTGTTTTTATTCTGGCTCCTGAATACAGCAAAGAACAGATGTAAAGTCTGATGGGAGCTTTCAAGAAATTTGCCATGGGGACAAGTATGAGAGCAGCAATTGAACGCCCTGACTCCCCAAAGAACTACACCTCCCATCAGCCCCACCCAACATAAGCAAAAGAGATCAGTGATGGGAGTCACAGTCCAAAATACCTTGAGGGCACCAGTTGGGGAAGAATGCATTAAGCCAAAGGGAAAAGGAGACACCAGCTTAGCATTTTCTCATTATCAAATGTTTACAGTGTTGTTCCGCTCACAGGGTTTTTCAAATGGGCTGCAAATATCACACACACAATTCAAAATGATAACTGCACCTTATGCATGCCAACTCAGAGATAAATTTCACTAGGATTCTAGGATTGCAAGTTCTCAGGGAGACAGCCTACACATCTGCACTTGAAGTAGCTCCATGAAGCTCAGGGGATTGTACTTCCAAGTAAGCACCTGGGTGGTGCAGGTATAAGGTCCAGCCATTGCATACAAGCACAAAATATTGCTCATATGCAAGGATAAAATATTAATAACACACTATTGATATCAGGGGGTTATTAATATTATTATGTTTGGGTTATTAGTATAATAACTTATGGAATAATTGTTGTAAGTCGTCCAGAGACGTGTAGTGATTGGACAGGTTAGAAATACCCAAATAAAACAAAACAAATATTTACATCCCACTGAAGTTCACCTTATTTTCATCAGCCTTGGTTTCAATTTATAAAACAGACTCAAAATAACTGTTGACATCTGAGCACATTCAGCATCCCTCCGACTTCAGAAGGTTTCTGATATACCTACACACAACTCTTGCGAAAGGTTCACCATCTTTCCTGACTTGGATAAAACAATGCCAGGGGCTCCATTTGCAAAAACAGGTGTATTTATCTATTCGACTGCATAAGTTGCTTAAAGCTGTGCATGATCAGAGGCAGAGATACTTAAAATACATTTAAATTTAAAATAGGTAAAATTTGCACTTACTGCACAGTGCTGCTGTAGAGACCTCCCTTTCAGTGAATGGTTGTCTTTGCTACAGGAATCATTTGTGATAATGTTGTGTCTCTCATTATTGCAATGAAGCAGAACAGAGGGGTGATTTTCACCATTCCTTGAGCCACTAGTCGAGTCATTAACGGAGCAACTTTCATGTGACCCCGCACAGGAATTTGTTTTATTTCCTTGACCATCTCTGTCAACCGAATCTTCAGAAGTGAGGTCAGCAAATACAATGGAACTGCTGTCTTCCATGTCTTGGATGGAGTGCTGATCCCTGCAAGAAATTTAAGGGTGGGCCCAAAGAACTGTGAGCAGAAGTGAAAACTGCTACCAGCGCTGTTCCTTCAATGCGGGCGCCAGAATGTGCCCAATAATCCGCACAACGCAATCCTAGAGCTTCTGATCATTCCCTCTGTTTCTGATGCTCAGATGTGAGTGCCATTGTTTATGGAGCCAAAATGGTGCCACCCATGTGCAAAGGGAAATGTCATCAGGCTTGGGGGATTACCAAGGTGTACGGAAGTATAAAAATTTAGATGAAAATCTTGAGGGGTGTTAAACAGTTGTTCACTGTGCATGGAATGCTGGCAGACTGGAGCAGGCAAGAAGTCTAGGAAACCAGGGGAACTGAATAGAGCATTTGGGAAAAGTGAAGGAACAGAGAAACCTCCACACTGCATCTCTGTGACTACGTGTAAAGTTCTATAGTAGTTCTCATCTCTCTGCCTGGACAAGAATGTAGAAGTGGACAGTGACTTCACTGGACCAACTAGGTCTTAGCTGGGAAGATTACACTTAGTTAGGGAATAAGCTAGTCATGGACTGCTACTCCAATGCCTGCCAAACCTGGAGAAAGCAGTGTTTTCCAGGGATGTTTAGTGTGGTATAAGAATCCAACAGCTCCCACTGAAAGAGAGTGCAAGTTTCTCCTTAAGGAAGCAAATGCTGAGATTAGGTATCTTCTGAGATCGTGAAGACTATTTTTCAGTTGACTAGTTTTTTTCCATTGATTAGTTTTTACCCTTGTATATCGCCAACTACCTGCTAGTCTAACAGTTGTTAGAAGCTTCGTAAGATTAAAAAACAGCCTGCAAAGTATTCTGCCATGAAATAGCTTGGCATTTCTATTTTGTATCTATACAACAAAAAGTAAATAAAATACACTGGACCCAATGCAGAGAAGCTGAGGTGTGCTAAAGTCATTGAAATCCATGGGTCTTAACACAGTTGTAACTGACTTGTTCTTGTGATTTCAGTGGGACTTGAGCACAACTAAATGCTATCTGGATTGGGCTCACAAACTATAATCTAATGTATATTTGAGTTTTACCATCTAGGGTTGTTATTTGTAAAAGACTGAAGGAGATAGTTCTTGCTGAATATCAGAATACATACTCGGAATATCCTTCAGTGGAAGACATTTTGAGTGATGGCAAATTCAAGTTTCTCTCATCTACAATTGAAGAGAAATATGACATTTTATAAAGACAGGCTAAAATGTCTCATTGGCTAACTGTAACATTGTACCTTAATCATAAAGTTACTTAACTTTCTCAGCATGCAGGCAAGTTAAATCACAGTAATCAATAAGCACACATTATTCAAATGTTACTTGCATTAACTTTAGATAATTATTAAGGCAAGAACCTTCACGAAGGCACTCCTACATGCATTCTTTCAAAACATATATTAGTACCAACAGAACAGCACAAACTTTCCCACAGCCAACATCCCAAGAAGCTATACAATAACAGTATATTAATTATTCTTATTTTAGCCCCTTTCATAATCATTTCTAACACCAGAGCTGCCTTTTTCAATGCCAAAACAGCACTGGTGGCATTTACAGAAAGTTGTTTTTTGGTTTTGTTTTTTAACCTTGACCTCAAAATCCTTTCCTCTGGACAGCCTCAGGCAATTCCAGATTCATTCAGGTATTAATTCCTTTGCAATATGTGGTGAATGACACGTGGGTGCCATGAAAAGGACAAGAGCTACTCCCCTTTTTGGTATCCTGGTTGAACATGTTCCATCCAAGCGGTGTGGTATCCCACAATATTAGGATGCTGCAGCCCAGCCAACACTTTCACTTCTCGTAATACCTACAAAAAGACCAAAGAGAATATCTCTTCATAAGCCAGTGTCTACTGGACTTGGGATAGCTGAAGAACTCTTTGTCTGACATAAAACCAGAAGTGCATCTCATTGTTAAAAACGCCCACCCCCAGTGGTATAATTCTTGCAATCTGGGCTAACCATTCAGTTGCCCAGTGCTTGTTATCCAAGTCGCAGGTCCCAGGTTCAGTCTGCAGTACTGTCAGGCAGTAAGTGATGGCAAAAACCCCTGGCGAACTGACTCCACTCAGAGTGGAAAATATCCCAGTTTGGCATAAGGCAGTTTCCGAAACTTCCTTTTAAATTCAGAGTATTTAAGTACTTGCCTTCCGCTGAGCACATCCTCTATGCCCAAAGCCAACACAACTCAGTCCCAACACATTATAAAATCTCAGACTCTCAGCCCAACCTACCCCACAGGGTTGTTGTTGTGGGGATAAGATGGAGGAGGAGAAATGATGTAAGCTGCCTTGAGCCCTTTGTAGGAAAAAGGCAGGCTATAAATTGAAAAATAAATTGAAAAATTCTGGAACTGTGGCTTTTTAAAAAGCCATTTGTAACTTTAAAATAGTGAGGAGGAAATGTAGGAACATAGATGTTACATCAACCACTCATTTTACCAAACGAGAAACACACACACACACACACACACACACACACACACACTGCACTTGACTCTAGCATCAAGGTTTCTGCTTATTATCATAAAAGGCAGGAATTATGTTTACCATAAAGATCATATCAAAAACAGCTACAATGAGTCATGAGCCTCCACAGGGCAAGTAACATACCTAAATAGGTGTAAAATAAATGCATACCTTCATACAATCTCTTTTGGTAGCCTTCTTAATAAGAATTTTTTTAATTGCATAGAACTGTCCATCTAGCTTGTTTCTGACCTGAAAGCAAATGAAGAACACCAACTAGCATAAACCATCCATCCTGCAACAGAAAAGTACAACAAAGTACAACACAACAAAAAAGCTGTTTTGAGCAGCCAGTATAAGGAGGTGAAAACACAAATACGATTATCAATTTATCTGCATCTTGAGGTAACAAGGTAAAGTTTTAGCATATTAGTTTGCAAGCTAAAACTCTCTGGATGAGTCACAAAACAGGGAAGACAAGATTATATGCAGTTCAGGTAATCAGAAAAATTGTGGGAATGGGAAGGTCATGCACTCAGTCAGAGCAGTATCCACGACAAAGCACGGTTGTGTTCTATTGAAAACGTGCTTTATACAGTGGGGACATACAATCTTTATTTCCCCGAAGGCCATGCTGGGTGTCTGCCAGGGGATGCAAGTTTGCACACAAACACAATATACACTAACATTCATTAACTCGCATGCACATGTGCAGATGTGTAAGCAAACACACACACTGCAGCAGAAGGGACTCTGCAGTGACCTCCATGCTCCAGCCACGCTCCAGCCAGTCTGACCTGATCGCTGCTTTTTGACTGCTGTTAGAAGCAAATTAAGCAGTGATGCTGACCGCTTCGGGTCACTGGGGGAAGGAGGAGGAGGCTGAAGCTCTCTACCCAATCCAGCCAACCTGACCTGACCACTGATTCACCATTCTAATTTCTAGTCTCACTAATTAACCACACACTGGTAACCTCTCTTTTGGATTACTGCAAAGCAGTCAATGTGGAATCAGTCCCTTGGAAACAGTCGACAGGCTCAAAATAGGGCTGTGGAATTGTTAATTGGGACTGGCATATAAGGTCATATTACATCTGTGTTTTATAATGCACATTGGCTGACAGCTCATTTGCTGGCCCAACTCAAAAGTGCTTTTTTAATTCATCTACAAAGGCCTGAAGAATTTAGGGCCAGGTTACTGGAAAGATTGTCTCTTGCCATAAATACCTGCCCAAACCCTAGGCTCTTCTGTACAGGTACTTCTCCAGAAGCCCCCAGTAAAGGAGGTAAGGCAAATGGTAACTAAGGAGAAGGCCTTTCTGGTAGTGCCCCCTCTTCATCTTATAGAGCGAAAAATACGGTACATTACTTCTATACAAAAATAAATCCCAGTGAGTTTAATGAGGATTACTCTCAGGTAGTAGGGAAAAGATTTGCAATTACTTAATCTCCATCACAATAAACAATAATTACAAAACTGTTGATATAGATTAAACATACCTTGTACACTGTACCATATCCCCCTTTTCCGAGCCTTGACACCTCATCAAATTCATTAATGTAGCGAGATGTCTGTGCTTCAAAGAGATTTTCATTTTGCCTAGGGTTTAAATAAAAAGAAGCAGATTATCAACTCTAACAAAATATGTAAAATGTTAGTAAATGTGCCACAAATAAAGAATTAGAAAGATCAAATGTGTAACTTTCAGTCATGGGTATGAAAGCAACTTGGGAAAACAATATGGATGTTCAAGTGACAAAAAACGGCTAGAGTAGAATTCCCCAACCCAATGCCTGCCAGGTATACTGATTACAACTCCAATCATCCCCATACAGCATGGCTATATTAAGATGATGGGAGTTGTAGTCCAATATATCTGAAGACTGGAACACATTGCAGACGTTGTGCAATACTGGATGAGAGTTGAATCATCTCCCTACCCTTCCACACTTTCAATTACATTTTCCATGGCTATTTTTCATTTTAAAAAAGGTTGGAAAATTAATTTTATATTGCATGTTGCTTAACCCCTCCCCCACAAAATCTGGAAGGTAATACAAAGTAATGCAGCACAGAAAGCAGTAAGATATATTAGAAATAAGGTCCCTTCTCCATTTAGCCAAATTTTACAAGGTTAAAGGGACATATACATTCATTCAGAATCAGAAATATACAAACAGTTCTTAATTTTCTAATACTTCTACTCTAGGTGTACCAGTACTGAAGAGCTGGCAACAAAAGACAAAGTTTTGCTTCAATCCCATAGGGACCTTTTAACGCATGATAAAGTGGATTTTTCACAGGCAGCAATTGTACCACAAATTACCATATAGAAAAGTTAATAAAACCTCAGTTGTGTACATGTGGATAGTTGAGAGCTAAAAACCAGGAAGTGCTACAAGATATGCAAGGAGTTCTACGCATGGTGGTTTTGTTTTTTTAAACAGCATCAGTGAGATGCTGCCACGATCAAAACGTGTTTTCAGGTACTGGCCTGCTCTTGACCCCCACTGCCTGCTGCCACCATTTTAAACAAAACAGAGTTCCTTGAATTCAGATATAGCTGGAAATAGTGCACAGTTTTGAAACTGAACACAGAAGTTTTTAATCTCCACTTCTGATTCCCAAGGCTCATTAGAAGGCTTTAAAATGGGATTTGGCTAATCTGGTTCTAATCACCATTTTATATTTGCAACACAGAGACTTCCATCTACAACGCTAGCCATTTATCCCTAGTGAGCTCAATGGAACCTATTTCTGAGTCAGCATGCTGAGCAAAATACACACAGCCCTACATGCAACTGGTTCAAACATTTATTGCAGTGTTTTGAAAACGTACCTGTTTGAGTAAGAATCGCCATTTCCCAACTCCTACAAGAACAACAAAAGAAACAAACGATTTTATGACATTCATGGCTGAATCATGGATTCAATGTCCAAACTAGTGCAACATGTTTGAAAAGCAGCTAGCCGTTTTTTTAGAGACACAAAATGAAACGAGACCACAAAAATCAGTAGCATCCCTGCAGTTGCCTATTTTCATTACCTTAAATAGAACTTCCCAGTTAGAATGCTTCAAATACACTGGCTTGTTTTACACAGCATGGCCGAATTTATCCACGGAGCTGTTTCGTGGTGATGGGCTTGTGGCTTGCTGTGTCATGCAAACCCAGGCAAGCAGGCACACTCAAACAACCCCTGCTGCCTGGATTAGCAAAGCAAGCTGGGCACAGAGCTCGATGCTACAGATGAATTAAGCCATGGTGGAGCATCATGACACAAAGATCCCCAGGGGCTTGGATCTGGCAGCGTCTCGCAGTGCATCTGCTGAGGGGGAGGGGGAGATCTCCGGCACATACCCAGAGGCTTCCAATTCTCCCTCCACAGAGCTGTAAACTCCCAGGCTGTATCAAACTTTTTTTATGTTAATGCTGGGAAGCAGAAATAAAGGGTTAGAATAAGCCTACCTCTTTGAGTATTTGTTTGTTAGCTGCTCTCATTAATGCAGCAATGGCCCGATTATGTTGCAGTCTCAGGCTACTGAATTCTTCACAGACAGCAAAATCCGAAAGCAAGTGCATTTCAGTAAACATCTTGCACAATACTGTTAAGAAGGAATGGAGAGAAAGAAGTATTTTAAAAGATGAGGATTAATCTTTGGACAACATGAACATAATTAAAATGGCATCATTTTTCATAACCAATTTCTACTGAAATTGTATTTTTACTCTTAGGGCACATTTTTAGAGCAAATGACTCCTCAAGGAGGCCTCCAAAATAAAACATTACTGTCAGATAGAAAAACCAGTGATAATAATAAGCAAACCTCCAGGCTACCCAAAATCCAAGAAATAGTTGCAGCTTAAAATAAATCAGCAGTTCCACAAAACAGAACTCAAGGAAAAAAAACACTTTTGTAATAATTGACACTGCATAACAAGCAATACCCTCTGTCAACTGAAATGGTTTGGCAACACATACAAGTATTACATCCAACTGAGCTGGAGTATATATGGACAACATTCAGAGCTAAAATACCCAAACTCACAAGATCTTTTTAATGCTCAGACGGACTGTGGTGTGTTTCAGAATTCCTCTCCGCACATTCTTGCTGCCCAAATCTAGATCTGAACTGCTAAGAGGTTACAACTAAAACTTTTGGAAGTGAGAACCATCACCCTACCATGCAAGGTCAATTCAAGTTCTTACTAACATTGAAACAATCGTCTGGACCGTGTAGGATTTTGTGCATACATGTGGCAAAGATGTTGCAGCAAAGAAACAAGCAGGAGCTGGTTGGCAAATGAAGACGTGATATTCTTTAGTTTCTGAGAACCATTTGTGCCTCGGAACTCTTCAGGCCAATCAGAATCTGAAAAAGAATGGGCAAAATTTAAAGTTGAAAAGCAGGTTTACAACTTTCCTGAAAAGATGCAAACCTAAAATTAAGCAACAATGATCCTTTAAAAAAAAAAAATCTAAACAGTCTTTCCTACAGAATGAGAGTGCTATCTAATTCCTAGCTATGGTTAAAATAGTATGCAAGATCCTTGTTGATTCTTTAGTCTCATGAAAAGCTCAGTGGGCAGCCTGATCTCTAAATAAGGCCCACTGATTTCAATGGAACTCATTCCCAAGTGTATCTGCATATGATGGCAAGCTAAATGTTGAACATTTACAAACTGGAAAATTAATATTTTAACAAGATATGCTACTGTGAACATATACCTATCCTAATATGCTAAACATGAATGCATTAGTATATTTGCTATGTACTAATATAGTGGTCTTTATGTAACAAAAAAGGCACCTTCCACACAAAAAGAGGAAATATCGGGCTTGGAGGAATCCCAACACTCACAGAAGGACAAAAAAGCCTTAGAAAACAAATCCTAAAGGGATGGAGACCCAAAGCAGCCCAGTGAGAACTGAGCATGTTCAGTGTGCAAGGAATGCTAACACTTGCAGGGAGAAAAAGAGAATCAGGGCAGGGGGAAGAATGGAATGGAATATCATGAAAAAGAGTTTGGCTGGCTGGCATCCAGGAGAGGAGCACTCCACACAATATCACATTGCAAATTATATATGAAGTACGTAACAATCATTTTCAGAACATTAACAGTAATATCAAAGATCAGTCTTGTGTTCCTCAGGCTAGTGCTTAAATATAACTGAAAAGAAATGGCTTGTGGGTAAATGTATGGAATTTCATGCAGGTGGGAAAGGGGGCTGGCAGAGAAGCGACAGAGGGCAGCATCTCTCATCTGCGGTGACCACAGAAATAAAGCAGAATGCTGTGAATGCCCTTTTTTAACCTGAGAGGGTAAAATCAAACAGAACTGATAGGAGTATTCAAAATGGCAGCAGAGAAGAAGAAGAAAACAAAAGGGGACATCAAAGAAAAGGTAAGAACAAAAGACAATTAAATTCGAAAAATTAAAATGTTGAAAGTTTTCTCTTTTGTGCAAAAGCCTAACTCACAAACTGCTCTCATAAGTATAATGCTAAATATAAAATAAAGATAATAGACAGCATGTGTAACTGTGTCCATGCCAAAAATTTCCTGTGTGCAAAAGGAAAATATGCTCCAGCAGAGTCTGCTTTCTAACGTGTGAGAATTCCATCGGCAGAGACCTAGAAGAACATTCAAAGATGCCACACCTTTCAATTATGAAGTGGTATGGCAGCAAAATATCTGCAGTATATGTTGTGTTGAGCATATTTACTGACACTGTTAAACATTAGTAATTTATTTGGACACACACAATAAAAACATACATTCTAAAACCCATGTAAATAAGATTAAAACTTCCCAACAACACAAATGCTTAAAAGTCATCAGTTAAAAGCTGCTCAGCTGAAATTAAGCCTCAAAATTACTTAAAAACACAGCAAAACTGCCAAAAATACCCAGAAAAGGTCTCAGAGAATAAACAGATCTTTGCCTGGTGCTGAAAAGATAACTAATGACATAAGGCAAGTCTTTCCAATTAAGATATTTCATAAATGGCACCACTACAGAAAACACCAGAGCCATTCTCAGTATTTCTGCACCCAAGGGGAAGCAAAGCAGAATCTAATTAGGATCTGAGGTTTTGGCTAGAAATATATAGGAAAAAGTGTTCCTTGAGATGCTGGTCCTATTTGCACACGATGGTGCCCCAGAGGCTCCCCCACCAACATTCTCAGTTGTGTTCTCACAGCCCAATTGCTTCTTTTTGCTCTTCCTCCAAACAGGAATGGCTAAATAAGCTGGGATTGCTCCTACCCATATAGGTTGTTCACTGTGATGTCTAAACCTGTGATGTCTAAACTCTGATGTCTCTCCTCTAACAAACCAAGGTTGGAACCCAACGCTCTGGGTTGCAGTTGGTACAACTGTAACCTCAAGAGCCTTACAGGTTAAAACCCGCACTTTGAATTAATTAGGTGCTGCAGACAGCCCAGCGATGAGTCATAGTCCCTGCCCATGAGACAGATAAGACAAGGATGAGGAAGCAAAGCCGAACTGACAAATGGGGCAAAAGATGAGAGATTAAACTGTGTGGCAACAGGCAAGATGAAGCTAAAGTGGCTTAGTATGTCACCTACGCCCCAGTACTACTAGACAAGGTGGTAGATACAGGTAGTACTTTAACCCGCAAGCAGGTAAGTCAGAGGGAGGCAAATGGTGGCCACAGTCACTCGTGTGTGCTTCCTTGGCAACACTCACTGAGATACCCCACCCCTTCCAATTGTCCGTCCTGCCCCCCCCACACACCCACCCACCCACCCACACGCACACACGCTTACAGACCTTTTACTAGCAGCTGGGATTGCTTCGAAACAGGCGAGAGCCTTTTGGTGCTGCCATCTTAATTCCCCATGAATGCGTCCAAACAGGTTAGTTCAGTGACTAGCCATGGCCACTCATTTTATGGTTGTGACCAGGAGTTTCTCAAATCTCTAAATGTCCCCATGGGTCCAAAAGATCGATAGCCCCTAGAATGGTGGTGCCTATAAAGGAATGCTGCTCTATAGAAACCAACCACACAGTCCTTACACGTGAAAAACTAGCATGGCAAACGGAAGGCCAGGGAAAGGGACTCATTCCAGCAAAGGGATCACCCATTTTGATTGACCTTGGTAGTCAACAGGGTGGATAAAAAGCAATCATTTTTTAAAATAAAAAAAATCAGATTTTTAAAATTTAAATTGTTTTATTTAAATTGATTTTTTAAATAAAATGTTTTCTGAGGAAAAATCTACCTAAAGATAGTTTTCTATTTAAGCTATAGTCCAAAGGTTATTTAGCATGAAATATGCACTAGTTTTAATTACTTAGCATGACCCAATGTTTAAATTTTTGGTAATTGAATTCTGTTAATCCATTTGCAATGTCACATGCTCCTCCAGAGGTTTCTGCAGGATTATTGGGCGTTTTTTTCATCTAAAAGATTTTATCACAGATGCTTGGTATTACAGTTCTCAGAGCTGTGAATGTGTGTCTACAGAGATCACATGCCTCTTCTTCACAGCAAAAATGTTATAAAATAAACATAGAGTTGAGAAAAAGACCTTAATCCCATTGTTCCTTTGCAAATCTATGTACGCAGAATCAACCTCTTACCTCTTAACTGCTAAGTTTCAAAAAAATCCATGAATAGAATAAGATTTTTGGAACAGAGTAGATCTGCACAATAAGCTAAGTGTGTGTGGGGGGGTAAGCAGAAAAAAATAAAGTTTGAGCAGAATACTCCACAAGTCTTTGGATCTTTTTGTGTATAACCTGTTTATCGTGTTATTCTTTCCCCAGAGGAGGAAACCAATAATGGCAGCAGGCCGCAAGAGACCTAGTTTTGGAATACTTCAATGAAGTTTGTGTACCTACAGGTAAGGCAAGCATGCATGTCAATTAAGTAGAAAAACATGATTTAAATCTAGTCTTACTGACGAGTGATTTGAATCGTGATTTAAACTAATTTAACTCAATTCCCCCCTACTAAGAAGTGACATACAACTATGCAAAGCAACCAACATTATGACGAGCTTATAATGCTTGCCATAAAATGGTGAAACTGCAGATCCCTGCTCCTCAACATTCTTTTCTTTTTTAAAAAAAGAGAGGAATATTTCTGGAAGGTGGGATGCAAGCCGCTGCAACATGAAGCGGAACAATCCTGAGAAAAAGCTGCCAATCCTGGAAACTGGGCCTAAATCTGCATAGCCTGCTGCAACATGTAACGATGCACAAAATTTCCAAAAAGACTCTATTTCATCCACCAGGAGATGAGGCACAAGGAAATTCCTTACTGATGGCTAAGGCACTGTGAAAGTGCAGAAACACTGTGGAACAATAAGGTGACTCCTCAGAGTCCCTTGTGCATAAAAATAGCCTTTTTTTCAAGATTATGTGCATATTCCTCTCTCCCCAAGTTACCCTCACTATTACCCCTTGAAGTAGGCAAGGTTGAGAGATACGGAGGGACACAGTCACCTTGTGAACACCATGGCTGACCAGGGACTTGAAACTGGGCCATGCTCTGGCACATTAACCACTACACTGCACTGGCTGTCCTATGTAGTCATACATGTTCTGATCTTGTTTTATGAAATACTGTGGAACATCCTGGTTTTAAGCCTATAGTTAATGGAGCACATTAAAATGCAAGACCCAAGTATTATTGGTGAAAAGCCACAGCCTCCTAATTTGCAAGAATAGAGAGATGATACGTTCTTTTTGTTATGTACAAAAGTTTATAGACATTATTATGCAGTCTACTCACAAGCAATGCATGCATTTTTAAACAGTTGCCCACTGTTACTTATCTGTAAACCATTACTGTTTCACTCAGCTGACTGCTGTTTATACTGCCTTCTATAATGCAAACGAGGATATAAATATTTTAAGGAACAATAAAATAGAATTTAAAAATACATAAAGGTGGTAATTTGACCTGCATATTTTTATAGATGAGAAATAATGCTATCCTAGTAGAAATGCCTCATAGTAAGGAATTAATATTTTTGTGTAAAGAAAATTCAGAGGGATCCAAAGGGTTGCTTGATAGTGCTATTTATGTTATGCTACCAAAAATCAGCGTTTGTTCAACATCAACAATACTTGCTAATGCAACTCAGTCTTCATTTGAAACTTCCCATAGTGTTCTGAACTTACATGAATGTAAAACTGCTTAATAAGTGCACTGCAGTTTCTCTGTAGCAATCTCATAATGTTTAAAGAAGGCTTAACAAAAAAGTGGAAAAAGGTAAAGGAATGATGACTGAAATCCTGAAAGGTACAAAAAGGTAAAGGAACAATGACTGAATAGGGATCACCTACAGTACCTATCCCAAACTTGGAGGCCTCCAGAGGTTTTAGACAATTCCCATCAGCACGGCCAATGCTCAGGGGCGGGGGACGCTATAGCCCAAGCCTTTCTGACTGCACCAGGTTGGAGAAGATTAGTCTACAGATATTATATGAATATTTTCTTGCTTTTCCCCAAGGTAAAGAAACTGCTTTTTAATAAGCATAACCATGGAGGTATAAAAAGTATGGCTTCGAGCAGTGAAAGGAAGGGAAGCTGATGCAATTGAATAACAGCCAGAGAAACAATCACGGGATGGTAGGAATGATGAAACTGCCCCCTAATTGAACTGCTTGAAGGTGAAGAACAGTGACCCAATGATGTCTCTGTACAGTCATGCAGATTAATTCCCCAGCTCCTAACACCTGACTCTTCTACCTTCACTAACTACAGTATTTATTTACAGAGTTAATATTTCTGGAAAGGATTGAAAGCAGAAACTATCCCCAGCAGCAAGCACTGTTGAAAACACTTAGATAAAAAGGATTAAAATGCCCACTAACTGTTAACTACCACTTGCATATTATGACATTCCCATTCACTGACAGGTTATTTTAATTGCATAGCCCTTGGCAAGTTCTTGTCCACCACGGCATTAAAATCATCCTAGCAGCTAAAAAATTTATGACAAGTCTCAATGATGCAATGCACAAAGGAGCTTACTTGTCTAGAATTTAGAAAAATATTTTTTTCCTGCTAGACCCAAAGCAACAGCAGTTACATCTGTGTACTCCTGTTTGTAAATCCTAAACCAAGGTATTATCCATCCAGTGCTTAATTTGTTGCTTTAGAGAACCACTGCGGGGAACTTTTTCACACCCTGGGATATTTAAAAGGTATCCCCTATCTGCCTACAAGTTTAAGTTTGTAGACTCCATCCTTCCAGCCAAAACTATACAAGTGATTAAGCAGTTCCTGGACCACACCACTTCAGGACTTGATGCATGTTGTATGTCAGTGCTACACAATGAAACACTGCTTTCATGGATAAGACTAAAAGGTCAGAGAGAAGAAGGCTTCAGCCTAGCTTTCCCCTCTGGCATGCTATTCAAAGGTACAAAGCCCTTTCCTGCAGTGGTACAGTCCAGGAAAAGCTTTCACATGTTCTGCTTCATGTGTAAACGTCATGGCCCAAGCTCATTGCAACATAAGCTTTCTCTATCATGTGGGAATAAGTCCCACGTGAATGTATATAAACATACATAGGAGCAGGCCCACAAGTCTCTTGTAATGAGCAGGCGGAGAAAAAAGAACTCATAGCGCCTATTAGATTCTCTTATTAGGGGCAGCAATGGGCAAATTACACTTTATTAAATGTAATTTGCCTCCACTTTCCTCCCCATCTATTTGCTAAGTCCCCTGAGCCATTTTTTTTTCTTAGATCGCAACTCCCTCGGGGCAGAGACCGTTCTGTGCTCCTTGAAGCAACCCTGCACGTTGACACTAGAATATACTGTTTTACCTGGAAAGTCTCCATTTCAGCCCAGGAAGCTTGCAAAAAATTTTGAATATTCAGCAAACCAGTGAGAACGTGGTCTGTGGGGTTATAAGCCCCCCAGAGCGTCGGCTATTAGACGGTATATCAATGCAGCGATTTTTTAAAAAGTCTCGTTTTGAATGCAACCTTAAACTCGCTTGCTGGCCCTACAAGCAGCAACAGGGCTCACTTCCACGGAGACCCATTTAGGACAGGGCTGTGCACGCCTACTTCCTCCCACCGACCCCGTTTCAAGCCCCGCTCGCCATACAAAGGAGCGGGCGGGAGACTCTCCAGGCGCCCGCAGCCCCGCGACAACGCACCGTCGAACTGCGGCTCCGTCCCCTCGTCGTCGAGGAACTCGATGGCCGGAGGAGGCCGCGCCTCCTCGGCCTCCCGCGGCCGCTGCTGGCCCGGCGCGCCCGCCGGCCCCCGCCACATGACCGCGCGCTCCCCTCGCTCCTTCTCCGCCTCAGCTTGGCGCGAGCGCCGCGCGGCCTGGCGGGCAGGCGGGCGGGCGGGCGGTCCTGGGCGAGGGCGGCGCAGGGGAAGGAAGGGGGCGGGCCGCCCGGCCGGGCCGCTTCTCCCGCCAGGCCCTCGCGAGGCCCGGCGGCGCCCCCTGGCTCTGCCCGGGCGCCTCTCGCTCGGCGCGGCCGCCCAGCAGCAGCAGCAGCAGCAGCAGCGGAGCGGCCTCCCGCGCGCTTGCTCCCTCGGCGGCGCCGGGCCCTCGCGCTGGCGCCCGGGCCTCGCGGAGGCCGTTCAGCGCCCACCCTGCTCAGAGAGGTCCCGGGGAGCTTGGCGGCATCCGGCCCCCGCTGGACGAGCTGCCCTTGGTGCGGGCTTCTCCAGCCGCCTTCACGGCCCTGGGTTCCTTCTGCCTGAGGCTTTTTTCCTGGAACCGAATTCACAGCTTTTTTCCTTCCTCATACATCCCTTTTTTTACAAATGGGGTGTCCCTGGGAGACAGGAGCCTTGAAACAAACATAGTGACCCGAGAGCACACCCGCAAATGTACTGTCATTTATTTATTAAATTTATATCCTGCTCATTCTCCCGCTCTCAAGCTTATCCCCACAACAACATCCCTGTGAGGCAGGTTGGGCCAAGAGTCTGTGACTGGGCCAAAGTGACCCCGTTGGCTCCATGGCTGAGCGGGGACTTGAACCCGGATCGCCTGAGTCCTATTTCTGTGCTCTTAACCTGACTCACATTGACTCTCTTTCTTCCCCCATGTGGGCCCAAGCCTCTCTTTGCAATACCGAACACCACCCCAGCAGTGATGTCCTTCGAGTTGAAGCTCAAGGTCAAGGCCTTGGGCCCCTTTGGCCAGGGAGATCAAACTGGTCAGTGTGGATCTGGTGTGACCAAACTATTAGGGTTGACTCTGCCTGCCACCACATCCTTTTAAGTGCTGACTCAAGCATTTTTGGAGATGCAGGCAAGATATCCTCAATGCCCCTCTCCAGTGGGGGCACCCACTCACCTTCATTGTTACCAACTATTTTTCTTTTAGAGCATTGTTATCTGTTTGACAGGCAAAGAGAAACAGTGAGGAAGCAGCTAGCATGGCCTGAGTGCTCTGCCTTCTCGTCACCACCATTGACTCACTGCTATACGTAAGAAGTGAGAGAAGAAGGCTGAGGCCCCACCAGGATATGTTCTTTCTTGGCACTACTGATCTCCCCCCCCCCAGCCCCCACTAAACCTGTTTACCAAGATTGCCCTCACAACTTTGGAGAAGCAGCAAGCATAGTTCTTTCTGCACAGGCTATGAAACGGGGCAGGATGCTAGCTAAGTACGGATCCCTAGATCTGAGGATAGAGCTGCATTCCAATCTTCGATCTGAAAATCCCCCAAATTCCATGGCTCTTTAGATACTGTCCAGGGTCTACACCATTGCTCTGTAAAATATGTATGTTGTTCTTCACCAAAATGGTGCTTGTTCCCTTTGGCAGCAGGTCACCTGAAGCAAACTCCACTTTATTCTTGTAGTCATGATAAGGCTATCATTTAAGTGAGTTTAAAATGCGAAACTGCATCTGCTCAGAGCATTTCTTCTTTGATCAGGAACTGCAAGCAGGTTTGGGTATATGTATTAGGAATGTAGAAGTAGTTGTAAAACACGAGCCAGATGGGGGAGAAAAGGCAATAGAATTTTGCAATTACCTTGTCTCTGATTCATATGGGAACATGCACATTAAAACGACTAAAGAGAAAAATAGTTAAACATAATTTACTGAGAAATACTGGTAATAAATTCCCCAAAAGTCTGCTAAAGCAGCGGAGGGCACAATCCTATGCTGACTACCCCTTGATGCATCCTAGCCTTAGAATGCAGAGGCTTATGTACATGCAGTATAAAGCACAAGGCACAGCGGTAGCAATTTTCGCTGCCCCACAGCATGCATTTCTTCTAGATATTTGATCTCAACAGCTGAAAACAACTATCACAGAGGGAGAGTGAAGGTGGCTGAGGCACCATTTGCATATAGCATAAGCCATCAATCCCAGGACATGCTCATTTAGCCCTCTCCAAGGTTAGTTTCTGATCTCAGTGACACCACTGGTACAGTTCTTTCTGCACCAGCTGCCAGGGGATGGGGAATTCCAAATAATAACAATTGGAATCCCAAATAATTCTATGCCCCCAAAACCATGTTGGGAGGCCATAGCATTGCACCTTAAATCAATTATTCTGGTTAATTTATATCTATATATAGTACATACTGTTAATACACAATGCACAATCCTAACCGTGCCTAGTAAGGAACATTATAGGCTGAATGCCTTAATGGTGAGTTTTTGGATCTTCATTCTTTAGCTAACAAAGAAAAAATGGCCACTGATATGTGTACATGTTTCTAAGCAATTCTAAGACAAGTAGTCTTCTACATAGCAGCCATCTGTACCAAGCTAATGGGGCCATCCATTTTTGTAAGCCCCAGAGAGTCTACCAACTATTCCACTGAAGAAAACCGCTGATACCAAAGTGAGAGGTGACTAATTAGGGGATATCTTTTGCAGGTCCCAGTAACTGAACACTACAGCTAATGGCTTGTATCTTTTCATGATTTATTATAAAAATCTCTCTAGTGCGCCTGTTCACCTTGATGTTTTCGTTCAAAATGCTGTTCCTTGACTCTGTAGAGGAGTTTTTTGTTCCTCATCAAACCCCTTTAGCTTTCAAAGGGCATACCTGCTAGGCGCTATTTTTAGACAGTTGGAAGTGCTCTAAGATCTTGATTTTCTTGTAGCTGCAAGGTGCCATTCTACAGTTTTAGAATTTTACATTTTTATTCCTCTGAGTGAGGTACTTGTGGAGTAGTTGTAGAATTTTGGGACATCCACAGAGCTGGTTCAGCAAAGTGTCTTTTATCAAACATGTACATCTCCACCTTCTCGATGACCTTACAGTAATCTACAGATCACTTCTTCAAAGTCTGGGTAATATTTGCAGCTAAAATTATTTGTCCCACCAAGGGGGAGGAATTTTCCATCTCTTCACTTTCTTTACTGAATTGTATTCAGTACAAAGTGATAGATCTGAAACCGAGCTGTTCTAAAACTCACATATTGGATTAGTGAAAGGTTAGAAGAAAGCAGAACCTAAATATCATCACTGGAAGTTAAGTTTGTTAATTCATTAAAGTCCTGCAAAGGTTGTGATTTCACATGCAACTGGAGGTTTAAAAAACTTGGACTGAAAAAATATGGTATAAAAGATGTATAGTTGTGGTGATGTATGTGAGATATTATTGATGTGAGAGTAACTTTTCCCTGCCCCTACACTGAAGTCAATTGACATCTAAGTTGGGCAATACTTTTAGTAAGGGCGATCAAAATGCCACAGTGCTCAAAAGACAGGGATGATTGTACTTGTAGTCCGACAACATCTAAAGGCCCAGAGGTCCCCACCCCCAGGCTTCTGGATAAAATAGCAAATAATCTTGAGGCACCTTAAATGAGCAACATATGTATTGCGGCATAAAGCCAGGGCTACAGCTCTCACCAGCACCAGCCAACATAGACAACTCTGGGAGTGTGGCAATTGCAGCCCAAAGGAGCTGGAGGTCTCCAAGTTGAGGAAAGCTGGGCAAAGAAGCTAGATCTCAACATATTTTGGAGTTCCCAGGAATACTTGCAAGCATGACCAACAGTCAAAACTACTGGAAGTCCCAAAATATGGAGTACTGCTTTGTATCCCACACACATCTGATATATTTTAAAATACAGATCAGACCAAAGGCCTGCTTTATATACAGCTCAGGATTGCAGTACCTGACCAAGTGCATCTTCTGACTTGAACCCACCCGGGACTGACATTCAGGACCTTCCTCCAAGTGCCTCTTCTAGAGGAAGCTGAAAAGGTCACACCAAAGGATAAAGCTTCTCAGTGGTGGGGTTCCAATTATGATCTTCCCACTGAGGCCTACCTGGTGCTAACACTGGCATCTTTTCAGCTCTGGATGAAAAATGCCCTCTGTTCCCACGTATTTAATGGCATGTGATACAACATTTATACCAACTATCATCAGTAGACCTAGTTTTTCACTGAAATTCTTTTTAGCTCTTTCAACGTTTCTGCAATGTTGTGAATTATTGGGAACTGCCCACACACCTTCAGCTATTGGGAAATAGAGAAAAGAAAGAAATAATAAAATTACCCTCATTTCAATTTGGTGCTTTCCAGATTATAATTGCCACAGTGCACCGTCCCCTGCCTTAACCAGTTACCCGGGAGTAAGCCGTACTGAACGCACCGTGACTTACTCCCGACGGAGGAAGCTCTTTCCGAACCCCCTCGCCTTGCTAGCAGCCCTGAGGAACGAGCCGGCTGTGTTCGGCGCGGGCGCGGGCGGCACTTTGACGACGGCCCCTTATGGCGGCGGCGGCAACGGCGCCTGCGCCTCCAGCGCTCTCCCCTCTTTGTGCACGGCCCCTAGGAGAGCCGGCGCCTGGCCGCAGTTCCGCCGTGCCCCCGCCCCGCCCCCGCCGGCGTATCTTTTTCTGTCCTCCCCCCACTCCTCCCCTCTCGCCTTCCAATAGATACGAGGCGTCTCCGGCCGCAGCGCCCCCTGGCGGCCCCCGTCGGAGGGAGGGCGGCGCTGGTCCCCGTGTGACCCAGAGCCGCGCCGGCCTGCCGGGGCCCCGGATGCAGGAGGCCGGGCGGAGCGGGGACGTCATTGTTCCCCGACACGGGCAAGGCAGGAGGCGGAGGCGGAACGGGCGGGCTGAGGCGAAAAGGGACCCGGCAGCGCCGACCCAGGTAACTGGAGAGCCTGAAGCGGGGCGGGCGTGTGGGGGGAGGGGATGGGAGGGAGGGAGGCCGGCGGGGAGGGGGCCGAGCTAGGCCGGCCCGGCCCGGCGCGGGCCTCGACCCTTCCTCTTCCCGGCCTGCGCGGCTCGGCGCGGCCCATTCCCGCCCCCCGCGTAGGCGGGAGCGCCCCCTTCCTCCGGCGCCGCCGCCGCCGCGCCCGGCTCTTTCTCCCGCCCGCCCCGCTAGGCCCATGCGTGTCCTGGAGCCGCCCCGCCCACTGCCAGTTGGCTCCTTGTCTCCGTCTCTCTCGCCGCCTCCCTCCCCTTGTCTTCCGAGGAGACCGCCCCCCGTTCCTCCGTGCCCCGTCCCCCGTCCCCGCTTTCTCCTCTCTTCCCCAGCCTTCCTTGCTCCCCCTCTCGCCCTCCCACACCCAGCCTGCCCTTTTGTAATACCTTCACTGATGAAGAGACCTGGAGAGCTCGGAAGCTTGCACATGCTTTTTTTAAAAAAGGCCGCTTTGCCTTGGCCTAATAAAAGGTATTCCACTAATAACGGTTTTTGCATTTTTTCCTGCTTAATGGCTAATGTGGCTGTGTTTGCCTTTTAGCCCTCCTACTCTCTCTCTCTCTCTCTCTCTCTTTTTTTCTCTTTCTCATCTCCTCCTTCCCACAGCCCCATGATAAAGAGTTTGGTGTGGATCATCAACCGCTCCCCCACCCAAGATCTCTTTTGGTGGAAGAGCTGGTGATATAAAATGTCTGTTGTAAGCGATTTTTCCTGTGTGTGTTGGAGGCTTAAATTTTTCCAAGCCTTTTGTTTCCTTTCGTTTTTCTGAACTCCCATGGTTTGGGCATCAGATTGGTGTGTGCACGCGCGGAACTTCCTCCTCGCCAATATTAACGTATCTGTAAATATATATATCAATGTGGCTAACTAAGTATCTTTGCTTTTATATGTCCACATTCAAGTTTAAGTTGGTTTTCAAAGTGTGTCTATTATGTATGTACGTGTTTATCGTTATGTGTAGCTGCATCTGATGTTATGCACACGTTTCTGTAAAGTTTGTTTTTGCTGCGTGTGTATATGCCAAGTATACACAACCATATACATTTGTTTTGCCTGGGAAGTGTGTGTATACATATACTGCTGTTATGTGTACCTGCGTGATACTGTGTGTATTTACTCCTGCTTCCCCTAGTTGCTAGAGGACTTCTAACCCCCCTCCCATTTCTGCACATTTGCAGTTTTCGTGTGCGTCGTCTTTATCTTCACCCCACGCAGTATCATATACTGGTTCCCACACATCGTGTGTACATATGCTTCTCTCCCAGTTGCTTTATTTGTGAGCAGCCTGTGCTAGCTTCTTCCCATTTGCCTGATCATCTCCTCCTCCTCCTCCTCCCTCTCTGTCTCTCTCTCTCTTTCTGTAAGGATTGTCTTCACTTTTACCATTCCTTTCTGTTGCCCATGTTGACATGTCCCTCCTCTGCTTGTGGAAGGGGGTGGGTTTGGAAGTCTCTTGTCATTCTCTTACAATGTTACTTCCCTTGCTTGGTTGCCATGGACACTGCCTCTCAAATGAGTGATTCCTTTACAGTCCCTTCTCTTTCCTCCCCTTGTGTCTGGGAATCGGTCCTTGATGTGGTGGGGACGGGAATTAATAGAGGCCACTGCTTTTCCAGCTTTTCTGTTACTTCTGAGCCCTGAGTTTGTGCAGCCACCTTTTTCTCTTCTGTTCACCCATTTTTTACTCCCATCGGGACAGCCGTGCTGCAGCAGCAGTTGCTGGGCTTGGGCAACAGTGGTGAATCTCGGGCCCCACATGAACAGTTTTTTTGTAAATAAACCGGTTGTGTGGCTTGTTGACATCCAGGCCACGTTGCTCTGTCGTTGGCATGAATGATATCATAGCACCAACACAATGGATTCCTGAGTAGCAGAGTTGTGGAAAGAGCTATCAATATGCTTCTTCCATCCCTCACATGTTTCACACTCCCCAGGGAAGAATGTATCAAATGCTTCTGCCTTCAATAATATTACTTTCTAGTAGTAATGGGAGACAGGCCTTTTACAGATATTATGCTTTTTGTGTGTGCCGACTCACCACCATGCCCTCGACCAGACAGCATTATGCTAACAGGTGGCTTTTATACAAATTTAATTAATAAATAACCTCAAAGGCTGCTCTAAAGCTGTTTTATGGGCTGTGTGGCTGGAAACATTGGGGTCTTCTATGGTAAATACTGCTTTGTATGTATTACATTATGAATACAAACATGTCTTAAAGGCACTCTTTAAACACACAATGCTTCCTTTGCAAGTAAATTGCTCCTCTTTGGTGGAATGGAATATGTGAAGAGGACTGGTTGTTGTTAAAAACCATAGTGAGATTAAATGAAAGGATTCAAGCACACAGCTAGCAATCTGTGAGGGGAATTATGTGGGGAAGCTAAAGTTTGCAGAATAAATTGGTTTGGAACAAAGTGGCCAAGGCAAGGAAGGAAGTCTGTGCAGAAAGAGATTTTTAAAGTAAGACTGAAGTGGAGGTGAAGGCCAATTTCTTGAAGTTCATGTATTTAAACATCAGTGTCTCTAAAATAATTCTAGGTTTTTAATGGGAGCCCTGATGTTTCCAATCAAGGTATTTGCTTTTATGGTAAGGGGCATTTTTGCAAGTTCAGCGCAGAGTTTCTTTAAAGAGACTGAAAATTTGGGCAGTAGCATGTTGCTAAATGGCTCAGAGATGAACTTGACTCATTTATCCTTTTGCCTGAAATAATAAAGATAACGTCCCCTTTGTATCTCTGCAGTCTGTGCCGGTATTGTATTAATGGGAAGTAAATGTGAAGCCATGGTGTCTTGTAACTGCCTGAGAGATTTATTGAATGGCTTTAAAAGGCACATTGGTTGCTCCCTACATTTTTAAAAATTGGTCAGTTTTGCTTCCAGTATTTCTTGATTTGTATGACTATTTAAGGACAGATCAGATTTCTGTAGATCAGTATGCTGCTTTAATTTGGGGTGTTTCTGAAGTACATTTTACTTAATAGCAGTGATGAAGTTCCCTGACGTTTCACCAAAAAACCTTTGTTGGGCTCCAGTTTCAACTATAGCTCATACATTGGCAATTTCCCTGGCTCCCATGTAGGCAAAGGTATGTGTGCTATGAACATTAAGCATATGCATGTCCATCTGCCTCATGTACACATAATGGAGAGGGCTTGGAAAAACACATTAGCTGGGTCCATCCAACACTCCACATTCAAGGTGAAGTATGCTTTCAATGCGGTTTCTCATTGAAACGTGGGTAGTTTTGTTGTGTGGACCCACTGCCCTAATAAACCATGGCTTTCTCATCATAAACAACCCACAAAGGGAATCCATGTTTTTTGTGGGTTTCACAAATTTATCAAATCATTAGTATGGCTGGGTCCACACAATGCAGCAGCTGCAGTTCAGTGGCAACCCGCAGTTAATCCAAATTCAGCCTGAACTATGGGTTGTCGTGCTGTGTGAACCCAGTCATAGACCCAGCTTACAGAATGAGAATAAGTCACCGAGTCTTGTGATTGGTGGTGCGTGCCAGGCATTGTTTCACAGTTGACCCCCAGCCACAGCTTACTGTATCATTTGAAACTGAACTTGCGTGTCTTACTGGAGAATTAAAGGCCCCTCAACCCATAGTCTGCCCTAACCTGTGTGAATGGGCCCCTTGTATGTTATGCACAGTGGTGCTCATGTGATATACATACTTTTTCCTAAATGTGTCCTTTGTGCAGAGGTCCTAATTAAATATAAAAGGCTCGGTGGAAAGAGGCAGGCGAACTAGAGTTAAACGTGTAAGGTAAGCAGAAGAAGTAAAAGCAACTAAAAAGCCTTGTTGATTCCTACCCACAAACCTTTTCTTGGCTCCATCAAGTTGAGAGCATTCCTGAACATTGGCCTTTCTGGCTGGGGGTACTGGCAATTACAGTTCAAAGCATCAGCAGGGCACCAGGTTAGGGAAGGGTGGGCAAGAGTGTTGGTGTAGGATTGGAGAGATCTAGGTTCATACATGACGTGGGCTGTGAAATTAATCTTGTGCTACTCACCCTCTCTCATTTTAGCTGACCTCAGAGTTGTGTGGAGAAAATTAGGGGTGGAAGGAGGAAGAAGCATGTTATCAGGAATAAGCAACCAGTTGCCCTCTTGCTGTTTGAACTTCAACTCCCATAATCCCTGACCATGCAGGTTGGGATTATGGGAGGAGCAGCCTAAAACTTCTGAAGAGAATCAGGTTGCCTATCTGTGATGTATGCTGATGTTGAGATGGTAGAGGACACTGGGAAGTATCAGATTGACATTTAAAATCTTGAGGATTACATTGCAAAATGGGAAATAATGTTCCCTCCCTCCCTCCCCTTTACTGTACCTTCTTTTATAACTGCCCCCCCCCACACACACACACACATGCTTTCCAATTGGTTGTAGGCAACTGTTTGAAAATTTGCCTGGATGTGTCTGTTGTTGTTTGTTACCTATTCTGCTCAGCAACTTTGATAAGCTGAAACATACAAAACAATTGGCCAAACAAGCATACACATAAAGGACAGCCATAAATATTCAGGTAGGAAAAACCGCACGTAAAACATTTTCCAAACACAATTGCAGAGGTCTGAGGCCCCAGAAAAATTAAAATATAAAACAGCAGTGACCAGAAAGGGTAGCAAGTGGAATGGGAAAGGGGAGACAAGATGATTTCTACCACGAAGGACACTAGAATACATGCTGAAGAACTGGGGGAGAAAAAGCCACAATGAACCCAATTGTCTGTTACCTGGGATTGTATTGCAAAGAACACACACTGCATAGCTCATTCGCGGGATGGCTTAGAATGACATGCAAATGTGGCCCTGCATTTAGGGAGGCCTACTTCCAGGTAAATATATATAGGATTCCAGCCAGATAGGGTAACATAGCAATCACTCATTTGATTGGACTTGTGTAAGTTTTACAGGGCACCCTACCAAAGATGTGGAAGCTACGTGACGGAAGTACTGGATAGACGGTTTTGAACCACATTCCATTTACTGTGGTGTAATAATAAATGTTGACTCTTCTAGTCAGTAGTACGTTTAATAGCCATTTCTTTCTGAAAATAGTGTTTATGTAAATACTGAAATACAGATAAAGCGCTATAGGGTTTTTTCCATGCTCTTAAGTTGTCACTTTTCACAAGTGGTGGTGAGGCACCCATATTTTATAGAGGAGGGGAGGGGTTGGGGTTGGGGTCAGGCCCATTCAGTGAGCCTTCTCTTGGTTTGGGTTTGCAGCTGCATTTTGTTAGTAGGTAATTTTATCTGAGCAGTCCACAGTTCAGAGCTGTCTTTTATGACTGGATTTGCTGTAGGCACCTCTGCAGTGATGTACTTAGGCTGCAGGTCATTGTCATATGTCGTCAGGTCGTCTTTGACTTATGGCAGTGCTGTGAATGAAAGCCTTCCAAACTTTCCTGTCCATGACAGCCCTATTCAGCCTTTCCAAATTCAAGGCTGTGGCTTCCCTTATGGATTCAATCCATCTGTTCTTCCCTTTCGTCGTCTTCCTTTGACTTTCCCTAGCATGATTGTCTTCTCCAGTGAGCCTTGTCATCTCATGATATGTCTGAAGTATGACAGCCTCAGTTTGTCCTTTTTTGCTTCTAGGGAAAGCCTCAGTCTGATTTGATGGAGGACCTACTTGTTTGTCTTTCCATTGGTCCAGGGTATTCAAAAGCTCTCCTCCAGGACCATGTTTCGAAGGCTGTAGTTTACTGTTGTCTAAATGTATTTTGGCTTCTGTATTCATTGCGTCTTTTCTTCTATAAACAAATCTGTTAGATGACTTCTAAGTGAACTGCTGCCCAGCAATTGTATAATTAACTTCCTTGTATAATGAGGGCTTCTTGACTTTGTGTTTGGCCTCCTCCTTTTTATGCCTTTGTGCCTTTTCCTAGTTAATGGGAAAGAATTATATTTAAGATGTACTCTGCTTTCATTGCTATTCAGATTAAGAGGAAACAAGCGCACACAGGAAATGAGTAAATAATTGAGCATGTTTAGTGTTGGCACAGAAATGTGGCGTGATTTTGTTACACTATTGGGCAATTTTGGTAATTTGAGCCCTATAATTCTAAAAGGAAACTTGATTTAATAAAGACTGCTGAGAATTTGTGGTTTTAGAGAACAATGAAAGCCGTTAACTTTACTTGATTTAACCTCTAATTTGTGAAACCTGTCCAGTATTTATCAGTTCCTTGTTACAGTCAAGTTATGCTCTGGGCTTTGTGCTGATCTGACCGTGGATATGCTTGTTGATTCGGCATTTAGTGATGCTGCAGTTTTAATTACAGGGTTACTACAGCAGTCTTCTTCAAATTTGTGCCTTCCGTAAAGTTTGGACTTCCTTTCCCACTCATCCCAGTGAGTGTGACACATGTTCAGGAATGCTAGGAGTCGTCGTAACCCCCTAAACTGACAAGCAGAGGGTGGGGAAGGCTGTTCTACGGTAAACCCTGTGGCGATTCCTGGCACTGGCTTAGGATCTTTCTGCCCGCTGGATGTTCTCCTACTCCAGTTCGATCCAACTCGCCTTGGCGAGATATTGCGAAGTTACTCATTTCATTAATATAATACTGCCCATAGTCCAGCTTTGAAGTTTTTCATTCTCTTGGTGCAAGAAGCAGTTGCCTATGACAGAAGTTGAATTGCAGGCTACACACACCAGTAGCTTCCTCTTCATCCAGCTGTTGGTCCCCCAGTCTCAGCAAATACAGTACCATGATGGGTGCGTTATATACATAGCCTTAATGGGCCAGCTAGTGTTTATGATGGAAAGGCGGAGCCACCTGTGCATCGACAGTAGTGTTGCATTTCCCTGTGCAGCAGCACTATTACAACTGTGAATGCGCTCCCACTTTTTCATCCTTTAAGCCGGAAAAGAGAGTGGTAGCAGCCACTGTGACCATAAGAACAGCCAAGGTGGATCAGGCCAGGGGTCCATCGAATCCACAGTTCTCTTCACACAGTGGCCAACCAGCTTCTTGTGAGAAACCCAGATGTAAAGCCACTATTTCACTCATGTTCATGAGTGTGTATATAGGTGTACTGCCTCTAATGTATCCTGAGAAAGAGAGAAATGCCTCCCTATTAACTTTCTCCATACTTTTCTAAATTAAGCAGTCCTAGACACTGCAATCTTTCCGGAAAAGGGAGTTCCCTTCAGCCCTGGGATCATTTTGGTTGCCATTTTTTGCATCTTTCTTCAACCACACAATATCCTTCTTTAGTTGCAGCAACCAGAACTATACATGGGATTTCAAGATTTCTCTAAAGGCATTATGAGGTTTATTTTTTGATTCCTTTCCTAATTATGCTGAGCATGGAGTTTGCCTTATTTATTTATTTATTATGTATTTATTTCATCCTGTTCCTATGCTATTTCTTGTCTCAGAAGTTGCCTTTCACAGACCAACATTTTCATTGAGCTGTACGCTACGGTCGTCACTAGCCCAGAACTCGTCAGTATCTATGTGAAGTTGGGATGTTTTGCCTCGGTGTGCATATACTTCTTTACATTGAACTGCATCTGCTATCTTGATGTCTATTCACTCTTTTGGGACTCTTCAGGATTCATTTTTGTTTTAACTCCCCTAAAGAATTTGGTGTCATCAGCAGACTTGGCCACCTTGCCATTCATCCCTAATTCCAGATCATTTATGAAAATGGTAAACAGCTTCATGCTCAGTACAGATCCCCAAGGGGGGGCCCCTTTTTGTTTCCCTTCATTGTGATTATTTACCGTTTGTTTCTCCTCTCCGATTCTGTTCTTTAGACAGCTATTGACTCATGAGAGGACGTCATTTCTTACACCTTGACTTCTAAGTGGGCAAAGGAAACTTTCGAGAGGGGAATTTTGTCTAAAGCTTTTTGCATACCCCAGGAGTGCTGTGTATTGGTTTACCCCCTTCTCGTGCTCATTTCCACTCTCAAAGAATCCTAAAAGGTTAGTGAGACAAACATACATTTGCAGAATCCATGTTCTGCAGGGGAAGCAGCTATGGCAGCTGTTTGGCATAAACTCAGGAAGGAGCCACGAGAACCATGCATGTGGCAGATGCTGCAGAGCAACACTGCTTTCTCAAGTTGGCACATGCAGCACGTTGCTATGGTTGGAGAAGGACAGAGCAAAGCATCCTGGGGGGTGCGCTGAGCAGTGGATAGGCCAAAGCAGTCTGAATGTTTTGCTTTATTGCAGATGCCCTACTAATTTCATTGGCTACTTTTCTTTAGGGGCGGGTAAGGCCAGCTGCTTCTCTGTATGGTCTCAAGGTTCTTGATCCCATGCTGAGTGGGGAATGCTGGGATTTGTAAAACTTTTTTTGTCTAAACAAGCATAGGACTCCATCTCAAATGGATTAAAAGAAGGGGATAGGAATGTAATTGTGCAAGATTTTAATTGAAAAAAATAAAATGAGAGTCAGTAATTCCAGGAGGGTGGTCAGGGAAGGGGAAGAGGTATGTATCTATAGGAGAAAGAACCAAAGTTTTGCCCTGAACTGTGGCTGACAAAACCAAAATGTGTTAAATTCAGTCAGCAGCCTTACATTATTAGAATTTATTGATAGGCTAAAGAAAAATAAGTTGAAATCATTTTACAAGCACATTGCCCTTTAAGATGGCCAGCCTAAAGGTTTGGTTTGGGTTTTGTGTTGTTTTGTGTTTTGTGTTGTGGTGTTTTGCATTTTATTTTATTTTGTTGGAAACTCATGTGTGATGTTCTCCTAATCCAGTAGATCAGTTTGCAAGACAGAGGAAGAAAGGAGAAAGTAACTGTGGGGGGAAAGTTATTCAAATCACCAGCTTTATTAAAAAGAGAAGTGATATCATTAAAACTTTAGCTATTTATCAGTGGTGTGCAGAGTCTTCATTCTCTGGGAATTTGATCCATGTAAAAGACACGTGATATAAGTGAGCTTGGACGCTGACGGTGAAAGAAGGTGCTCTTCTTTCCATGGATCTCCTTCAGACCCCAAACATTGCTTCTTTCCAAATTACATAACAGATCCCTAAAAGCACTTTCCAAAAGCATCAGTCTTGTCCAAAGTGTGTGTTCAGATTTATATACCCTATTTAAGGACAACTACCATTACCATTAATTTCTGAAGTAATATTTTTATTGATTTCTTTTGACTGTGCTTGGATTGTCTAGCTGCATTCTCCTCATATTTCTCATTTGCCTTTTGGATATGTGAAATTGTACATTTTTCCATTGAAGTGAGAATATAATTCCAAAAAGAGCCTAGTTGTTGTAGAAACTAAATTCACAGCCCTGTAATTGTTCGATGCTATTGGGAACCAGGTTTCACTGTTGCCGTTATTGAGCCTTAAGCAGTATTTTTTACAAAGTTTCGCTGATTTTTTTCTCTTTTTTTAGAAAAGGATGTTGCTGCTGTTTGGAAACTGCTTAGAGGCGATGCTCCAGCCAAGGTTGTTGAGAACCATGGAATGTTACCCATGGCACATTTCTTTGAGAAGCTCATGATCCTCTAGCTGAGTTTCCCTTGGATAGGAAAAAGGCGGCTTTGTGTTGCTTTACCTTGAAAGTGAATTGCTACCTCTGCCTCTTTTTCCGTGCATCAAAAAGATGATTTCCTGTCTTATTTTTCAGAGATGAACAATGACCATAGTTGACAAGACGTCTGAGTCCTCAAAGCCTTCGGCTTCTGAGAAGCAGCCTTTCAGCTCCGTGGCGCCAGCTTCCGGAGATATGGACGCAGGCTCAGGAGGATGGGGTGCTGTGTCTTCTTCTTTAGAAGCTCCAAAACACAAAATCTCTTTGGGACCAGTGCCAGGAGCTGCAGTGTACTCCAACTCATCTGTACCTGATAAATCGAAGTCCTCTGTTCAGAAAGATATATGTAAGCAAGGCCATGGTTTTTTAAAAAAGAGAAAACACACCCAGATTTGTTGTTGATATGTGGCTGTGTACAGGAGTTATTCTCATTGATGAGTAATGAATCCTTTTCTTAGTTCAAAAGCAAAAAGAGACTGCTGTGGAATGCATTAACACTCAGTCCTTATACACGTCTATGCAGCAGTTAGTCCTACTGAGTTCAATAGAATTTGCACCCAAGTAACTGTGAATACACTTGCAGGCTAAATGACTGTGGGGCCAGAATTCATGAAAGTGATGGGTGGATCAGGCCCAATTTGGTCAGTACTGATGTCAAATGTGGGACCCCTTTTAAACTTGTTCCGTTGTTTGGTGGCAGAGAAGTAGCCTCCAATTTTTCCTGGGGAATGCTCTTGTGAAGAATGTCATCCTGTCCCATCCCTCGCAATGGCATAACTGGCCCCATTTCAATCTGCAGGAAAACTTCTGCCCTTCCTAACAATTCCAGTCTTCTAGAAAGTAATGTGGGCGGGGTGGGGGTAAAAAGCAAGAAGCATTAAAATGGGTTGCTTGCTGACCATGTTGTAGAATTTGGAAGAGGTGCAGATTCCAGAGCTCTAGAGCCAGCGGCCATGAATTGGTTGAGTTCGCTGTGACCTGGCATCATACATGCCTCTCACATCTCAAATTCGTGATCTTCATTTTAACATGCGTACATCATGTGGCCTTGATCCAGAGAAAGTCATGCCAAAAGCCTTTCAGGAGCAGCAGGACAAAGCAGTTGTGCCCTCTCTAATTACATTGATTTTAGCAGGAATTGAGCAAGATGAAGTTTGTCTAAACTGAACTCTGCATGTGCCTGAATAGTGCAAGCATGTGCGTTATGTGCAGCCTTGATTTCTAAAACTGATTCCAGTTCTAGGTATTGCCAAAGTGCAGTGCTGAGTTCCGTACTGGTAGTCCCTGCGCCACAGATCTGTGTCTAGCTGCAAATAATGTACAGTTGCCAGTGGGACTGTACCCACTTACCTGCAAGTAAGCCCCTCTGGACTCAGCAGCACTTACTTCTGTGTAGACATGCATGGGCTTGCACTGCTCTTCCATTAAAATGTAAAGTCACTGACCAAAAAAGATTCTTTCCAGTGAATGAGGCAGGAGAGTTTTATACTTGTTAACATTATTTTTTAGTTTTCATTAAAAAAAACTGCACAGTCTCTGGAGGCTTCTGTGAGAAAGAGGAAAAGAATATCTTTTCTAAGCTGATGGTTACTGACACATATGCAGGTTTCCTCTAAGAAAAAAAAAAGGAGGGAAATAGGTCTTTTCCCCTTGGAAATCACTCTCCCCATCTATTATATGCACGTTTGTGTGGATCGAATCTGTCAATAAAATAAAACATTCCACTGAGTAACTAAGATTGCATTGTTAATCCTAGTTAACAACTGTAGCACCAAAAAGGTTAACAGAGCATTTACTTCATGGGGAGAATTGGTGAAACAAACTTTAGCTTATAAAAGCTTATGCCACAATAAATGTTACTACTTTAAGATGCCACCAGATTCCTCTACTTTTTGCTGCAACAGACCACTGCAACCCCCACTCATCTTCCCCTTTTTATTAACTTTATTTATTATTTAAAGATTAGGCCCCTTTCCTGCTAGAGTTGCAAAGGCATCTAGTTTACCCAATTTGAAAAGTACTGGCATGTTATGATACAACATGAGCCTTGTTATGGGTCTTAAATAAAGTCCTTAAGTAATTACTTTGTGACAGTATTAATTATTTCTGTAAGTTCAACACACCTTTCATTTTCAGCATCTACTGGTGATGGTATTGCGGCACCCCAGAAGGTTCTCTTCCCGGCAGAAAAGATATGCTTAAAATGGCAAAAAATGCACAGAGTTGGAGCTGGTCTCCAAAATCTTGGCAACACATGCTTCCTGAACTCGGCTTTGCAGTGTCTGACCTACACCCCTCCTCTTGCCAACTACATGCTTTCCCATGAACACTCCAAAACTTGTGAGTATATTTTAACATGTCACGCTTGTCTAAAACGGTGAAAACAGTGAATGGCAAGCAGACTCTTAAATATTTTCTATATTAGTGATCTGGTGCTGCACGGTATCCTTGGCATCAGGAAAGTACCTGACAGCCTCCTTTTCACACACGTCGTTTGTTTTTCTGTGCCAAAAATGTGCATTACTAAAAGAGTGTGCTTGGAAGAGTGGCACAGCCATAAAATGATGCAGCCCTTCAGGGAATTGCAGTGACGTCTGCTTAATGCACACTTACTTATATAACAGTGCAGTCCGATGCATATTTAAACAGGGAAACAGGCTACAACTCCTAGAAGTTTCTGGCAGTTGTAGGATTTTTTTTGCCATCTAAACATGTACAGGGTTGCACCTTCGGTGACTTGATAGGGTCGTAGGAAAGACCCCTTTTTCTTTTGGGCCACGTGTGTGTTTTATAACTTGGCGCACGCTTTGTTTTTTTGGTCTTTTCTGTCCAGGTCACGAGCAAGGATTCTGCATGATGTGCACCATGCAAGGCCACATCACCCAGGCCCTTTCGAACTCCGGCAACGTCATCAAGCCAATGCCTGTCATAAATGACCTTAGACGTAAGCTTTATTCTGCTTGGATGGAAGCATGTGGCACATGCATTAGCCCAGGCAACCCAGAGACCACCAGGCCAAATGCGGCGCACCGGCTGCGTCTTGCCATCTATCAGCTATCCCAGTCTTGCCGTCCCAGGCAGAGAGCATAAGGGGAGATACGCAGCGCTCTCTGTTGGTTCGCCATACGTGGCTTGCGGTCTGCCTTCAGAGAGCTATAATTTCTGCAGGCGTGATCTACATTTTGTTATCAGTCTCTCTGTGTGTAAGTGAACATATTGTGAATGTCACCATCTTCTTTACCCATTAGGGATAGCAAAACATTTCCGTTTTGGGAACCAGGAAGATGCACATGAATTCCTACGGTACACTGTTGATGCTATGCAGAAAGCATGTCTGAACGGTGGCAACAAGTAAGTTGCAGGCAGGGCAATGCCCTTTCGCCGCTGGAATCAGCTTTCTTCTATGGAAACTGAAGTGTGTTCTAACTTCTAGGCAGTTCATTTGCTTCTGTCACTTACTTTCAGATTGGACAGACATACCCAAGCCACTACATTCATTCATCAAATATTCGGAGGATACCTAAGATCTAGAGGTACACTGCTGAAGGCTTGTCCTCTTGGAATATTTTTAACATTTGTTAGAGTGCTGTGAATCCTAGCTCTGATATTAAGCTAAAGGTTTTTAAAATTTTATTTCAGTAAAATGCATGAACTGCAAAGGAGTTTCAGATACTTTTGATCCGTATCTGGATGTCACGCTGGAGATAAAGGTATCTAAATATGTGCAAAGTGATATCTAAACCTACAGCAACGTAATTATTCTGGGAGGGGGGGAGTTTGTATATAATGCTTCATTGAGATCACAACTAGCAAAAACTTGAATACTTCTATGCCATTTTCATCATAATCACGGTGATTGATAGTCCTGCATGAATTTGTGCAAATCCACCTATGCCGATAGCAAGGGGTTCGGTAAAATTAGGATGCCATCCAGTGTGGCTGGCTGTAACCTCTACCCTCAGAGGATTATGGGTATCCAGTAGAAGGTGGATGTAGTGCAGAGGCTGGGATGATCTCAACCCTTCCCTTGCCCTCGAAGCACTTGTCAGCCTTCTGAGCAGCTCCCCCTGCCGGCAAGAGCAAGGGCTGAGACCCCCACTGGGGTTTCTCATATCCTGGCCAAGCCTTGCTTCTCCTAGCCTTCCCCTCTCCTGTTGCACTTGCCACTTTGGAGACCCAGCTGGCCCAGAAACAACCGTGCCAACCATGAGGTCAGAGGGAGGATGCTGGGAACTTGGCGCCCCAGCACTGACCTCTGTTTCAAGGTTGGAGCTGGAGCGCTGATTTTTCCGAAGGAGCACCCCCTTAATTTTGCATTCAGTGGAGGTGCTTTCACCCTGTAGCGTGCATTCTGGGGCCCAGATGTAACAAGGAAGATTCAGTGAGGCTCATGCCCTAGCGCCACCGACATTGCACAAGCACTGGTCTTCACTAGGACAGTGTTGGTCGTGGAAACTCGTAGGTACTGTTGCATCCTTCCCAAAGCGTCCTTTAAAACCATGGAAATTTTATCCTAATGCTTGTGGTTCGGTGGGAGATGATGGTAGGAATTGTTTAGGATTCCTGATTAATCCACTCAGAGCTTTTGGAAGTTGGAACTAGGGGAGGTCTTCTTGTGCAATGCACTGTGGTAATTCTGCCATACATATTTAGTGTGAATATTTATTTATTTATAAAATTTGTATGCCGTCCATTACTTGCGTCTCTGGATGGCTTACAACATAAATCAGAATAAAATAGATAAATTGACTATTCCACGCTGGCTGCAATTAATAAAATACAAACAATAACATCCAATTTCCATTAAAACATATTAAAATATTGATTAAATAAAAGGTTTTGACCTGGTGCCAAAAAACATATAGTGATGGCACCAGGCGGACCTCTCTGGTCTTTATTTATGTCTTTATTGTCTTTATTTGCTCACTTGCTTGTGAAACTCACTTCAGTTTTTCTTTCTTTTTTTAGTCAGCTCAAAGTGTTAATAAAGCTCTGGAGCAGTTTGTCAAACCCGAACAGTTGGATGGTGAAAATGCTTATAAATGTAGCAAGTAAGAGGGAAATTAATGCGTCTCTATTGATTGGCCTTGGGTATCTTGCAAAATTCTCAAAAGGGGTTGGCTTTCATTTAATATGGAATTGCAAGATAAAGTCACATTTGCTGTATTATATTTCACTGAAAATTTATTTCCTGGCAATGCCTGCTGGGAAAGTTATGTTTTCAGTAGGTGCCAGAAACCCAAAGAGTTCTGGTCAAGAGTTCCAGAGACTGGGGCTATGGTACTACAGGCACAGGACAGAACCATGATGAGCCAAGACCTTTGAAATTTGGCGTTTTCATTTGCCTGTAAGAGCTAACTTCATCAGACCAGCTATTTTGAATCAGCACAATGTATATAAGACAGTCTAGGCCTACTTCAGATTTAACTGGGGAGTGCTGGACGCTGTAGCCCAGCCCATCTGGAGGGCGACAGGTTCAAGAGGTTTAATCTAATTCCAATTTGGCAGGCAGTAGTTTCAGCTTAAGGAAACTAGCTAAATGCAAAACAAAAAGAAACAGCCCGTGGAGCTGAACAAATTGTCCTCTGCATGTTTTTAGGTGTAAAAAAATGGTTCCTGCATCGAAGCGGTTCACAATACATCGTGCTTCAAATGTCCTCACCTTGTCTCTGAAGCGGTTTGCAAATTTCAGTGGTGGAAAAATTACAAAGGTAACCCTAGAGTTCTACAGTTGTATCAGGATTAAATGATATAGCCCTTAAATAGTTTTAAGTATTTTAAAATACACCAAGCAAGCTGGAATCAAATTTGATGATAGGCAATATAAAATGTTTTAAAATTAGTCAGCAATGCTTATACAGTGTAGTGGGATGAGTTTCACTGGTCACCGTTGTGGTAGAACTTCCATTTTAGAAACACATCTGTGCTCTGTTCTTCATTTGGTCTCAGAGCAAGTGTTTCTGTGTAGACCAAATATATTTGTGTATCCCCCATGAGCTATAGTTATTTGCATGGTTAAAACTGTCACTTCTGGAAATGTCATCGCTCCCCCACATTTTCAAGATTTAATTTCTTTGAGGATCACTTTTTATGTCTGTGTAGTTTGAGTTTGGTTTTGACCTTAATGCTGAATGGATGGTTTCTTCTGCTAAAGCATTTCAGAAAGATGCAAGCTTTCCCTTTCCTTTCTGTCTAGGAGGTGAAATATCCTGAATACTTAGATGTCCGACCTTATATGTCCCAACCAAATGGCGAGCCAATTATTTACGCCTTGTATGCTGTTCTGGTTCATACTGGTTTCAACTGTCATGCAGGACATTACTACTGCTACATAAAGGTAAACATGATCTTTCTCTCTTCAGTACACTCTGCCAAAACATTCGAGCAGGTGACCTTTTATGATGGTTTACAATCTAAGAGACATGATACAAGAGGAAAGGGTACACGGAGGGGAGATAAGAATATTTAAGTGCCAACCCTCTTTTACTATTAGTTAAAGCTACGAAATGATGAGGTGGAACTGTCACTGCAGGAGGGAGTTCTGGGAAGGGAGGTGCTAAGTGGCAGTTGGGCTTAGACAAACTGGGTGCGGATCCCGCTACCTCATTCACAGCCAAGTGAGGTGGCAGCTGATGGAGTGGTTCTGGGAGGAAAGGAGCTAAATGCTATAGAGTCCTTGTCGCCAAAACTTCTTGTGTAAGGATCTTGTTGTTCTCTTTTCAGTGCAGTCTTGATAGGAAATGGCTGTGCAACCAAATGGACCCCTCCTTACAACAATTGCTCATGAGTCCTCCTTTTCTCACTCGGTCCTTTTGAAAGGGGACTTCTCTTCCTAGCTGCTCCATGCTTCCCTAAAACCACCTGTTAATTTTACGGCACCACAGAGTTGTAAAGGAGCACAAGTGTTCCTGGCCCCATGGCAAGATTCGCAGGCCTCTACTACCTGGATCACCATTTGTGATGAAGGAAGCACAAGTGTTTGCAGAGTCTGAAGCTCCTGATGACAGCAGCAAGTGTGTGTGTGTGTTGTGGGGGGGGAGGGTGTTTCTGCTGGGTTCAGGCCATGGAGCCTGGGGCTCAAATCCCCACTTGGCTCATGGGTTGGCCTTGGGCAATCTGTGTGCTGTTCCCCCTACCTCACAGTGAGACATTAATTAATTAATTAATTAATTAATTAATTAATTAATTAAAACATTTTTATGCTGCTCCATTCGCCGAAGCCTCAGGGCGGCTTACAACAAATAAGTTAAATAACATTTTTGGCCAGAGGAAATGAAATGCGCCTGTGTATACCTTTCCATAGTCACTGACAGGACGGGGGCATGCGCATACAGCACATGAACAATTACCTTAGCAAAGCTCTATGCTGTATGGCTGGGGTGGAGGTCCCAATCCACACCTCTGGAGTTCGCCAGATAACCACACTGCCTTCTTTTGTACCTGTAGCGCATTTGGTACTTTTCTGTTGTTGGTACCACCCCCCCCCCCCCCCCACAAAGTTTAAATGTGTCTCCTAAGGCTTAGGAACTGGCAGAAAGAGCTTGAAGCTGCTATATTTGGCCTGGCCCCTTTGATCTCCAGCCTCAGCCCCTCTGGAAATGTGGCTTCCAAAGTGGAATTCCATGCCCCGATTGAAAGAGGTTCAGAAGCTGTGTGTGGGGGGGGGGGAGGCAAAGTAAAGCACATGGCATGTTCCCTTCCTGCACAGACAATTCTAGTAGTCTCCGTGCTGCCGGCCTGTTGGCAGTAAGCTTCAGATGCTGCAAGATATTAACATATGGGGCAATGTTTACAGCTTACATTTTTATTACTGGCCTCTTAAGAGGTTGCTACACCAGAACTGCCTTGGCAAAGGAGCATCTGGGATGGTTTCATTAGCTAGGAAGAACATTGTTTTTTGTAACATCAGCCAAAGCAAGGATAGGCAGAAGCAGTGGGTTTTTTTAAAATGGAGTGACTTTCAGACCATATTCCTGTTCCTTCCTCAAGGCCCAGACAGCTATGGCTGTCATGGGTGACTCTGCAACAGAGCAGAGAAAGGGCCAGAGATTCCCTTGGTCATGGAGTGAGGCCCTTCTCAGACGGGCTGGTAGTACTCCATGGAGTGAGGCCCTTCTCAGACGGGCTGGTAGTACTCCATGGAGTGAGGCCCTTCTCACTTGGGCTGGTGATGTACCACACCACAAGGCGCCTGTATGCAGAAAGGGACATTCCAGCTGGGAACGGCGTATACTTGGGTGTGCGTTCTCTCTTCACCCCGAATGCAAACACAGCTTGCATGTGTTCATGGTAATGAGGCCCACTCTAGAACCTCAGATGCACATTGTACGAGGAGAGCTCATTACTCCCTGAATGTTGCTTTTAGGGTTTAAGGTCTCACTTCTCATATACCAGCAGATCAAATGCCGATAGCTGCTCTTTTCCTCCTCCCTGCTTTTTCGCAAGCTCACACACTGTGGTCGCTGCCTTCAGCTGGCCAGGTGACGTGCCTGAGATGGGAAGACTGCCCAGTCTCCTCCTCTTTCCACCTTGGGGCACTCGGCCGCTTGCAGCGTTGTTTCTACAGCAGCAGGCAGTAGCAAGGCTGACCCGTGTTCAGTTGGTCTGGGCTCTTTTTAATATGTGCAGCGAGCACTCGCTATATTATGTGTGTCTTCAGCTTGAGCTGCCTTCTTGGAAAATTTGTCCTTATACCAGGAGAAGGTTAAGACTTGATTGTAACTGGGTGTTGGCTGGGTGGAAAGCATTGTAGGTCATTGTAGCTAGGTATGTAATCTTACAGCTTCCTCCCTGCACAGCAGAAACAGTGGCATGTTGCTTGGATACCCAGGAAAATCCTGGTGTTTCAGCTCCCCCCTTGTGACTGGGTGTCGGCCTTTCTCAGTTTTCTGTCGGTGTGTTTCCTGTGCCCAAATTCTACCCTTCCACAGATTCCTGGAAAGGCTCTGGCTTCATGTGCAGTTTTTGTTTGTCCATCACTTCCAAGTTTGGGGCTGTTCTTCTCAAAGGGATTAAGGCCCACTTCTTCTGGAAGGACTTGGATGGCTTGGCAGCGGCGTTTTCGGTTCATTATTTTGGTAGCTGATCATTTTTACTGCTTTTACGTGAGGCTGCCTGAGCTTATGCAAATGATAGTGGCCCAGTTTGGATGCAGTGAGCCTTAGGGAACACTAAGGGGCAGTGGCCACCTAACCATGGTTGACCCTTAGTAGCCTTCCTTTGAATTAAAGAGAACAATGCACTTCATTTGCAGCGGGGGGGGCGGCGGGGGGGGGCGGCTTGGCAAGGTTGGTAGAGGATGTCCAGAGGGCACTGGAGCAGGTGTCTGTCCATGTGGCTTCATGCAGGTTTATTAAGTAAAAGATGGATTCTGAGTCCTGCTTTTATGATGAAACATGAATATTTTGCAACAGTTTGGTTCTATTGAAAATGAATTAGTGAAACCTTTAGAATTGGCAAAATGGTTCACTGGCAGTTTGATCTCATAAGCTGGAGCAGGTGCTTTGTTAGATGTACAGGTTAGATGTAAGGTTAGATTCTTCAGCATAAAGCAAGGTTCTGAGAGATTAATTCTATTTTTTTAATTGCTTTTTCCGAAGCAAATGACACAAGCATGCTCAGCAGAAAAGACCCAACATTTAACATTGCTGGGACTCCAACATGGTTTTAATCAGTCAGTCAAACAATGAACTGAAGGGAGTACAGTTTCAACCATGGCAAATTAAAGTGCCACTCTGTTTTTAGCCACGAGGCTCTTTGGCTCACCTGGCTCAAAAAATCGTCTCCATGTGTCTTATGCCACACAGTCTGCTGATATAGCAAACGCATAACACATTTGTGCACTGAACAGAATATGTTAAGCTGTGCTTACTAATATACTGAATATTAATCACACAGTGTCTTACCTTGTATATCTCTGCAATGTGTGATATGCTGGTTGTACAAGAGGTTCAAGAATATGCTTCTGAGTCCAGTGATTCTAGGCCTGTGGTCTCCAATATACTGCCTGTGTGCACCAGGATTCGTCTCTGGGCACCTATCAAGCTTGCTGAGCCCCTGATGATGTATTTTAGTGCTCAGACTTACCTCTGCTTTGTGCTTAGGTTCTTGGACAAGTTACTTCGCCAGTTTTTCTTCTGAGAAACAAGTATTTTCTGATGGACATCCCCCCGCTCCCCAACAACCAACCAACCAACCAAGCCACAGTTCTTTCTCAAATTTCTAAATGTGCCCACCAGCCCACAAAGGTTGGGAACACTGCTGTGCACCCTGACTTCTTTCTGGAATTTCCTTATGCACACACATGCGAATAATAAATGTACACACCCTTCCCTCACATTGTAATTCTTACAACAACCCTGTTATGGAAGCTCAGAATTATCCTATAGCGGGCAAGACACAGCAAATGGTCACCTAAAAGCATTTAGTAGATTTATGACTGAGAAGATAGAACTATCAGGATTTTATAATATATACTCCAAGGATTTAAAGAAACACAACTCTGGATATCAATGCATATCCAGAGAAAATGAAATCTTCCCCCTCACATCCACACATATTTGTTTGAAACACAGAAAGAAACCATCCCTTGCAGCCGGCAAATGCATGCTGAAAGCTGTGTGTGTTAGAGAGATTGTGTAATGCACACTTCTGTCTTCCACTGACCTGCTAGCTGGTAGCCTCTTCCTTCGCCGTGTTGTGGCAGCCATCTTGGTTTAGGAACGAGGCCCTGCCAGGTGGAGTGAGTCACTATGCCTGAGCTGCGATGCTACTAGAAAATGTGTCGAGCTTCTAAAACTACATAATTTGATAAATGCACAACGGATTTTTATCAGAACAGGAAGGGCAAGACCTTGGACTTGATTAAAGGGGCAACAAACAAAAACCCTAAAGGTATGTGATGCCTGGACAGAAGTAGTCCTAACAAGCAGAATTTGCTCGGGAAGGACAATTCTTTAAACTGCCAAAATTCAGCCACTTCCTAAGGAATCTGCCTGCAATTTGAGCAGAGCATGACAGTTAACACAAAGGGAGCTCAGTGCCGAAAACGGTTTGGAATATTTTTTCCCGAGGTTTTATTAAGGTTTGAAAGTTCAGGCTTAATACTAGTAGGATGCCCTTTGAACTGTCCACCTGTACTATGCAGGTGCTCCCATGCCTAAATAGTTGTCACATGACATGCCTTAGGGAAAGTAGTTGGCTGTTACACACACACCACATTACTTCAGCATTTTTCTATGTATTACATTTATATCCTGTCTTCTCTGAAGTCCCCCCCCCACAAATACCATTTTATCTTCACAACAATCCTGTGAAGTAGGGTAGATTGAGACTGAGTAAACATATGAAGTGAGCTTCCAAAAAGGAGTGGAAATTTGAACCTGGCTCTTCCCAGGTGTAGATGGACCCTGGTGCCACTTCACCTGCAGGACCCCAGAATGTATGTCCACCGCAATTTTGAAAGTAAAAGGGTTGGTCTAGAGTTACCTGAGGGTTGTTTAGCCTGAAATAATGCACGGAACCTGAATTGTACAACCCAACATGGTGTGCTTGCATTTTCAGAATGGTGGCTGATGCGCCCACCTCTCAGTTATTTATGTTCCCACTTCAATATTCTTCAGTAGGAGCATACCTTAGACTTTGAACAGAGAATCGTAGGTGCTCATGAGTGACTTTCCTAAAATATAAATACTATGAAGGAGTGTCTCTCTTCCAACTACCACCCTGTCCCTTTGCTGATCAACATTATGCACCAAACATATACATAGTGCGTATTTTGTTGATCAATCTTACCTTCTGGTACAACAAAATGTGCTAATCTCACTATTTCCAACTAGAGGGCAGAGTTTCCTTGCCAGGTTTGGAGAACACCTTCGATGAAAACTGAAGTCTCTTCTTCCTAGTGATTGTAAACCATGTGACATTCCTGCTTCCCATTTCTCTGTAGAATCAAGAATGTGTGAAATTGACACGAATTGTTGACCATCCTGCAGGCAGGGAAATGTCCTGCGTTGTTCCCAACACTTCCCTTGTTTAATCCTGGGTTTGCCTCATGGTCCAATAGCAGGACCTCTCAGCTTTTCATGGCCACATGTTTCTGAGAATCCAATAGCAGCAGTTTTCCCCTAAAAGGATGGAGAGATTGCGGACAAGGGAAGACCTTAGAACAAAGATGCTGGGAAAACCCAGGGGTGGATGGGAGTCAGTGCTTTAGAATCTTTGTGATTCTAGAATCTTTAGAATTTCTACAGGGCATGATACCTGGAATCTTTGTAAGGTGGAATACTTTAGAACTAGATGGCTAATACGCCAGCACTTCAGAATCATTTTATCACTCTGCACTATCTCAAAAATCCCGTGACTCTCGCCCTGTCCTCTTTATATGCACCTTGCCTGGAAAATTCATCCCATTTAAGCCTACTAAAATTGGTGTTAAGCAGACTGTTCCTGGCATGGTTTAAAAAAAAAAAAAAACAACTATATTACATTGCTCTTGATTTGAGTTACCTTTTAAGAGCAACATTGTAGGATGTAGTTATTTTTAATGATCTGGTTTTTGACCTGTAAACTGCCCAGAGAGCTTCAGCTTTGGGGTGGTATAGAAATGAAATACATCCATACATACATTATGCGAGCCCTTCTTTGTGTCTTGCTACTTTTTTGAGCCATGGCTGGCAGGCACCCCAGAAGAGGGCCTCTTCGGCTATGGCACCAAGACTTCTAGGCATGTGATAGAACATGGAGGTGAATGCCTGAAAATTCCAAGATTGTGGATTACGGTCCCCTGCACTGGGGACAGAATCGATCCCTGTAGGCCATGCAGAGCAAGCAGTCAAACAGAAGTCCTTTAGCACTGCTGTCGGGATCTTCCCTCCTCAAAGTTCTCACCGCACCACAGTGCCTTGTGGTCTCAACCCAGAAAGGTGCTTCAAAGGAGAGTGTCCTCTTTAATATGTACTGAAAGCTGCCCAGAGGTCCAGCAGAACCAACAGGGCGTACTTTCAGAGTTTGTCTGCCTGTGCTACTTGTTTAAGGACATTTCACTCCTGAAATCAGGTTGAAAATCAGATTTCAGAGGAATCTGGATAATGCATTTAACCTGGAAAAATCTTGAGCTGAGACACTGTCATAAACTTAAACATTGAGTAAAGACACTGCAATGTTTTAACTGATCTCAAAGGTAGCCACAACTTTTTCTTTTGTTTTTCTTTTCTTTCTTTTCTTTAGGCCAGTAATGGCCAGTGGTACCAGATGAACGACTCCACTGTCTCAAACAGTGACATCAGAACTGTACTGAATCAGCAAGCTTATGTGCTTTTTTATATCAGGTAATGTCAAACACACGTTGGACTTCCTTCCCTTTTTGAGACCTGGACTGCTGCATTTCCCTTCACTTGACACCTCTAAACAAAATTTGCAAAATCTTGGCCCCGTTGCCTGTAACATCCGAAGCATTTCCCATGTCTGAGCTAAAGGCTTGGGCTGCAGTGTGGGGGTAGCTAGGTTCAGTTCTCCTCTGCAGCTGTTGCCTCTCAGCCTGACTGCCTTGCAGGGTGCTTGTGAAGCTAAAACACAAATTATGAACTTCTCGGGAGAGAAAGCGAGATGCAAAGGTGAAAAATTAAGTGTGCAACTCTCTGGAGGTTTAGATGAGAAAAAAAATCCTATAACTCCTTGTATTCCCCAGCCAGCCCAGGATTTTGTAGGACTTCCCTGTCCAAACATGCATATTTGTTCCCTAAGTATCCCAGCCAACAGGATGAGCAAGTTGTGGCCAGGATGGCATTCTGCAAAACATTTAGCCAATAGATGTGGATCAATATGCCTTCTTATTTATTAGGTCCCATGACATGAAAAATGGCAGCGAACACATCCATTCTGTACACACTCCAGGGCAGTCTTCTCCCCGGCCTGTTATTAATCAACGGGTAGTCAATAACAAGCAAACTGCACCAGGATTTATTGGACCACAGCTCCCTCCCCACATGATTAAGGTAATTCTCTCTTTCGAAGACGACGGCCTAAGAAGCCAGTTGGATAGTAAGGGATTATGCAAAGCCTTAACTTCTGAAACCGAGCCATTGCAATGCAGGTAGAGCATTCAGGTGGAACAGGGGGGAGCAGATACATGTTCTGACAGCTACAGAATCGTGGGCAGGGGAGGGAGTCTCCACATCTGAATTCATGGTTCTGATATCTGCTCTGTGTCCAGCTTGCCAGCCTCCCTTAATTTATGGAGTTCTGGTTCCATTTTAATGTTACTTCCCAGTAAGCCTTCCCAGGTGTTTGGGGCTGGGAGTGGTGAATAACCACTGAGCCATCCTCAAAAGCAACAGGCTCCCCATTAGACACCGGCTCGGGTTGCCACTGGCCAAACATTTCTCTTCCGGACAGCAGGGTTACCCCAGAATGGTGTTCCATTGCACATCAGAATGGTGGTCATTCTTGGATGTCTGGACTAGAAAGGCAGGTTTTTCACCCCTGCTAAAGATCATTGTGAGTCCAATGGCTTGAAACCGAATTCAGATGCTTCTGAGATCTAATCCAGAACATGGTTCATGCTGTCACCATAATTTAGAACCCAAATCCTGATTTGAGTTTTTTAGGGGGGAGGGACATGTGGCCTTCCAGTTGTTGGTGGGCTGCAGCTCTCATAATCCCATGTCCTTGCCTATGTTAGGGCTGATGGGAGTTGGAGCTCACCAGTGCCAAGAGGGCCACGTGTTCCTGTTCCAAGTTCCATCCTCCCTGCACTCTGATTCATCAGCTGACTCACACTGGGACAGTTCAGCGGCTTTTGGAGACAAAGCTCTGGATGTAATTATGATTTGTCAGTTAAGGCACCACCCCAAACCATGGGTTGTCAGTTGAGACATTATGCTGCACCACAGTTAAGAAAACATCCCCGTTTCTGAAAGTGGCCTGGTGGAGAAATAGGCTACAAGACTACCAAATGCCTCGAAATGTGAGGCAGTTTGTTCCCTCCGTGGTTTCCTCTTTCTCATTGCAGAATTCAAATCATTTGAATGGAACTGGATCCCTCAAAGAAACTCCCAGCAGCTCTGTGGCGATGGCAAGCAGCATCACGCTGAGCAGGCCCTCTTCCGCTCCGCCTGCCACGTCCATCCCGAACTGGACAATGAACAGGCCTGCCACCTCGACGACGCCTGACCCTTCCAAGAAGCAAAAAATCACCATCAGTATTCACAACAAACTGCCCGCCCGCCAAAACGCTTCTCTTGCCAGCTGTACTCTGGATAACCTCAGTAAGCCAGCCCCATCCTCAACCATTTCCAACCCTTCTGCAGTGCAATCTACCTCAAGTGCATCTACAGTATCGGCTGCTAACCAGGCCCCCAAACCAACGACTCCGAGCGAAACGTGTTCTAAGCTGGTTGTGAACGGCAAGTCCAAACTCAGCCCAAGCATGTTGGTCCCTTACGGGGCAGAGTCGTCGGAAGACTCCGATGAGGAGTCCAAAGGATTGGTGAAGGAGAATGGACACTCCAAGCCTTTCAACGGCGTTTTAATTGAAAATGCGGCCAGTGCCACAGAGAGCTTCTCTGCATCCTGTCACAGCATAGAAAAGGAGGTCCTGCAGCACGAGCTGCCCAAGAACATAACTGTTGTTGTTTCTATTAGCCTGAACGATGCCCCTAAACAGAATGGACAGCTATGCAATGATTCCACTTGCCAAGCAAAGCCTGTTAAATTGGCCGATAACCCATTTACCAAAGCGAATGGATTGCCTGGAAAAGTGAGTGTCTTTCTGCTGCCGTTTCTTGGGTTCAGTGCAGGCATGACACTTGGCACCTTAAGCCAGAGTCCGCTGTCCATGTCTTGAAGCTGTGATTGTGCAGCCGTCTTGCTGAAGAGAGCAAGCTGGTCTGGCTCTGGCTGGTGCCTGGGAACCCCATGGATGCTGCCATATATACCATGAAAAAAATACCTGATAGAAATGAAACAAATCAGGAAGCGACCCCAGGAAGACATATTCCCCTCTCCCTCTCCCGCTTAAATTCCCTCCCTCCCCTCCCTCTGCATCATCTTAACCATGGCTTAGGAATTCCATAGCAGTCTTGTTGGCTGCTGTGGAAAATGTGATCATCGTCTGATCAGCACAGGTGTTCTGATCTTCTATCTCAGCCATTCCCTCTCTAGCTTTAGTGTGTGCTGAATTTGAGGGCGAGGGAAGAGCCGTGCCTCGGTGGGCGTGCATGTGTTTTGCAAATAGGCGGTCCCAGTTGTGGGTCCCGGCATCTTGGGGTAGGGCTGGGAAGGACCCCGGAGAGCCCCGGTTGCCAGTCCATGCCAGCGGACCAGTGGCCTGATTCCGTGGCAGTTCCTGGTTGCCTGTTGGTGTTCTTGAGTCTGCAGGATACTTAGGAGCTGTTTGTAGCCACTGTGTCCCCTTGCAGTTGCAAGGCAGCAGGGCTTCATGTTCCTTGCTGGAATCTAGAGCAGCTGGGATTGGTGGCTGTTCCTTTCATTCTGCCTGCTAACCCTTCTCGTTTTTATTAATAGGGTACACCTACAGCTTTGCCCCCTGTTCCTGAAGACAGAATCTTAGACTCGTTCAAATACAATCAGCTGAAAACCTCATCAGGGGAAAGAATACGGTAAACCAAATTAGGCTTTTTTTCCCTAAATGACAGTCTTTTAAAATGCACTTAGAATCCTTTTAAGTTGTCACAAAACAGACTTCTTAGCGTCATCTTCAAGGTATGTGGCTGCTTTATGGAGAATGTTGGAGAAGCTGTGCTGTGCCGTGCAGGCAATCTCATGCCCTCCAAATGCTGTGGAGCCCCATGAGCCCCAGCCAGTGTGGCCAGGAGTGATGGGAGCCGTAGTCCAAAACATCTGTTGGGCTCCATGTTGTCCACCCTTATTCCATGCAAAGCTGTCTTCTGCTGCATTTTCTGCATGTCTTTGCCCAGCCCTATCACTTTTAGGTTGAATTCACCTGTCAGATCTCAGTGGGTATAAACTTCTGCTTCCTTTGCCACACCACTTAAAATATCAAAACTGTGAATTAGAACTGTCACCCAGTTTAAATCAAAAACACCTTTGTCATTTGGTCAAATGAGTTTTAATTGATAGGTACCTTTGCATACATGTGCGTGTTACTAAAATCAATTGTTTCGAAGAAGGAAAAAGAGTATTTTCCCCTTGCCACCATCTCCGAAGGGGGATTCAATCCTGTGACAGAGTTACTGGGAATGCCTCTTACATTGTGCTTCCTATAAAGATGTGTTATAAGTTCTTCTATTAAAAATTCTTGAACTATTTAATATTAGGAGTGCTTTCTGAGTTGAATATTTTGGGCTTCATAAAAGACGTAATCCCAGATGCTTTTCACAGGGCGCTGATCATGCAGAGTCTAAATTCATATAGTCCACTTCCTGGGAATGGGGTAAGATGACCTGCAGAGCAATTTTTCATCCCAGTGGAGGATGAGGAGGAAAGAGTTTGGCTGTGGCTACATAGAAGCAGATTAAAATACTTAAACAGAAGGCCCAGCTTTCTTGGAAGAACATTTCCGTGAAATATGCAGGGCATGGTCTGAAGTACAGGATATGAATTTAACTGGGACCCTTTCGCTTAATGAGGATGTGTGGTCCCATATATACATATATAAATTGGCCCTGTACAACCTGAAATAGCGGCCTTTTTGTAGCATAATTATCTGCAGACCAGGCAAAGCCCTGGAGTGGTTGCCACATAACAACATGTCTTGCGGAGTTTTGCAGGAGTTGAAAAAGGTCTTAATGCGTAGAGTGTGTTTGTTTTCAGATCTGCCTTGTATTTCTGGCAAGTGACAAATCTTTCTTATATGCAGTGCTAGCGGAACAGAAAAAGCATCGGAAGAGGCTGGCTTCTCTGGAGACACCCCTTGTACTCTCGCCAACGACATCCAGAACCCATTGGCCTCTTCAGATGCTGAAATCTCTTCTACCACAGAAGACCCCTACGAAAGGGTTACTACCGAAACAGAAAGCCCGCCGCTTGAGAGCGAGGGGCAGTATGGCCCTAAATCCACTTCCCTGGGAGCAGAAGAACTCCCCAGGGAAAGTGACATGGAGGACCACATGGAGAAGACAAGCGGACCAAAAGAGGGGAAGGTTGCTTGGGAGAAAAACCCTGAGCCTGCCAGAGGAGCAGCCGAAGCAGCAGAGAAACGGGCGCAGAGCCCCCTCGCAAAATCTGACGGTGAATGTAGCTCTCAAAAGTTTGCCGCTCTGAACACACCGGAGAAATGCCAGGAGACACAGGACAGTGCGAAAGGCTGTGAGGACGCTGCGCTCGCGGGTCCGAGGCTGGATGCCATGGGTGGGAACCCATGTTCGAAGGATGACGGGGGCAGCAGCAAACAGTTGCAAGGAAACACAGAAAGGCAAGCACTGAAATCTCATTCTCCTCCGAAGGAGAAGGTTTGCGCCTCCAAAAAAGCGGACAAAGAGCACTATCGTTCCAAAAGGAAGCGCTCCGAAAGCGAAGAGGAGAAGGAGGAGGTGGCCACCCGGAGCCAAGCCGATGGGCACTACAAGAGGAGGTGCTCCTCCAGCAGGGAAGGTGGGAAGCAGCAAGAGCACTGCCGGCGAGAGCATTACAATGCAAACTATTACAGGTTCCCGTGCAGCCCTGATCCAGGGAGGAGCTTGGGAAAACACCTCCCTTACCGATCTCACAGCCGAGGGAGGACGGACCCAGAAAGGAACAGGCACTGCTACGGGAAGGGAGAGCGGTCGTGGAGCCGAGAGCGGTCGTGGAGCCGAGAGCGGTATTATCAAGATCTTCCAAGGAGGTGGGAGGGCTGCAGATCTTACAGTTACTATTACCCCTCCCATGTCCCCAGGTATAATCAGGATAGAAAATTCCCTCATTGTGAGAGAGACTACAGCAAATCAAGTTACGTTTACAGTAGCCCATATAAACATGTTAATTATAAAAGCAGATGGACTCATGACCAGGAAAGGAAGCGGAGATGCCCGAGCCCAGAAGACAGCGAGAGTCCCCCCGAAAAGAGATGCCAAAAGATCTTGCAAAGTGAACCATCCGATGAGCAGAGAGGGCGAAAGCACAAGAAGTCCAAGAAGAAGAAGAAATTAAAAGATAAACACAGAGAAAGAGAGTACAGGTTAGTGTCCATGGGATGGGGAGGCAGGCCAGGGTGGAAGCCGGTGTTTGCAAAACTTTTCCCTCTCTTCCTTGTACTTGCCTGGGAATCCTTAGTGAGAAAGCCAGGGAGAGAGCCGTTGTCACTCAGACTTGCTGGAACCTGCGTATGTGGTGGTCACGGCAGAGGGCCGAGTTTTGTTGTGTGTGCGCACTGGCACCATTTTTCAATGAGAGGCATTGCAGCTTGGTGGCAGAGCAAAAATCTCTGGTTTGGTCCCCTGATCTCCATCGAAACCATCATGTCACAGGTAATGGGACGGAGCCCTGCCTCCTGGGAAAGCTGCATTCAGTCAGAGTGGACTGCACTGGCCTGGAGAGGGCCATAGTGTGACCTCATTTATCCTGCTTCCGATGGTCTAATGGATTTGGTGTGTCTGATTTAGAAAGGGCTGGTCCTGGTTTCCAGCTTCTGGCTAAAACCGAGGCAGACAGACGTGAACCGGATAGAGTGGTGGGGCCCCTGGTGTGGGGCATAAAGCACACAACAGATCCAGAGTGTGCTAAAGTTGTGCGAGAAGGTCTTCACCTGGCTCTGGAAGGAAAGTGGAGGGTGGCAGTCATCTGCATCGCATATAGAAAAACTTACTAGAAAGCTCTGGGGCTGCCAGCGGAAAGGGCCTGTTTCTTGTGCAGGCTTTTCTGGGGTCTGTGTGAAGCAGGAATCTCAGCTGGGTCATTTTAGTGGCTCTTAAATTGTGTGTGCATGTGTTTGGTGGCGTGATTGATACAGTGGACCAGTTAAGAAATTTAGCAAGTATTCATGATGTTAAGCACCAGAACTGAGTTAATAAAAGAGATGAGCTATAGGTAACTGGTCTGACCACAGGCCCGTCACTTCTCAGCCTCTCTTCCCTACCTGTAGGATGGGTACAGCAGTAATTCTGCCCCAGAGGAAGAGGGAGAAAACAAGCAACATAAATGTTAAAACTTGTTTTCAGACCCACAGCAGTGGTTGACAAATATTGCCTGCAACGCTTGTATCACAACAGAGCGTGTAATGTGCCCAGCCGTGATTAACATGCCACCCCTGTTGAATGCCACCCTATTTAGACTTATTAAAAAACAAAGATGACTAGATTAGCTACCATTCCCTCTTGGCTGTGAAGCAAGAGGAAGTTCCAGACGCAGTCAGAATAGACAGCCTGCTCAGATCATTTGGTCACTGTTAAAGAGCAGAACGGGGGTAGGTGTGTTGAGGGGGTCTTGCCCAAGAGCCCTCCAAAATCTGGAGCAAGCCCTGGATGGCAAAGATCCTGTTTGAATTAAGGGGGTGTAACTATTGCATTACAAGTGTTTCTGTTCATGTTTCCCATTCCTTCAGGCATCGCCAGGATTCTGACCCATCGGGGTCCAGTTCTGAGGCTGAGACTCATAAGCATAAACATAAGAAAAAGAAGAAGAAAAAGAAGAAGCGTGCAAAGAAATCTGAAGACTGTGATGAGATTTCAGCTCCTCCCCTTCCAAAGCCAACTAGTTTGGAAACCAAGAATCTCAAAGTCTGGGAGATGACCGAATCTTCTTTGGAATCATCTAGGAAACATGGCAGGAGCCCCCATGACGGAAACACGGCTCTTTGCCACAAATCAAAGAGCATAGACAGTAGCAACAGAGATGGCCCCTGCCCATCTACAGACCATAATGTAGGTAAGAGATGCAAAAGGACCTCCCAAGAGATGTGCACTGATTTCCCCCCTCTATTTTTTGGCATTTTATTTAAATTGATTTATATTTAGTACACCAAGGAGTGCTAGGTATGGCCTTCCCCCTTCCTGGTTTCTCCACAGTAACAGTGCTGAAAGATTAGGCTGAGCAATGGGGATAATAGCTTCACGGTCACTCTGGGAGCCTCATGACTGAGTGGAGTCTTGAACTTCCCCCATCAGGGAGAGGGACCCTCCCTTTGGCTTTCATCGGGAGCTTGAGAGTCCTTGGTGGCAAGGTTTGGGGACCCCGAAGCATCCCAGGGCTTCCTTGTCTAAACTGGCACAGAACATCTCATGTTGATTGTGATGTTTCTGCAAGCCGACACATCCGGCGCAAGGAGCAAGGAAACCACGAAATTACCAAGCTGCAGCAGATTGTCTCTATTTAATTTCTTGGAACTATTTAAATATTTCACACGCGAATAGAATTTTCGCAAGAGCTTCATCTGTTTTCTTTGATGTCTGCTACTAGAAACTCGCTTCATTGTTTTTGATTTTTACTTTTTGTTAGATTCCTGTCTTGGACTTCGTGAAATGTGCAATTCAGACTCTTACCAGTTTTTGAATTTATCTCATTGAGCCTCCACCTTTTGTATCTGGCTGTTTCTTATAGATGTTTGCACCGAAGTGGCATCCAGGCTGCAGAAGCAGTGAATGATTCATTGATAGCTCAGTATAATCCAGCCAAATGCTGGGCACTCTTAGTTCGCCTCAGTGGCCCATTGTTAGCACAAGCCGCCTCTTGATACTTATGTATAAAAGTGATTTTGATTTGATTTGATTTGATTCGGGTGTGTTTCTATACCACCTTTCCAAGGCAGTTTGCATTTCGAAGTATGAAGTCCATAGCCAATTAAAAACATAATAAAGCATTTCAAATGATCTTCAGAAGCCAACATTTTAAAAAGCTAAGTTAGAAAGATGTGGGTTGAATCCCTCACTTTCCTAAATGCAGACAGACTGGGGATCCATCACTACTCCAAAGGAGAGTTTAGAGGCAACATAGGAAAAAGCCCTTGCCCACCTGTCCGAACACACGTGCTTTGAAAGGGTCCTCTGCTGGTCCAGTATGGGTGTATGCTAAGTCAGGCGGACCCTCAAATAGCCAGCCCCAAAGCTGTGCAGAGTTTCAAAAACTAAAGCTGACACCTTGAATGGAGTCTGGACAAAAGCAACACTTGGCCTTAAAGGTTCTTGGGAAGTGTACAAAAAAGATTTTGAAAAACACCTGTGATAGATACTGAGCTTGGGGTCAGGACCTGATAGACACATGTCTCGAAAAGATAGGTGATGAAAGAACAGAGAAACAAGCATCAGTTGAGAAATTTACACCATTTTTAATGATTAACAGCTTGTCTAGAGACAATTCAGAGAGGAAAGCAACCGGCAGTTGCAGCTAATCCATCATCCAAGGTCATAGATGGGTCCTGCTCTCCCACCTCTTTCTCTGGAACCACATGGGGTGGTGACTGACCATTCAGGGAATGCAGTAGCAGAACTGGTGATGGTTCAAGTCTCGAACAGCTAGTAAGGAGGTTGTTATTTATTTATTTGTTTAAAAAGCTTCTATGCCACCCCTTTCGCCAAAGCCTCGGGGCGGCTCACAGCAATAAGTAAATTCACAATTAACCATATAAAACAATATAACTGGAGACGTCCTGGCCAAAGATATAAAATCAATAAATAATATTAACAATTAAAATGACCGTTAAATAAAAAGGTCTTGGCCTGGCGCCGAAAAGCAAATAACGACGGCGCCAGGCGGACCTCTCTGGGGAGCGCATTCCATAGATTGGGCGCCACCGCAGAGAAAGCCCTCCTCCGGGTACTCGCTCTCCCAATGTCCTTCACGGAGGGCTCCCGGAGGAGGAGGGCCTCTGCTGCCGATCTCAAGGGGCGGGAGGGCAGGTATGGACGTAAGCGCTCCTTTAGGTAACTTGTGTTACAGTGCCACAAGTGTCTCACACCCCTATGAGAACATTTGAGTCCAATAAAAAACTCACCTGAAAAACTTGCATCCAAGTGTAACCATATTCTTCTTGCCTTTCAGATCCAGAGTTTCTGCTGGAAGCCATCCCCCCACAGTTTGCAGTATATTTATAAACCGAAAAGCGATTAACTCTTTAATTCATAATTGGTGCTTCAGAAATACTGTACAGGATTTTACCATGGAAAAACCCTTTTTTTAGTTTTTACCTTGAGACTTTTTTTTTAAATTATCTGCAATCCAAAAAAACAGACAGACAAAAAGGATGGAAACTTTCTACAACTGCTGAACGTCAGAAAATTTACCCTGTAAATGTCACAGTAAGAATTAATGCCCTGGAACAGAACATCTCAAACGCTGCTTAGTTACAGACTCAGGTTGATTGTGAAGTTGCTCCAAGCCTTACACATCCGGCGCAAGGAGCAAGGAAACCACAGAATTATCAAGCTGCAACTGATAGTCTCTATTTAATTTTTAAAAATTATTTAAAAATGTCACACACAACTAGAATTTTCGCAAGAGCTTCATCTGTTTTCTGTGATGTCTGCTACTAGAAACTCAATCCATTGTTTTATTTTTACTTTTTGTTGGATTCCAGTCCTTGGACTTTGTGAAATGTGGCCGTTCAGACTTATCAGTTTTTGAATGTATCTCAGAACACGTCCAACGACCCCTTGCCTTGGTGACTACATCCCTTGTACGGCTTTTCTGTCTTGGCCCTGGGAGGTCACCACTCAATTAGCAACTGGCAATCCATGGGGTATTTGACAGGTAGGCTCATGGTCTCGCCACCCATGAGCGGTTAGGTTGGTGTGGGGATGTCTGTCCTCCGCGCTTCTGTCTCCCACTCTGGTCTCTCTTGGCTGGGCTTTCACTTAGCATCTCTGCCGGCTTCTTTTGCCCGTGCTTGATTTGACCTTTCTGCAGTTTTCTCCCTGGCTGCTGCTTCCACCCCCTCCTTATTATCTAGCTTCTCTTTAACCCTTCTGCATTCTGCCTCATTGATCTGGTTCACAAATAACAACAACCCTGAGTAGGGATTAATCTTGAATCACGGGTTGTGATTGTGTGCAAACCCTTCACTGTGGTTTAACTCTTGGTTTTTAACCACAAACAACCCAGCAGGAAGCCATGGGTTGTCTACCTGGTTGTTCATGGTCCATAATCCACTGTTAAATCATAGTGCAGGATCTGCACATAATAGCAACCTATAATTCACTGACAAACCATATTCAGCCTGTACTTGGACACGTGAATCGGTTCTCCATTCCATTTTCGTCTCTGCTGTTGCTTGCCCCAAACAGCTGCCCCACCGTTCTTTTAAGTTACCTGGGCTGTTCTGCCATTCTTGAGCTTTTTGTCAGTTGGTGCCCGTGGATGATGGTGGCAAGTGGCAGGGCCCGCTGCCATTTCGCTTCATCCCAGAATTGCTCGAAGGAACCAATCTCCTATTTCCACTACATTTTTATTGCGTTTATTTTTAATATTGTGATGTTTGTCTTGACGGGTCTGAGTTGTCTAGTTCTTGTCCCTTCTTCAAAGTTTCTAGTTACAGACACATTTCATACTGTGATTTAATTTTTTTTAATGATGAAATGCTATCAAACTGTGATACACTTAATTCACTGGTCCTGCATCAGGAGACAGAGTGGGGAAAACTGTATTAAATACAGTTAATCTGAATAATCTGTCTGGTTTATACAAGCTGTGTTGTTCAGAGATGTCTAAAGTTTGATCTTTGTTTTTTTAAAGATAAAAGCACTTGCCCCACTTGTAAATAATATGGCATGTAAAATTTATATAGTATATAAATACAGCAAGTCAAAACAACAGTTCTGTGTGTACACCGTTTCATTTACAGCTCATTTACAGCTGTCTGTTTTGTGCTGAACGGCCAACTTCGCATAGTCTCCTTGAAACTCATATGACCGAGTTTACACCTCTTAATGCTTGTCAGACAAGTTGCAGATCTCACTTGGTTGAGTGCATGTCCTTTAGCTCTAATCACTGTGTTACTCCAATAGTATCTTTCACTTATGTGATCACCTTGCAGGTGCAGTACCCGGATGGAGAACATTTTGGCTGCCAAAGGGGACAAACAGCAAAATATGCTAATGAAAGGGCTCTCCCTGGTCTCTCAGAAAAAAGCTTATACAAACAAGGGTTGTAGGAAAGACAAGAGTCTAGTGTAGAAGGGAATTGTGAACTGGGACATCCTTGGGTCAAAACTCTGCTTAATGCCCAAAGTAACCTTTGTTATACTTTCCCCATCTGCACTACAGCGACTGAGATTCTGGCTGATCTGCTTTACGGGAATATGGTAAGCATCAGATATAATGTGAGCCTTTTCTTGCAGTACAGTCACACTGTTCAAGGATGCTTACTCCTCAGTAAGTGCATAGGATTGCAGTCCAAGAATATTACAGTGCCAATCTTTTGCATATTTTTAATAGGACTGAATCCCATCTAAAAAGAAGTAAAGCCTTTGGGACTTCCTTTTAACTGCACCAGTTTGTATGGAAATTATCCTGAAGTTCTTATTATGCAGGGGCCTAGTTCAGCAAATGTACGCGCTCTTCTATACCACGAGGTCAAGTAGGCTTAACCTTTGACTGAGGGTTGTTACGGTGGAAGGAGAGGGTAGAGTGCAGTGATGGCGGAATGTACTGTGTCACTCCAGCCTGGGGAGGGGATACTACTTTAGTACTAAGGAACCTTTAAAAGCCACAAACCTCCTTGTAAGTGAAATGCACAGCAGGAGGTGAGCTAAAATTTAAAAATCGCTGTGCCAGCCTTGAAGTGGAAAGAGACTTTTTGGAGTGCATCTTTTTAAAAACAGCATTCAGATGGATTCAAAAGTAAGCACTCACCTGCATCTTGAAGTAGGACAGGCAGTTCAACCATTTCTGTCTAGAAAGGAGGGGAAAATACTGGTGAAGGAACAATGTTCTTTAGCCCCATGGGATTAAGAGAATGCAGGTGTCGAAATCTGCTTTATTCTGGAGCCAAATTTAACCAGCAAATTATATAAGGCCCGCATGTCTAGGCCCTGAACATCACAGAAAAGTTGGACTTTGGTGGAATTCATATTTTTATTTCTGAGACTGAATCTCTGCAAAATGCCTTTTGTTAACGAAATACTTGCAATGGATTTAAAAGAGCCATACAAGATCACCGTAGATATTTGTGTAACATAGATACAGAATATTGCATGCAATTCATTGGCATACAAGAATAACGAAATTCCAAAATCAATAATACACAGATGTACAGTATATACATTTACCTTACATTTAGGAAACATCCTCCAAGAAAATAGAGAAAGAATTAGCGGGCTACATGTTAGTTAACAGCATCTGGTCTAAGGGCCAGTGCAGATGTAACACTGGTTTCTAGCACCCCAGTAACCAACCTTGGGAACAACACAAGTTTTCTCTGCCTTGACCACGGCCAGCATCAAGACTGATGTAATGCTAAGGCATGTTTATGGCACCAGGGAAAGGAAGAGTGGAACTGTGTCAGGAAGGAGGTTTCTGAGATTAGATCCTGATTGTAAGGAGTCAGTGTTAATCTCCACCAGATCCCTGTGACCCTTTTTCCAGCAAGCATTTCTAGAAAAGATATGTACTGCTTTTCTTTAAAAATAGGCAATTTTAATATGAAGTATTTTAAATGCTGCTTGGTTTATAAAGTTCTAAATTTTGTACCACACACTTCAAGCCATCCAAAATACTAAGTGACATTTCCAAGCTAAATCTTCTCTGTTAGGTTCAGCACCTGTCAGGCCAGCTGAGCTTAAAGTGCTATTAAAACTACCCCACCCCGACCCTCAGAAGCCAGAGTCCACAAGGTTTGAAAAGTTCTTGGGCAAAAAACAACTAGGGCAGAAATCGCATTGTGCGAATGCCCTCTACTCTCACTAAGGGGAAAGAAGATACAGAGAGGGATTGTCCGCTTTTCACCAAACAAGACCTTTGGTAGAATGGGTGTGTATGCTAAGTGGCACGTGGGCTCAGAATAACAAGCCGGCACTACTTCAAAAACTTCTGCTTCCTAAGGCCAAGGGAGAAGAGGCAGTGCATGGGGGGGGGGGGATTTATTTGTCTTCTTAAATACTTCAACTGTCCCTGACCATTCACAAGCTGTTCCTGCAACTGGCTAGTTTATTTACTGGCCTTACGGCCACTGGAAGTTTTGGCCTTACTTTGATTCCTGCTAATACTCCTTATAAACATCCAATACTCCTATTCTCTGTTTCAGCAGGAAGCACAGAGAACATCATCCTCGGTTTACACATTCTTTGCCAAAGGGGGATTTTTCTTCCGCTGAATTAGAAATGTCTGCAGTATTTCCTAGTTTACATTTGTAATCCCCAGCCTCCTGTGTTAGATGTGTAGCGTTGGATAAAAATACTGATCAAACTTATGCTACTTCTAATGTTTAAATGTCCCTGAATTTTGCGTCAAAATCCCACAGAACTTCCAGGGTGACCAAATTCTGGAAATTCTGACCAAAATGGATGAGGTTCTCCTCACATGAGGATCTTATAGCTGCCCAGTTCCAGTCTCTTTTTTAAGCATACTGCTCAAAAAAGCAGGCAGCCCTCTATGGTTAGGTGTGGAAAGTACAGCTCTAAATCCAGCTGGCTAGGAGCAGAAGAATTCCTTAGGGAAGGAGATATGGGGAAATCTTACAGAAAAAAGGAGGGGAGTGAGGAAAGCAGCCTAGGAAGAGAGCCTTGTATATGCCAGAGCAGTAATACAGCGGTAATAATGCATCTAAACAGGATGATTATTAGAAAAACAGATGGGCTTGTGAGCCATTATTGTACCTTTTCAATTAGGAGGCCACAACAATAGGCAAAGCCTAGTCATAAACAAGTTTTTTTAGCTTTATGAACATACTCTCTAATATATAGCTTTTGATCTGTCTCCTTTCCCCTCACCCTTTGTCCAATCTTACAAACAAAGTCATCTTGGGGGGATACTGGGGAGAGATCACAACAGCAAGGATACACCACTGTATGGGAAGCGATCGTACAGGAGGTGAGGGTGCAGAACTAGAGAGGATGAAGGCTGAAAAGAGCCAGCTGGGCTGTAGAGATGTTTGTGATAGGAAAAGGACACTTAAAACAAGGCATTTAGAGCGAGATCTGTCTGAGAGTCTGGAAGCCCAAGAGTGGCCTGTCAGAATAGAGGCTGATCTGTTTTTTGAGCATGTGGGAGAGAAACATGTAGGATTTTGTTACTTACTGTAAACAAAATCTTGCAGCTATGGAAAGAGGTAAATGCGACATCTGCAGTTCCACAAACCTACTCAAGTAGACCCTGCAAGTTTATTTTGTTTGTTGTCACAAACCTTGAGGTTCTCTCAAGCCTTCTAATACCCCTGCCTTGTTCATAGGTGGCGCTGCCCTGGCTATATAATGAGTGACACGGAGAAATCAGTTCACTAAGAAAACACAGGATAACTTCATCCAGTTCTGTCCAAGTGTTCTGACAGATGTTGCCACAAACAGATACACATACGCATGCACAAAAGGAAGAGTTTGCATCTTGAAATCTCAAATTTGGATGGAAAAGAAAAGGAAACACAGACCATGTTGCTCAGAAAGCAGCAAAAGCTTGAGGGATTGGGGAAGAAGAGGATAGGCTGCAGAAAGCCCCTCGAAAAAAAGAAGACCACAAAGCCCCCTGGAGAAAGAGAGAAACGAGGAAGGAAGTTCAGCAGTTGCACAGAGAGAGGTGACCTCATTTGCATAACCAACAGGCAGACATAATGGGGATTTTTGGCTTCATACAAGCTGCATGAACAATGCCAAGGCTGGCCTGCAACAAGCGGAGGGGACAAGGGGTAAGTGGAAGACCACTCAGCCGTGATGCTGATACACAGCTTCATAAACCACAACACAGCCATACAGGTGGTCTTCTTTAAGAGCTTATCTTCCTTAAGGAAAATGTAAAACTTAACACTGATTTAGGTAATTATACAAAATGGAGTCTAAAAAAATACTTGAATGTCTGAATCCTGCCACACTCCTCTTCCATTAGCAAAATATGCAGTAACTAAACTTGCAGACAGAGATTCACAGACTTCTCTTTTTATTTCCTCTCTCCCCCAAAATATGATCTTTTGATTTACCTATGGGATAATAAATAAGGAGAACCATTAAAGCTAAACTGTACAGAAATGAGCATGAAGAAGCTGGTAAACAGGTTGTGTGATTTACTAACGTGGCATTAAATGGCAGCACAATTTTACAAAAAATATAAGACAGCAAATGATACTGGAAAAACCTCAGATTTGGGAAAGACCGTTCAGGCTAACATCTGGAGAAAAGAAACGGCACATGCCCAAGTCGTCTAAGAACCAAAGATAAGCTACATTGGTACTGCCAAAGCTCCTGCTTATAACCTTTCGTCTTTGAGAGCTTCATGTTTTCAGTGCACCATCAGCTGTTTATGAAAGAGAGGTTCCTAAATCATACAGACAAATGACAACACAGACTGGATGTGAGTTGCATACAAAATAATCAAGGCGCAAATGTTTCTGCATTACAAAGGGTAAGATGAGGTTTGGATGACTCAAGACCAAAAGACTTTGTGTGCAGGGAACGGTCATCTGCTAGTGGCGAAAGCTGGATTCAACAACAGGTCACAAAACTAGGCAAAGTCCTGGAAAAACAGGAGAGGGAAGGACTACAGACCACCGTCTCCTGGCTCAACAATACTGCCCACACTCAGAACGGCACATTCGGCTTCCGAGCTTTCAGTTCACATGCAAGTCCATGTGCTTGAAGTGTCTTCCAGTATTTCAGGGGATATTCTCAATGGGTAAAGAAGGGACAGATGCGGCAGGAGACTACGTTTCCAATACAAATCTTCTTGTCTTTACCTTGGTTTTATGATGTACTAACCATTCTGCTAAAGCAGAACCACAAGCATCCCTTGTTAGCGCTATTTTTTATTTGCGATTCTTCTCTTCCTGGTTGCCAGCATGTCGTAAAAAGGATCCTTGCTGATACTCGCTCTAGCAGAAAAAGAGACCTCGGTTAATTTCCCAGTGTATCTGCCAGCCACGCCATGCCGCATTTCTTAAGACACTCGGTACAGCACGCTGAGTTGCGCTTCCACAGCTCACAAACTAAAGCTCCCTCACCACCACCCCTGGTACCAGCATCGCCAGAGGCAGAGCGACAGCCCGCGCTATGATCAATTCATACCACCAATGTGGAGCCACGCTCAGAACAAAGCACTTTCTATCCACCCATTTCAAACCAGAGTCTCCAATCCTACAATCCCAAGCCAGTTCTGGCACTCCAAATGGTATTTCTTTTACTTTTATTATTTAAAATATGTACCTGGTCCTCCAATAGATCACTGCTGAGTTGTTTTCCCCACTCCCTACCTTTTCCAATATAGTAAACCATCTGCTAAAAGTTTATTTTTATTCCTGAAAAAGAATTTGCCATCTTCTAGAGTTTTCCCTTGCTTTGCACTTGTAAAGGAGAAAGGAAGCTCCTATTGCCCAGTGACAGACTTGTCAGAGTCAGCGGACTAGAGGGCCCAACAATCTGTGGTGGGGCTGATTCCCTGGAGCATGAGACATGGGGGACTGGGATCCGGGGCAGACACCATGCCAGAGCACCTGGGCAAGACACCTTTAATCCAGGCTGCAACACTTTCACGGAGCCTGGAGATTCCCTGGCAAGTTACTGTTCTGTGTGACAGAGTAACTCACTTGATCGATTTGATCCACTCGTCTTTTTCTTCAGGAGTTGGGGCAGATATCCTGTAAACCACGTGGTTGCCTTCCACCACTCTGCCATCAGCTTCTGTCTTACAAGCTTTAATGACTTGCCCCTTGTGGCTGGGATTATACAGCTCAAAGCAATTCTAGGAAACAGAAAACAAGCCAGCCATGACATTGCACTAGCACCAACTTTGCAAGAAAGAACAAAAAGTTACAAGCCAGCACCAAGCCTAGACTGGCCTCGGTTTATTGAGCTTGTTTAATAGTTAAACGACACTTTTCTATTAAAGTAATCAGCAAGGCAGTTTGCAGTAACGTAAGACAGAGTATACCAAACCAATACTATTCATTTTCCTTGCTATTCATTCATGACTGCAGTCAAAAGCAACGGCATTAAAACTTCGGCATGATCATTGTAAACCAACCAGTCATGGATTAAAAGTTAGTTTGATCTTTTAAAAACCTTTGCTATCCATCAGAAAACAGAGTGGGCACCTGACAGATCTCATCTCTGAGGAAGTTCTACAGTTGCAGAGCCACTCCCAATAAAACCCTGCTTTTTATACCTGCTCGCCTATTATTGCACGAAAGTGTGTAGAACAGAACCACTCATGCTAGTCCAAAGGGACTGCCCAGTTCACATCAGAGCAGAAACATTGTGAGCAACTTCATCTGTCCCACAGAGGGGTTTCAACATTCGACACTAGCACTTCAAATCATGTTCCGAAACAAATGGAGCCTTGGCTCGTTAAAAGCAATGGCTAGATAAAGTCTGACACACATGCTAATCACAAAGGGGAAAGTTATCCTTGAAATGAGGAGGACAGTAGCTCTGTGGGAGAACCCCTGCTCTGCTTGCAGCAAGTCCCAGTTTCAATTCCCAGCATCTCTCGAGAGGACGAGGAAGAAATCCAGCCTGAAACTCTGGGGAGTCACTGCTGCCAGTCAGAGTTGACAACACTGGGCTTGATGGGCAAGGCATCTGACATCACAAGAGGCAGCTTTCGTCATCCCCAAGTAGGGGCATGCAAAAGTCAGATCAAGTCAGAGGGGGTTATCAAAAGTCAGGCTAACCAACCCATGGGAGACCTTTTCTTCACTTTCCCAAAACACCAAATAAGGTATTTTATGCTTCCAGAAAACATGCCATGATTTATTTATGCCAGATCAACAGCAGTGTGCTATTATTTTTATGTAATGGTGTCCTGTACAGTCTAATATAGTTAGGGAATTCTTTTTGATTTATTTGCATTTTTCTCTTGGTGCTTTTGAATTGTTACAGGCAAAAATGATACTGCACAAAATTAGTAGTTTATCTACAATTAGGGTATAAAAATCAATTTGCATTTAAGAGGACATGGTACCAAGGATACAATCCACCAAGAATATCAAAGCTGAACTCTTGGGTGGCTCCTCTTCTTTTTAAGTGAGTTTACAAAGGAGAGGCTTGTTGGAGAATGGATCCTTAAAAGAGCGAAGTCTTACTGGTTTTCTTGGATCCTCAACTTCTCTTATGCTGAGGTTTTCCAAAGGGATAATTCCTCTGGGTTCTTTGTCCTAGACATTAACAAAAGACAGCATTCAGTAAGCAACCCGAAGTTATCTGGGATGTAGAGAGGTCGTATTTTGATGTGCATCAAGGCATACTCACTGTCGTGTATTCAAAATAATACAGGCAATTATCTGTCAATATAAACCACCTCCTTTTCCATGTTTTCACTCTTCCACCTGTAAGACATAAGGCAGCCCCAAGTCAAACCAACTTCAAGCCACGCTTCACATGCTTCAGGCAACAAAATGGTAATTTGGTTACCTTGTTACTTCACCGAACAGGCTTGTCAAAAAAGATGACAGGTGGAAATCAAGTGGAAATCAACATAGGTTAGGGTTAAATGAATGCATGGTTAAATGGACACAAGGGTTCCAGTCCTAAGACTACTCGTATATTAAGGGCTGAAGTTGCTGAAGGTCCTTCCTCAGCCTTTTTCAACTAAAAACCACCACAAAAATGCTTCAGATAAACACACAATTCTACACCACAGAAACTGCAGTGGAATTTTCTGTCCCCCTCACCCCCACACATAGCAGTACCTTCCCAATCTTGTCTTCTTACCAAAAGAAGAAACAAGGATGCATTCTCTACATTTCAGGCTTTTTAGAAATGCAGCATCAAGGGCTTGGGACAGCACTTGTTCCTGCTTCAGGAGACAGAGGGCTGATTCAGGCATGTGGTTGGCATCAACTTCACTTGTGCTGGGAGTGTACCTGGTGCCACATGAAGGATATGCCCCCACTGAGGAGCAAGCATGCCTGACACCACACAGACAATGCCCCAAGAGAGCTGGGCATCTGCATGTACAAGCACACAGCATAAGTCACTTGATATCCACAGTCCATCTAATTCATGGGTTCTCAAACTACGGCCTGTGGATGCCCATTTAACCAGCTGCCTCAGAGGTTTTGGCCTCTGAGCCCACGCAGGCGTCCTCAGAAACTGAACAGAGAGAGAGAGAGAGAGAGAGAGAGAGAGAGAGAGAGAGAGAGAGAACTGCGCATGTCCAAACGGCAACAGCTCAACTGCACATGCGCCAGATCTCCTCCCCGCCCCTTCAATCGCGCAGCGGGAATACCGAGCGGGAAACAGTAGAGAGGCGGGCGGAAGAGAAAGAGAAACAAAGACGGCCAAGGCGAAGGCGAAGGCGAAGAAACTAGAAAAGGATTGAAAGTAAGTAAAATATAACTTTTTAAAGTTATCTTTTTTTAATTATGCGAGCCCTGGGGTTGCCAGCTGCGCGGCCTTCTCCTCGCGGGAAAGCCGCGGCCTCGCAGTGCCCGCCGCGCCCGCCGTCGCCTCAGTTTGAGGAGCCCTGATCTAATTCTTCTGCGGGAGGGAAGGAACACAGATACTGGGGAAACTGCACACATCTTTGAGTATGTCGGTATCTGTCCTAAATATGTGATGCCAGGCATGCCTGCTTCCTTAGGGTGTCCCCCACATGACACCTCCAGGCTGAATGTCTGAGTCAGTGCGGACTCCATTCCCCTTCAGACCACAGGCCTTTTCTATGGTAACAGAAGTAAGGTAAAAACTAAAGGCTGTTTCTCACAGTTCCTCATGAAAGAAACAGGTAAGTTCTCCCCAGACAGATCAGCTTCTGAAGAGACACAGAAGGGCACTGTCATGTGTCCATGGGAAAACTCTGGGGATTACTAGGCATTTGAACAGGCTGAAACGTTTTATTTCTCTGTGTGCTTAAATGATGGAGAAGCTGCCTCTGAAAAATGCTCAAGGCAACTCACAGGAATCCAACAAACAACTCCAAGAAAGCCTTGAAATTTACTGTTCCAAGGCTACAATGCTATGTATCTGTAACTGTGAGGATGCTCCACTGAACATAGTGGAACTTGTTTCTGAGTAAATGTGCCCATGTACAGCTACAGTCCTAGATACACTTACTCTTGAGTAAGCTCAAGTGACCACAGTGAGGACTGGGCTGCACATACACTAAAATCTAGCAAGAGCAACTCACTGATCCAACAGAGAAAATCTAACCTGAATGCACACTGATCAAAGATCAATATAGATGAGTGTAACTTAAGAGAATCTAGCCACATCTTTAGAAAGGAAGTTCTCAGAGCACAAATTACTTTTTATTCAGCATGATGTGGTAAGCCACCAAGACCCCAGCTTCCCGTCTGGTATATCTTGCACATTGCAGAACTTCTGTCTGCAAGCCAGACACATGGGTTGCCAGGGGAGAGCTCACATTATTATTATTATTATTATTATTATTATTATTATTATTATTAGAACATTTCTATGCCACCCCTTGCCGAAGCCTCGGGGCGGCTTACAACACAATAAAATACAATACAATACAAAAATAACAATATAAAATTTAAAATTAATAATATAAAATAAATAAAAAATATAACTGATATAAAAGGAGTTAGAAAAGTTATAAAAGAAAGGAAAAGAATGGGCTATGTTTAAGCGCTTCGCAGCTCTTCAAACACTGTCCTAGTACTTTTGTACCCCAGCAACAAAACCAGTCCCACTTACGGAGGTCTGTGCACGAGGCAGTAAACATTCTGCTTCGTGAGGAATGTAGTTATTTAACTGCAAAGACTGCGTGTTTTTGATCTATAGTCACTGATGCCCGAAGGGCATTCTTAATGAATACTGTGCCTTGACAAATTCAGAACTTAAGTCACTGAATGATCAAATATAATTTTACACATATTTATAAGTTTTACTTGAGCAAAAGATCCAGAATTTAGTTTGTTTTCTGTGATCCGAGTTGTACAAGTGTCACGTAAATATGTGATCTTTGTGTTGATATCTAATAACCTTTTGGGATGATCTGATAACTGTATACAAACCAACAAGTATGATTTGAGAATTTTACTTGCGATCAAGTGAGCTGACACAACTTTATGGTCATATCAGTCTACTTTTACATAAACACAATCCCTTTTGCACTACCAATCCTTCAGCTACACATGGTCTCCATATTCCCATCGCAGAGAGAGGTCATCTGCTTGTACAATATCTGTACCCCGAAAGAGAGAACATTTGCCCACAATGTCTACACTTTAGGAGTAATATTGTTGGCTTGGCTCGTAAACGCCGCCTCACAACTTAAAACTGCAGAAATTTCAGGGTTTTTAGGAGGGATGTAAGAAGGCACTAACACAAATACTTAACGTTTAGGTCAATGAAAATGTGAAAGTGTGCTTCCTTGATGTTAGGAATATTAATGTTGAAGTTATTTTTAATGAAAAATTAGAGTATGTCAGAGCGATTAAATATAATTTACAAAAACCTGAAATCAAGGAAAAGCTTCTTTGCATTTCTTCTAAAGTAGATACATCCCTATTTTGGAAATGAATGGGCAGCATGTATTTTGGCTACACAGGATAATTATGTCCTGTTAATTTATACTGTTTTATACTATGTTATTTATTTATGATTGTGAGCCGCCCCAAGGCTTCGGCGAATGGGGTGGCATAGAAGTTCTCTAAATAAATAAATAAACCGATGAAATCAACTCACTTTAATTTGCAATTGTTATCAACTTCACTAATAAAGGATACTCAGACGGCCTTTCCCTTCACACGTCTGGCTCCAGGTAGACTGCTTAGAAAGAGAAACCCACCAATACCTATAGTTTGCTGTGCCTCACAAATGCAAGCTGCTGTGTGCATCCAATGAAGACTTGGTAGCTTGTCTGCCATATTTTACTTCCTGCTCTGAGCTTTCCAAAGAAATCATTTCTGTCTAGTTGGCAGAGTCGTGACTAACTTAGGTCCCATGGATTTCAAGAGGTCTTACCCTGATTATGATGACCTCTAGATCCAACCCAATCTGCTTCCACTTCGAATTGGGTCTCCGACAACAGGGTTGGATACACCCTGGATGGATACAGGGTTGGATCTGTCCTAATGACTCCCACTCAACTAGAAACCTGCATTGTTCCACATACACTCATGCAGTGTAGCCTTCCCCAACTTGGTGCCATCCAGATGCGGTGAACAACAACTCTTGAAATCCTTCACTGAGAATCATGGGAGTTGTAGTGCAACACATAGGAAGGGCAGTGTGTTTGGGAAGAATAATTTCATGAAATCCTGCTGAGGGGATTTGTCTTTGTGCTTGCACTAGTGTAAGAAAAGTCTACTAGGTTCTTAACTTCAAAAAATACAGCTAAGCACTCACAAACCTTGCAACAGGACCAAAAAGCAAATATGGTTTTTGATGCTGTTCATATCCAGGCCTGGTATCTTTTCAGTTAAGGGATTTTAGAGTTGCATCAGCACCTGTGCATCATCCATTTACTCTTTATTTAATCTCATTAGCCTTCACTCTCAGCATAGCTGATCTTGTTACTGAACAACACGGAATGTCGGGCTCTCATTAAACAGTACAGTTCGCTCAAGCATTAATCATCTTAAACAAATCATGTTGCTCAACCCAAGGCAGGGACATAACAGCATCTGCAGCGCTTCCTTGGTCAAGAAAGCTTTGCGTCCATATGCTTCTTGTTAGCAGTGCATTTAGAAAACAAGACGAACAACAGAACAATGGCAGGAATATGCTGGATATCCTGTAGCTTTATTTATGTGCCTGTAATATAAACTCACAAATGTGAAGCCTCTGTTATATCTGATGCAAATTCTAAAAGGATTCTAGATCTATAGGAATAGCCCAGTAGATACAATTCACTTATATTTCTAGTTTTCTGCCACATACAGGCTAGTGCTTCAAGGTACTAAGGGGGAAAACAACACTTCATGTTAGGTGTGGTCGAGTGGCAGAAAGAGAAGGATAAGATTGAGAAGGTGAGGCAGTAAAGATGGCAGGAAGCTGCTGACACATCAAGGGAGATTCTAAGAGCTTGAGCCTTTCCCCTTGATCCAATTAACTTGGTCAAACTCCTCAAATCTGAAGGCAAAGGATACTAACTCAAACTCTGTTCAGAAGGCGGCGGGATGCTGATGAGAAACAGGAAAAAGCCAATATTAGCATATATTTAGCTCAGGTTGGAATCCAAGGACAGCAGTGGGCTTCGGAGCTGAATGAGCCATTATGTTAACTCTGCAAATCTAGGCTCCAGTCAGCTTAAAGTCCTGTTGTGTCATAACTGTCTTGAAACTTCTTAACAAGGAGCACATTCCATTCCTTCCCAACTTCCTACTGAAACCATGAGGCCAAGCCACCACAAATTAGCCTGTGTGTTTTTGTGCCTTGATACGGAAACACAGAGAAGAACCTGGTGTTCTTATGATTCATCAGGACACAAGAAAAATCTTGTAATTTGTTGCCCTGTTATTCTTGCCTAGCAGAGGGGCCTCACAAAGAGAGTCCGCTCTATTTCAATGGGAGGTAGATAGCTACACAAAAAGACTGATGAGAGAAAACAGCCCCTGGCATTCAGTTCATCAAAGAGATGGAAGGAAGGAATCTTAGAGGAACTCACCCATCATGAGCCCACTTGTGATGTGAGAAGAATCACTGCTATTATGTGAACTGCTTGAGCCCTTGCAACTCTGTTTTTGGCTGTGTGTGTGTGGGTCTGCCCCCCTCCAAACCCATACCCTGCTATGCTCTTGACAGCCTTAAAGAGTTCCTGCTTCGGTGTGGATGAACCTTTCCCCACCTCTGCAAGCAAGAACAGAGCATTTAGGCCAGTTCACCAGCAGGTCACCTACCAGAATGGTGCTGCCCCTACTCTTCTCCAAAGGCACCCTAAATAAATAAAAAAAAAAGAATCAACAGCAGGGAGGTCAAAACAAAATCTTGTAGATGATTAAAGAAGCTAGGTTATATAGCTAAGCTAAAGCAAAACTTGGGAGTATGGGGATAAGGACTATTGAGCAAGCTCGTTAATTTATAGGACTTCTAACTAAAAAGAAAAGGGTCACAGGTAATGGAGTCCTAAAAATTGTACCCAAAGTTCTAGGGAGAAAAAAAGATGGCAAATGTAATATTAACTGCTGCTATTAACGGCTGCTATGTCAAATTAAATGTTTTTATACTGCTAAAATAGACCTATTACTGTATAATTCGAAGTCATTAAAATACAGTTTTCACAGCAGTTTCTAGAAAAATAGAAAGATTTTTGCTTGTTAGAAAATTCAATGGAGAAGAAAATTCTTAATGTTTAATGTCTTTGGAGAAAAAAGGACATATACTTCATAGAGGCCTTTCTAAAGAATGCTTGCATGAACTTGCTTCATAAAGAACACACATGTCAGGCAAGCAGTTCACCCATTATACAGAAGTAAATAAATAGCTTATGGAAGTCACTCTTTCCATAGCTAGAAGGCAATAGAGAAAACCCACACACACATTCTAACAGGCATGGCCCATACAAACTTCAGTAAAAGCTCTGGAGAATGCAAAACTAGATACCAGAAATGAACATATTTACTTCCAGAGGACAAGAGGGAAATAATTAAAGCCAGGTCTCAGTTATTTAAAACAAACGCTTTAGTACCAGACAGTGCAGCTGAGCTGCTGCCAGCAGACGCAGTTATTGGAAGGAAAAAACAATCCTAGCACAGAAGTATTATAACCTGGGATCTGTCGCCTGCAAGACTTTGTCCAGCTGTAATGTCTACTAGGCAGGGCATGAAGGAGGGAATTTTATTTCAACCACCACCTCCTCAATTGGCCCACAATTCATCTTTATGCCTGCAAACTAGCCCAAAATAAACTCATGTCTGAAACCCTTCAAATCATCTTTGGCCAGTTTTCCCTGTCTGCAGTCGACTTGCAGACAAACACTTTTCAATAAGGTCACTCAACTCTTAAAAGGAGATTGAGATCATGGATGTTGAAAAACTAGCTGAATGAATGCTGCTTTTTAAAACAATGTACCAATGTGCCAATTCTGAAGCTCCTTGAAAGATTTGGGACTGAGTAGTTCCATTCGTGGGTATACAAAATTCACAGTTAGTGAAACCCCTCACCTCTAGGAAAGCGCCCTTGGTCCTACCAAACACACAGACTTGACAAGGCTCATTTTCCCCTTATGGAGTTGGGGTGGGGGGGCGGAGTATGTGTAGGAGAAAGTCGAGCATTATATTACTCCCCTTTGTTTGTGAGCCAGGAGTAGGCAGCTAATACAGCCACATCCAAAACAATCCAGAATATGCTGCAAATGACTATAATCATATTATAAAATAGTCTGTGAATGCTTTTGATGTTTCTGTTTAAAAATTGCATCCCTCTGAAACGCTTGCATGAAATGCTTGCATCTGGCTCCTTGCGACGTTTTTGTGAGGCTTCCCCCTTTAGGAAAGGGGTGGTCAGCAAGTGGTTCTTCAAATGTTTTGGCCAACTACTCCCTTCAGCACCAGACAGTACAGCCTTCCGTGAAGGACTGTGGCCCTCCAGACACTTTTGGCCTACAAGCTGCCCACCCCTGCTCTACGGGCAAAGCAGCAAGGCCAACTTACTGTCTCAGTGCTGCAAATCCAACAGTATCTCTTACAATTTCATTTCTACCCTCCTTTATCTTCTTGTATACACACAAACTTTGAATGAGCATCTTCCCCAAAGCCAATCGCACATGCGCATGCACACACACACGCACACCCCTCCTATGGTAGGTGCCCTGTTTTAGGATGGTGATAACTATGTGGAGATAATGTTTTCACCAGGTTCTGCATCCAGCAGGGACTAAATCAGTGCTGTAGCTGAAGACATTCTTAACTACAAAAATATTGTTATTTTTGTATTTTATTGTATTTTATTTTGTGTTGTGAGCCGCCCTGAGGCTTCGGCAAGGGGCGGCATAGAAATGTTTTAATAAATAAACAAACTGCCAAGGACAGAAGTCCTGGAAAAGATGCAAAGGAAAGTTCCATATAATACATGGCAGCTTTAGCCTTCACAATCCAATTGGTGTGGAAGAGACAATTTTAGCACCAGGAACATGATATTCTCCAGCCCCCTGCCAATTTGCACCAGGTGTGAAATCCACTACAGACAGCAACCACTCCTGCCTCGGCACCTGAGCGCCCTCTCACTCCAAACCTTACAAGGGCAAGTAGCTAAGCAGGCAGCATGTATGGGCAGACATACATGTCTGCACCAATTGGCGCACACAGAGCGCCCCCCTCTCCTTCAAGGATACAAACACAAGAGACTTGTGTGACTTCCAGGTAAGATCATGCCACAGCTCTCCCTCTTGCGAGGCACTGCCTGTGCTCCCCCGTCTGCAATATAAAGCGGCAGGGAATTTGTCCCTATGTCCGCCTTCCGAGAAGCAATGAAAGATGGCAAGCACAGTTCTTCCCAGGACTCTTAGCTCTGAGGGAAGCACTGGCATGAGCAGCGGGCAAGCAAGCAGTGGCAGGTGATGATCACCCCTTCAGTCATAATTTACAAGGCAACATAAGCAGGACGAAAACAAACATCAGGCCTCTGGCCAATCTCTCCTCTGAAATGCTGCAGAAGAGTATTAATTGCTCCCTCCTCAGTTACATTAAACACAGAGGCAGCTTCTGCCTGCTGCAGAAACTGACTGGGTTAGGCCTTCACATCGACAGGTAAAAACAAACAGAGAAGAGCATTACCAGATCCACGGGTAATCACACAATGCCTCATCTTCAATGCAGGCTGCCTTGTTAAGACCAAATTTGTAAGTAAGCCACCTACATTCAAAAGAGCCTGAATGGAGTCAGCATAATTTGGCCCAGAAACATCAAGCAACTGCCAAGAGCTTCAGAGCCCAATGACACAGGAGGTCTCTGACTCTGTTCAAATAAACCCTTTAAAACATACATGAAAATAAGCATGGAAGAAGCAGGCTCCTGGGCTTATTATACAGTGAAGATGGAAACACTTATTAAAAAGAGGGAGCATGCTGCTCTCTTGGCAAATAACCTTTTCTGCAAGAAGCCAACGTTACTGGACCACATGAAGAATGTGATGCTGTTTCAAGAAATCTTCCTTTTCGATTTCCTGTGAAATGATTCCCAATCTTCTCTTCAGTGCAACACCACACTTTCACCATTCCTATAAATATCCATGAACACTTCCATTTGCTGATCCAAAAGATTCCAGTCCAGGTGGCCCTGGGATGCATCCACAGCATCCGAGCACACGACCGTTTTGGTGTTACAAACTATAGTCAAGAATAGGTCAACAACTGTCAAAAGAGGCATCAAGCAAAGGTGCACTAACTTGGTCAGGATCACAAATAGAGTATTTGTGTCAGATTATACATATGTGGAAAGTGAGGACACCACACTTAGCTCACTAACTCCATGGAGTTCAAGCTACAGAGCATTGGGATAGGATATCGAAATACACAGTTACTAAGACAGAAGCATTACAGACAGTTGAGCAAATGGCTACAGTTATGGGCATGTACAGGAGTCTCCCTGACTTCACCAAACTAATGTTAGTGGTATTAGGTGACAAGCATGGAAATCCCACAGAGCTGTAATAAAGGAAACCCAGCAAGGGGAAGGAGAAGAGGTGGGGGGGAAGGTAAAATTAAAGAGAGAACAAGCAACAGAACGAGAGAGAGGGGCTAGAAAGCCATCAGGTACGTACCTCCTAATGCAGAATAAGCAGAGACAGCCAGTCACAGAACAGAAAGGTGATAGGTCATAGGCCAAAAGGAAAACAAGAAGGCACATTTAAACCACTCATTAAAAATCATAGCCAAAAATTAAACCAACAGAAATACACAAGTATGGAAAAAAACTAAAGACATACAGGAATAACCTTTGGAAGAAAGAGTTGCGTTCCTGTTACATGCATACATGAACATCTACTTGTGAAATTTTATTATAGCACTCTTTCTGGGAAGGTGTAAAATAAATAGAATGGTTATTGATCAGCTTCTGGTACTTGTACAAAGGGCGAAGGCTACTGTTCATTGAGATGTTCATTTCTGAAATGCCAGAAATCAAACTCCACTCAATCTGCAAATTCAGGGGGTAAATGATGAAGTAGTAATAATACAAAAATATATTACAGTGTTTGGCAATATTTTCCTAATATTTTCAGCAGAAAACAGTAATCATTCAATTGCATGAGATTTTCAGCATAGCAGGGGACAAAGAACAATGAAGCAGCACATGGTAATATGCGAAAGGGAAAGCATCCAACTTACTGACCTAATTTCAGCAGCCAACCTTCTCGGTCTGGGTTGAAAAATGTATGGGTTAAATCATTCCCATCATCCTCTGGAATTTTAAAGGGCTCATTTTTAATGCTTTCATATAAATTCTGGAAGAAAATGGAGGAAAAGCTTAATGACACTGCCAAAACTACAAGGCTAACAGATTCTATGAAAAGATTCTCAAAGAGAACCTGAGATCACTTGTCTCCCGAAGAACAATTTTCACAACTATGAAACCAACTATCTGCAACCAACTGACTGTGTTAATCTCTCATTCTGAAAAGTATCTATTTCAAAGAAAGATAAACGCAAATAAGAAAACACTTTTGAAATAAAACCTCCCTTTTGAAGATGTTCAGAAGAATCATCTGTCCATAAGACACATGCTCAAATTAGAAAAAAACAATATCTTGCCAGACTGTAAAAAACACAGATGCATTGTGCAGATGGAAAGGAAGGGCCTTTTGGACAGGCCAGCTTGGTTAACATGTAGTGGCCATGGTGGGTCAATATAGAGTTAACCTGCAGTGTTCAAAGCATCTGCTCCTCTTCAGAGCAGGGTGTGTTATATGGGGAAAAGGCCATAGGCTCAGTGGCACGTAACATTATACATGGCCCATTATATGTCAACCCACTACATCTCCAGGTAATGCCGAGAAAGCCTCCAGTCTGAAAGTTTGGAGAGATGCTGCCATGCGACCTAGATAACACTCATCTGCATGGACCGATGCTCTGACTCCGTTTCCTGTACTGGATGGGGGTAGTGCTCAGAGTTTCTCTGCACAAATGAGAGAATTCAGAGGTGTGGAAACCACTGAACAAAACTCAATGCGCTGCTTTTGCTTTTGACGACAATTCTCATCACCACTGGCCATGCTGGCTGAGGCTACCGTGCAAGGTATCTGGAAGGCTGGGCGTGAGTGGTGTGATGGCTAGTGTTGGAGCTAAGAACTGGGGAGCTCCAGGTTCAATTTCCTGCACAGCCCCAAAGCTTAACTTATGCCTGTGAGGCCCATCACTCAGATCAGCCTACTTCCACAGTGTTGTTGAGAATATTTATTTATTTAGAATATTTCTCTGCCGCCCCATTCGCCGAAGCCTCGGGGCGGCTCACAAATATAAGAGATCAGGGGAAGTGTTTGTGCCAGCCTGAGGTCCTTGGAGGAATAACAACAACTGTACAATGTCACATGATATAAATCCTACTGTGTAGGTTCCCACAGAAATCAGGACAAGAACTGATGCATTTGTCTCTTGGCCCCACATCAAAGCAAGACGATGCGCCATTTTAAAAGAAGCTTACCCTTAGCAATTCTTCTGGGAGGTCCCCACCCTCGTTAATACCTCGATTCATAGATATAAACCGCTCCACTGTTGGTTTGTCTCTGACATTATGGTTGTGTAGACTAGTGTTTAACATAATGATTGCAAAAGATAGTACGTAACATGTATCTGAAATGCAACATCAAAGTAGAATGATTATGCTGCATGACACCTTGTCAAACAGCCCGTGGCTAGATAAGCATAAGGAAGCAAGGTCATGAAAAGTATTCTTTCATACAACCTCCAGCAGAGAGAGAAACACTGTACTTTAAAATCTCCGTTTTTAACTAGGAACATGTAGTTACGGATGCCAGAGAAAGAGAAATTAAACATACTGGTATTATTTTTTTTCAAAAAAAAAGAAAAGAAAACATCTGAACTGCAAACAATTTATTCTTAACATTCTGCAGATTGACAACATGCCTCCAACATTCGTAAAAATAAAAATTAACCAGTCACATTGGCATAATTTTACTTCCTGCAGTACTGTTTTACCTGACACACTCTATTATTAAGATAAATAATAGAGAGCAACTCCATCACCACTAACCTGTAGACTGAAAGACTCCAGGATTACAAAGGCAATAACGTGAAGCAAAAGCTTCCATCATACGATCAATTTTTTGAGCCTCTCCAGGAAGCCTGAAGCTCCACAGGAACTGCCTGCAAAGATATCAATAAAGCTGTCTGTCAGATAAGGCTCACTGTGCAATCTCTTGCTAAAACACTGGTTATGGCTTCATCCTAATCCAAAATAAAGCATCCTTCTATCAAGGGTGATTTAAAATGTGTCTCTAAACACAAAATCGAGCAGCTTAAAGAGAGCACAGTTTGTTGAATCTACACACATCTTCTGTCTCTCATACTTGCAGCTGAAGTGAAATGTTTTTCCAAGGCAAACCAAGCCACCTTCTTTGCTATAAAGGAATGCATGGCCTTAGTTAAATAAAATGCTGTATATATCCACATATTAACAAGGGTGAAACGCTGACAAAAATAAGCACTTAAAACATCAAACAGCAAATATTAGTCAATTGTATAGTCACGAGTTGTGTGAAAGCTAGTTAGAAGCTGGATTTCATAAGGTGCCCGTGAGTTCTTTATGTTTTGTGAAAAGTTACAAAATAGAACAATAAAATGACAGCACATTTCCATGCCTATAGAACAACTGTCAGGAGCAGTCAGCAGTTCCTGTCAGCATAGCCAGGTGCGATACACCCAAATAAGCTACAGTTGTATTTCTAGCTGCACTTAGCTGGGAAAATGTCTTGTTGAACTCCCTGGAATTTGATTCTCAATGTATGTGGACAGAATCAGGATCCAAGTTCCACAAAGCTTTATTAAAGACCATCTATTTTAAAGGATTTCACGTTTCTTAAAAATAGCCTCTTCATTAGAACACGTCAACTGCCTTGGATGAAACAAAGTGTTAGCATTGTGACGATAAGCCTGTTTGAGCCTTGGGCTCATACACTTATTTTTCTTCCCTTCCTCACCACCCTAATGCAGCAGCATGGAGAAATCTGAATGCTTTTGCTCCTATTTTAGGCACTGGCCAAATTTAACCATAATTTATTAAAATGAACTAAGCTGAAACCATGGGTTATGAAGCCAGCTTGCTTTGGTACACCATAGTTAAGATTAAGCACGGTTTAGAGTAGTGGACAGAACACTAAACTATAGTCAGTTTAAGGGAATCCAAGCCTAGGACTTGCACAAGTTCTTCCTTGCAATACTAAAACATCATTTAGTATTCTCTGTGTGTATGTGTGTGCATGTGTACACAGTCATCTGCATGCAAGAGCTTTCTAGGAGGATGAGTTTTGATTCTGAGTTCATTAACACTGCTGCTATTTTCTATTAATTGCAGTTTATATAAACACTCTCAAACAAATCTTGTTAAAAGAACAAAATTAAGCATGCTTACCTTAAGGCTTGTACAAGATTAAGATCAGCAAACTCATGGAGTTCAACAAAAGCCTGAAGTACTTTAATATTAAAGTCATCTCTGTGAAACACAAAAAGAACCAAGAAGTAAAATGGCTACACCAATTAATTTTACTAAAACACAGTTCTGTGCAAATTCAGACAGAAGAAGGCCTGCATCTCTGACTGTGGCTTGTTGCCACTTTTGCCTTTATCTAGCTGAACTGGCATAGGATCGCACCCTTATTCGATTTTTTAGCCCGCCTATTTCCAAAGCTGTAAAAGAACCCAGGTCTCATCAATAACGGTAACCAGTTGCCCCTGTTCTACCTTTAGTTGTGTCTCTGTGTTGAACTGTGGGACTACCAGCAATTCGGGTCTGTGACCTTTACTTCCGGGCCCACCATACTCAGTTCTCACTGAAAATGAGCTCCGGACTGCGATGGAACCACCTTGGTCACTGAAGCAATCATCTATTGCCAAGTGCTGGTACAGGGCCACAGCAGCAATACTAGTGCAACATAATCTAAGACTGTCATGCCCAGGTAAGGCAAAAGGGAGGCGAGGTCTTGAATCTGATACTTACGGAAGCCTACAAATATGGAGTGATCACTCACTCAACAGGAGCATTGGGGTGGAATATGGGGGTATTAATCAATCGAATGAAGGAATGACTGAATAAGGTTTGGCAGGGCCTGGTCAATGTCCAATTTGAGCGAATCCTTCACCTTTAATTTCTTTTAAGAAAGCTTACTGTTAGATGGTCTAAGAAGAGCATTTATGCCAAAGGCTGCAGGATAATACTATTACAATAATAATATATGGATTGCTCCAGCGAGTGCGGGAGTCAGCTTCTTCTGGCTTGATTTCAAACAGGATGCACATGAATTCAATTTGCAAGTAGTCACTTGCAGGCCACAGGAAGCCTCCGCAAATGCCCTAACTATCAAATGATTCAATATCTGAACTAAGCTGAGACAAATATGAATGATGTTTGCCTGGAATCATCTACAAAGGAGGGAAAGGTCACACAAGCAACTTGTATATGCATGCATTTTTCCTTCCTAAGGGCAATTAAGTAGAATCTGTCCACATAAAATCCTGAAGATTTCAGACTTCGAGATTAGATGTTAAAAACAGTTTGAGCATGGGCTTCAGCTTGTTCTCAGATTTTTAATCCTAGCACTACAATCATGAGGGCTAGAAGCCTTCTTTTCTTTAAATCAATATTTCAGGGCTCTAAGTGAAGCCACTGGCATTATAAATGAGTGATTTAAAGCTGTGAAACAGAAAGGCATTGCTAAATTAACATTTCAGTAAAGGTTTAACATGGTATTATTCTGTACAGTGTAAAATCCTTCTGCACAGAAATGTGAACTCATCTGAAAATATAAAGAATGCCTTGCGCTGTGGTTGGTATTCATTAAAAAAAGTAAAGGGAGAAGAGAACTAATGCCATCATTCTGACTCAGCACCATTCTGAATTTCAGCACCATTAGACAGGTATGAAGCTCTGCTTTGCAATCCTTAGGGTGTGTTTGAAACACATCATTAAACGAAAATGTTGCAGCTCAGCTTCCACCCCAACAATGGATAGCTGGTTTTTACAAGGAACACTTGACTGTATTGCCTCCTAAGTTAACAAAACAACCTTTTCAACTATTTTAATTAATACACTGAAAAACCCTCTCATTAAGTAGGATGTGAGCAAGTTGTTGTTGTATAAATACTAGGGGAGAGCTTGCCAAAGGGAAGTAAGTAGATCAACGCAGCAAAAGGAGTGTTTTACCCTGAATAGAATTAGACAAAGAGAGTAATTAATGTTCTTTTAAAAAGTAAGAGAAATCCTTAGGAAAATATATCTAGGTTTTGCTCTTGGTTATACAGATGCTACGTCTATCCTGCATACAAATTTGGCCACCCATAAGCTGCATGTGGTAAAAACTGCAGCCTTAATTAGTTCACACAGGAATGTCATACCTGTAGTGGGGCAGTCACTCTTGCACATAAGCCACAAGCACATAAAAGTATGTGCAAAATTCCCCAATTTTTAAAAGTTAATGAATGAAAATGGTGATACCACTGGTCCAATGACCCATCTAAACTCATGGTGTGAGCAATGTATGGGCCCGAACTAAACAACTGGAAACTAGGATAGAGGTTTACATGTGTGACTCATATTCAAATTTAGCCATGGCCTCTTTGAATGGACCTGCAGCATATAAATACCTCTTAGGCTCAGCTCTTCTGTAAAACAGGAATAAATAGTAACCGTATGGTTGTTGGGAAGATGAAAGAAAGAAAAATGATGGAATATAACTTTAAAATTATAAAATGTGTATATATATATTAAAATCTCTCCATTTGAATTTCCCAGCTCATCCAAACAAATTCTTGCATACGGATTGCTTATCACTTCTGCATTGCAAACTGATACTCCCTAAAGACAGATGGGCACATGAGAATGCATTTTAGATATATTTGTGGCATATAAATAGACTTTTAACCAATGGAAGAAATGCTGAGAAAATGTTTGGAAAATTCTCAGACACTACATACCTTGCTAAAGATAATATACACTTGGCTAAACTTCTCTCATCTGAATTGACATAGCTATTCATAAGTAGAACAAGCACATTTCTAAGCTTGCTCCTCAGAAGTAAACCTCACTGAAAGCATGGACTGGATAGGAGGTTTATATTTTCCCTAGTATTACCCTGCCTGCAGTATGAAGTTAAAATTTTTGACCCAAAAGGGCTTTAGCTGTACTAATCTTCCAGTGGTTCTTACTATTTAGTCCTTCTAAAATCAGCATTTCACCAAAAGAATAGGTTTTATTCAGAGTAAAATTTCCGACAGAGTGCCTTTGCCCAGTTTGGTGGATGTGCCAGCTGCACCCTTTCCTGAAGAAGATGGAACTGACCACAATCACACTTGTATTAGCCATTTCCCATTTATATGACTATAATACATTCTATGGGGAACTGTCTATGAAGAGTGTTCAGAAAGTGCAATTACTGCAAAATACAGCAACCAGGCTGCTTTGCAGTATGCACTTTACAGACTATATTTCACCACTGGTATCAATTACAGTACTTTCAATTTTTTTCCAGGCCAAACTCAGAGTGCTTGAATCTTCGAAGCCCTAATAAAAGACTTGCGGTCAGGACAGCTGAAAGATCACCTTGTCCAATATGAACCTGTCCCTAGTTTACACTCTTCCCTGGAAATCCTGTTGTATGTTCCACTACTACTAGAGATTATTGTGGCTGAACCATAGGATTTTTTTTACATGGATCCACAGCTTTAAGGGCTGAAAGTTACGTGGCATTATTTTTGCTTCCTGAGTTACAGAAGAAATTCTTTGTCTGAAGCCTTGATAAAGTGTTCTATTCAAGGCCTCTCTGTTTGCTTGCCCAGTGTTCCAAGATAGGAACACTTGTGTATTAAATAGCCTATGTAATAGCCACATAGCAAAACTAGCCCAGAGAGAAACCTAGGCTGCATTTGTTTCCATGTAATTACTAAAGATGCGGGTAAAGGAACTGCTGGAACTGAAATGAGCACATATTCTTCTCTTGTTTCGCCTTGCCTCCATCTTTCCCTTCCCTCTATTGTCTCTCCTGTGTCTAATTATAGAGTGTAAGCTCCTCAGACTTACTTCATATTGGGAACCTGTCTTACTGTACTAGGTAATGCACCATGTGCATTGATGGCAATAATAACAGGTATAATCACCAATAAGAATATACTGAAGACTGTGCTGATTTTGCAAGGCAAAACGGCCCATTCAACCACCACACAAATTGCTGTTTGCTCATCTCTTAATGCTTCATGTGAAAAGATAAGAGACCTGATCCTCAAGCCTGTGTCAAGCGCATATTAGAGAGAGAAGCCTTTGCATTACATGTTTAGTAGATTCCCATCTGAAGCATTTCCATCCACAAGTACACAATGCTTGGGCAACCCTATGCATGTTTACTCAGAAATCAGTCCCTCTGTGTTCAATTTGTCTTATGCACATCCAATGCACACTTCCATGGGAAAGTCCCATTGAACATGGTAAGGCTTATTTCTGAGTAAACATGTCTATTTCACAGTTGAAGTTCTTTTCTTTCCTTCTTCAAATAATATCTCTTTTCTTCTACTTTGCCCTACTTGAACAAATATCAAATCCTCCCTTTGCCAAAATTTTGCTATACCATTCCCAGTGTTGATGCTTTACATATTTTTGCACAGTCCTATACTTTGCTTTCAGTGAATTTCAGTTCTAGCAGTGTGTCCCCCACCCTTCTAGCAGTGTCTGACTGATACTTATTTGATTTCTACTTTAAATTCCAGAACTACAATTTTAATGCTGATTATTTGTACTATCTGCAGATGAATTCCTACCTACATAAACTAATATCTGCATATAAAGGGACAGAGTACTTCAAGAACTTTGCATTTCTGCACGTATTTGATCATCTTAAAAAAAGCAAAACAAGGTTAGTGCAAATGTTTGTATATATTTTTAAGAAGCTGAGCTTGTTTTCCATGTTAATTGCTTTAGCAGCATATTATAAAAATACCCTCTGCCAAAAAAAAAAAAAAAAAAAGAATTTAGCCCTCTGTGCTGAAAAAAATATTCTCAGGTGGGTCATTCTCAGGTGCTTACGAATTAGACACTAGACATCAGTCAGTTGTAGTTTTTGAGATAAATTAAGAACTGCATAAAACAGCACTTTTGCTTTGCTGAACAGTACATTTTATATAACGTCCAACTGCTTACATTAAACACAAGAAAATGCTAACATTAAATGCTGGATATTCATGCTCTTAAGAGATCGAGAATAGCTACCCCTCCAGTGTGAATTACTGCTTTTATTCCTATAATTTTATGAATGTAACAGAGCTTGTGAACAACGTCCCACAATTTTGTCTCCAGCAAGCATTACATCACAATAAGGCATCTGGTCTCTATTAGGATACTAGCAATGCCTGCCAGAGTCTGTACTATTTTCGGGCACGTATAAGGGAGGAGGTGTGTGTATGTTCAGCTTGAAACTATTTGCAGACTAGGAAACTTAGATGAAATTAGATAAACAAGTTCTCAAGGAAGTTTAAGGTGGCAACCCACATGATGAGAAATTACCACTAATCAATTTCAATTTTATATTTTTAAAATCATGTTTCTAATTCAAATAGACTTATGTTTATTATTCACTTATATTTAAAATTAGAGATGTTGCGCCTCCGAACCTCCGAAAAGTCTGCCTAAGCCATCTTTTACCATCAGTGGGATGTTCAGAGAAGACAACGTTAAACAGACAATAACTATTATTAAGACAGGCAATATTCTTGCTGATTGTTAATAATTATGTAACCAGCTGTCTCCTAAGATTAGTAAACTCTTCTTTCTGCTCTCAACCTTAAATACCAAATAAAGTTGTCCAAATCTAATTTTGAAACCTCCCAAGATCTGCATCACTAAACCCAAACATATAATTATAAGTGTATAATATAATTTATATGTTTATATTATTTATCAACATTTCCTCAACTTGAGAAGTATGTCTGAGATACACCCATGCTGTGTACCTTTTTTCCATTCTGAAATTCTTTGCTTACCTTTCACCGAGATAATCTCCAATTACTGTTTTATTTAGCCCTTCCCCTTTATAAAGGAACTGCGCAATGTCCTCAGGGGTATTCTGCAAGAGGTCATTTTCTATGAGAAACTGGATTCCCTAAGAAGCAGGAGGAGGAGGAGGAAAGGAATTCATTATTTTCCCTCTTCACAAAAATGTTTGTTCTAGAAATATAAAGTTATACAATTATATCTACTTCATGAAGAACAGGCATTTACATACAGTCAACACATGGCAATTGATACCATGCGGAGTTTGGGCAGTAAACACTCATCATTAAAATGGATGAGTTTGGTGAGCACCCGGGGCAGGACGATGAAAGAGAGAAGACTTTCCCTAATTCAGAGGGGTCGAACCTTTTTCAGTGTAAGGGATCAACTCCATTTCAGATAAGTTCTGTGGGCTGAGAAAAGGGGCATGGGGAAAGGCAAGGGATGGGGCCAACACACCAGCATATGGGAGCCAGTGTGGTGTAGTGGTTAAGAGCGTGGGACTGGGACTCGGGCAATCTGGATGCTAGTCCCTGCTCAGCCGTGGAGCCAACTTTGGGCCAGTTACAGTCTCAGCCCAACCTACTGCACACAGTTGTTGTTGTTAGGCTAATATTGAGAGCAGGAGGAGGCAAGTGATGTAAGCCACTCTGAGTTCTTTGTAAGGAAAAAAAAAAGCAAGATATAAATCTAATAAACAGATAGATCTGGCTTTTCTTCCCCCACCCCCAAAACTGATAAGCTAGGATTTGGCTTCATGGCCAAGCAGGGATTAGTACTTAGATTGCCTAAGACCCAGTCCCCTGCTATTAACCGCAATGCCACTCTGGCTCACAGATTTCTGCAAAGCAAAGAAGAAGGAAAAGGATGATTGTACAGAAGGGGAGGAGAGAGCACATCCAAAGGTAAGTCCAAACTCCTTCCTATATTGCTAAATTATGGTTTGGCACTATGTTTGATCTGATGCAGTATGTCCAGCTAAACCCCTTCTCTCTTCATATTTTGTTGGGAGCCATGTTTATTTAGGTTGGTGCAGGGAACCAAACATAAATGGGAATTCACAGGGCACTGAAGTGAATCTTGCACTTACTGCTGTTTTTAATTTTAAGGCACCTTAAGTAACATGTTGCAGGAATGGTACATGGAGGAGGTTTCAGATGAACAGGATATAATGAAAAACAAATCTATTTCGACCAACTCCCCCTTCAGTAAACCTCAAACCCAGACACATTTGGAGACCAGCTTAGAAAAACAGCAGCAGCAGCAGCAGAATACTTTGCTGCCCAGTAAGGACAATCAGCTCAACAACTCTAATATACTTTATCAGGGTAAGCCCAGTGCCAGTCTACCAGTCTGGGAAGCTATTTTTAGTCAGTTTATTCTATTCCCCCACCCTCTACTCCAACACATTGTGCTCACTTTTTCTTTAAATAGCTATACCATCCAGAAAACTTCCCTTAAAATCCAGCTGGAGCATGAATGGCAACCATCAACATCTCTTTTTAAAAATGATAAAAGGAGATGCTCATTTCACTGCAAAAGAGCTCATGAATGCTGATTATTTCCGTCTATACTGGCAACTGGGAATTTAGTAACTAGTTCTAATCCAAAATCTCACTGATCGATTCCATCTTTTCATCTTTATGATTCTGAAATTACACTGTTTTAATAAAAAGTGCTTTCTGGAATCTAGATGTCCCAAGAAAATAAGTTACTGTCTTTTGAAATAAAGTAAGCAAACACGAAGAAAAAGCAAGACTCCAGGCATACAACATTTTTAGAATAGAAAAAAGCAAAAAGAAAGCAAAAATGATAATATTACTGGCAAAGCTGTCTTTGCAGGATATAATAAGGAATAATAAGCTGACAATAACTAAGTATGGAGGATAAAGGTAAAAGTTTCCCCTTGACATTAAGTCCAGTCATGCCTGACTCTCGGGGGTGGTGCTCATCTCCGTTTCCTAGCCAAGGGAGTCAGCGTTTGTCCGCAGACGGTCTCCGTGGTCATGTGGCCGGCATGACTAAACACCGAAGTGCACGGAACGCTGTTACCTGCCCACCAAAGTGATACCTTTTTATCTACTTGCATTTGCATGCTTTCGAACTACAAGGTTGGCAGGAGCTGGGACAGAGCAACGGGAACTCATCCCGTTGTGCATATTCGAACCGGTGACCTTTTGGTCAACCAGCCCAGTAGCACAGCAGTTTTAAACCACTGCGCCACCTGCAGTCCCATACTATGGAGGATAGTATGGAGGATAAAGTAGCTTGATATTTTTAGATGGTGTAGGTAAATAGTAAGCAGCCACATTTGCTGTGTTTTTGAGGTGGAAAGTTATCACGGAAATGCACGTAGTCAGAGCCAGTCCTAATGCTGAACATTCTAAGGCACTTGCACATGAAACAGGGATGTGTAAGCATACTGACCAGGACAATAACATCAGCCAGAAAGCTCCTTCCTAGGAACATCCTTACGGAATACAACAAACATCAGCTTAAAGACCTGGATGCTGCACAAACCTGCAATGCTTTATGCTAGCGCAGATTTCCGTACATTCACCACCAAAGCCAAAAGAACAAGAGGAAATCCTGCTGGATCAGATCAAAGGACTATTCTAGTCTAGCATTCACTTCTGTCACTAGCCTTCCAGATATCTAGGAGAAGCCCAGCAAGAGGACTTGTGAAGACCTCCTTCACAGTCATGTTCCAGAGCAATCGGTATTGATGTCTCTTTTAAAGCTGTCCAAGTTGGTGGCTAGCACTTTAACTTGCAGTAGAGAATTCCACATTTCAACTCTGCAATGTGCGAAGAAGTACTTTCTTTTATCTTCTGAGAGTAGCTGATTGGGACACAGGACTGGGTCTCCTCCATAGTGACATCAAGCCTGTGGAATGCCCCTTCTTGAGCAGTTCAATTGGCTCCTTTTGTTTTAGACATTAAGCAAATGGTCATGACATATTTATGTCACTAGCCTTGCTACTGATCTGTCTTTGCACCCCGCTAATTCAAATGATGTCATTTTGCTCTGCTTTTTCATCCCTCAGTCCTTTTGTATTTTGTTATGATCTTTTGTAGATTTTTTAATCTATATTTTAAGTTGCTTTGGGGTCTCTTGTAGCTGAAAGGTAGGGTATAAATCTTCTAAATAAATAAATTATATGTGCTTCATCAAGATGTATTTAATAAGAATTCATGATTCAAAAATATCTTACCTTCTTGGGATCCATGTTGAATTTTTTTCTTCCCATTGCTATTTGCTTATTCCTCTGTGTGGATTTGCTATTTATTTGGAAAGGGGAAGAATAAGAAGGACAAATATGTAGAAATATCTAGTTAAACATCTTTGATATTAATATTTTTACATGATCGACATAATTATCCTGTGTAGCCAAAATACATGCTGCCCATTCATTCCCAAAATATAAGGGCTGTATCTACTTTAGAAGAAATGCAAAGAAGCCTTTCCTTGATTTCAGGTTTTTGTAAATTATATTTAATCGCTCTGACATATAGCAGAGCCAGGGCATTTAAGAGTATAATGTGTGTGGTTTCAATTTACAAACCAGTTAAACTGGATTATTTCAATCCAAGCCTATTGACTGTGCAACCCTGTGAACCGCAGCATAGGCAAAGGAATGACCACGGCTGCTGTGCCAGCATGATGCCACAACCAGTGGCTGAATAAGCCGAGCAAGGACATTGTGCCAGAGAAACCGTGGGATTCGTCTTCACTGTGCCAGCAGAATCACACAAAGCTGTTTTACAGCTCAGACTTTAAGAGAAAAATGGTGAAGCTGAACTGACAAGAACTGGGCAGCGTCTTAAAGGCATTTCAGTCACTACCAATCCAAGTACACCAGAGCAACACTCTCATTGCTATCTATCCATCCATCCATCTGTGATATTTATATGCCGTCCTATTGCAAAAGCCTCAGGACAGCTTACATAAATAAAATACAAATATCAATATACATAAATTATAACAAAATATCAACATCTATGGAATGCGCTCCCCAGAGAGGTCCGGCTGGCATCGTTGTTATTTCTTTTTCGGCGCCAGGCTAAGACCTTTTTATTTTAACAATATTTGAACAACTCTTAATAATATCTATAGGTTTTAATTTTGCAGCCAGGGTGATTCTGGGTTTTTAATTGTATTATTTTACCATGTATTATGCTTATTTATTTTATGTGAGCTGTCCCGAGGCTATAAGCGATGGGACGGCATACAAAAATTCTAAATAAATAAACAAACAAACATAAAAATCAGCATAAAATACAAACCTTTTCTAGCAAATGAGAGAGACCGTAGAAGAATAAATTAAATATATAAATTAAATCATGATGCAACATTATGGCCAGTGTGATCTAGCAGTTAGAGTGATGGACTGGTAATCTGGAAATTTGTATTCTAGTTCCTACTTGGCCATGAAGCTTACTGGGTAACTGGGTCAGTCGCTGCCTCTCAATATAACCTCCTCACAGGATTAGACTAGAGGAGGAGGAGGATTATATAATCACTGCCTTGGGTTCCTTGCAGGAAAAAAGTGTGATAAAAATATATTAAATAAAAAATAAAATGGCCATGTCTGCATGTCACACTAAGCCATCTTGCAAATAAACCACTGTGGACTGGTTGTTCACAGAACCACCCACAGTGCACTGGGCAGTCAATTAGGCTCACCATGGTGTGATTCTTCCTTGGTCTTCCAGCTGATATCTCAGTTTCTTTCAGGACAGAACGCATTCTTTCAGGATGTCTTCCCATTCCCATTCCCATCCCCGCTCCAACTCTTACTCTTGTTCATTTGCCACTGTGGTTTTCTGATTTTTTCAAAGTCTCGAAAATGCAAAAATGAGGGTGCATTTTTTTCTAGCACCAAAAAACCGTGCTGTTGTGGGGTTTGCTTGCTTTTTGGTCAGTCTTTAATAACTGCGTAGTCAATGGCCTCACCTGTTCCAACTCTCAAAGGAAGCTGTGAAATGCTTCCTTTAGAGCAACGAAGAGAGACTGCATATATGATGCATTGTTGCCAACTGTCAATTGAAAATCACTGGTAAAAGGGAACAGGAGGGGCACCAAAAGGCTCTGGCAACAAGATAGTTACGTAATTCTGTCAATTTCAAGTGTTCAGTTTCACTACTGACACTTCCCCAGGAGTCCAGTTACTTCAGAAAGGGAGATCTTACTGCCTATCCGATTTTTCATAGCTCTTGCTGCAGCTGTTACTGCAGTTCCCTGAGAGTTCTTTAAGAATCCTGAGAAAACAACTGACTGGGACAGAGCGAGGGGAGTCACACTGGAGTATGTCCTGCATTTGCTGCAAGTCCATTTCCTCTTTCACCTCAAGGGGGTTTTTGTTTGTCTTATGTTTTAAATTGTACAGAAAATGTGTTCATTTTATACCTGGGAAATATATGCAAATTTCATGACTACTGGGAAATGAAAGGGAAATGTACACTAATTTCATGGCTGAGAAATAAATGGAGGGCAAATATAGCTTACAAGCAAATGGAGGGAAAATACCATTTCCAAATTTCCCCTCCCCAAAAAGGGGAAATGAATTTACCCTCCATTTACTTCCGAGCCATGAAATTTGCATGTATTCCCCCTTCAAGTACTTTCCTAATTTACCTAAAAATGCACCAATATGCATGTTAAACATTTGTGGACATTTCCTATTAGAAGAAAAAAGCATTTTTGAAACAGTTAAGAAAGCAAAAACCATTGAAGTGGTGGAACAGGACAGAGTGACTGGGTTACCAGCACCAGCAAAACTAACAACCTCTCCGTATTTGGCCCTTTAAGGGAATCTGTGTTATTGTCATGTTTTAAAGAACTGTCAGGGAACCACAAAATCCACAGCAGTAAGTGCTCCGAAAAGGTCAATATCTCCACTTTCTGGAGTAGTTGTAGATCCGGGGGAGTGACAAAAATGTAGAGAATGCGGTGCCACAGAAATCTGCCAGTTCAACACTTGAAGTTGAGAGGGTTACATGCTAAGGGGTAGATCTTGCCAATGTGTTTCCAAACAGCATTTTAGGCATAAGATTCTAATTGCAAATAATTAACAGGCCTTTATGCTTTTGTGCAAGTGGACAATACATACCCTGATGCAAGGTGATATCTCTTAAATGAAAAATCAGCCAAAATTGGGGGTAACACAGACTATATGTTGACTAGACTTTTACAAGATGATCAGTGTATCAGCTCTGTAAACAGTAACTAGGCTCTTTCTACAAGCTGGTAAACAAAGACAATAGAAGGGAAAATTTGCAGTATCTCCATAAAGGACACAAGTAGCAAAGTCAACCTACCTTTCTTCCACGCTTGTCAAGTTATCAATTTCTGTCATTACCTCTGCTATTTCAAATTTTAACCGCTGCCAAAAGAAGAGAAGAATGCAAGTCAACATTTAAAAGCAAACAGTTTCATTGGGTTAGTTATTCTTTTCTCTTTTGATTTACAAACGAAGTCCTCTAATCAAGAGGTGCTCTTGTGTATTTATCTATGATGTCATATTATTCACACATAACCACAGGACTTCATTCTTTTTGGTACACTGTAACCTAATAGGAATTACTGGAAAAATCTGCCAATTCTGCCTGAAAGTTATACCAGCATTATACAGCTCGGTACACAATGACAACTCTATATTTAAGGAAAAGTATTACCTCGATATCATCAATTAATTCTTTTTTTCTACGACGAATATTTAAAAGCTCTTCTTTCTCCTCTACAGAAAGGTCATCAGGAACTGTTAAGAAAAACACAGAATTATATACAATTTATTTAGGCCCTGATAATCCATGTTCTACTTAAAAAAGGCTAATTCATATAAATAGCTTGGGTCAACAAAGGGCAATGATCATCATCAAAAAACAACAGAATTATGAGTTGCCCTATAGAAAGCTTTCCAGGTGACATTCAAAATAAAACTATAAAATGATAGTAGCAATGATAGAAAACAATAATACCAGACCTTAAAAGGTATTTTTAAAGCAGGAACAATAATTCAGCTTTTAAAAGCAAAGACAACAATTTTAAAATGCACACATAAGCATGTTAGAAATGAAACAGGCAAACGTTTAAAAGGCCTGGGAAAATAGGAATGGTCTTTCCTGACACTGAAAAGTTACCAGAGGAGGTATGAGGCAGACCTCTCCAGGTCATTTCATAATTTCGGGGTTCCCACAAAAAGGCCTACTCATGATTGTGCACTATGCTCATGTTACATTGAATACTCCAATAACCAGGCAGCATGAACGTTTTCCCTCATCTTGGTTCTCTTGTGAACTGGTTTTAATGTCAGTACCTCAACCCAAGTGTTATGGACTGGTCCCTTACCTCAGGTTCCAAAACTCAAGACAATCCCTTGAAAATGCAGTTCCTTTATTTAGATTCCACAGATAACAGAACAGTTTGAGGTCTAAATAGCTTTCAACCCAGGCTGAAAAAAGAAGCTTCCGCTCATGTAAAGGACTGAATCCAAACTGGAAACTTCCCCTGGGTCCCTCCCATTAAGCAAAGGTTCTGGTTTGACCCTCAGAGTGGCTGTTGCTGCTTGAGGGCAAGAGGACAAGAAAAGCAAAGCCCCTCCAACTGAGGAGCTCATTTGTCCTGACACCTCCTCACCAGGTTAAAAATTGGGTCTACCAACTCCCCTCCTGAAAATGCTTCTCCACTCCTTCCAAAATAAGCTGAACCTCCTACTCAGCTGGAGAAACATCACTAGGCCTGGTTGAAGGAGCTTTGAAAGCTCCACATGCCCCACTCCTTCTCCTCTTTGGAACCTCCAATGACTCCCATTGAACAATCTGCGATGTTCAGTGGGAGACTGGCCAAGTTTCTATACCAAGTATGGCCACCTTCCAAATTAAGGCACTTCTACTCATTGCACCTTCTTCAGGAATGCTTCCTGGTTTGATTGTTCATGCCACAAAGGGATAAGCAAAGGTGAGATATGCAAAGACTTGCATGTATCACAGTTCGCTGAGCAAATATGTGATTGTCCAAACCAGGCCAAGGACTATAAGAAACTACAACACTGCAGGTCTAAGCCTGTTCCTCATTCCCCTCACACATCTCTAAGGAGAAGAGAAGCGTTTGCTAATATTTAAGTAACTGCAGTTTCTCTGAACCAGGAACTGTGGACAGTTTATTCAAACAAGCCAGGATCATAAACCATGGCATGAAGTTAGTTATTTGGGCCAACACTACAGTTAACAGCAACCATTATTTGTTTCTGGTTCAACAAGCCACAGTCAGATATGGTGCTTATATTACACATTTCTATATTAAAAGAAATACTTGTCATTTTGAGGATTTTTTCCCTAATCTACTAGTAAACACCTTCAGGCAGTCTCATTTTTCCATACAGAATTCAACACTGTCAAGTTCTTAGCAAACTGTTTTAACACTTTTGAGTGAGCACGTACAGTACCAAGTAATTTGGAAAGTGTTCACTGAATTGAAAAATGATAAAAGGAGTCTGGACTTTAAACTCTGGAAAAGACACATTCCCTCCAATTTAGGAAGGAGAAAATTAATTTCCTAAATGGATCACTATCTAATTCTGACTCACCTCTGACTAATATCCCCACCCATTATTAAAAAGAAAAAGAATAACAAAACCACCATGTAAAAGCTTCCACATTCAGAAGCTGCAGAGAGGATTGAGCACTCTGACTAATCCTATGGAGCAGAGTTTTCTCAGGAGCTGTTTTAAAAACCTACGTGCAAAGCAAGCTAGAGGAAGTGAGGTTGAAGTAAAATGACAATTTGTTGCGCAATGCTATATCATGTGCAATCTTATACAAGTCTATTTATATGTGGGTCCCATGAGATTCAGTAAAATTTGCTTCCAGATATATTTTGTACAAGATTTTTGCAAGATTCTTGCCTTAGTGGGGGTGGTAGTTAGAGTAATCAAGGGGCAGGGCTGTTATCCTCCACAGCAAAGCACACTTTTTCCAATAACAAATATCGGGCAACTCAGTTAAAGTGCTTCTCATTAAGCTTCCTGACAGTAGGACTTCACAAAAGCACTGGAAATATGAAGCCTCCCAAATTACATAGTCAAAAGTCTTCAACAGCTCCAATACTAATTCCTATTTCTAATAAATCATTTCCACATGTCTAAATCAAGCAGACTTTTTGTGATATGCTACTGATATGCTCAGAGGGGTATGCCTTAACCTACCAGAATAATCCAGCATTATCTTCTCCTTAAAGTAATGCTGATTAATGCACACACAGATTTCCACAAAGAAATGCAGCCTCCAACACTTATTTTCTAACTGTCAAATTCATGGCAACGTTTTTTGTAGTCCACTACTTTAGAGCAGGAAATAAATGAATGGGAAGGTCAACGATTTCCTTTTAATGAAAGAAAACAAGAGACTCCCTGGACTAGGCAATAGGCTGTTTCAGCGCAAATGACCCAACAGCTGAGGTACACCTTGATGTCATCATCACTGTTACATAAGGAGTTTCCATTGCTATTATTGACAGAATTCACAAAAAGATACTAGGACAAATGGGATAGAGTTGTTTCCATCTCACTTAAGCCAGAGAATTTTAAAAAATGGATAACTGAGGTTTGTTAATGGTAAACCAAAACTATTCACAGTGAGGACTACACTTTTATCTGGGTTTCAAAGAATAGTGATTAGCATGTGAGGAAGGACTAAACTCAGTAAACTGGCTTCAAAGGAAAATTGCTTGAAAACTCTTTTTAAAGGTTCCTAATCAGCTTCAGAAGTAGTGATGGTTGCCCTTTCTTCTTCCCCATTTTCTTCAAGTGGACATTCAGCATGAAAAGCAACTAACAAGAAACATGAATGATCCATGCCCCACTCAGTGTCTGGGACTATTCGCATTTATATTATAGACACTCTAACAACGCTTGCTTGCTTGATGTTTGCATTCTGCCCATCAGAAACGAGGGTCATTTGTTGCACAACTGAGCTACATGCATTTTGAAAGCTAATTAATCCCCAAAACATCCTTCATGTGGCTGAATAAATATTTCAAATTCCTCGGTGCCAGTATCAAATTTTAGATGCCAAGGCAACCAGCCTTTTTCCCCCTAGCCTTGCCACAGTGGCTAATAATAAGAAGAGGGCTTACACTTGGCTCTTTGTTTAGATTTGAGCTTAATGTGATCAAATGTGATAATTTAACAGCACAGCCCCTAACAGTAAAGCCATTTTAAGGTATTTCTCTGTAGTAGGACATTTTCAATTAGATATTGAAGTTTCCTCTTGCAGTCATTCTATTTCTAAGAAACATGCAGCTATTATAAAAGTACCTGCAATTTAGTCCAATGACTTTGTATATTATTTCTTTAGCAGCATATTTGATGGCTGGGCATTCGCAAGCTAGTACTTATTGTCAACACAGCTTATAAAACACAACTGACTAGTCCAGCCCCCTCTTCCAAACAGATTTTCACATGTTTACTATTTCATTCCAATACACGCTTTTCCCTAGTTAATCATGGGACTCTTCCCCAGCTTCCATATAACAATTATAAATAAAGCTGGCATCACTTGTAAGTAACTTAACATTTCACAAAATACTTCATGATTTGATAGATGTCCAGTCAGATTTTCATAATGGCACATCATTTTTCAATGCCTACAACCCCAACTGGAGATTAAACTAAATACTCAAACTTCTTTACTCCCTGCACCTGACTGTAACATCTGTGTATTTCAGCCCCATGAGGTTAAGCTATCCTACAATCTATGGCCTGGTCCTAAACCGCTCATTCACACAAAGCTAACATTCAAGACTTGTTTACTATAGCTTACAGCAGTTCAGCGCCAACAGTCTACGCCAACAATCTACTTTTCTAACGGCTGCTATAGAGTTCTAAGCAAACCATGCATTTACAATCCTTAGCAGAGTCAGCAGTCCTCTGCACCGTTTTCTTTCTCACAGTACAGAGCAGGAAATCATGTGTGTAAAGAGCTCCACAGATCCTTTGGATGATAGCCACAGTGTACAGATGCTGTTAGTTACAAAGGATCTGACAAACAGGCTATTTTTGTGAAGTTTTCTGGAATCCCCTTCAAGCAAGAACCCTCAGATTTTCCATCTTTAAATGCTCAGCCCTATAAAAGCACTTCCTTTTTCCTTAGGATGGGAGCCCACCACCTTGAAGCAATCCAGTCTATTGACATTCTTTGCCCCCCCCCACCTCTGTTTCAACTGCCCACACATTCAAATACTTTCAACTTGGTTCACGGTATTACTTAAGACAGTTGCAATTTCCTCTACATTTTTCCCACACTCTTCACTCCTCAATCATGATTAGATTGATATGTATTAGCTGGGATGGTTTTCCCCATCCTAGAAAAATATAATTCATTCATATGTGGTTGTTGCACAGGAGGAGGAGAAACTAATGTACCCTTTTCCCTGACATGTTAAGGCCACAAATTATACAGGACACTAAATTCCGTAAACATTTGACATGCTTTTTTAAATTCTTAAACTAGTAGCTGACTGAGTGGGACAGAGACACAAGGGGAAGAAAGATTCAAACTGAACAACCTCAGATGAAAGACTCCATGTATACATTTTAATCCTAGGGAAAATAACAATCCTTGCAGGTAGTTGAAAACTCCGATCACTGGAAGAAACATGTGGTGCAAAAAGAAATGTTTGTCTTATCATAAATTTTCATTCCAATATGTTTGGTGCATCTGAAACCAAATACAATATTGATATATTAGTATATGCCAGTAGTTTAAGGTAACTCTGTTTACATTGCCGGAAATATGGGGAAATGATGGACAGCACCAAACCCATCCTGCTAGATCAACTAGACCAGGCATCTCCAGTGTAATGTCGTTCAGGTATTTTAATCCAACTCCCATTACCTCCCAGACAATGGTTAGGAATTATAGTTCAAAGCATATGAAGCGCACCAGACTGGGAACAACTGAACTAAAACCCCAGCCTAACGGAAATCTCCACAATACCACCACAATACAGTCCTCACCGCTCCCCATCCCATGATTCCATAATCAGGCAAAAACCCTTTAAGAGGAAGATAGTTCCTCAGAGGGCGTGGAATTAACAGAAGGCTACCTTCAAAAAGTTTTAGAAGACCTTTGCATAACACTGAGACAACAGATTTTCCTTAGTGAGCGCCAGCTAGCATAGATCTGTCCAGGGTCCTAACAAATCCACCCATGTCTGGCCTGAATTTGCAGTCCTGTTTCATTGGACTGGAATCTACTTCATCCTTGTGCTTCTGATTTGCTTTTGATCAGATCCTTTGGAAAACTTGAGCTGCATTAGACAGGACAGTTTGTGCCCTCATAAGCAGAATATGTTTTATTCCAGAAAAAACAATAAACATTATTTTGAGACTTTAAAAGACTAAACAATGTTATTGTGGCTTGAGCTTTTATGGGCCAGAACCCACTTTGCCAGATGTATAAAGTGATCATCAAACTGAGGGGCGGGGATAAGTATACCAGAGTACAGAAAAAATAAAAAGATTTACCCTTTTAAAAATGAAGCTGAGAAGGTCAAGCCACCCAAGATATTGTGTGGGCTGCATCAAACTACGGTGCAGTGTAGAAATGAGTTTGAGCACGCATCCAAGATTCATTTATACTAGTTCTAAACAACCTGCAAGCATCCCACTGGCATACCCTGGGAATGACCGCCAGTGTGTTCCCCCATGGGCCCAACCAGGCTGCAGGTAGTAGCAGGCACAGGGCCAACATGGCAAACAGTCCATCGATTAGGAATTAAGGTAAAATGGAACGAGAGCACGGCAGACATTTCGAGATGCCCACTGGCCATGTCGCCACACTTCTTGTTCATCATGCAAGTTCTTGGGCCCAAGTGAGGATCTGCCATGTGGGTCGTCTTTAAGAAAACAAACCCGTATACAGCAGATGAACCATACAGCCATCAATGCCACTTCATATGCCTTATTTAGATAATGTCCAGGATAGTATTACCCTGCTGTTTTTCATTCTTTTTACTTATTCAGCACTAAGGCGGAATACGATAATGAATAGTATCACAGTATTAACAAACTTAGATCCCCCCACAAGGCAGAGGGACAAAGAATAAAGAAGGAGGACAGGGGTTTGGAATAGAAAGGGAAGAGTTAACTATGAACACAGCTATCCTGAAGGCTATTGCAGGCTTTCCTGTTGCCTAGCAAATGTTTGCATAGCTGCAACACACAGATAAATGAACATTTACCTAAATGTTCCTTACTTCTCCTTAATTACCTCAGTAACACAAATAGAGAAAATATGTATTTAAGCTAAGGTATAATGCATACTTTCTATTCTTGTCCTCTTTTTCCCATCACATACCATGATCTGCAAAGCAAGGCAGCCTATAATTAGAGTGTTTTGCTGCATTTTCTCACAATGGCTTTTATACTGTGAATATAAATGTTTTGAAATGGCTAGACAACATAGAAACATAGAAACAGAGCGAGTCAGAAGGGGTCTCCCAGGCCATCTAGTCTGACATCCGGCACCAGCCGGCCCCGCTCACTCAGAAGGGGCCTCATAGATTGACAGATCAACAGATTGACTATGAAATCAACAGACTGAATATGAAAGATTGACTATGAAATCAACAGATTGACTGATTGACAGATCAACAGATAGACTATGAAAATTTAAAAACTGAAATGATGGAATCAATCCACCCACATCAAAAAATACCTTTTAGAAAGTTATGATTGCTGCATGTAAATAGCTTCTCTCCCCTTTCATTCTGAACACAAAAGCAGCATTTCTCATACATATTGTTATGTTGAAATTCAAAAGGAAAAGTGATGTGTTTAATATTGTGGTTAACTGTTCAGAGTGCTTGCAGCATTTGTAATTAAATGTCCTCCAGCTAGTAATGTAGTTTCAGATCACCAAAATACTGTCTGTAAGAATGAAGTAATGATTTTATAACACAAAGACCTGTTTCAGGCATAAGACTAAACCACATTTAAGTGTTACAAGAATAAACTTAGCCTCTGATGGCCGCGACACCCTTCCTTCTCCTTCAGCATGGCTGTCCAAACCAGACGAACTGTGCATAATCATACTGTGGGTTATTGGAAACAAGCTGACTTCAAGTACAAGTTTATGAAGCTGATTTACTTCTGTTATGATAAAGTACTGTTTAGGTTTTGGATGGCATGCTAAACTGTGAAGAAACTAAGAGACACTTCTAACCAAGTTCTGTTCACTTTGGAGAAAGGGGAATATGGGAGCCAGGGAGAAAGCTAGGCTTGCTCTCATAATGCTAAACCATGGCTAGCATTACAGCTAAACACGGCTCAACTGTGTAACAAAAGCTTTCAAAGGAAATGGATTTTGAAGAGTGGAAGTTAAATCATAGAAATGAATGCACACACTGGGGATGAAAGGGCAGATATTTGAGAAACACACAAAAGGATCTTTCTAAAGATCCATTTCAGCTCTCCTAGCTCAGGCATTACTTGTTGTATGATGGCCTTGGGCATAACACAAGGAACAACAGGTTACATCTTACCAGTGTGAGGTCAAAAGCTACAGCTAACCAATGAATTCTGTTTTGGAGGGCGGGGGAACCAGTACACAGTACACTGTGTAATATGGTAAGGTGGAAAGATCCTTTCACTATATTGGGATGGGTATCAAATAATAACAACAAGGAAAATAGCCTCCAGTTCTGTTCTATAAAGGCACTACCCAAGAATTCAAAGCAGTAACAGCAGTTCTCAAGATTCCATTTGTGCAAGATGTTATGTAAGATGAGGTATGTTAACTTCATTTGTTCCTTCCCAAGTTATAGAACATGAAGGGCAGAAGACACTAAAATCAATAGTTCTGCGATATTTTACAATGCCCATCTGATAGACTGTTACATGCTGCTTTAAACATACCAAAGTGTCCACTGTAATATTGGAAATTATTATAAGGAAAATCATCAAATTCAACAGAGGCATATCAGAAAAAAGCCTGGCATCTTTCAAAAAGAAACTACAGTTATATTGAAGTTGACAACACAAGTCCATATGGAAAAGAAAAGAAAAAGTGAAAACAAGGACACCTTTTGATCCTATGCCAAGTTTCTCCTCTTGAAGACAAAAGAACAAAGAAAATTCAAATGTTGTTGTATCTGAATATGTAAGATATGATCACCCCAAATGAATTTTTCATACTGAAGAGGAAATGGGGAGATAAAATGTTCTTTTTCATCCAATTCCAATGTGAAATACTTCTGAGAGTATCCCAGCTGAGCTTCCTTTCTTCAGAAAAGCAAAAGGGTAACGAAAAAAGAGAAAGAACTTTTCATCCATGAAAAGGGAAAATGTCTTAAAATAATTTTAGCACTGGCCAATAAGATATTAGTACCACATGTTAGAGAAAGGGATGGGATGCCATTAAAAAAATCAAAACAAAAATTTTAAAAGCTTCAGCAGCAGTCAAACAAAAAAGAAAACAGAACTTGAGCTCAGCTAAAAACAGTGATTGAACAGAGGATGGCCTAAATTTCTTAAGTCTATGGTTGATATATGTGACTCATCTCAGAGCTAGAAAGGAATTATTTATTTATTTTTCACAGCAACATTTAAAGAACTCAGTGCTACTTCTGACACATATTATTTTTTATTTCAAGTAAGCTGTCTGTAATCTGCTTCCCTCAGGTCTCCATGTTTTCCATGACATCTTGTTTCTTCTGCATGCTCCTTTTCCCAGATGCTTTTTCCTCTGTAGTTCAGATCCTTTTCAATAATCACATGTAAAACCTGACTACACTCCCATTACCAAAGGCAAGTTCCATTTGATTAAACATCCCCCAAAACCCATTTTAATCAGCAAATATCTATATATAACTATCCAGAAATAAAAGGCATTGAAGATTGCACCCTTTATTTGAATGAAAGAAAATGGCATTGTTATCATTGGTTACTCATATATTAACACAATGACAGGTATTCCTCTATAAAACAATATGACCTTATAAATGATAGTTCGTTGATTTTATTCTCCTCTTGAGCTAGCAACAGAATAGTCAGCATCTCCTTTTAAAATGAAAGAATTTTCAAACTGAAGCCCTCTGAAAAGAAAGTACATAAAGTTCATGCAACAGAACTGACCATAAACGTACAAGCTTATGCATACGTAATCAGTGCTAGCCCAAGACAATTTGATGCCTGATCAGCTACAGCAAATGGCACCTTACCGCACCTGCACATCCTTGCAATTCAAGATACACAGTACTGTGGGATGGTCCAGCACTTATTTATTTTATTTATTTTATTAAAACATTTCTATACTTGAGGGACAAAATCCTACAAGCACCCCCTCCAGTGGAATAAATACAATAATAACATATTTGCTGATCTTTTGTGATCAAAATAATCGAGATCAGCTGACTGAGGTAGCCACCTTACTATCTAATAGTAGGCTAACTGCATATAGTTCAGGAATCAACATATTAGGACTTGCTTATGTGCAACTGCAACAAAGATCGTGTGTGTGTGTGTGTGTGTGTGTGTACACAGATCAGGTTCAGCAGAAGGGACTGAAAAGATGGTCTTCAACCCAGCCAACACAGAAACATTGTTGTAGCTGCAGTCCAAAACTATCTGGAGGGTCACATGCTGTCCATCCCTGCCTTACAGAGTCGTTGATGGGGTTCTACCTCTTAGTTTTTCAGACACTGGTATTAAAATATATTTTGTCACAAATGTGCATGAGAGGAGTACTTTCTCTCATTCTCAGTACTCCTACTGGGAAGCTGTTGTGATTATCTGTTCCAATATGTGTTATTAGAGTAAAACAGCAGACCCTTGTGACCTATTTCCACATTCTGATATGTACAACTTGGCAATATTGATTTGGCTTTGCCTGCATACATATATGCAGAATATATTTCTGAAATATTTCTGAAAAGGTGTAGATATGCTACAGAATATTTGTAGATATTCTACAGAATTTCAGCAATTTTTACTATACAGAAGAATTAAACAGATTCTTGGAGTGGAACAACAATATGTGTTGGAAGCAAACAGTTCACTTTCAGAAGACTGGAAAAGCTTGATGAACTTATACCCTACCCAGTGTATATTGAAATACTGTTCAGATCAGTATGGGGTGATTATAATCCAAAATTAAAGAGATACTGAGGAAGTTTATTACTGCTGAATTCACATTACAGCTCTTAAGTGCTTTTATCCATGAAGATCAGGAATGTCAAAGTCTTCTCCACCTGAATTTAACACCAAGTTATCAAGTCTCTCTCAAATTGACACAAAAATTAGAAATATTGTCCATTATCCACAAGTTACTTCAATTCTTAAACATTTATATAGCAAGAAATAGAAGACAAAAATCCCATATCAACCATAATCAAGAAAATGAGTTCTGGTGCTAGCAGTTTTGATGGCACAATGACTCCTGCAATGTACCAATCCCAAAATGTACTGCAACATCTAATTACTATTTAGGGTGCATTGTATTAATTGCTGTGGTAGCATAGCATCACATAAACATGGCATTACATAAGTATAACTACATAATTACATTGGAACGTCAAAACCAGATATATTGGTGCAATGGTTGAGAATCAGGGCAATGGGCTGCAAACATTCTGAGACAGGCTTGGGGAGGGGTGACCAGTCCAGCGAAACATCTCTTCAAAGAGCAGGAGGAAGGATAGGAAGCAACGCAGTATCCTGGCACTTCTGAGGATACATGAATCCAAAGCAGCTACTAGCAGTAACCTGGGAGAAGAGTGTGGTGACCTGATCACACTGTAAATTGGAGTTTTAGGAGATAATCTTCAACTGTAGAAGCCCTCTGGTCATGTTACTTCTGAAGAAGGTGTCGTTACATCTGGCTATTAAACTAGAATGCATTCATTTTAAAACTGAGTAATTGCATTGCAGAATCCAAACAGAGACTTCTTCCAAGAACACAAGGGAATTTTGAGAATGTGGCTATTAGCACATGATCTAAATAAAATTAAAGCTAATGTATATTTTTGGTGGGCAGTGTAAACAAGAAGCAAAATTTTAATTAAAATCCAGTTCTTATTAGTTTTAATAAGTTAGCAAACAAGATGCTTTACAGACTTGTGTTGGTATAATTGTTCTGACAGGATACTGTAACTATTCCGTGTAATTTTCCAAGCTACACCAAATGGGTTCATATAAAACAGCTGGCACAGTTTCCATAGCAATTAACGGAAATTCAAAGCGACAATTTACAGAGATCCACACAAAACAATCACTTCACCCCCTATTAATGCATGTTATCCCTGTCATTTTCCAAATCTGGAACATCTCAAGATGCAGTCAGAGATGGCAAGAAAAACAATGATCTGCCAACAGGGAATAAAAAATGGTACAGACCAGTTTCCCACAACCTGGTTCCCTGCAGATGTGAAAGACACTAATAACCATCATTCTCCAAGCCAGCATTGTTGGGGATGATGGGATTGGCAGTGAAACATATCGGGGGGGGCAGAGTAGCAAAAGGTGATGTAGATATTTCTTCCATTACTTCCTCCCCAGTTTAAATAAGGGTACCCTTATTGCCCAGGGACTTTCCTCAAGGTGGTTGAAAAATTCATTCCTTCACTCATTGTTAAAAACTCCCAGGTGAATGAAGGAGAGCATAAGTATATGCGTACAGTTATGAAAAGAAAATTTTCCAGTCAGGAGAAGGCTGATGCCTCTTCTCACCAAGGTATTGCCTTTCTTCCGACTGGAAAGCCTCCTTTTTATAAAAATATGGATACACTTACGCTGTCCACCTGCGTATCTTCATATGATACATTAAAGGGGATATGCTTCCCCCTCCCCTGAGAGCTGTGTTTGTGGTATGGGAAGGATGCATTGGGGGTTGAGGGGAGGAGAAAAAGAAGAGTTCTTTTCCATTGCCCGTAGTTTTGGAGATAACATGCAGGAAGCAATTCTTCCCTTCCGCCCAATTGATAAAGTAGCTACAGCAGACTATTTAAAAGACTCCATTTAAACATATAAATATCTATTTAAAATCAAGAGAGCCATTGTGGTACAGTGGTTAAGAGTGGTGGACTCAGACTTGAGAGATCTACACTTATGAGGCTCACGGGGTAACCTTGGGCCAGTCACTGGTTCTCAGCCTCACCTATCTCACAGGGCTGTTGTGAGGGTAAAACAGAGAGAAAGAAAGGGAAGATTGTGTAAGCCAACTTGCAAGAAGAAAAACAGGCAGGATGTAAGTGCAGTAAACAAATCCATAAAGAGATAACACAATTCTATCTACTGCCACAGTGCAGTTATTCAGAAGTTAACTGGCAAGAGCAAAGAGTAACAAACTTGAAATATCAGAGCATAACAATAATGGGTCAAAACATACATTCCTGAATTACATCAAACTATTCTAAGGTTTAATTATAAAAAACAATACATTACATGCCATAGCCATTATTGTTATACTAATCTACATGCATTCTAAAGCCTTCACATCTCACATTTTTTCCTAAATACAATTTTCTTTTAAAGGGAAAATAACTTACATGTTCTAAGACTCAATGAAACATGTAAGTTCTGGCATTTCATTATTTCGACATGAAGTTTGAAGAACAGGCCCAGAATGGAGGCACTGATTTCCTGTTGGTTTTCCTTGAATATTTTTACACAGTGTCATTTTTTTCCCACCCTACCCTTTTCCTTTAGTGAATTTTTACACAATGACTTAGACTTGACCACCACTGAACCATACTCACAAAAACCACCCTTACAGCTGGATCCTGCATTATTCCCAAGCTTAATTTACAATGCACAAGAGCCAAGGAAGCAGCAGGAGAGCTTTTCCCATATTCTGATAAATTAATTTCTCCAGCATACCATCCAACAGCTTTCTGTTTTGTTCCATATAAACCTCTGTGTAAGTGTCTTTTCTGAATTTGAGGTTTAAAACACTGGAAGAGTTTTTAAAAGGGAAATAAGAATAATTACTACAGAAAGTCAAAAGAAAATAATCAGCTCCATATGGATTCTTAAATGAAGGCATGTGCCAAGTCCACCCACCTACCCACTCCAGAGACGTCTGAGAAACATGTATAATTCATTTTGTTTACAAGTTTCATCTAGGCTCTCACAAGAATAAAAGGCAATTTGATGTATCAGCCACCTAACATAGGTTTTTAAAAAGCATCATTATTCTCCCAAATGCCATAAATACGGTAACAAGTTGCAGTGATATCACATACTTTGGGGGAGTCTTCCTTTTTACATGTGTGTACTTAATTATATAACCTCTCTTTCAGAGCAGTCATTCTCTAATGTGTTATTGTGAGACGTCAAAGTGTTTATAATACTGACCATCTGCAAATGCTGTGCTGTTTTGTTTTATTCCATTCATATATTTTTTTTGTAAGCTGTCCCAAGATGCTAGTGGTGGACTTTATTTTATTTATTAAAAAGCTTTTAATAAAGAAAAGAAGCCCAAATAAAATCATGTATAACTTGAAATATGAACTTAATGAGAAAGGGGCTTAGCAAACCAAGCATACAGATAAGGGTGTGGGTGAGACAGGGGATCATCTATCTCTTATACACATGCTTAGAAAAGGACGTCCAGATCAATAAAATTCCAGTTCAACATATATTCATTCAAAAAGCTGTTCAATCCCATTTCTAATTTATTTTGTACAGTGATTTAGAATCTGCACAATATGTATTTTACTGTATTCTCTTTGAAAATGCATTTTGCTAATGAGTTTTATCACACAAGTATGCATTTTAAACACATTTTATCCTACAGTACATTTTTTCTATGCACTTTGGTCAAAAACTGCATTCCAAAATTCAGAGAAGAACAGAATCCAAAGGGTAACTGTGTGCTCATCTACACATTCAGACAGTGGGCACAGATGAAGTCAATTTTATCAGAAATCATGAAGAACAAATTCCTGAAGCATCCTTAGCTGAAAGTAACTCCATCAGCAGCTGACATATAGCAGCTTAATCATACAAACCATGTCCTGCCATCAAACAGAAGTTCCACCCCCGTGGAAAGCCAGTCTGCCAGGTTCTAGCCTTCTGGAAAAAAGAGTCCTGCAACTCTGTAAGCTGCCCAAAGAGTCTATGGTTAGTGTGGCAGCATATAAATTGAATGAATGAATGAATCTATTTCCCACGCAAGCCAGCCAGTCACCAGTGGAAAGCTCACAAGTGGGTAATAGCCCTCTCCAACTGCTGCTATTGAGCAACTAGTATTCAGAGCCATACCTTCACATTAGACTTCCCTATGGCTTGGTTTGTCCCAAGGTGTTCCCCGGTGCATAGCAAATCTAAAACTCTCCTCTCTACACCATCTTTTTATCCACACTCTTCAGCATAATCTGTCTTTATATGACCCTGTATATGGAACAGGTAGCACTTCCGAGAAAGCTATCTTGGAGGTCCTGACTTTAAATGCACAGTTACATTTTCCAGTGCCCTTTGTGCCAGTACGAGAAGATGTTGTCCAGCCTGTACTTCTCCAGAAGCCTAACCTGAGCTTGAGAAGCTTGTTCATCCTTCAAAGAACATTTCTCTCTTCCTTAGAAAGATGGCCTCCTCCCACAAGTGCCTCATTCTCTGGGGCAGCAGGAGCTGCCAGCTCTGGATGAATGCTGGTATTACCTCCCCAAAGGCCTCAGCCACCAATCACTCTGCCTCTCTCAGTTTCTCCGTCTCAGCTACCTCAGTTTTAGAAATCACATCTCCAGTTAGTCTTATTTTCTTACCTCTGCGCCCTCAATCACTGCGGCTAAGAGGCTGTTATCAAACCATTTCGGGCTTTGCATTCTTCGAATTTATCTTAAATGTATAACTTTTTTTTCCTCCAAAAATGGAACTCAAGGTGACTAGGGCCTCCCCACCCGCCAAGTATATAGAAACCTCCTCTTTATCTTTTTGGGCAGGGCCATTTTGCTTTCATACTAATAAGCACAGAACCACCTGAGCTGCAGATAAAGCAATCAAACGTTTCAAACATGTAATTTTTCTTTCAAAGGAAGCCCTCCCGCAACAGTCACAAAAACACTTCGGGGGGGGGGGGGGGTGGAAACATGCTATCCAAGCTGCGCAACACACTGTTTGATCACTGCTGGCATCTGTTAATGCCTCTTCCTCCATGTGTGTTGCTATGGAAAAGTCAAGCAGCAACAAGGACTTCCTCTGAGGGAAGCTTCATCCCATGCACCTGATTATTCACATACATTTCCACAATAGGTTTCTTGTTTCACTTTAAGAAACTAGGCAATTTTATCCTAGAGTGAAATGGCCATGCACACACACGTGCATGGACACAATCTCACCTTTGTTCATTTTGAGTCACTGTGCTTGCACAGTGCTGTGTGCAAACACAGCCAGTGAAGCAACCTTGACTTAATTTTTACTTTAAGTCAAGGTTACTTCACTGACTGTGTTTGCACACAGCACTATGGCATGGTTTATATTAACCATGGTTTGTGGCTACAGCCATGAAATATCTTGCAGACAAGCAAACAAAATTATTTCTGGTTTGTGTCACTTGCATTGCTGCCATTTTTCTGAAACTATGGAAGAGAGCAAAGAATATGCTCTTCGTTTCTGTGAGTTCATTTTATAAACGACTAATAAATGTCTAAGGGACAATGGCCCAGTTCATACATCACAACTCCTGATTCAACTACATGACATATGCAACTCTGGGTTGATGTTACATGTGAACCAAGCTAATCTAAGTGCATGAAACAGAGCAGTAG